ATTCATGATATGGCGTTTGGAATACAAATGGTTTTGGTGGGGCTGGTGCATCATCATCCTCTTCTTCTTCCTCATCTTCATCACTTTCTTTAGCCCTTTGTTCAATCTTAGCATAATATTCCTCATATTTCCGAACGGCTTCTTTATGAGAATTCCGCTTCGTCAAAGAAATATTCGCAATATAAACAATCTGCCCATCTTGAATCCCCTTTATAGATCTATTAACAAACGTCTTCCCATTCGAAACTTCACTCACCTCCCACGCAATCGGGGTTTTATCATTCGCAGCCCGGACGAAAAATGAATGCAAGGAATGTGGTTTGAATTCTGGTGGTGATGATCTAATGGCGACTAATAATGCTTGTCCCGCGAGATTTCCTCCAAAGACTCCTCGGGCATCTGGTCTCGGTCTGATTAACGGTTTACGACCACGATAATTGTGCTGGGAAATCTGGTCGACTCCGAATTCGGCGTGTACGTCGACTGGTTTTCCTCTTATGTAGTTGAAGTCTTTAGACATGGCTGGGGTGTTTGAATATGAGTGAAGAGAGGATGCAAATTTTGTGAAAAAGAAGAGTTCAATCTGGTGCTTTATATTTCGAAATCAGCGGGAAGACGGAAAAAAAATGTTAGTGTGGGGGAAATTGATTTTTTCATTCATCCGAATTTATTTTTGGGTGCAAAATTCGGTTAAATGAGAAGATTATTTGGTTTGTTGGGACCTACAAACGACCACCAGACTTAAATCGAAGAATTGTAATATGAGTTGCACGGAATACTTCTATTATTCCTAGTTGTCTTATGATTATCAGGGATTTATTTGGTTCTTTTTGGTTACATCTTGCTCTACTGATTTTGGCCTGTGATATCTTGACCTGGGAAGGTGTGACTTTTAGATCCGGATAGGGCCAGAATCAGAAATTACATTGGACAGTTACTAGAACCACGATATCCAGAGCTTGCTCCGTATCACCTAAAGAACTAAGAATGCACTTAGTTTATAAATTTTATAAAATAGTAATTAAATAGATAGAATATGCTACAAAAAGTGGACGCTCCAACTACAACTTCAGCTTCTTCTGTCTTCCATTAATCAAATAAAGTCTTTCCTGAACAACACTAGCGACATGCACCCCTTTATCATTATAGATCTCTCCCTCCACCAAAACCCGACCAAGACCAATCCTAACCAACTTCATAGAATATGCCATCCATTTCGTCGCATCAAAATCATCATCATGATAATAAATAGAATGATCGAGAGATACAGTATGACGAGGCAATTGGGAAGAATCGATTCCGATATGGTTGATCAAATACTCTAACGAGATCCAATCGGAAATCGACGAAAGTCCGAGGAATTGATATATTGGATCTTCTAGTGGTTGGAGTTCTTGTACGTCAGTAGACCCTGGTTTAGGAAGACCCCATTTGACAAGGTATGACAACTTTCTAGTTGGTTCGATGGTGGTGGAACGTTTGACTTCAGGGAAGGTTTTGATATGAAGGAAGATTTTCTCATTGGTGTCATCGACTGGAAGGTCTTGGATTCTTGCTTTTTGGATATATGAATCTTCTGGGGTTTGGAATTGGAAAGGTGATTCACCGTTCTTGACAGCCTCGCGATGGGAATTACGATTCGTGAGTGATATATTTGCAATATAAACAACTATATCATTTTGAATCCCCTTTACGATCCTATTTACGAAAGATCTTCCATTTGAAATTTCTTCTACTTCCCAATCTAATGGGGTTATGTCATTGACTCCCTTGACGAAATATGAATGTAATGAATGGGGTTTAAATCCTGCTGGGGAGGTTTTGATGGCGACTAAGATAGCTTGGGCAACGAGATTTCCTCCATATGCACCTCTATTAAGAACATGTGGTTTGGTTAAGGGTGATTTACCTCGAAATTTGTTTGGACCTATTTGAATAACATCAAATGCTTGATGAAGATCAATTTCAGATGTTTTAGTTGTTGACAGTTCTATATTTTGATTCATACCTCTTGATACTTTGTTTTTTGATGTCAGATGGTTGTAGAGATGTATGAGTTCTTGTTTTGATATAGATGGAGGTATACGGCTATATCTATAGTACTCTTGTCGTATTCCGTGGCTATTTCAATCCTCGGTATCAGATGGAAATTCAATTTTTTTTTTGCTGTGGTGGTGGGTACGACGTTTGTTGCTTGTGATGCGAATGGGAATGGTGGGAATGCGGTCCACTGCCACTGCCCAAAATCCCCCCACACAAAACCAAAAAACGGTAACAGATGGAAATCACAAGCTGAAATTGTAAATTCTTATTTCCGCTGTAAAATGTATGAGAGAGATTACAGTTTAATTTAATTACTGCAAAAATTACAGTTTATTAACTAACTTGAAGATATGTAATAAATATTCTATAAAGAAGTCAGAAGAGGCATTCTACAACTTGGCACCTTCTTCTCTTCCTCCAAATTGAACTAAACCTTCTTGAACAAACGTGGCAACATGAATTTTCTTATGATTATAAATCTTACCTTCAATTAAAACTCTATTATGTCCACATCTTGATACTTTAAAAGTAACCCCCATCCATTTCGTTACATCAAAATCATCATCATGGAAAAACAATGAATGATCTAAAGATACTGAGAAATAATGAACTAAATCAGTATGGTCAACTCCCTCAATTCTTAATACTCTCATTAATCTAGTTAAAAAGATCGAATCTGAAAGTGATGCCAACCCAACATATTTAAAATCAGGATCAACATTAGTTAAAGGTTGATTGAAACCTTGCTCATTTTCAATCCCCCATTTTACCATATATGAAAATTTCCTTTCTGCAATTGGTATTTTCTCTTCATGTTTAGTTAATTCAAGATCTACCAATTCCGGAAACACCTTATGATAGAATAATAAATTCGCATTAGCAGCACCAATAGGTAATTTTTCAATTTCATATTTATCAAACCAATCATGTGGTGGAGTACTGAATTCAAATGGTTTGAGTTGTTCCGCGTTTGGATGGTTGTTAGCTTTTGCTTCATTATATCTCTTCCATGCTTCCAAATGAGAATTATTCTTAGTTAAGGATATATTAGCAGTATACACGACTTGTCCATTCTGTTTGGCTTTAATTGCTCGATTAACGAATGATTTCCCATTTGATATTTCTTCAACATCATAATCAACCACATCTTGATCATTTACGGCTTTGACGAAGTATGAATGTAAGGAATGAGGACGGAACCCATGGGGTGATGATTTGATGGCGACTGCAACTGCTTGTGCTACTAGATTACCTCCATATGCACCTCTTGCTTTCTTCATTGGTTTCTGTAATGGGAGATTACCGCGATAGGTATGGGAAGATATTTGTTTTAAACCATAGATTTCTTGGACATCATGGGTAACGTTTTGTGGGAATACTGCGTCAGTAACGAAGTTCTGAATCATTTTGGAAAGTTATTGGTATTCTGTAAAACGAAAGTATCTAAACCAGCAGATGAAGTTTTCTTTGGATAAATAAGAAAGAAAGAAAGAAAGTAAAAGTGAAAGTTTTTAAATAAATAAATTTTCAGAAATTTCTTTTGATTACAAGTTTTATTTCAGACCTTATCGGTTTTGTGGGGCAACCATTTTTTTTCCTCGGGTCTACGAGCATTAACAGAAGCGGGACTTCTACTCCGGTTGACATGCAACAAGGTTAACTCAAAACACAGAGATTCGAAAACGAATTGTTTACACGTAGCTACAAGAAGATCAAGATATGATCCATATTACATTCGGGCTTATATGACAAATGTTAAATAAGAGTATGAATCAAGAGGGACGTAATCTGCTGGGGCACTCAGACCAGATCTTTTTTTGCAGCAATTTAGAGAAATTGATTGCTAATTTAAATGATACTTACGAAGTCAACTAAGATTAAGAAGTTAAATATAAATTATATCTCATTTGTTGAAAACTAATAAATACTGTTGATAAAATCTAATCTACTATAAAGCGCTTCTATAAATTAGCAGTCAATCCATTCTTTCTCATCTTTTCCCTCTCATGTAATTCCCAACTAGCTTCAGCAATCTCTTTCGGAAAGAAAGCATATGCCTCTTGAACAGCACAAGCAATTGGTTTCCCATTCATATCAAAGAAATTCAATACTGCCAATATTCTATTATTCATCATATTCACAAATCTATAATCAATAAATATCCAATCACTAGAATCAAATTCTCCATCATAGAAATATAAACTATGATCTAAACTAACTCGAAAATACCCATTATCTGAAGTTAAAGGTAATCCAATAGCTTTGATTACTGTGGCCAACCATAATGAATCTGAGGCGAATGCGAGTCCCATATGAGATTGCTTGGAGAAATTTTGACCCAATTTATAATCATCGAGTACTTTTACAAATATTCCAAACTCTCTATTTCCACTTGTGTCCAAATTAACTGATTTATTATGTTCTAATAAATCTCTGGGCATAGCATGAGCAACATTATCATGTGTATGCTCCATATATAACAATGTATCTATATTATCTTTATATTTATAAAAAATATGATTAGGAGTTCTTTTAAACGTAAATGGAATATTTTTCGCTTCTTCACCTGATTTGATTATTTGATTATATTCTTCCTCACGTTTAGTATGATGATTATTCTTAATAAATGAACATTGCAAAGTAAACACCAATCGATCATTATGTGACTGATATCCCATCACCATCCTGTTTGAAAAAGTTCGTGAATCACTAACTTTTATAACTTCCCATTTAATTGGCGATTCTGTGGTGCCGGCTTTTACGAAGTATGCATGAAGTGAATGAGGATGGAAATCTGGTTGGGTGATTGATTTCCAGGCTGCGTTTAAACCTTGGGCGATGAATTCTCCTCCATAAGTGCCTCGACCATCTTCTTGGGGTGGTTCGAGGGGATAGTGACCGAGATAGGTGAGTTTGGATTCGGTTGATTGTTCGGGGACGAAATCTAGGTCGAATTTCTTTTCTAGTTTGGCGATGGGTTTGTCTGATTCGTAGACTTCTTTCCTGAGTTTGTCCATTTTGTTCGAACTAAATTATAATTTGAATGTTAGAAATAGAAAGAAGAAGAAGAAAGAAAGAAAGAAAGAAATTTTAAGCTTCTTTATAACGAAAAGTCTATCTATCTATTTTTTTAGTGATTCATTTTTCATCAAGCGGAGGTTTTTTTTTTCTTTGGGGTATGTTATATCTCCGGTGGGCTTTTTTTTTTGGCAGATAACTCCGGTACATCTAAAGTTTACATTTAAACCATACGTTATTGTCAGAAGATGAATCATATGACTTACATAATGGTTCCTAATGGTTACATCTAAGGCTTACCTAATGATAAGCATCTTCATGTGAGAAGTTTCTAGTCATCTCTTGCTTTCTTCAACAGCCATAAAATACTTTCTTCTCTTTGTTTCCTGTGAAAAATGGAGATGAAGAAGATACAAGAAAATATTGCGCGTATTGATCCTCGGCTAAACTCACCCACATACCGAAACTAAAAATGAAAAGTCCGATAGTACAAAACAAGGTAGATCATGTTTAGACGTAGAGAGCTGGAGCTTATTATTACCTATCTCTTGCTATATTGAACGATTTAACTAATTTCGACACGTAGAGATTATTTAACTAAATATTACATTATGGACGCATTTTTTTACACCCAAAAAAGGACGTGATTAAATATCTATTAAAACAAATGCATAAACTGAACTATAACTTAGTTTTATCAGCAGTTTCTCCTACTCCTTCATAAACCAATGCTAACCCTTCTTGAACAACAGTAGCAACACATTTCCCTTTATCGTTAAAGAAATAACCTCTACATAATAATCTACTATTCAGTAATCTTTTCATTTGATAAGTAAAAGTCAACCAATCTTTACAAACATCAAATGAACTTTCATCATTTGGAGTATAATCATCATTATGAAAATACATATGATGATCCAATGACATTGCATTGTAATGAAAAATATGTAATACATTCAAAGAATGTCTCATTAATAACAATGCATCAGTTCCACTATCATAAGTTCCACTTCTTTCAATTGAAGGATCCCAAGGAAGATGTAATATCCTAGGCATGGTAGTTATGAATGCCGAATCGGATAAATTTGCCAATCCGACATAATTAAACATAGGGTCCCGGAATGATTTTGAATGTAAAGGTCTAAGGATTGTTTTAGTTACTGGTTCAGTTTCATTTATGGCATTAGGTAAATGTTCCACAATCGTTTCATGTTCAGTCCCTGGTTCAGGAATGTTTTTAATCCCGCCAAAGACAGTTAACCATCTTTCACTTGCATATTGATCTTTCTCTTCGGGACATTCTCGATAGTCCATAAATTCTTTGGAGTATGCATTTCTAACAAATCCCAGATGTTCAACTTGATATAATTTATTTATATCGGGATATTTTGCTTGGAGGGGTGGGACGGGGATACTTTCATCTAAATCTCGTTTATGTAATGGAGTAGTACCTGGTTTCCGCAAGGATACCATACACACCAATTTCTTTCTGCCTTGTTGTTCGGAGGTGATGTATCGTTTACTCATCATTTCGTCATCATATATTTTCTCAACTGCATAATTCATGGGAGTTTTTGCACTTCCTGCACCGATGAAATACAGATGATAAGAATCGGGAATCATGACTTTGTTGGTTTGCGGGTTACGGGTTGATTCTATTGCTACTAATAAGGATTGTGAAATCATGTGGCCTCCATATACTCCACGAGCTTGTTTTATTGGAAGGGTTAATGAATGGGCTCCTTTATAATGATAGTCATCTATTTTGATGATTCTAAATGCTTCTTCAAAGTCGGGGTATGGGTTTTCGGGAGCACTGACAATGTCTTCTGGCATAGTGGACATGATTTTGGGTTGATGCTCTAAGGGGGAAAATGAATGTATCAGGGATTTAAAAGAATGAGATATGTGTGTTTATAAATAATGTTTGTGAATTGAAATGAAAATATTTTAATAGGCGGATTTATTTATTTCGATGGTATTAATTAATCACAAGATATTATATGCCCCACTAAAAAGTCTCACAGTCTTTTTTTTCCACGGAGATAAATTAAATAGTGACTCAACCGTTTGTAGGCTTCCCGGTTAAACCTGAAACTGTAATTTTTAAACATATGCAAAAGTCTGGGGTAAACTACTTTTCTATTATTAGACACAACAATGGGAATCTCACTTATTTACTCAACAAAAATGAACTCCCCTTAATATTGCTTTTGGGTGAAACTAACATCCATAGCGTACTGACTCCACTTCAATATTTCATTTTGCAACATACTGTATTTATTTTTTTTGCTCTGTTTCTGCCGAGGAACAAATCACAATGAACAACAATGTACTACAGAAGTTGTAATTACATCGTGCACGGGATGCACCGTTTAAGATATCCGTTACATAACAACTCGTAATTTATTAGATATGAACATGTGGCTAATTTTACTAAGCAACTGAAGTAACAATCTATCAATGACTAGTCAAAAATTTCTGGTATTTATGATATTTGCAATTACTTGATTGTTGCAAATAGCTACCATATGTTGAATCGACATTATCTAGTACAAATGATCTCATTTCATATCCATTCTTTACTAGCATTGCAATAACAAGAAGTCTTGTCTCAATTCATGTCAAATTGTTTAGTGGCTGATTATAATTGGTTCGGTTATTTGGCTTAATCTCTTCCCAAACAGTACAGAAGCACCAAACCCAGAAAAAATAATTTTGAAAAATTTCGATGCTCTTAGGATGAACACGGACAATCAACCTCCAATGAACAAACATCCAACAATCACCCCATATAGATCAATAGATGACCTAAAACAAGTAAAAGATTGGTTCTATAACTTTTCACCTGATCGAGATAATCGTCAAAGAGCAATTTCAAAAGTAAAAGCCTGGAGCTCTCGCGGAAGAATCCCTCATGGAATTGAATCAACTTCCTTATTAACGTCAACCATCTTAACTGATACAACCAATGTCGATGCCCATGTCTTACAATTATCATATTGTATGGCCTTGATTCGATTCGTGAATGGGATATTGGATCCCTTGCAACAGGGGAATTATGCTATTCCCTTACATCATTTAGCGAAATCAATTGGATTGCCGGGTTTTTTTGTGGAATTGAGACATATGGGAACCCATGAGGGATTACCGAGTTTGAGTATGCTTAGGATTGCGAGTCGACATGCTTTGAATTGGTTGTATGATAATTATTGGTCACATATAGAAGATGAGATTTATGATGATGAGGAGGAGGATGAAGAGGAAATGTCGGAGTCTGATTTGGCGGTGGTTAGTCGAATTGTGAAGTTGATACAGAAGTCGATTGAGAAATATGATATATATAATAATTTGAAGACATTTAAGAAGATACGAAAGAGCAACCTTGATGTGGTGTATAAACGTGGGGATAAGTCAAGTGAGATTGCAGTTAAGTATGGGAAATGTTTGAATCAACTTAGAGATTTTGTGCTGCAGGAAAGTAGTGATGAATTGAAAGAAATGGGGTTAAGCTATCCAGAACTTTTAATTAGATTACTTATACATAAGAAATACTTGATTTATAATCAAGATAAGCTAAAGGATAAAAAGACAAAGTTTAATCCTTTAATTATCAAGTTATATCGTCCCTTGATTGATGATCTTGGTTTTGAATTCAAAGTAACATGCTTCAGAGTTATCCATAATATTTTAAATCCGCCTGAGCAGAATCCAATAGAATTAAAAGTATATCAAAATTTGGAGTTTGATGAAATAGATCACCCAGATGAAATTGTCCAGTTACTTGAATGGTTTGGTTTTTTCATAGAAGAGCTCTTAACTTCCAAGGGTTCAAGTGACTATAAGTTTCATATATATAACGTGGAGATCAACAATAGAAATTCATTGCTTGAGTTAATAATAAATAAGTTGCAAATATTATATGAGACTGTAGATGAAAAGACAAAGTCTACTTTCAATAATATCATATCCAAAATATTGACACTAATAACAACAAACAAGAATTTCAAAAACTTATACAATCAAGAAAACAAATCACGATTAGAAGAATGGTATAAACTGATTTGTAACCTTGAAGAAATGAAAAAGACATATGAATTGCCACCATCAATTGATGATTTATTGGGATTATCAGTCTCACCAAGTCCAGCCTCATCCATAAAGCGAGAAATTGACGATGGTGAATCTGCCCCACTACCAGACAAGAAACAAAAGACATCATCAACACAACCAAAAGAAGTTATTCATTATTTATTTAAACCTCATGAAGTTTGGCAACCAACTTCATTTGGTAATTTTATATAATTAGCAATAAGCTTATATACAGGATTTTTTTCTGCTTATCAATTGATTTGAATCTCTCTCTGTTTATCTCTCTATCTATCAATCAGTGAGTCAGTCAGACTGCGTGTGCTCATAATCAAAAGGGATCTTTAAATTACAACCAAAATTTCCTCTACAACGGATGTCACACCAATCCACCTAAATTTTGTGTACTATACTACAACAACATTCATATTAATAAATAATTTAAAAATTAAATAGGAAAGGGCGTTCTGGTGTTTTTTTTTGTGTGTTCCTTTTTTTTACAACCAACAATCAGTAACTCCACAAAAGTATAGACAACTAAACTCCAATTACAAATACATACATACATACACAACATCACATGAATCATCAATGAGTCCACAGTGGATACCCCAAAATATACAGAAAAGACTTCTATTATATGTCCTACAACAAATATCATTATTATCAGAGATTGATCTCCCCAATCTAGAAGAAGTCTCCCTAAGTTCAATAATCCTTAAAGATATTTCCATCGATCCAGAAAAAGTAGGGAAATTACCTGGATGTAATCTACGATATGGACAGATTGGAGTATTGGAATTAAGCGCATTAGCCAATTATGGAGGGATTCAGGTTGAGGCTAAAGATTTAGAAGTGGTTGTTTCACCTGATTTTGAGATTGATCCTAGTGAGATTGCAAATCAGGTGCTGTTTCTGTTGGCACAAAGCACGGCGGATTTGGCACATACTGTCATGTTTGAAAATGAAGAAGATGAGGGAGAAGAGGATGAGGAAGGTGATGAAATTGAACATTCTGAAGGTGGAGAAGAAACAAAGGATGAACTGAAGAGAGATACACCTACTCCTTCTCAATCTGATTCAGCAACATCTACAAAGACATCCACATTAGGAGGAGTTATGCAACGGGCTGTAGAAATTGCATTGCTGAGGATACAAGTGAGAATAATAGATCTTAAAATCAAAATAGTGTCAGAGTTGACAGATATGGTACTAGAAGTTGATCGAATATCAATAGATACAATAAATGGGTCAAGAAATGTCAACGTGGCTGGGGTACGATTGAAAACTTTAAAACCAATTGTGAACCCTGGGCAATTTGATAATGTATCGACATCCACCAATGAAAATCAAGAGGATCAAGATCTTGAAGAGAGAGAAGATACATCGGATAATGAAAATGACGATTATGGTGATGATTTAGTTAATAGCATGGTTTTCACTCATGAAGAAGCTAGTTCTATATATATGAGTGCCACATCCAAATCTTTTGAAAAGTCTGCAGCTACCGCTGCACCAGATGCACATAACGAAGAAGGGATTGATAACAAAATTGAAGATGATAATGAAAAGGATCCTCCAATAATATTTCATATGGATCAATGTAGTATTGAATTTGAAGGATTGCAAGAAATAGCAAATCTAGAAGTCATAGTTGGGAATATTAATGTTGCATGTACTCCTTTAACACCAACTTTGGTTTCAATTTTCCAGGGAATAACGCGTAGTTTAAGGTTTAAGAGTTATCAGAAACGAAGAATGAATCAAACGACGACGATGAATGAAAAGAAATTGCCTTCGGAGAAGTTCCCACAATATGCAAATGAAAATGACTCAATCCTAGAAGAACAAGAGAAGACAACCAACGATGATGTTCAATTGTTTAAGAAGTTACGGATTGGAAATTTCGTAATTAGTGCTACTTCAGCCTTAAATCCAAATGGAGAGTTTTCTTGTTCGAATGGAATCAATATTGTATTGCATAACATAAGCGTAAGGCAAAAGAGTGAACTTTTGTTATTTGGAGGAATTGAGACATTCAAAATTGTTAGAGTCAACAACGGAGAGATTACGAATATATTCTGTTTTGAGAAACCACAAGAACAACAAATGCCTCCTCGTCCGTCCACTCCTGTGAGTATACTGTCAGCAACTTCAGTCACGTCAGCTGTAGCCAATAAAGCAGATATTCGGTTTGAGGTATTTCAAAAGATTGAAGACAATACTACAAGTATAGAAACAACTGTGCTATGTGCTAAAGCTGCCTATGTCAACTTGGACCTTCAAAGTTTATTGATTCTTGCAAATTTTGGGATTTCATTGAAAACAGTAATCGAAGAGTTTGACATTTTGAAGACAACTATTGACAATATACATAATCAAGAAGCGAAATTAACAAGTAGGTTACTGAAGATGGAACATGAGGATAAGAAGGTGACATCCAAAGATCAATTTATTGTGCAAACAGCATCTGTATTTGTTGATGTCTTGGTGGCTGATGATTTAAAGTTGCAGAGTATAATCTTCCCAATCAAGTATAATTCACTTCAAGATCAATTAAGTATATCCAAGATTCTTTTCAATAGTATACGAGGGGGGGTGTTTGATGAAGGCGTTGTTACGATTAATGATATTGCATTATATACCAAAAATCGAGATTTTAAAGGATATTTACATTCCGCTCATATTTCAGCAAATTCAAACACGTTACCAAGAGCAACTACCATGAGTTCTAATATAAATCTAATTATCCAAAAGATTATCTGTAATATCCCGTTAAAGAATTTGAAATTTATCGGAGAGAGGATATCTCTGTTAGTTTCCAAATTTGGTGAATTATCATCAGCCCAATCTAATTCGTTGGAGAATTCTTTTCTTGATGAAAGGCGTTCCAAATATTCCAAATTATCCAATTCAATATCCATGGCTGCATCAATGTATACTTCTAGAAAACAGGTACGGCGTATTGGACCCGGGTTTGGGACTGGCGCGGGGAGCTTCTTGAATACTAGCCGGTTTAATTTGGCAAAATTTAATTTTACTATAAAGGAAATAGAAATAAGAATAGCCCTGGTGCTACAGAAGTTTGGTGATATACATATCGTGTTGAATGATCTTTCATTATATCAACTAAAACAAGACATTCATGGGGCTATTTTATCCCTCAAAGTAACAAGAAGATCAGATGACAATAAAGTTGAGAATTTCATCTATCAATATCAAGATAAGCCAATTACCGAATTTGAATTCCCTTTGATATTATTGAGGTTTAAATCAACAGAAAAGTCCGATTCCCTTGAGATTGTGGTACGAAATTTACTTGTTGAATATTATACTAATTGGCTTCTGCTATTAGATGATGAAGAATCTATTATTGACACGGTTGAAGAAGAGATTATTGAGAAAGTTACACCAGATTCTAAATCCTCAGCACTGAATAGATTGGATATACGATACACTTTGTATGATTGTATGATTGGCTTAACTCCTGGAAGATTGAATTGTAAGGCTTGTATATTTGTAAGCAAGGGGAATGCTGATTTTGCAGCTGGTATCAATCAGTTTTATATCAAATGTTCATTTAGGAATTTAGCTGGATTATTAATTGATGATGTCAATAATGTGATTAAAACCGAGAAAGAGAAGGGAAAGTCCCGTATTCAGACTTCGAAATTACCATTTGCGTATACGTCACCGCTTGATTATTATTTACAACAAGGATATATTCAGTTCGGAACCGTGAATTGTACTCATGTAGGTATAACTTTTAATATCGATGTGGAGGAGATCAAACAAAGAAATGAAAAGTTGGGAATTAGGGAGAATTTAGCATTGGTTGATATTAAAGTCAATTCGGATGAACATCAGGTTAACTTATGTGCAGATTCGACCAATGTTATACTTCAATTGATTAATGATTTGAAATTACCAATTGATTTTACAGAGAAGGATAGAATGAGAATAAAATTAGATCATAAAGTGAATTTATTGGAAGGTATTGAAATGAATGAATTTTCGGAACTATTGGAATCATTTGCTCAGATGGATATTAATGACAACAAAAAGGGTTTACTGAAACCAAATTCCAGTGATAGTGAATCGCAAGGTGGATCGTCGCTAGTATTTGAAGAAGAACATTTCGATAAAAACGATGACAAGAGTTCAACATACAAGGATCATCATGTTGATCCCGTTAAGATTAATATCAACCTTTCAAAGACGAAGATATATCTTCATGATGGATATGATTGGAAGGAAACTCGAAAAGCAATCAAAGGAGCTGTGAAGAGATTCGAAGCCCAAGCTAAACACGAGGCAGTAGCTTGCAAGAAGTCAGCCAAGCATGAGGCTAAAACTAAACCTGGTCCAAGTGTTAAGTTTGATATCAAGGAGGAGAAAAGTGCTGAGCCAGAAGAAGAAGAATCCTTATATGAAGAAACCTTATTTCAATCAATTCATGTCCTTGCTCCTAAAAAGACAGCTATGTCACATTTAGCAGAAGAGATTAATAGTCGAATTGAATCTAATTCAGAAGTGAGTCCAGAGGAAAATAAGAAGATCCAAGCAAATATTGCATTAGGTAAAAACTACAAGAATTTGAAATTAAGAAGATCGACCAACTATAAAGTTCTTGTTGATTTAAAGAATGTGGAAGTTAATGTTAATGTGTTTTCAACTAGAGATCCTAGAGTGGACGACACTGATCCCACTATGGAATATGAAACCATGAGTGCAATTGATGCCCGTTTAGGGACTGTGACCATATATGATAATGTACCTTCATCTACTTGGAATAAAATCTTAAGTTATATGAATAGTTTGGGAGAAAGGGAGATAGGAACAAGTATGGTTCGTTTATCTATTGTGAATGTTCGTCCGGATCCAAAGATAGTTGCTAGCGACGCAGTGATTAGTGTGTCGCTTTTACCTTTGCGGTTACATGTTGATCAAGATACGTTAGACTTCTTAACTAGATTCTTCGAATTTCAAGATGAAAGATTCTCGTTGCCAATGGATGAAATTGCATATATCCAAAAATTATCTATTGGTTCTATTAAGGTGAAGCTTGATTACAAACCGAAGAAGATTGATTATGTTGGTTTACGTTCTGGGAAAGCTGCCGAATTTGCGAATTTCTTTATTTTAGACGGTTCATCCTTAACTCTTCCCAGTACAAAATTATATGGTGTTTTAGGAATGGATAAGATAGGAATCGGTTTAGGAAAAGCCTATGCACCTGTTTTCCAGCTGGCAAAAGTGATTGGAATAATTTCGGGTGTTGCTCCATTACGTTCTGTCTTTAATATTGGTGGTGGATTTAAAGATTTGATTGCAATACCTATAGCAGAATATAAAAAGGATGGTAGGTTGCTAAGAAGTCTTCAAAAGGGAACATCATCATTTGCCAAAACTACAGGTTATGAATTATTGAATCTCGGTGTCAAGTTAGCTTCAGGAACTCAAGTTTTATTGGAACAAGGTGAAGAATTATTAGGAGGGGAAGGGTCATCAGCAAGAATATCGAATAGAAGCAAGAAAAGAAATAAAAGACAGGAATCAGAAGAGCCAGAGTTTGAACAAGTAACTGATAAGGATGCATTCAAAGGGCATAAAAGCTTATTAATTAGTTCTGAGATTTTGAGTAGAGCCAGTAAAAGCAAAATGGGCAAAGATCAATATGATGGACGAAAATTATATTCTTATCTTGACTTGGACGAAGAAGAAGAAGATAGCGAATTTGATAAGGAATTATTGAATAAATCAATTTTTTTGTTGGCACCTTCTGAACATCACGACAAAGGCAAGCACAAGAAGCGAGGTAATGCTATTGATGAAGAATATGTTGACGAAGACTTTGAAGATTTGGATCAAGATGAGGATGAGGATGAAGAAGAATATGATATCTATGCATATGACAATGAGGATGAACTTCAAGAAAAGTTGGTTAGTTTATATTCAAACCAACCAGAAAATATTAAGCAGGGACTTAAATCAGCATATAAATCTATTGGTAGGAATTTGAAATTGACAGGGAAGCAATTGGTTAACCTCAAGAATGAATTGAATGAATCAGAATCCTTCCAAGAATCAATGGCAACTGTCCTTCGGAATTCACCGATCATTCTTATCAGACCTATGATTGGTACAACTGAGGCGTTATCCAAGACTTTAATGGGGTTGAGTAATAAAGTGGATTCCAGGCATATGATTGAGAAGAGGGATAAATATAGAAGTGAACAAGATAAGGACGATTTTAATTATAATTAATGATTAGTGTATTTGCGGGAAGGAGGGTGAATATTTTTTGGCATGATAGTTAATAAAATTATATAGAAATGAATGAACAGTTTATAATTACAAAGCTTAAGAGTAGACAATCTCTCCATTGTATTTTAACTTGATCCAGAGTGCTCGGCGAAATAAATATACCCCACAATACCAAACAATTGTATTATAGATTATTGTTGAAGTACAATCGATGCCCGCGGGAACAATTTGATGCCTTTCAATTGTCAACTTCTCATCTCTCGTATGCCGAAACCTTAATTAATTAATTAAATCAAGAAAAAAAGTGACAAGGTGGAAGTGTGCATATTATTATGAAATTCGTTCCAAACGCAGTTGAATGCCCTTTCAAGTAAGCCCAATTACAATTTTTAACCCTCGAACAGCGACAAATCAAATCAAAATCAAAAATCTCCGCTTTTCTTCTTTTTCAATTAACATTAATCCATCACCCTTCTTATCTTTTGAACTTTCCATGAGCATGAGATGATTCAAACAGCTAATAATGCTCGTAAATTTTTAGATCAAGGTCATTTGAACAACGTGCCGTAGTGAAAAAGTTTTTCGTTTAATATGCTAGTTCTGTGACATCATTTTGTGTTTTGCCGTATTTCTTTTTCAAAATGGCAAAAATCATCGGAAAATTGCCTGTTAAAATTATTTTTTCTCACTTCGGATAATTTATGGAATAACTCCCTGCACGGCAAAAAAAAATAATTCAAGTTTGCAGAACAAAAAAAAGCCCAAGAAATAAAATATTATTTAAGCCATTCATCATGGTATGATTTCTCAATGGGAAACTAATGCCCCCCATATCGCGTATTATGTCTTCACATTCCCGTAACAAAGGAAAGAAAACAATCGTGTGATGAGCTCTTGTCCCATTGTTTTGTGGATTAAACCCAAACCTTAAAATTCCAAAAAAAGAAAAGAAAAAAATTTTGCATTTGATATATTTTTTGAAAAAGTTTAAATAGAGATTGAAATTTCCAATTCTCTTTCAATTGATAAATTTCACTTTTCACATCTCTTCTATCTCTTTCTTTTGTATATTAGTTTGAGTTTCAACGGCGCATGTCATATTACCTCTTGAGTCACAACCACAAATCTTATCTTCAATCCGTTCATTAATTTTGTAACTCCCCTTACAAATACAAAATTATTTTATAGAAGTCCAAATTTTTTGCACCCTAATTATAAACAAACAGAAATGTCTACTCAACAACAACAACACAATTCAGAACCAGAACAGGACGCAAGCTCTATCTCTGAATACTATCCTGAGTCCCAAACTGATTTAGAATTAGGTAAGGAAAAAGTCGAAGACCTTGAAATGGCCCATGAAGTAGATACTGCTGTCAGCAAGCCAGAAAGAGTTTCATGGAGTCAAAAAATTAAAACTAAATTCCCTTGGTATAAATTAGCTTTCCATATCTTTTTAGGCTGTTTCTTTACTGCTTGGTGGTTATCCATTATTATCCAAAGTAAGCATCGTTCCGAATGGTTAATCCCAACAGTCTTTTGGGGTATGGCTATGGTTAGATTGATCTCATGGCATTGTAGAATCTTGCCTTGGTTATTACAATACGTTAAATTTGTTTGGGATTTCGCTTGTGATATTATTTATAATAAATTATTCCGTGAAAGATATCAAAGATTATTAGCTGGAGCTACTGTCACTGTTGGAGTTATTTTATTGGGGACTTTTATTCCATCTGAAACTGAATTCTCAAAGAGAGAAGATCGTGCCGTTTCGTTCTTTGGTTGTATTGTTGCTATTTTCTGTTTGTTTGTCACTTCAAGAAATCCAAAGCATATTAGATGGAATACTGTCATTGGTGGAATGTTAATGCAATTTATTGTTGCTTTGTTTGTCTTGAGAACTAAGTGTGGTTATGATGTTTTCAACTTTATTTCCACCTTAGCTCGTGAATTATTGGGTTTTGCAAAAGATGGGGTTGCCTTTTTAACAAGTACTGAAATTGCAAACATGGGTAATTTCTTCTTTGGTGTCTTACCTGCCGTTGCTTTCTTCGTTGCTTTTGTTCATATTTGGTATTACTATGGTGTTATCCAATGGGCCATTGGTAAGTTTGCATACTTTTTCTTTTGGTCATTACGTGTTTCTGGTGCTGAAGCTATTACTGCTGCTGCATCTCCATTCATTGGTATTGGTGAATCTGCTATCTTGATTAAAGATTTGATGCCATATTTAACTAATGCTGAATTACATCAAGTTATGACTTCTGGGTTTTCTACTATTTCCGGTTCAGTTTTGGTTGGATATATTGGATTAGGTTTGAATGCTCAAGCTTTAGTCAGTTCTTGTGTTATGTCCATTCCTGCTTCTTTGGCAGTTTCGAAATTAAGATATCCTGAAATGGATACTCCAATCTCCAATGGTAAAGTTATTCTTCCAAAAGCAGCCAAGGATTCAAATAGTCAAGATCAACCTCATAATGTCTTGCAAGCTTTCTCTCAAGGTGCTACTTTGGGTTTAAAGATTGCTGGTACTATGATGATTCAATGTATGTGTATTATTGGGTTGGTTGCTCTTATCAACGGTATCTTAACTTGGTTTGGTAATTTCTGGAATATTAATGGATTAACTTTAGAATTAATGTTATCCTATATTTTCTATCCATTGGGATTCTTATTAGGTACTCCACGTAATGAAATCTTACATGTTTCTAAATTACTTGCTTATAAGTTTATTCAAAATGAATATGTTGCTTATAATTTATTAATGACTGAAGCACCATTTAATGAAATGTCAAAGAGAGGTACTTTAATTGCTACTTATGCTTGTTGTGGTTTTGCCAATTTAGGTTCTTTGGGTATTACTTTGGGTGTTTTGAATACTTTAACTAATAATTCTAGAGCTAAAGATATTTCACAAACAATTATGTCTGCTTTATATTGCGGTATGATTGCAACTTTATTATCGGCTGCAATTGCTGGTATGGTTATTCATGATTTAGACAATTTCTAATTGGGGACGGGGTTTGTTATGTATTTTTAGTTTTATCCTTATTAATTATTGTTTATTACAGGTTTATAGATTCTCTTAATAAAAATTATAAGGTGTTACTTGTTTCTTTTCAATTATTCAACTCATCTTCAAATGGTAAGTGGTTGCAAAAAAGTTGATTTTGCTTTGTAAAATACTCAATGAAGAAGCCGCCAACTCACAAATTAATTTTCTGTAGATATCGTACCTGTACTAAGGGCTTGCTCTTAACACCATATCATAGAGAGATTCATAGCTCAGGGTAGATATATAGAATTCAATTATCATTATGGATTGTAGAGTGTCCCTAATTTTCGTTGCGCTTCCATATCCCTGTCATAGAAAAAAAAATTAAATCTGATTTACCATTACTTCTCCATTTTATAACACAACAACATCAAACTCTAAACTCGTAATGGAAAATGATATAACACCGCCTCCATCTCCCACCTCCGCCATCACCACCACTCCCAGACCAATCCACCTCCCCTTATTAAACCGTGGACAAAATCCAGAAGTATTAATATTCAACCTCGAAACCATAAAACGACTTCGAGATGAGCATGGAATCCTAGGGATCTTAATAGGTACACTCCCCCAATATCCCCAACAGAATCTATTCCTATCGATTCCTTTAAAGTTGATAGTCTGGGAAGTAGTCTGGCTTGTTGAGAATGGGTTTGGAGTGTTGGTTGATCAATTGAAATATCGTAATTTGAAGACACAAGCTGGGTTTAAGAATCTGAATAAGATTAGTTTGGGAAATAAAGCACAGGAAGAGGTGGCTAATTTTAATATAATCAAGAATTGTGATCTGGATAATGATGATGATGAGAATGAAGAACTTATTTCGACATGTATTGTTCCCCTCAAAGAATATATTTCTGATTATTTACGAAATGGATCATGTACTCAAGATCAATTCTTATCAGGATATCATAAATTCAAACATTTAAAAAGCTTGGGATATTATATTAGTCCCGGATTGAAATTTGGTGGAGATTTGGTTATATATCCCGGTGATCCATTACGATATCATTCTTATTCGATTGTCAAGTTTGATTTTGTTGATTTGAATGAAATTATTGTCGGAGGAAGATTGGCGACTGGAGTGAAGAAAAATATGATCATAATGGATACTTCCACAAGTTCATCCCAAAAGTCTGAACATCAAAGTTTAGAAGAAGAATTACATTCTGAAGTTTCGCCAATTGCATTCTCAATCGAATGGGCTGGATTTGGTTAATAAAACAAATAAACATTATTGTGACTACACTAAATAGCTACATAAAGAATAAAGATACTGTTAATTAAGTAAACAATAAAAAAAAGTTAAAAATAAGCATCAGGTTAAAATCCTCCAATTCTCATTCTCCTATGACCACCTCTATGTTCCTCTCCACCATGATGTGGTCCGTTTCCGCGCATCCCCTTCCTGCAGGGTCTATGTCCATCATGTCCGTGTTCCTTTCTGCCATATCCACCATATTCCTTTCTTTCCCCATGTCCATGATGTCCATGTCCATGTCCATGTTCACCCTCTCCTCTTCTATGAGCACCACAGAAAATATGTCTAAAAAACCTTCCAATCTTAGCCAATTGTCTTCCAATCCAACTACGATGATGATGGTGGTGGTGTTTTCCAAAAACACTAGACCTGACTAAATCAGCAAGTTTCATCGTCAAAACCTTAGTGTCTCCAAGATTCTCATGATCATTCACAACATTCATAACCATCTCACCTAAATCATCATGACCACCTTGATGTTTATGTTTTCTTTCTTTTCTCTTTGTGTCATGATCAACATCATCCCTGACAATAGTTCCATTGACGGCATCAACAATCCTAGAATAATGATGTTGATGTTTTTTGTCAAATCCACCCTTGATTTCATATTTGGTTCTCAAGCCTCCAAATCCGTGATTTCCACGGGGGGATAATACATATGTCGAAGTACCATTCTGGGATACTGTGACTTTAAATCCTGGTCTTGGTTTCTTATGCTTGTCACCTTTGTGATGTGGAGGTGGAGGTGGTGGATGTGATTCGTCTCCTTTCTTATGATGTGGAGGTGGTGGATGTGGTTTGTCTCCTTTCTTATGATGATGTGGAGGTGGACCGAATTTAACTTCGGTAACCTTTGCATTCGTGAGTTTAACATCGAATTCAATTTCAAATAATTCACCAGGCACGGATTCAGTTTGATGTTCAACCAAAGAAAGAACTAATGGATAAACGGATGAGATATTCACTGCTTCAATGATTGGATGAAGATGTTTCTTGGGTGGTTTTGAAGGTTCGTCGTCGGAAGATGAAGATGGATGTTTGAATTTATCATGCTTGATCAAGATTGATTTTTCAGAATGTCCGACATGTACTACATGTTGATTATCACCTCCTTTCAAATATGCTTGAACATTTGATACTTTGGCTTTAGTGTAAGCTTCAACTGTTGTTAATAAACTCTTGCCATCTTTCAAAGTGAAGTTAAATTTGGATACGAGTTCAGCATTAAAAACACCGGAGATTATTTGTTGGAAAGAATGAGTGAATGGAGGAGCAAATGAAACTACTTTAGCCTTACTCAAACTATCAATATTAAGAATTTCACCAGAAGCATCAATAACTTGATCATTTTCATAAGTTAATAAATTAGCAGAAGTAATCCAATTCAGATTAACTGAGCTTGAATCATCATGTCCAGTTTCACCTAATCCATTACTAATTTCAATTTCTAATACTTTATCCTTAATAGCACTACCTTCCCATAATAATGGTAATAATCCAGAAACATCAACATCAATGGAAGGAACATCAAAAGCATCAATTCCAACTACAGGTGACCACAACGCAGGAGAAATTCCACCAGTGAAAATAACTGGTTGTGGAGTTTGGACGGCAATCTTTTCATTATTGAAATAAACATTCACGATTCTAATTGGACCTCTTCCAATAAATTCATGTCCATTATCGGCGAAATGATCTTTATATTTATCCAAAACATTAGTATACCAGAATTCTTCAGCTGCATTACCACTGGTGAAAATTGAAAGAATTAAACGGGTAGTATTCTTTGGAACAGTAGGTAAATTGATTTGAAGTTTATCAGAAGGAATATAAAGAACAGGTGGTTTTTCAGGATTTGAATTAAAAGTTAATGGATAGATTCCATCAGCTGGCTTTCTAATTGATAAAATTTCACGATCTCTTCTAAGCCTTTCAAAGAATTTCTTGGGTGGTCTTCTATGAGGTTCATTATCTCTTGGTTCATATATGATTAATCCTTCTTCTGGTTTTTTGTGGTCGTGGTTATCTTCACCTTTTCTGTGCTTTCCGTGTTTGCCATGCTTACCATGTTTACCATGTTTACCATGCTTACCATTCTTGCCATGCTTTCCATGTTTGCCATGTTCTCCGTGCTTGGCATGTTCTTTGTGTTCACCATGTTTACCTTTTTTGTGTTCACCATGTTCTTCATGACGGAAGTGTTCCTTTGACATCTCTTTATCTTTATCGTCATCGCCATCGTGGTCGTGATCGTGATCGTGATCATGATCGTGATCGTGGTCGTGATCATGATCGTGATCGTGGTCGTGATCGCCGTCGTGATCGTGATCGTGATCGTGATCGTGATCGTGATCGTGATCGTGATCGTGATCATGGTGACCATGATCATGATGCCAGGTAGTTGAATTATACAAGTCAACACTTAATAAAATCTTAAATTCCCCAGTTAATCCAGGAGTAACTAAATTATCCAATTGAAACATAATTTCTGCAGTTTCACCTTTAAATAATTTCAAATATTTGGAAACATCTTTTTTAAATTCACTAAAAGCACTTCTTCCACCTGGTTCAATAGTTGAAGTTCTCCAAATTTGAACCCCATTAACAAATAAATTAGCCAATCTATCATATTGAACTCCATCAACTTCTGTATGTAAAGTTAATACAACTTTATTATATTCAATATCTGAAGGTGGATTAAATTTCAGAATAGCTGGAACCCCCCAAGATTGACCAAATGTATGATCTATCAAGACGGTATTGTATTTAGATTCACCATAATTTGGACGGACGACAAAGGGGTTTGATACAGCAATACTTTTTTGAGGACCAGTGAATGAGCCAGTATCAACAATACTAAAGACATTACTTAAAGGGTTTGAAACACCGGTGATTTTAGTCTTGTCAATATTCTTATGACCACGATGACATCCATGTTTATGATGATTAAATAAAGTTAATTTAATATCATCATGAATATTATATAAGAAATAAAATAAGTAAAAACTTACTAATAAAATTGATATTTTAAGGAATGAATGATGATTCTTCTTTTTCTTTCTATAAATATGTTCTTCATTATTATTATTTGCTTCTAAATCAATCTTTTCATTTGATAAGAATGGTTTCTTTTCATCATCAGCATCATCATCAGAATCATAATAGTTTTGTTGTTGTTGTTGTTGTTGTTGTTGTTGTTGTTGTTCGGGTATTTCGGTTGTAATATTATCAGTATCCTCTAATAAAGGAGTAGATGGTCTACCATATTGCAACATATTCCAAAAAGAGGAATCTCTTGCTTTATGACTCATTTCTTTAATTAACCTTCTAATGATTAAATATAAAAGAAATGAAATATGAAATGAAGAAAAAGGGTGAAGTTTAAATTTATAAATTAAAAAATGACAACCAATGGGATGATAAGGGGATGAAATGATAATAATAAAATTTTACTAAGGAGGGAGGCTTGGGGAATTAATTATTTAATGTTGCAGAACAATAACAAGGAGTAAATTAAGAAAAAAACACTGTAATCTCCTGTATATAAAAAAGTGTATCAAACCACACCCAATAAAACAATCTTCGCACACACAAGAAAAAAGTTGTTTACATCCAAACATCAATAATAAACTAATTTAATCCCATAACTACAAACTAGATTTAAGATTTTAAGCTAAAAACCTTAACGTTTTTAATTGCCAAGTCTAATATTTGTTATGACGAAAAAAGAACGAATACATTTTCTGTGATTTGTATAACAAGGGAACATCAATATCATTTATTCTTTCTTCTTTGAAATTTCTTTTTTCTTTGTTGGATGGTACGGAAATACACGTTGTTTTGTTTTGATTGCTAACAACAGTTAGTGGCTTTTAGTTCTAATTTTAAATAGCCTTGTTTCATTCTCCTTGGCGCGTATTAATAACAGCAAACAGCCACACTAATTTTATTCTATTCTTGTTCGTCAAATACCTTGCCACCTATCTAATCTCGTTTGTAAATTAATAATCGTGTAATTATATTAAGCTTTTTAACTTTAACTTACAAAATCATGGGATAATGCGTTATTCAAAGTGATTTGTTTACGGTTTATTAAAATACTAAATTTTGTTGTGCTTTTTTCTTTTGGTCTGTCAAATTTTGCGCCCAATTATTGCAAATTTATCTATAAATTCAATTTATATAAATAGATTTTCAATGTAACAATCAAATTGCAAATAATTTTTATCCCTTATCATTTCAGCATTGTTTCATTAAGAAGAGAACGTTGCACAGCCTGATCTATTTTTAAGCAATTAGCCAATTACACGTGTAGTGTGTAATCTTTGGCTCTCCGTAATCGAATCATATCACTTTTATACATTCAATTTACTGTATATACAAACTACTAAAACTATTTTGTACTCTATACAATCACACCTTCAAATCGATTTTCAATTTCTTGTTGTTCAGTAATATATCTTAAAGTCCTATTAAACAATCTTTGACTCTGTCTAAATAAGAATGCCTCTTTTCCATCCTCGTCACCACCCCCATCCTCACTATTCTTATTTAAATCTCCATATGGTCTACCACCTGTGTTCCCCCCAATATTCTCATCAATCACTTTTGAATCATCATCATCTCTCAAATTCTCAATATTCGTCTTTATCAAATCAATTAATCCATTAATATATCTAGAATCAATTAATCCATTTCCATAAATATTAAATATTAAACATCTCCCTAAAATTTCAATAAATAATTTAAGTGAAAGATATGGATCCATACATGAATCAGCTACTCTAAGTGATTTTTGTAAACATTCTAATACACGTTTTCCATCACGATATAATAATATCTCATCCTCGGCTTGTTCAACCTCAACCCTTTCCACTTCCTCTTCATTGTCTTCTGATGTCTTCTCTTCAACTTCAGCCTTTGTTTCCTTTTCTTTCTTTGGTTTAGCAACAGTAGGTGAAACTTCTCCCGGCTCTAACAAAGTCTCACACCACCACCATAAATGAGCANCAACAGTAGGTGAAACTTCTCCCGGCTCTAACAAAGTCTCACACCACCACCATAAATGAGCACAATAATACACCGAACGACATTGATCTTGTTTCTTCAACAATTTAGATCCATATAATGTCAATTTCGTAATCAAATTTTCATAATTCGCTTTATTAAAATATCTCGTCTTATTCAAAGTATTAGCTATGGCCAAAATTGATGAATATGCCAGAGATCCAGCTTCAAATGGATCATGGGGATTGATATGGTGGATATGTTGATGCTTATTGGAATGGACATTTAGGATTAGGTTTTCTTCATAGACTACAAAACATTGGGTGAATAATTCGTAGGAGATTGATTCTTGTTTGAGTTGATCAGCTATTGATGCCATGTTTAAATAGATATTGAGAATTAATTCTGCGGAATAATCTTGATGATATTGATATAATTCATCGATAATTACTGATAAGTTTTTGAAATTTGATGTGATTAATAAATCTAAATTATTATTCTTGTTTTGTTTGTTGTTGTTGTTCTTCTTTTGTTGTTGTTGTAAATTAACATAGCCAATTAATTTCAATTTATATAAAATTCTGGAAATTAATGTTGGATAAGTATATATAATATTTTCAAAACTTTTATTTAAATATTTCTTTCTAATATACATTAAATTTGAAATATTTTTCAATGGATCATGGGAAATTTCAACTAGTTGAAGTATTTTACATATCTTTTCTTGAATTTCAAGAAATTCTGGTGTTAATGTCTTTTCATTATTATTAATCTTAATAGTCTTAGTAATTCCCAAATTCTTTGCCGTGTTTAATTGTCCCAGTGAATCTTTAATTAATACTAAAAGATATTTAAATATCCCATCGATTTCACTCACATCAACAAGATAATCAGGTTCATTATCATTTTCTTCAATAAGTGATAATATCTTATCAACAATAGCTAAAGATATTTGTTTTTGTAAACCAATATTTGATAATTTTGAATAAAATTCATAAAAAAATTCTAATTTAAATAATGTTTTAATAGATTTAAAATGATTAATTGGAACAATTAATAACTGCATCCACATTTCTTCTTCTTCATTTCCTGACTTATTGTTTGATACTTTTTCTGCGGAATATTTATAAATAATATCTAAATTAGAATAATTCTCAGGATCAAATGTTAATGAAAGATTTATTAATGATTCCAAAAGTGTTGTATGTTCTTCCAAGGGTAATTCAGGATCTAATTCACATACTTTTAAATAAAATGACCAAAATGAACCAAATAGTTTATTGATATCAATATCTTCTTCTTGTTGTTGTTGTTGAGATTGTTCTTCAATTGATAAATTAGATACATCACTAGTAAATTTCTTATATGAAACAAATCTTTCAATTAAAGTATTTACCAATTCACTTCTTTTCAACATTGGATGAAGATTTATAAAAATTTCATTTAATAATTTATCTAAAGTAGCAAAATGAAAATCATTTGGGAATATTTGTAATAAAACATCAATTAAATAACTTTGAGCTAAATGATCACGACATTGAATAATTTGTTCAGTAATTGTGGGGAACACCCGTTCTTGATAAAATTTAATAGCAGAATAATCAACATCTCCAGTATAATCATCAATAATTTGTGATAATCTAACTAAATTAGATCCCACCAATATCTTCAATTCTTTTCTTTCTTTATATCTTAATTCTCGTTCCAGTGAATGTCCTTGATGTTGTAATCTAACCCATAATTTATTCATTTCAATAAAATTATTAATCAAAAATTGAATAGTTTCATTAAAATCAACATTATTTGAAAATGGTAATAAATTCTTTATCCTTTGTGATAAATAATATCTCAAAAACAATCCTCTAATTGGATGTTGTACACCATGACACATTTCAATCATATCTTTCATAATCTCCTTCTTAGGTGCATCCTTGGTTGACATATAGGTCGTACCTATCACAATCATCATATATAATCTTGGAATAATATTACCAGAATATTGAACAATTTCATATAAATCAGCCAAAAATGGACTTTGAACATCTTTATCACCAGCACGTTGTTTTTCTAATTTAGTTTGTTTTGAATTATGACTACTGATTAAATAACTGGATAAAGTTTCAAGTGAATCAAATACCATCATATAAATCTCATAATATTGTTTTGGTGATAATGAATTGGTTCTTAATTCATTTAAGAAATTTGAACAATGTTTTAAAGCTGGTAATAATTGATTATCATTAAGACATTGTTTCATCAAACTTGATTGATGATTGATGTTGTTGATGCAGCTTTGAAGAATGGCTTTCTGGTCATTGATTGAGATAGCCATGATATACTTTCGAGACTATCAATTGATTATTGTATGTTCGTATTCACTTGTGTGATCTTGGTTGTAAAGTTAATTTATGGGTCGAGGCTGGGTTGTAAGAGGCAAAGAAAAATTCGTCATTTCTGTCGCGACTCAAAAATGTGTGTCTCAAAATTGGAATCCCGAATGAGCCGCACTACCAGAATAATTGATTGCAAAAAATTGTGATTAAAAACAAAGTCAAACTTTATTATAAATTCTATATACGTTGGCACTAAATGCTTTTTTTATAAAAGGGAAACGATGACAAAGTAGTCATCTTTCAAACAAACAAAACAATAATAATATAAAAAAAAGTCTTGAAACTAAAAATTGAAATGAAAAAAATACTAAACCACAAGGTCAAATTAATAATACATTCTTAATTTTATAATAACACAAACCCAGAAAAAAGTAAAAGATGACACAGACACCTCAACTTACTTAATCAAGCAAAGATGACACAGACATCTTTACTTTTGATCTTGGACCCAGGGTTACAACATCACCATCACCCATACTCACATCTCCATCATGATCTTCAATCCTTATATCCACAGTAACACCATCCTTCTTTATACTACTCACTGGATCCTCTTCATCTTCTTCATCCACTGGTTGATCTATCGATGTAGTACTCGACGTCCTATCTCCAAGTTTCGAAGATGGAGATACTGTGGCAGTAGTAGCAGCGGTATGAAAACCAGAATTGGTAGATGAGATCGATATTCTATTCAGCGAAGGTAATGATGGGGAATTAAATGATGAATTTCGTTTATGACTGGTTGAAGAATTCAATGGATTAGGGAAGAAATCTCCAGCAGCTATTAAACTTGATCTTCTTGAAGATCCAGTACTATTCAATAATTCAAAATGACTTATGGAATTATTTCTGGATGGAATAGCTGATGAGCCTAATAATAATGGAGATCCATAATTTGGTGAAACGTTTCCGTTGGTTGAAGAAGAAACGGCGAATAAATTTGGATTGGATCCATTTGCATGTATGGAAGTTGAAGGAAGGGGTAATATACCATTAGCTAATGAATGTCTACGACTGAATTGATCTTCTACTAATCTTCGTTTATTACTTGGATTTAACGGTGGTAAGGTGGTTGAATTTATATCAAAGCTAGCTGATCTTATACTTGATGTTTTTAATTGTGGAGGTGTTGGGGTGTTATTATTATATTCGGTAATTGATGGACGTTTTTCTAAAGTTGGTTTCCCAAACATAGAAGTATTGAATGAGATTTGTGGAAGTTGTGTAACTTGAGAAGGATGGCCCACTGATGAACCAAATCCTGGTGCTGAGTCTTTGGATGAAGGACTTACATTTCCTGCAGAAGCTGGAGGTGCAGGCGGAGGAGGTAACACTGTAGTAGTAGGTATTGACGGCCTATGTTCAAAACCACTACCATTCATTCCCGCACTGGTGGAATTTCTCTTCAATTCAGAAATATGATTAGCCGCATTAGTTTCGTCAGATGATGATGAATTACTTGGAATAGTCACCAAACTTGCTCTTCTTCTTCTATTAGCACCTCCATTCCACCAATTCTTAATCGCATTATCCGATCTTCCATTCAAATGACGAGAAATCTCAGCCCATTTCTTTCCATATTTAGCAACTAAACTTTCAATCAATTCTCCTTCTTCAGCCGTGATAGGTGATCTATTCAAAGAAGGCTTTAAATTTTGATGATAACGTTCACGACATTGTTTTGGAGTACGAGTTAATAAATTATTAGAAATCCTTACCCAATTAGTAGGACCAAATATTGCAATCAATTCTAATAATTTCTTGTCTTCCATTGGTGACCAAGGTCCCCTTCTTGACATTGCACTTGATGAATTTACATTTGCAACAACTGAAGGACTATTTAAATTAGCCGGATGTAATGGACTACCTTGTTGAGCAGTTGGAGGAGACTTTTGATACGCTGGGTGATGTAATGACATGGATGCTGGAGCTCCAGGTGGCGGTGGTATATGAGCGTGTTGTGGTTGTTGTTGCCCTGGTGGGATTTGAGAGTGTGACATTCCCAAGGGGGGCAATGTATGTATTTGTATTGGTTGAGGGAAATAGGCAGTCGAGTGTTGCTGAGGGTGTTGTGGATGATGGGGACTCATGGCCAGTTGTTGATTTGACTGTTGTTGAGATATTGTACGAGTCGTGGTATTACCGTTGTAGGAATATTCTTCTTTGCTATACATTTGTGTCGTACTGTATTATTATTATTTGTGTGACAGACAGAAGCCAGCTCTGTATGATATAGTTTACGTTTATGGTAGTAGTGGGCGTAGTAGTTGTTCCGATGATTCGTTTTTGGTAGGAAACAGACAGACTTTTTAAAATGTAAACTGTTGAATTTCCTAATGATTTATTCTAATTAAAATAGTGGGGGAGTGTTTGTTCTTTTTTTTGTCCGTTTTTTTTGAAAGCTCAGAAAAAAATGTCTTTCTTTTTTTATTCTTGAGGAACAGACACAAAATGCCTTATGCTAACGGTTTTTTTTTTTGTTGTGTTCCAAGGGTTGTAAACACGAAAAAGCTGATCAGGAAGTTCTTTGGATTCTTTTTTTGATCTGGTCGGAAGAGTTGGCAGTTCTCAAATAGGTTTTATCAAAAACTAATCGGTCTCTCTGTATGTGAATGTTGAAATTAACACAGAAAAAGGTATGGACAAAAAAATCCCACAAAAAAAACGAAAATTCAATTTTGAATTTAAAAAAAAAACGGAGAGGAGACATTTGAATATTTAAACTTCTTATTAAATAAAAAATGTGTCGGTTTCTAAATTAATAAATAATATTATTTATTTTTTTTATTTTTTTTTGGATTTTTTTTTTCTGACACTTTCACATTCGCAACTGAAGAATTGTTCCGTTATTTTTTATTTTAAACTTTACAGGCCAGTACTTGTCATAACAATTAAATAATATTATTTGAATAATAACCAGCTTCTTTTCCACTTGTTGGGGTTCAAGAAACACATTTAACGTTAACACACATTGACAGCCAAATGCATTAGCTGATCAAATCAGAATCTACATACACCTGGACCCTAGAGCAAACGGCTGTGTGTGGTTTTTTTTTGGATGGCAAATTTATATTTAGAAAATTTGCGATCGTTAAACTTGTGAAATTGTGTATGATTTTTGAATCAGTGGGAATTGTCGTTTCAAATTAATTTCTTCACAATTTTAACGAGAAAGAAAGGAGGAGTTTGTGGAAAAGAATTTTTGAGTTACATGTATGACAGCTAACTGTTTCATTTAAAAAATTTTAGCCGCCCATGCATAGATCCAGGTCATAGCGAAGATTGTTGGTTGATTCTATTGAAAAATATCTCTCGATAGAACCGTTGTCTACCCCTCCAAATTATCCGGGATAGCCTCTTCGTTCAATCAGTCATGGTTGGTTTTGTTTCTACTGGTAGGTTAACGGGATACTATCAACCCAAGAGAAGTTGGTGCTTGCAAACAATTGCCTCGATAATAGGGAAGACCCACACACACAAATAAAAAAAATATCCCACAGCTATTGTTAATTCAACGCGCTAGTGCACAATGGTCTAAATGCAAGTAAGCCAACTACAAACCCCAGTATTTAATTTCTTACGAAATTTGCCAATCGATTCTGGATCCAACTTTCGAAGAGCCGTTTTTATGATGTCATTTGGGAAGCGACTGGTGCTTTCCAAAGACCTGGAATCACCTTGCTTTTATATATTGAAATGCCTCTCCTCTTCTCGAAAGACGGCGGAGCTTCAAGAGAAATTGGGGGAAAAGAAAGCCTATCAATGGGAAAAGCCGTTGTGTTTTGAGCCAACGATCTAAAAATAAAAAAGAAATCCGTATTCTTTGCAATTTTCCGTCGTGAATCTATCTCTTTCTAGACTTGAAATTTTCCCAAACGTTTATCTTGCAGTTAGTGGGGTATATTTCGAAATAGTTCCGTTGTGGATACTTTAAACATAGTTTGTAAAGCCCTTTGCTGATAACAGCTTTTGGGTGGCAGAGTGTGTAACACCAATGAAAATACACATTTCGCAATGAATTGAAAAGTTGCTCCACGTCGAGAAAACGATATGCAGGAAGACTCTATTTTTAGGATGTGTGCCTTTTTGTTCTCGCCCGGGATTCTTGACATATTTTTCAACATAGACACGTTCACGTTCTAAACTTTTCAATCTTCAAGTGATTTCAGAACGGAACCTTTGAACGAATTGACCAGTATGATTCCGTTTGTTGTACTCGGTCGAATATTAGCCTAATAAGGGTTTTTGTACCAACCTCTCAAAGAAAAGCTTGTTCTAGAAAATATCCCGTGGAAGAAAGATAAAAAAAAACTGGGGAAACAAGAAAACGTCCAACAGGAAGGTCAAGGAAGGATTCGTTTATTTTGATTGTCTCCGCCAAAATAAAAAAGTATCACAAAATCTTCCGGGGCATGTCCCACACTTGAACTCACATAAATATCAACTTAATTAAGGAGGGGATCACTCTCAGCAATAGGGTCTCTTCTCTTTTCTTGATGGACAAATTATCTTCCCGCCTTGGCAAACTCTCTTGGCCATTGTGTTGCATTTCTTCTTTTTCAACAGCGTTCTTTTTGCCATTCGTAAAAGTCTTCAACAAGAAAGAAATGTCTGTCTGTTGTCTTTGACAATATATTATTTTTTATGTAATATGTTCTTGATGAACAAAGGGGGGATCTAATCGGAATTTTATTTCCAAATTTTTTTTTAAATCGACAAAAAAATAATCTTAAATTATTGTCCTGCAGAATGCGGGACAGGTGGGGTTAAGTCGAACAAAAACGCCATTGTTGGTGTCCGGTTCTACAAAGCCGATTTAATGAATACGTTGGCCACTTATTGTCGTGTGGAACCGAACTACTGTCACAAAATTGAAATTACACGACACTATTCTGACTTATGCCGTTCGGTAGAATGGTCTTTCTTTGCAAGTATAACCGTTTGCAGTTTTATCGTTAGAAGCCGTTGATGATTCGCTCCTACTTTGAATTCTCGGAATTATCAGAATTTTTTTCTGTCGTTGGTATGCAAACGCAATTTCTTGGGGATAATAGCACATGCATCGTTCAATCTTTCGTGGCCAAGGCCAAATCAAACTTTTCAAATCTCGTCAAATTCCTAAATTGTATCGTCAATAACGGACTTACCTCAGCCCCCCCTCGACTTCGTTATCTGGCGGAAATAAATTTCCTTAATTGACCTTCCCTGAAGCTGATCACTTCATAATACATGATCTCGATGTGGAGCGGAGCAAACTCCTATCTGACATTTCAAATTAACATCGTTACAAGCTTAATCACGCCAAGGAATAAGTGAGCTCAATACAGAGATTGAAAAATTGTCTTTTATTGGTATATGTACTTAGGCGGCTTTTAGGGGTTGTGGAAAATAATTCTGAGTTTATAAATCATTAGAGGAGATCAATTAAGGCTGCAAACTCTAATATTGTTCGCCTAACTTGTATTAGGTATATCAATAAAGCGCTGGTCGAATAATAGGTGAATCGGCAAAAACAGACATCTTGTGGTGCAATTCAAGGGTCAATCGTGATAGGTGGCAAATTCCAAACGGCTAACACTGCTCGGAAGAAACTTGGGAACTTTATTGAATGTTCCTAAATATATTATTCTCCATACAGACTCTAGCAAGAACTGATAACTAAAGATGACGGAGAGAGTATCTATACTCGGCTTTCCTGGTTTGGCCCACCCCTAACATCTGTCTTTTTGTACATAGACATGAATTAAAACATTCACGGAATGATTCATTTCCAGGAGGTTCTTCTAAACAATCTCAAGATAACGAGCAATTGCAGGAGGTTTGGGAATTGACTTTTGTAGACTTTTCAGATCATTTCAATGCACAATCATGCGGGTATAATGTCGGAAAAAGTTATAGATAAGGCATAAAATTTATCGGGCACGTGATAAATTCTTCTTTAGTCACGTGACGTATACAAAAATTCCTGAACACGTTCAACATCAAGGCAACTTGTCCGAGTGGTTAAGGAGAAAGATTAGAAATCTTTTGGGCTTTGCCCGCGCAGGTTCGAGTCCTGCAGTTGTCGATATTGTTTTATTTTTTGCAATTTTTGGGTTTAAATGGGTATAGAATTTATAAAACTTGATAGATTTACAAATTTTGGTGTAAATTTCGTTTTAAATTTCTTAGATTTTTTGTTTGCATTAAAAATTATTTAATTTTTTGGGGAAGTGCCGCGGTTCATCCAAAAAAAAGCATTTAGATTAGGTAGCTATCTAGATATAGAGATTTGGGTTTCCGAAAGAAAACTTATTGCCAGCTTCTTACTAATAAACCGTTCCCAGAATTGCTTAAAAGTAGCAAGTTCCCTCAGTGAATGCATTCACTGGGATGCAGGAGTCATTTCTATGCTCTGATTCAGCCGATGATAGCTTTGGATCATGGATTGTATCTAATTATTGTTCTAGTACGGTCCTTGGGATCGACCGAATCAGTTATTTGAGCTATCTCGTTTGATTGCATCAAACCTATTTCTTCTATTCATTTTTAATCATAAGCAAAACCGTCTTTCATTACTTTCGTGGTGGTCGTATGGTCATTATTTTGGATTTTCAATGGAGGGTTCGCTTATGAACAAAACTCATCTAAATCTTCAGGTTCAAAAATAACCCTAACCATAAGTGAACAAGAAGGACACACTGCAATATCTTCACCGTCTTTCAAATCATCCAATGTAACTGCAAATCTATCTCCACATGGACATGGATATTGGAATAATTGTGTGACTGGATCAAATGTGAAATCTTCAATTTCTATTTCATCATATACGACTTCCATAGTTATGGTTTATATAAATGTATTACCAAAGATGTTGATAAGAACTGAAAAGTTGTCTAAGGATTCTATAGTTTATACAAAACAACAACAAACGATAACAGAAATTATTTCGAGAAATGATTCACGAGATTATTAATCTCCAGCTCATCAAAAAAAAGAAATTCAAGAAAGTCACATGAGTTAGGGCTGCATCCCTAATTTTGTTGACTGCACGTGTTACGAATCACTATACAGGACAGAATTTTGATTTTTCTTTTGGGTACTCGCACTATATTAAGTATGAGCGTCATACTTAAGGATTTTTTCTGGTGTCCCATAGTTAACAAAACTCCATAGTAACAAACATTGAGAATTTGGTAAATGCACGTAAAAAATTTCAGTTTTGTCACTCTCTAACCAAAATAGTTTTCCAGTTAGGTGCGAGTAGGAGGACTGCGAAAACAGACTAACAAATAAAAAAATTTTCTTTTGGAAAATACATTTTTCATTTAACTTGCTTTAATTAACAGTGATAGTCTAAAGTGTATGTGTAAATACCTAGTTGGAAAGGATAATTAGAGGAATCATAGAGAGGAGAACTATATACATCATATAAGAGAGTGTGTAAAGATTATGTCTATTGGAATATCATTATGGAAAAGGATATCATCACTATCATGAAAGAAAGTTTCATTACCAATATTGAATAAAAATTTTAGACAACTATGAAAGATATATCTACTACGAACTACTACAAATCAACTACATATAACTATCGAGTTTTGAATTATCGAGATTTACAAGATGTGGACTACGTTTAACGATCATGCATAGTTGATCATATAATTTTTCACATCGAGGAAGCTTGCTGTATATCAATGTTCCATATGATTTATATCAACCTAATTTCCTGCCTGAGTTATGACAAATGAATGATATACTAACATATTTCATCTAGGTTAAAAAATGGGTATTTCTAGAGATTCACGTCACAAGAGAGCTGCAACTGGTGCCAAGAGAGCCCAATTCAGAAAGAAGAGAAAGTTCGAATTAGGTAGACAATCCGCCAACACCAAGATTGGTCCAAAGAGAATCCACTCTGTCAGAACCAGAGGTGGTAACCAAAAATTCAGAGCTTTAAGAATTGAAACCGGTAACTTTTCTTGGGCTTCTGAAGGTGTTTCCAGAAAGACCAGAATTTCTGGTGTCGTTTACCATCCATCTAACAATGAATTAGTTAGAACTAATACTTTAACCAAGTCTGCTGTTGTTCAAATTGATGCCACTCCATTCAGACAATGGTATGAAAACCATTACGGTGCCACTTTAGGTAAGAAGAAGGCTCAAGGTGAAGTTGAAGAAGTCAAGAGATCTAGAAAGGTTGAAAGAAAATTAGCTGCCAGAGCCGGTGCTGCTACTATTGAATCTGCCGTTGACTCTCAATTCGGTGCTGGTAGATTATATGCTGTTATCTCTTCTAGACCAGGTCAATCTGGTAGATGTGATGGTTACATCTTAGAAGGTGAAGAATTAGCTTTCTACTTAAGAAGATTAACTGCTAAGAAATAAATGAATTTATAAGTGATATATTTATTTCCATTACTTTTGGCATCTTTATCTTTTAATAAACAAAAATAACTTCGTAATTTAAAGAATATGAAGATTGATCTTAACCTTGTATTTTATTTTCTTTATAGTTTAATATAAACGATTTTGGTAAAACTATGCTTCTATAGAAAATGAATAGGACTATATTGGTACAAGATAATCTTTTTACTAGAGTAAAACACGATTCAACCGATTTCTTACGCAGCATTGAACTCTATGAACATCTACCACTATCAATTCATATGAATAAAACTCTACAAATATCTACGCTTTTTTGAAATTATATCAAATTAAACAATTACATTTATTAAAATCTATACATTGTTATAAACTAAACTAGACAATTCTTAATTTAAATGTTAGTACAAAGATCCTTTAAAACTTCTGTCTATCTTATAATCCAAATATTTAAATGTCAGAAGAGGCATGTTGTTATCCTTCAGGATTATTCTCTAATGAGAATAACTCAGTACAGGTCTGTAAACATTTTGATCATCATTATAAATTTGGGTTCCTTCTTTGAATTTATTTATTGAAACATACTAATCTAAAACTAATAGATTTTGGTTAATAAAGGTAATTATCTATTGTGGTTGTTGTTAAAGAAAGAAGAAAGATGAAATACGTCTACAAATTTTTCAAAAATTCATTGAAAAATTAAATAAGAAAAATAGAGAGAAGGATGTTTGTGTTCCGGGTAACCGCTCAGAATGGTGTAGGGCTAGGAACTGTTACTGAATACTTGACTGTAACAATTGCTTCCAAGAACTCTAATATTTCCCAGTAGAGACCACTCGCATGGTCGGAGTGTACCCTTGTCCGTGCGGTGGAGCCTAGCAACTTACTACCTTTGAACCAAAACCCTTGTTTCTCGGTTCAGAAATCTTGGTTGTTTAGTTATTCAAGTACAAATTAAATAATCAAACGAACTTATTAGCATATCAAAGCGCTGAGAAACAAGAGTTTTTATCCAAAGGTGTAAACTTTCTCTTTGATTTTTATGATAATAAGATCCCTTTGGTAAGAAAGAAAGAAAGAAAGAAAGAAATAAAGAAATTGTTGTAAAAACTAAAGAAAATTGTTGCCAAAATTTATACTTGTGATTTTGGCTGCCATTTTTCTCTCATTCTCTAACAACTTTCTCATTTTTCCAAAACATCATCATCACAGATCATTCAATTCAATCCATTCATTACATAACAACAACAAAACAGTCAATCACTAGCAATACAATAACAACAATGATTACAGATCATGATGATAGCATCTATGAAGATGCAAACAATTATATAAGACATGATACTACATTCCCATATTGTGATTCACCATCAACAAATATTCAATATCGAAATTCATTACAAAAATTACCAATTAATTCAAGTGCAAATATTGATTTCAAAATAGGTAATCACACTACCAGTACTGCTACTGGAACCATACCGAGAGATAATATCTATCAATCTCCAAATACCACTATTCCAATCCCAGAGTCAATACTGGAGAGGAATGAAGAAACTTTACAAAACGCATCATTTAGAATTCTACAAACTAAACTTGCGATGAAGGGAAAGAGTCTTAAAGATAAGGAATCGTCAATTGAGAATGGAAATATACCCAGACCAATGTATTATAGACCGCCATCTGCGAATGTTGAGGATACTTCTTATGGTATTAAAAATTTCTTACCACCTAATGTATATCTAGGCAACAACCAACAACAACAGCAACAACAGAAGACGAAGAAGAATAAGATTCCAATTATGTTTGGACAACAGGCGCCAAAGTTCACAACTGAGACGATATTACAGAGTATCCGAGATGAACAAGATGATGAGAATGTATTTGAAGAGAATGGAGATTATGTGAATCCATCGGGAGATTGGATGAATCCGGTAATGAAACAAGCATTGAATAGACAAATTGATCAAGAATATGAAGTGAAGAAATTATTAAAGAATTTGATTTATTTAATTACATTTATATTATTTAAATCATTGCTAAAGAAGGTGATTTATTTATATGATTTAAAACTTAAATCTCAACCGTATTATATTTATTTAAAGAATAATCCAAAATATGAAACTTATTTCTCATCGGATGATATTAATTTATATTTATTTGTTATAAGTAATTTAATCATGTTGGTGTTTATAATCAATATAATCTGGCCATTGATTAAGGTCCTAAAGGGACAAGATCAATGTTATGATCTTCCCTTGAGTGAAAAACAACGGAAATTAATTGGATTAAAAGCATTGGATATCGAGCCTAAAGATAATAATAATAATAATACCCTGAGTGTGGGAATCGATCGGGTTGATGAAACGGCTGAATTAACTTTGAAACAAAGAAGATATGATTTGATTAATAAAGTTCCATATAAACAAATTCCTAAATATACTAAATTAAATGATTATTCAGTATATAAAGGGAAATTGGCCACTAGTGTTAAACCAACTTCATTGATACAACCACATCAAGATAGTAATATAACGGGACAATCAGTATATTCTGTGAGATCAATGTTGAATCCGGTGGATAATGCTACTAATATTGCCAATAAGTCACTTGTTAAACATGCATATTCTCAAGAAACTATTGATAAGGCAAAATCAAAATTTTCCAAAAATTTCAATATTGAATTTAATATAGATAAATAGTCTATAGATCTTTTAATTCATTTAAACTTTGAATTAAATCATCAATCTCGGGGAAATCTTGTTTAAAATAATTTGATTTATCTTTAATTGATTTAATATTTGTTGAATTATCATTACCAGGAACATTTTCATCAGTTAAATAAAACATTAAGAATTCAATAATTTTAAAATTCAAATTCTTTTGATCAATAGATATTGATGTAGTATTAACCGTTTGGTTCTTCTTTAAATTATCAAATGAAGTTAATTTAAATTTCTTAATTAATATTGAACAACCATTTAAATTTTCAAATATTCTATAATTAATAAAATCTTTTAATAAAATATGAATTAAAGTTGTAATTATTGATATAGTTAATTCAATATTTATATCTTCACTAATTAATAATAAATCAAGGATTAATTTCATATTTCTTTGTCTATGAAATAATTGTCGAGAATTTGAATGAATTAATAATAATCCTTGAAGTAATCGATTTGTTATTAAGAAAGTATCATAATTAACTTCTATTGGGTTTAATTTATATATATTTAATAAATGTTCAGTTATATTATATTGGAAATTATCTTGTAATTCTATAAATGTATTCAATTCTTGTGGTATTCTTTGAGGTTGTAATGATGTTCTCTTGGATTTTAATTTTGAATACGTTTTAATATATGGTAATAAAGAACGTAATAAAACATCTAATAATTCTAATCCCGTTGATATTTCAGTTATATCATTTGAATCTAAATGATCTATGATTTCTAACATCTTGTCTTCCATCTTATGTAGTTATTTGTATAGAAAGAGAATTTGTAAGTGAAAGGAGGGTTGTTCATTTTTGAAATTATTTTGAATCGCGTCGAGATGTTTATTGTTCGGTGTCCCAATTAGGAAATATATGAAGGAAATCCCGTTTCCTTTGTTCTCGGTATTGCGCCCTGTACTGTGAGTATTGTTAACGATTCTAATCTGATCGAGTGCTAGTGGTAGTGCTACGTCTAATATTACAAGGATGTATCTATTAGGGTAAATGGGTGTTACTGGATGTAGAGTGTAATACAACGTTACAATTATAAAATTAGACAGTAAAGTGAATCGTAAATAGATTTTCAGGCGGCTGAAGTTCAAAGAAGATAAAAATAGTAAAAGCCCAACAACAATTGAACAGTAACATAAGCAACAAGCAACAAAAAAAAAAGAATGATTTCTTCCTTTTAAAATAAATTCTGAAACATTTACACGTACAATTTCCTATTTTATAATTATTATTGACAGATCAACCATTTCTTTACTTATTACCTATTCTTATTGCTTTAAATCTATTTATATGATAATTATTTGAATATTTTAAACACTTCACTTCCAAATACCACTTCCACTTAAACTTATCAATAGTATACTTATCCCCTCCAAAAAGAGCAAGCCTCGCACTAAATTCCTTATCAATCACTACCCCTTTATAATTCACACATCAACCGTCCAACATGCCACTTACATCAGCTTCTTCTATAGTGCTAGGATGTTCAGTTGCAGTTGTATCATCAGGAATACAATCCTTAGGTATTACACTACAAAGAAAATCACATTTATTACATTTAATACCAAGTACAACCCATGGCCAACTTCATACTCATCGACAATCTTATCAATATCATCATCAAAAATATAAAAGAAATATGTGGTTATTTGGTTTCTTGCTATTTATAATTGCTAATATATTAGGATCAATAATTCAAATTACAACATTACCATTAATCATATTATCACCATTACAAAGTATTGGATTAATCTTTAATTCAATATTAAGTTGTTTATTATTACCAGGAGAATATTTTGCCAGGAAATTATGGATTGGAACGATAATTATATCTATTGGTGCATTTATAATTGCGTATAATGGAAATATACCTTCATTACCTGAACCAATACCTCCACCAACTGTTGATGAACGATTTTATAATATCGTTATAAGGTTATCTCAAAAATCATTTTTAATTTGGTTTATTGGGACGTTTGTTGGAATGATTGTTTTATTACTAATTAATAAATATTATCTTAACAAAAGGATACAATCAACTCAACAACAACAATCAATACTAAAGAGGGATGTTGTTGTCTTTGTTAATAAATATCAATTTTTAAAGGGAATAAATTATGGATTAATTAGTGGAGCATTAACAGCCCATACATTTTTATTTGCCAAATCAATAATTGATGTTATAATAGAAAGTTTGTTAAATGATAAACATCATTTATTGCCAATTAAAAATGCATTACCATATGTTTTATTAATTACAATGTTGTTAATTGTTGGATTACAATTAACGGCATTTAATTTAGGATTAGCAGAAATATCAACTGGTATATTATATCCATTATGTTTTTTGGTTTATAATTTGATTAATTTGATTAATGATTTAATTTTCAATTCTTTATTAAGTAGTCATAGAATGACTATTATACAATTTTTATGGATTTTATTTGGATTATTTGGTGTATTATGTGGGGTTGTTATCTTGAGTTGGGATAGTGCATTTACAAGTGAATGTGAACAACAACAACTCCAACAAGAACAACAAGAAGAACATGAAGAACAAGCTGATATTCCAATTGATGAGAATTTGATGTTTTTGAAATTCCCTTATAATATGATGTCACCATCAAGAAAGGGAAGCTATATTGTTAACCCTAAAAATATTATAGATGAGAATACAGGATTACTTACTGAATCTGCATCATCTGATGATTCAATACATAGTATGGTTAAACATTATTGTAGTATTGGATCAAATGAGACTAATTCAAATACATTGACTAGTGGACATAATGAGGAGAGAGAAGAATCACCGTTGACAGGACAGGAGGATAGTGGTGTAGTAATAATAGAGGATGATAGAAGTGGTGGAAGAAGAAGAAGTAGGTCAATGACATTTGAACAGACTGAATTATTAAAACTGGTTGGAAATCTATAATAGTTTGTATTGTTTGTATTGTTTGTATTTTTTAATAGACATGTTTTGTTTGTTCGGTATAAGTTGAGAGAAGCAGAGACTGAGAGAGTTTGTCACTATACAAATTTTTGATTAAGATTTCTCTCATTGTAATTCATTCTATCTGGTAGTAATTGTTTAGTAAACTTCTAAAGGATTCTACTTGCTTGTTTGTACATATATTTACATACATAGTTACTAAATCAATATCTAAATCAATTTAGTGGAGTTTATTAAAATAAAAAATAAAAAATAAAATATTGCGGGAGGAAAGAAGATCAAAAGAAACCGAAAAAATTCAGAATCAACAAATTTAAAGAGTTACATGTAAATCAACTGACAATCAAACAGTACTAAAAGAATCATTATTTTATTTTGATTCAAAATAGTCAGAGTAGTTTCCAATATGAACACAGCAACGACATTATATAAACGAACAGAAGTTATAGGAAGAGGTAAATTTGGTGTTGTTTATAAAGGTTATAATAAACAAACAAAACAAATTGTTGCCATTAAAGTACTTAATTTAGATACTGAAGAAGATGAGGTTATTGATGTTCAACAAGAAATACAATTCTTATCAGAATTAAAAAATGTCCCTAATGTAACTCATTATTATGGTTCCATATTACATGATACAAAATTATGGATTATAATGGATTATTGTGCTGGTGGTTCATTACGTACTTTATTAAAAGCAGGAACTTTGGAAGAAAAATATATTGCTGTTATTGTAAGAGAATTATTAATAGCTTTAAGTGGTGTACATAAAATGGGTGTTATTCATCGAGATTTAAAAGCTGCTAATGTATTAATCACAAAAGAAGGTAATGTTCAATTATGTGATTTTGGAGTAGCAACCAAAATGTCAGTAAATTCAAAAAGAACAACAATGGCAGGTACTCCTTATTGGATGGCACCTGAAGTTATTAGAACTGGTGAAGCTTATGATAGTAAAGCAGATATTTGGTCATTAGGGATCACTATATATGAAATAGCCACCGGGAATCCTCCATATTGTGATAAAGATGCTCTGTGGGCAATGCAATTAATTTCAAAACTGACACCTCCAAGATTAGAAGGTAGAGAATTTTCAATACAATTAAAAGAATGTATTGCATTATGTTTAGATGAAAATCCTGAAGAAAGACCTTCGGCTGATGATTTATTTAAATGTAAATTAGTGAAAATGTATAAAACTCATCCAAAACTGTTATTAAAAGAAGTTGTATCCCGATATTTATTATGGAGAGATAGAAATTCTGCTCGAGATTCAGTATTTATAAATTTGGATGATGATGAAGACCCTGAAATCGTGGAACAAGAACAAGCTGATCATCATGCTATTATGGATGAGTATGATAATAAACATAATCATCAAATACAAGTGAAATGGGATTTTGATTCTTTGAGTAGTAGAGAATATATTATTGAAAATAATATTGATCTTGATCATGTATCGGCTGAAGATAATTATAATTTTACTTTTGATAGTCAAGGTGGTGAATATCATACGTTACCAACTTTAAAAGAAGAATCAACAAGTGTTACTAGAAATCAAAGTACTCTTGCATTAAGTAATTATCAGCATCAAAATTCAATAGCAACATTAAGTACAACTTTCGGTAAAACAGAAATCCCAAAATCATTACAACTGTTATTTGAAGATGAGAATGATTATGCTGATGCTACAGATTTACCTGCACCTCCAAATGCATCCATAAATACAAGAATGGAATCTCCAACAATTGAAATCCCCGATATGGATGATCTTTCAAATTTCCCAACTACAACAACCCCGCATCCAACACAAGCACCTCCATTGAATAAACCTCCGGTGTTATATCATTCTCAATCAGCATCCGCAAGTTTGGAATCTCGTTATACGTCATCTACAAATACATCACCTAATGAAACCAGACCAAGAAAGAAAACAATTTCAAATACACTTGCAAGCACAGCATCTTCATTACAATCATTAGCACAAGCAGGGGCACATACTCCTCCATATACAGCTCCAACTAGTTTCAGAACGCCATCTCCAAAACCATTACCACCATCTTCAACTGGACTCTTGAATTCAAATAATTTAACTACTAAATCAAATTCTCCTTCAAAGATGAAACCATTACAATCTAATTTGAATCCACTTTTACAACCAATAAATTTCAAACTTGGGACAAATAATGAACCTTCTAAACAAGAAGGACAACAACAGCAACAGCAACAACAAGCGGCAATCCCGCCACAACAAGCGCCACCATTATTGTCCCAACAATCAATGCCTAATATTCCGATAAGCTCAACCACCACCACCACCAGCACAACCACTACACAACAGAATACAGCAACTACTTCCAAGCCAAAACGAAATAGACCCGGGTTCCATATTCAAATGCCAACTCCATCAAACACAATCCAATCATTGGCAGCCTTAACCAATGAACAAGCAGGAGATAATGAAAATGTCAACCAATTCGGAATCAACCCCGCTCAGGCTGCAACTATGCCAATCTCAATGACTCCAGTCACTGAAAAGGAAATTATGCCAACTTTGACCAGTTTGGTTGAAGAGGGAGATAGGGAGGATATGAATAATGAGAAGGCGAAATTAGGGAGACCTCATCAGAATAGTCTACTGGCACAACAACAAAAGAAACAACCACATGCACAAACAGCGACAACAACTACTACGGCCTCGGGTAGCGGAGGTGCTGGTGGAAGTGGTGGTGCTGGACATTCACAGACGACTCCGACGAGCATGCTCACCAATCCACTAGGTCCAAACTTATTCCTACCCCGTGTAAATTCAATCACGAACGTTTCAACCCCGGGAAGTACATCATCGGCTGGATCTGGAGGAACAACAACTACAGGTGCTGCTGCTGGGCTGAGTAATGTGGGGAAATTTCCAACTATTCCGCAGATTAATGGGGAGTTTTTCATTGATGGGTCGAGAAGTAATCAGAAATTGGTGAATGAGTTGGAAAATATGATTAAGTTGTTTAATCAGGGTCTTGAGGTTCTTGAGGAGAATTTGTAGGCTGAGGAAAGGGGCCCAGAGAGGGACGAGTTTAGTAGGATGAATAGAATTAGAATAAATGCATTTTTGTGGGTATCATTATTGATGTTATTCTCTATATTTCGTAGAGTCGACTATCGTTGTTCTAATCTGTACTCTATAAAACCTATATAAGAGAGAGATATTCCTCCTTGTGACGTCTGAGTAATTCAGAAGCCCGTAAGTCTGCACTTTCTTAAGTCCAAATAATTCCGGAAGGTTGATAGAATCGAATTTTTCATTTCTTCGCGGTTCTATTCAGATTAATTGGTAGCGTCTTTTTTCGCAAGTTTATCCAAAAAAATATTTCCGATTTCTTCTTGTTGTTACTTCTTCTTCTTCTTCTTGTAATAACAACAACAATTCACGAATTCAATGCCATGCCTCCAAGAATAAGACGTAGAATCACATCTCTGAGGCGAGAGCAAATAGAAAAAGAACAAGAAGAACTTTCCCAAACAATAATCCGTCCTTTCGACATCCTAAATGGCCTTCCAGTTTCTTACAACCCACCACCCACTGGCAAATATGAGGATGTCTTAACTCAACCCTTAACAATAAAAGACTCAGGAGTACTTTATAGATCCCTACTCAAATCACGATATACCTACCTCCACATCTGTCCCATGTTTAAATTATATTGGGTTAAACAGAGTTCATATGCCCGAAAATTGGCAGAGATGGATCGTCCATTACCAAAACATTTAAAAGAAGATCCATTGATAAATCGAGTGTCGGTGTTGGGATATGAGGTGAATGCGAGGGATATTATGGTGAAGTTATGTGATGCTGGGATTGAACTTGGACCGCATCTGATGGAGGTTCGGATATTTATTGCGAAAGATGGTAGACCTGAGAAGGCGATGACTAAGAAGGAGGAAAAGAGGCGAAGGATGGAGGAATTGGAGAGGCTTAAGAAGGAGCAAGAGGAGGAGAAGAAGAAGATTGAGGGAGATGGAAAAGTTGAAGTGGAGGGGGATAAAAAGATTGAAGAGATAGAGAAGGACTCTGGTGGACAGAATAAGATAGAGGAACTACCTGAAGATAAAGATTCGGATGAAAAGAAGGGTAAACCAGTCCAATCTCAAGGTTCTGAACAAGCGGAGGACAAAAGTAAAGCACCTACAAACAATGAACACGAATCTGAAACACAAAAGAGTGAAGATACTAAGAAGGAAGAGCAAGAGAAGACTAACGACAATAGCAATAACGAACACCAGGAGAAATCTGAAAGCAATACTAAGGTCTCAACTGATAAGGATGAAAACCAAACGGAAGCTGTAAGCGAAAATGCTGAAGGTGAGAAAAGTAAAGAAGAAGAGCAATCATCAAAGGAAGATCACACACAAGATACTAAGGATGAGGAAGAAAAGTATCCAGAAACAGTTCATAAAGATGATGCAGATTCAAAGAAAGCCGATAACGATACAACTTCAGCAGAGAACGACGATAATGGAAATATCGACCCTTCAATAAAGACAATCCAAGAACAGAAAACACCAACCAAGAGTCCTAAGAAACCGAAGAAAACTTCTAAATCAGCCCCGACACCCTCGCAGTCAAAAGAAGGACTGTCTAGCGAATCATCCAAAAACGACATGAGTTCCGCTGAGAACAGAATCATGATTGCCAATTTGAATCGAATTGCATTAGAAGACCCATCGTTGAATGAATTAATGAAAACTGTTGCTCGTGGAGGTGCTTCTGCTCAAGAAATTGCCAAATTCCAAAAATATATCCAAAGAGCCAGAGAAATGGGTCCTGCCCCAGGTACCGCGGGTTCATCTCCATCGCCATCTCCATCCGCCGCAACTGCGAAGAAGACACCTACTCCTAAAAAGCCCCCAAAGGAAAAGAAACCTCCTAAAGAGAAGAAACCTCCCAAGGAACCTAAAGAAAAGAAACCACCAAAAGAGAAAAAACCAAAGGAAAAGAAACCCAAGGTTCTTAAATCACAAATCCCCAAAAATGAGAAGCTAACTGCATTTCAAGAAAGATATTTGCTAAATGCGACATTGCTATTTGAATTTGTTGAGAATTCAAATACGAGATTCCAGATACCTAAAGATGCGATCTGTGAAGTGATGCCTCCTGAGACTATGATGAATGCTGAAGAGGGTGATAATTCAGATAATAGGGATATTTTGATTAGCTTCATTTGGTTGCATAATCAGAAAGAAGTTGATGTGTATGAAGCGAAACTTGCTGAATATAATAGAAAAATTAAGGAGCAGGAGGATAAAAAGAAAGCTGAGGAAGATGGAATAAAGAGATTGGAAGAAGAAGAGGAACGGAAAAAGGAAGAAGAGAAGAAGCAAGCGGAGCAGTCAATTGGAACTGCAGAAGAGGGAACAAAGGACAACGAAAACGTGGAAAGCCAAAAGCAGGCAGGCGATGCCGACCTGAACCAAGAACAGCCTAGCGTTACTGAATCCGAATCAACCATCAAAGAAGAAGAACCTGATACAAGCATCAAAACTGAAGAAACCAATACGGCTGATATTGAACAAGACGCAGCCGAAGTGGAGGCACCAGCGAAGAGAAGGGGTCCAATCAGACGTGGTGGCCGTAAGAAAAGACGTGCGCCTCCAAGACGTGCCGCTCCAGTACCGAAAGCTCTCAAAAAGCTCGAACCACCAACAGAACCAGAATATAAATTCACCCCCTTTTCATTCACCATCAGAGGAATACCTTCTCGATTTGTACCTATTTTCACGAATAGTGTCAAACCATTAGAAGAAGTCCAGAAGAAGATGGAACATATATTAAAATCCGGAACTAGAATACCGTCGTTTTATTTATGGTACCAACTTGATGGGAAATTGGATGAGGAACTTGCTGAAGATATTAGGGTGCAGTTGAATCAAGAGGAGAAGAAAATGACGGGGATTCCTTCTGTGCAACCGGAGAAGGCTCCAAGTCAGGCCAAGAAGAGAAAAGTTAAGGAAACTTCTGAAGGAAAGAAGAAGATCAAGGTTGAGGAAAAGACTGACGGGGTCGAAGCGACGGAAAAGACTTCGGAGCGTGAAACTCTCCTGACTGGTGGAGAAGCAGAAAAGCCTATAAGTAAGGAAAATGAAAACCAAACTACTGTGGATGGCAAAGGAACGGAAGAGCCTACTGGTGTAGATGTTAAGGACAATGGCGAAATCCCCAACGGCGAAGAGGATGGTGAAGCACAAATCGGAGATACAGTTGAGGTTAAGAAGGAGCCTGATTCAGAACAGGTTATTGAATCAGCAAAAGTTGTAGCGGATGATTCCGTGGAAATTTCCCAACAAGATAGGGAAGAGATAGAATAGACCCATGTCGAACTGTACGAAAGATGTATAATATAAATGTAGTATTATTTAAATTGTATATACAAGAGAGATCAAAAGATTACTTAACTGGTAGGAAGGATCAAATTTAATAAACTTTGTAAACTATCATTTTCACCTCTAATTCTACTGGTAGATCTAGTTTCAGAACCGTCCAATACTGGTTGACTTGACTTTTTATGCATCCATTCACCAGTTCTTATACCATCAGCCGTGAGCTTGACGGAACCATCCCTATTAAGTTCAGCTGCTTCGATCTTAAATGGCATAACGAATTGTCTAGTATGTTTTGCTGGATAATTTTTTGCATAATTTCTTTGTAATCCAATAGTATGATCGTGAACATATACAACAAACCCGGCGATGGAAGCTTCTTTGTTACCGACCAATCTACCTGGAGCCACAGTGTCATATTTAAGACCATTGGGAGTATTGGTTATTCTACCTTTTTGATTATAAGATAATCCACCAGTACCGTGAATAGAAGGACGACCTCCTTTTTCCTTAGTGAAATCAGTCAATCCGATTTTTTTTCTAACAACACCTTGAGATTCTTGTAAGAATTTCCTTAAATATTCATTCATAGTAATTGCTGGAACTTGTTCAAGTAATGCAACTGGATGATTCTCAAGTAACCAATTTTTGAAATCTTTATAAATGACTGGATTTTGTTTTAAAATGATTTTCACTTCTTTGACTGATGAATCATCAGATAAATTCAACCAATTTGCCATACTTCCTCCAGTATTTGTAGGTTGTGATTTGTTTTTGGTAGCTGGAAATAATGGACTTTCTCGTTGATGAGTGGTATGTACTGGAATTCCAAGTTCTTGAAATTTAACCTTATTGAAATATGGTCCTGGAGAAAATTCAACATCAGGCATACTGATTTTGTTATCAATGTTATTGAATGCAATATATTGAGCCGAGATGGGTTTTGGCAATGTGGTTTTCATCCCAAATTCAGATCTTGCAACATCACCTGGAGGGGTATTGATAACTAAATGGGTGGGTACCCTTGAAGTTTTGAGAATGTTTTCCTGGAGAGGTTTAGGTACTTGAGCAAACTTCGAGTTTCTCAATAGCTGCTGAAAGTTTGGTTTCCCCATTGTTGCTTTCTGTCTGTCTTCTCTATTGGAGATTTTGGTTCGACCGGATTCTGTTGATTTTCTTTACCAAAAAAAATTTTTCAATTGCAATTGGTGAGAAAAAGATAAACTTTATTACCCGGACACTCCACTACTATCTATCTATTAAAAATTACAAAAGAGTACAATTATCTATATGTTGAACATTGCCCAACTATTCTAAAATGAATATGAAAATGCTATTCCTAATTTATTAAACTCAGGAATATGAGTCACAGGATTCAATCCCACTTTTACCCCAGTACTAACCAAAAAATCCTTACATCTACCTTCCCAAAGTAATTTAATCATTTTATCATTCAAACTAGTTGATAGTTTCAAAACACTCGAGAAATCACTCTCATTGACTAAGAGTTGGAACGCAGTGGTTACTGTCTCGTTTGTATGATTTGCTTTGGTTTTATTGTTGTTGTTGTTGGTGTTTAACAACTTTGGATTTATTCGATATGAATTATCCAGACTCTCAATTGGATTTATAATACTATGATTTCTATAAGGACTTATAGGCATCTGTTTATTGTGGCTTTGGTTATATTTTCGTATTAGTTTATTCTCTCTTGATGACATTGTTATATCATGATTTTCAAAAGTTGGGAAATTATACTTTTTACCATAATTATATAATTCAAATCCTAATGATAAATTACTTGCATATGAATACCAATTAAAATCATATCGGGAACAAAATGTAGATGCAACCGATGTTTTAACTGTATATGTGGAAGAAATATGCCCAATTATAGGATTAATGGCAAGTGTCATTGTGAGTGGTTTGCCTGTGGATGTGGATCTAGTGGAATATCTGAATGCTGTAGACAATCCGGGACTCATTGTTCTTGAAGCATACCATATTTCAGTACCTACCGATATTACAGAATTGTCAAATTTGGGCATCAATACTGGATGGTGTTGTTGTTGTTGAGACTGGTGCTGTTGCTGTTGTTGAGGGGATGAAGTTCCAAAGTTATATAAACATCTAAACCCAAGTAACGATTCATTGGTTGAATAAATAAACTCTCTCAGATATTTAGATGTATTATTTTGAAGATATAATATCATAGTTGCATTCTTATCAAGATGTGGATTGCTTATTGTTTTGATCAATAGTTGAGTATTATTGGTTATTCGTTTAATTATCATTGCTTCTAAAGCCGACCCAGGGAAATACATTCTTCCATACAATAAGGAACTACGATCATATTTATTCTGTGATTTATGATTACTGGTGTTTGTTGCGTATGGTTCAATAATTCTGAATCCTGCAATTGCATCTTGTAACGAAATTTCTTTGGTTCCCATAGTATTAGTTAAAGGAATTGAGGAATATAAATAAGCCAATGAACCATTGATGGAGTGATAATTTGATAATGTGAATGAAGAAGCCAGATGTTCTGTTGTTTTCGATGATGTATCTATCTTAAACCCATTGGGAATGGGGAATTCTAATAATGCTTGAGATGTTGCCGTTATATTTGAGAAGATATTGTCTTCATTCCAATTTGTTGATTTGTAGAAGCATTTCTGAAGATATTCCATATATGTATACATTTATCTATTTGATGTAACTTAATGTCAATATGTTTTGAATTGGATTGATGATGCTAATATAATTGATTGTTTTGAATAATGGGATGGAATTTTTCATTCAGGGATTCTGGTACTAGAGGGGAACAGAGGGGGGCGGGCAAAAAAAACAATCGCTTTAAAGTTTATTTGAGTAGAACCAAGAGACTTCCCAAGTAGGATGGCGACGCGAAGAACAGGAGGACTAATCTGAACCGAAACTTTTTTTTTCCCGTGCGAAACAAGTCCAATATTTCATTACCACAGTACCAAATAATAAATTGTTTATCTGATAGTAGAAACTCCGTACTAAAATTTTAATTTATTGATTGACTCATAATTAAGCGCGCTTCCACTTGTCAATGAAAAAGATAAAAAAAGAAATCTCCAATAAATTTTCAGTAATTTCTAATTATTCATTAAAGCATTTCATATCCTAGGAACTAAGCAAAAGATGTCCAGGTCTACTACTATTAAAAGAATAACCAACGAAACCAAGATTCAAATAGCACTTAGTCTCGATGGAGGTGAAATATCACTTGAAGAATCAATCTTCCCGAAAGAAAAACATGATGAACATGCTAAACAATTATCAGGAAATCAATTAATTAATGTTCAAACCGGGGTGGGATTCTTAGATCATATGTTACATGCTTTAGCTAAACATTCAGGATGGTCATTAATTATTGAATGTATAGGTGATTTACATATTGACGATCATCATACTTCCGAAGATGTTGGTATTGCATTGGGTATGGCTTTTAATAAAGCTCTTGGACCAATTAAGGGGGTTAAACGATTTGGTAGTGGGTTTGCTCCATTAGATGAAGCATTAAGTAGAGCTGTTGTTGATTTAAGTAATAGACCATATGCTGTTATTGATTTAGGATTAAAAAGAGAAAAGATTGGAGATTTATCATGTGAAATGATTCCTCATGTTTTAGAAAGTTTTGCTCAAGCTGCTTCTATTACAATTCATGTTGATTGTTTAAGAGGGTTCAATGATCATCATAGAGCCGAAAGTGCATTTAAAGCTTTAGCTATTGCTATTAAAGAAGCTATCTCAAAGACTGGAAAAGATGATGTTCCTTCTACTAAAGGTGTCTTATCTTGATCTCCTTTACCTTCCCTCCTCCCCCTTAGACTATTGTATAAATATAAGTTCAATAAGAAAAGTGATTGTTTAATGGTGAATCTTCCATTCTGATATGGCGCCTGGTTAACAAAATGAAACCGAAAAAATAAAATTTCTTTGATCTCTTCGCATTAGTTAAATTTTTCATTTTTGCAATTCTTTTCTATCACCCACCTTCTTGTTCGTCTTCTTCTGAAAACTGTAGCAAACATGTTAAACCACACTCAAAGAAGATGTTTCTCGGTAGCATCTAGATTCTTATTTAAGAATGAAATACGACCAGCAGTTACACCTCGTGATTTAAAAAAAGGGGATGTTAAAACATTTGAAAGAAATTTCCCCATTGATCAAGATGATCAAAAACCATGGGATAAAAGAAATATGTCAAAAGATGATTTCTTTAGAAGAAAATATGCAAATATAAGTGATGAATATCGTGAGAAATTAAATGAAAAGGTGGCAAGACAAAGAAGAATGAGAGAAATGAGATCACATCAAGAATATGAAGAACGTCAAGAAATTAGAGAACGAGCAAGAGAAGAAAGAAGAAGACATCAAAAACCCTATAGTAGATATGCAACTGCTTTTAATCCATTGTTTGAATATGTATTTGGAACTCATGCAGTTAAGTCTGTTCTTCAAGCAAATAAACGGGTTTGTAATGCATTATATGTTTATAATTGTAAAGATTCTGAATTAATTAAATTGGCAAAAGAAAAACATGGAATAAGAGTTATAGAAGCCGAAGATAAAAATGAATTAAATGTCTTAAGTAAGAATGGTGTACATAATGGGGTTGTATTGGAAACTAAAGGGTTAGATTTACCTGTTATTAGTTCAGTTGGAGAATCTGAAAATGGAGAATATAAATTAAACATTCATAGTGATGAAGACAATTCTATAATTGAAGTCATTAAACCAGTCACAAGACCAGTAGTTGAAGATCCAACAAAGACACTTCATCCATTAGCTTTATTTTTAGATGAAATTCAAGATCCTCAAAATATGGGTAATATTGTTAGAACAGCATATTTCTTAGGGGTTGATTTTATCGTTGTTCCAAATCATTCAAGTGCAAAATTGGGTGGGGTTGCCAATAAAGCCTCGGCTGGTGCTTTAGATATGATGGATATATATCAAACAAGTAATACTTTAAAGTTTGTTACTGATGTTCGTGCTAAAGGTTGGCACGTGATAAGTACTAGTGGTACACCAGATTCAATTGAAGATAAGAATCTTCAACGTAAGAATAATACTACTTATCAAGAATTAAAGGGTAAATTTATAGAATTATCTGATTTAAGAATGATATTAAATAAAACTCCTGTTATGTTAGTTATTGGTAGTGAAGGTGAAGGAGTTAGAACCAATATTAAACTTAGATCAGATTATCTTGTTGGTATACCAAAGGGAAGAGAAGGTGATGCCATAGTAGACTCATTGAATGTGGTTGTTGCTACTGGTATAGCCATTGCCAATTGTATTTAGAGAAGTCACTAGTTGTTATGTAATTCGTGTAAATATAAATGTTGAGGTTAGAAATCATAAGCCATTTTCTCTGGGGGGATTGATTTCCGTTTTGGGGAGTTGGGATTTCGTATATCCCCAACAAACTATTAATAGCAAATGTCAATTTATAATTGATATAAATAATTGAATTGCTCAATTTCTTTAATGTTTCTTCTTCTCCCGTCTTCCTTCTAATAAGAAGACAGTTAAGGCTATTCGTGCAATATTAAATAAGAGACACTTTACCTCAATTGGTTACCACGCCGAATTCGCATTTGTTACATACTTAAGTATTTATAAGATGACTACGAATATTCACTTAGTTATACTTGTTCATGGGTACGTCATACTTCCATTCACAATCTAGTTAATCCACATCCATTTACTAACGCTCTTCCTACTAGACTCTGGGGTAATCCAACTCATTTAAGTTATCTTGAAAAACAAATTACACAAAACATAATCCCATCCCAAGGCAAAGACAATGATAATGACAATGAAATCATCCAAGTATACAAGACAGGCTCACATTCAGGATATATGACATATGATGGAATAGACATCAATGGCAAACGAATCTCAGATGAAATATTAACAGAAACCAAAAGACTTGAAAATAACCCCGACCATAAGATTATCAAATTCTCCATAATTGGTTATTCATTAGGTGGATTAATTGCAAGATATTCAATTGGAATTCTTTATAGTCATGGATATTTCAATTCTATTAAACCAATTAATTTTGTTACATTTTGTACTCCACATGTAGGAGTACGTAACCCAATGACTCCCACTCGATCTATTAGAATATATAATAAATTAGCTCCATTAACCCTTGCAATCACAGGTAGACAACTATTCCTAACTGATAAAGTTGGAAAATTTAATAAACCATTATTAGTTTGGATGGCTGATCCTAAATCATTATTTTATAAAGTATTAAACCAATTTAAATATAAATCATTATATTCCAATGTGGTTAATGACAAGAGAACTTCATGGTATACTTCCGCTATATGTGCTTATGATCCTGTGAACTCTGTTCTAAATAGTAATCCAATAAACATTAAAGCAACTTATGTAAAAGGATATGAACCTACTGTTATAGACATCAACCAACCCGTATCATATGAAGAACAGGGACATCATGCAATTCATGATCTGAGTTTATGGAGATATATGTGGATGATATTCAGTTTTCTAGCATTATTATTTAAAACTATTATCCATACACCAATTTGGGCCATTGCCGTGATTATCTCATCAACTTTACAAACCATTAGATTGAATAAAAGAGTTCGGGAATTCTTAAGTGATACTTCAAATAATTTACTTCATTTATATGAATATGTTGAACAAGAATTAACTGATTTTGAAAATCATGAATATCGTAATGAAACAACAACAACAGCAGCAGCAAATAAAACTGAATCTATTATGAATGATATTGAAAATGAAGTGAGTGATAAACTACTGGACACTCAGGATTCATTTGTTGAACATGTATATGAAACTTTAGGTTGGGAAGAACCTCATTCAAAAACTGCTTCTCCATTGTATTTGAATGAAGATCAACAGTATATTATCAAGAGTTTGAATTCACTTGAATGGAATAAATACCCGGCAATATTAAGACATACTTTACGTACTCATTCAGATATAATTGTAAGAAATGAATTTGATCAAGATGTAAATGAAGGTAAAGTTGTTATTAATCATTTTGTAAATGAAGTATTTAAAACGCAATAAATGAAAAAAGCGCAATTTTTTGCAACTTTTTGTAGGGTGCGAAAAAATATCAGACATGGTTTCAATTTTGCAATCTTTCAGCGGTTAAAAATGATAAATCAATATTCAGACTAATGACAAATTGCTTTAGAACTTTATTTGGATTAAGGATAAGTTTAATTAGATTTACGCCAAGAGAAATACTATTACAAGCAACTTCATACTTAGACTATAGCGATAAATTACAAATGATTAAAAAAACAAATGAAATTAGAATACTCCCGTTAACCGTTAACATACCATTACAGGATTCCCTATTGGTATCAACAGTCACTCAATCAAAAGAATGTAATTGGAATTTGAGATTAAAAACTTGTTGGAATAAATATATTTTAATCTATGTCAGATTACAAAATTCAAAATCTGCATTAGAATCATTATTTCATGACATTAAGAATTGGATCGATTGTATTCAAAGAATTGAAAATGATGCAATTTTAATCCACTGTAAAGAAGATGCTTCATTAATTAAACTATTAAAAATGAATTCACCGATATTTGGAGTTCTTATGATTGTATTAAGAAAGAATGGAGGTTTTGATGTTTTTAAAAGTAAAGATATTATTCCATATTTAGATGAAATGAATAAACAATTGATTAAACATATTATTCCACTCCGAGCAAGAGTTGTATTTTATGTTTGGGGGATTTCAATTAATATCCCACAACTGGAATTAATTGCCTATTTTAAAAAAATTGGTAAATTAATCTCTTGGAGATTTGCACCAATTGGTCAATTTGGTAAATTTCATGTTATTCAATTACAATATGCAAGATTTCTGAATTTAATTCAAATTAAAGATTTAATTTCAAATTATTCTTCTGCTACTATGATCTTACACATCTAAAAAAAGCAAGCTAAGTAACATACATAGCTTTATTTATAAAAATACACCAAAATAGAAATAGAAAACCCCTTCTTCTTCTTCTGCTTAAATCAATTCCACATAATTAGCTGGGAAAATACCGGTAACTCCATTGTTTCTACCCGTCCACCAATCATCAACAGTTTCTGTCTTCTTAAGAATATCAATCACATCTCCCTTCTTAAAAGGTAAATCACCTTGTTGCTCTCCTTTAAAAGTATATAATGCAATTGCTTGATTTGCATTTGTTTTTGGTGGACCTCCAAAATTTGGTTTTGAAGATGTTGGAGGTCTAATTGGACCGCTGTCATTTCCTGAAATCCTCGAGTTACCTAATCTAGTTCCCAATCTATCTACGTCATTATCTCTTCGGTTATACCTTGTATCATATAATTCATCCTCCCAGTTGGCTGTTTTCTTTGAGGAAGTATTTGCACTACTAGATCCATGTGATGTTCCTCTAGTTGACGATCCTCTATTTCGTGATGCGGAATAATCATCATAATCATCGGAATAATCTTCTTCATCGGAATAATTTGCTGCACTTCTTCTATTTCTTCTACTGGTGCTACCAGAACGATTTCTTGAAGATGCTGATTCTGAAAACTCATCGGGAATATCATCATAATAATCAGAATTATACTCATCATCTTCATAAGGAAGTCTATTATTAAATACTCTTGAATCTAAAACTCTCATAAGTGCTTCACAAGCAGGTGGAGCATCTACTTGACCAGCCAAGATATTTCTGGCTTTACAATTACTTCCATAAAATTTCCGATTAGCTTCACGTCTTTCTACAATAGCTGATCCTTCTAAAGAAACCCCAGCAAATAAACCCTTTGTTTTCGAATAAGCAAACACCGCAGAAACTGATTTCAAAGATGCAGTACCTGCAGCTTCTGCATTTCTTCCCATAGGACCCACAGCCACAGATACATTAGTACCCAACGTCACTGAACCAGCTTGGGCAAAAGTATCAACGGCAGCTTTTGTATTCAAGACAAATACAAAATCAGTCAATTCGGCTCCAACTTGTCCTCCTACACCTGCACCTGCAGTAACTATAGCTGAAGGTGGAGACCAAGTTCCATCGGGTAATCGAGCAACAATTACCCCGGATCCTGCTCTACCTGAAAATAAAAATCCAGCTTTTAATACGGTGATGATTGCTAATCCTTTGGCATTCTTTAAGATATGAGGGGGAATGACTTGATCTGCTCCTGCTATTTGATTGGGTTTGACAAAGGATGATAAAATTTTAGCAGCCTTTCTATTGAAATGGGGGGTGGTTAGTAGATTGAACTATAGGGGTTCCTCGGGGCGGAGTATAATGGAGAATACATACTTTGATTCACTTTTTAAACTTCTTGGTATTGGATTATTGATACCCATTTGATTGCTGATTGATTATTGATTGCTAATTGTTGATTGAATAATAAAAATTGATTTTGTTGAAAAAGTGAAATTAGAAAATTGAATTGCCCCTTTCTTTCTTTGTGAGGGTCTCTCTTTGAAATTTAATTAAGGAAATTTGTGTGTGTGAGTGTACTGAAGATGGACCAGCGCAAAAAAAAAAATGATGCGCGGTCGGTTCCATACGGAAGTAATGGAAGGAACGAGAATCATTTTTTCTTTGCTGAAGCGACAGACCCCCTATCTTATGATTAGATCATTCGACTACAAGAATACTACTGATGGCATAAACAATTCTCAAGAGAACCTAGTCCTAAACGACCCAGCTGTATCTAATTCCCTATGAATGAGCTAGAGGTACAAAAACAAATGTGTTACTGACTTGACTTAAGATTTAGGACCATTCGCAGCAAAAAGATGTCATTAAATTTCTTAGCGTTTTTTTTCCTGATAGCTTGAGATGTATTGATATCCACTGTCAGTTTCAGGTGTCAATTCGTAATCTCATAAGCTCAATCTCCATACTTCTTCATATTGAGTTTAAATAACAACTACATGTGGGGATGTTATAATGACGTAATTATGTAAATTTTTCAATCGACGGAAATCCATGTCAACCGAGCGAGCTCCACCCCTCCCAGAAAAAAAGAAATTAAATTAAACTATTCTTATCATAAAAAATTATTCAGAATCAATATAGGTCGAATTAACGCCTTGATTATCACTCTCTGTGGTTATTTATATTAATATAAGTCAGGAAAAATGAATGCAAAAAAAGTAGCTTCCCCACCAGGAGTCGAACCTGGAATCTTCTGGTTCCAACCGAGAAGTGGTTACGAAATCGTAGCCAGACGCCTTGACCATTGGGCCATGAGGAACGAAGCTTGCAAATTTTCGAAATATCCGATTGACCATATCATGCTAGAAAACACAAAAATCAGGTTGCGCTGGATGACAATTTGTAGTTCCTTAGTCTCGCTATTGGTTTTGAAGTTATATGTGTTGTAATACCATGTCTGTAAAATGTTAAATTCCGAAATTCGAGGAGACTTGTTTAATAAAAATGGTTGCAAAAAATCACGAACAAACGAGTTTTTTCCTTCGCCACCAATAACGCGTCAAAAGTGGAATCTCCACTTTGTATATCAGGCTAATGAAAAGACCATAGCTTCTAGAATCGGTCGCTAATGCAAGCCGATCAAGTCCCCTCTCATTTAATTATCTTTTATATGAGTAAAAACGTAGAAGCGCAAGTGTAATATCATGTTGCGCGTTTTGTGGTTCTCATCTTTTTTTTTTAATTTTTCATGAGCGGAGTTGATTTGAAAAAAAAAAAACATAAGGGGCAACCCCATCTCATCTCAAGAGAACTTCCAAGGACATCAACAATGAATGATACTGATACTGAATCGGTCATATCGAGAGTGTCTTCTTCATCTTCTAGGCCCAAGAAATATCTATGTAATCACGATGGGTGTAATAAAGCATATAGTAGACCTTCACTACTAGAGCAGCATAAAAGGACCCATACAAATGAACGACCATTTCCATGTATTCATCAAGGTTGCAATAAATCATTTATGCGTAAATCTCATCTAGATGTCCATTTAATATCTCATTCCTCGGCAAAACCCTTTCATTGTTCAGTTTGTGGGAAGGGTGTTAATACTCCTCAACATTTGAAAAGACATGAAGTAACCCACACCAAATCATTTAAATGTCAATATGAAGATTGTTCAGAAGCATTTTATAAACATCAATCATTAAGACATCATATATTATCAGTACATGAAAAAACCTTAACTTGTTCACAATGTAATAAAACATTTAATCGACCCTATAAATTAGCCCAACATAAACTTCGACATCATGGTGATGCTCCAGCATATCATTGTGATCATCCGGGATGTTTTTCAAATTTCAAAACCTGGTCAGCTTTACAGTTTCATGCAAAGCAAGCCCATCCAAAATTGAAATGTAAAGTATGTGGCAAAGGATGTGTTGGTATTAAGGGTTTAAGATCCCATATGATAAGTCACGACGAAGATAAGATGATTAAATTATGGCAATGTACTTATTGTGATATGGGTAAGTTTTCTAAAAAGAGTGAATTAATAGATCATTATAATAATTTCCATGATGGTAATATACCAGAATCATTATTAAAACCAACTGAAGTAGAACGACTTGAGGAAATATTACAAAATGGGTCAAATGTAACCAGTTTAAACGATATCCAAAACTATCAAGTTATTTCCTCGGATGATGAAGAAGAAGATGAAAATCAATTTGCTGACACAAGATCGGATACAGCCCGATCTCAGAGGTCTTTAAATTTGATGGAAAATGTTTTGGGAAATGGTAAATCCATTATTAATCTAATTCTGTCAAGCATAGCTAAGAAGATACCATGTCCTAAACAAAATTGTAATAGAACCTTCACCAGAGATTATGATCTCAGGCGGCATTTGAAATGGCATGAAGAGAATCTAAATAAGATAGAACAATTCTTGACCGATTTGGAACGAACAGAAAATGGTACTAATGGGATTGAAAAACAACAAAATGGTGTCACGCTTGTGGAAGTAACTCTCGATGAATGATGAGAGACTGTACTATACAATTATAGAGAATATGGAGAGAAAGTTAAACCGTTATTATAATTTATTTTAAAACTATGTAGCAATAACCTGTAATATTATACACTAATTAATATCTAGCCTTCTTATCATGTCCTCTACCAGGACCAAAATTATCCGGCTTTCTCTTGTTATCATATCTGCTGCCAGGCCTGTTGTGATATCCATCATTACGCGTATACGAATCCCTTCCATTTCTGTACCCACTTGAGTTATAGCCATCATTTCTCTTGAGACTAACAGGAGGGGGTGGTGGCGGAGGTGGTGGTGGTGGAGGAGGGGCTTGAGATGAAGTACTGGCTCTATTGTAACTTGATTCTTGCGATGCACTGGTCCTATTGTAACCTGATTGTGGTCTGGTTGGCATTCGGGTTGACAGCCTGTCGTTGAAGCCACCAGAATGAACCAATACTTGCTGAGGTGGCAAAGGAGCTCTAGAATTCAAAGGTTGTTGTTCGGGAGGTGGTAATGGTGTCCTTGATCTAGGTGATGGTTTATCCTGTGGGGTGTATGGAGCCCTTGTGTTCCTTGGACGTTGTGGTTGCATTTGAGATCTTCCTGTTTCTTGAGGTCCTAGAGGAGCACGTTTTGCCACGCTCGATCCATGACTGTGGCTTTTTCCTGTAAGTACTTCACTTTGACTTGGTAGTGGGGTTCTGCTCTTTATTGCAGATACAGGTTCTTTTTCCTGTTGCGTGGAAAGATTGGTGGCCAGTTCGTCAGTCGCTTGGCTTGGGGATTTAACTGGAGAAACCTCTTTGCTTGCAAATTGTTCTGCAAATGCTCGCTTTACTAATGATAGCCTTGATTTTAATTTGGTTGGTTTTTCTTGTTCTTTCTCGTTTTCGTTGTCTTTCGCTTCCTCTTTCTCTTTCTCTTTCTCTTTCTCTTTCTCTTTCTCTTTCTCTTTCCCTTTCTCTTTTTCTTCGTCCTCTTTTGGTTTTGTGGGTGGATGTGAAATTGTCAGAGGTTCTGTTGGACGACTTGTGGATCCACTCGATCTTTGGAAATCTCTTCTTCCACCTTGGAAAGGAGGTCTTGGTGCAATTGCCTCGTTTTCCTTTTTGCTTTCTCCTTTAGTAGCGGTATCTTTTCTGTTTTCTATTCCTTTGGATTTTTCTTCTGTTTTGGTTTCGTTGGAAGCTTCATTCTTGTTGGCTCTGTCAAACTTATTAGTCGGTTTGCCTTTTCTTTGACTATTCGTCTGTCCTTTGGAATTTACATCGTCTTCTCTTTCGGATTCAACACTCATTTCTCTTGGAGTTGGAGCATACCTCGAGTAGTTATCATATTTACCTCTTGAACTAGTTGCAGTCAGACCTCTTGAATCTGGTCTTGGAGCAGCTTTTTGAGAATCATAATTGAGAACCTTTCTCTTCTTGATTTCCTCTTCCTTCTCACGTTCCTTAGCCAATCTTTCCTCTTCTGCCTTCTTTTCTTGTATTTTCTTCTTTGCTTGTAACTTCTTTTCTAAAGCTTTTCTCTTCTTTTCTTGTTGCGCTTTTACCAATTCATTCTTCTCTTCATCACCCATTGGAATAAAGTCCCAGACGTGGACCCATTCTTTGGATCTTGATTTGACATGTCCTACTAATGCACCGGATGCTAATTTCAAGTCTTCTCTCTTTTCAATTGCGGCTATCTTTTCAAGCAATTCCACGACTCTTTCACAATGGTCTTCAACTGTTGGATAGACACCTAATAAGTTCTTCAAAAACGTGATTGCATTACCACGGGCCATGTATTCGGTAACACCTAAAGCAGTTTCAATTTCTTCCAAGATTATGGAATGATATTCGAAAAGAAGTTTTCTATATTCATCAAATCCTATGATATTACCTTCTAAATCCATTATTGACCCAGCTTCTTCAAAGCTTGATTGATTTGTCCATCCTTGTAATGTTCTCAAAATATCCGAAAAAAATAAACCTAAATTCTCAGCTTCAATTGGACTTAAAGTGAACAAAGTACCAAACAAAATCTTATTCTTAATTAATTCATCTAACAAACCAATTAATGAATAGTTATTTGCTTTCAAGGAATGTAATCTAAAAATAAAACGAGCAGAAAATACTGCATCAAATGATGAATGAATACTTCTTGGTAATACACAACATTGAAGGAAGTTTTGAATTTGAATCTTTTGACTTTCAGATTCTTCAGCCAAAAACCAATTGGATGATTGTGCTTCTAACCTTGACGTTATTAAATTATTATGGTTGGCATGTGATTCATTGTCTTTTGGTAAAATTTTCAAATATTCTTCATTTTCAGCTAATTCCCTTCTCTGTCTTTCGATGGTGGCCCTTGGAATATCTTTATCCCTAACATTAATAGAAATAGAATTTTTCAATCCTTTATTTCCAACTTCAAGTTTTGCGATTTCTGATTCATAAAGTGACTTGGAATAATTAATATCTTTCAATGATAATAACCAGAATGAAACAATTAAATCTTCAGATAAGAAATCAAGAACATTATGTTGAACAATATGTGGAATTTGTTGTTTAAAAGTTTCCACCAAATTATCCAAAGATTCTTTATTATTCAATAATGAGTCGGTAATAATTGGTCTCCAGAGTTCAAACGCCCATTCTATAGGTACTTTGTATTGTAAATATAATTCATCAATTGGTAACAACATATTTTCGAATTCATCGACATCTCCAAAACAACTAACAAGTGTAACAAATAACTTAATGACAGCATTCAAATCATCACTCCTACTAGCCAACACTTTCAAGTGTGTCTGTTCAGTATTGTAAATTAAATTACTGGAAAATTGACAAAGCAAAACCAAAAGCTCATTTATTGCATCTAATTCAATAAAGCATTTAACAAGATGTTTTCCTGAAGTTGTTCTTTCAAATCTCAAATCATTGATTGTACGATAGATAATTCTTTGCAAGGATGATCCACAATTAATCATATCAATTTGATGTAATGTTAAATTCGTTATTGTCTGAATACCTCCCATTGATATAAGCATTTCTTTCAATACTGATATTCCAATGCTCTCCTTCGCATGGAAAGATTTCAATAAAAATGACAATATTGTTTGAATGTCGATTGCCTTGGGGTATCTTTGACAAATTTTACCGATAAATGAAGCTAATGATTGGATCCATTGTCTTTCAACCATACCATCATCTTGAGTAGCACTTCTTCCTTTCGCGGTCAATCTCATTAAAATAGCAACGGTTAAATTGTCCCATCCATAACTATTAAAATATCTAGCAGTTTCCACTACTAAAGTATTCAAATTGTCATAACTTTCAATTTGTTGTAAAATGGTTAATAAACAAGGTAATGGGTTTGAGAAACTAATTTTGGCCAATCTTCTCATCATTGGACGAACGTTTTCCTTAGATAATCTCTTTAAAACATCCTTTGTTGATTTCTCTGCTCTATTATAAGCCATTTTTATCAATGGATTATTTTTGGCTAGGACGGAATACATTTCACCGTATACACTAAATCTATCTTCAAGTGGATACATCGCCAAAATCGCATATGCTTTATCTATTGCTATTGAATTCTCCTCAATTAAGGGCATTGCAGGAAAAATGAAATTTCTAAAATAGTGGAACCAACGCAATCTAATTTCTTCATCTTCTAAATTCTTCTCTAAATCGTTATGAACAATTTCACAAACTTTAATGAATAATTCCACATTCTTGGCTAAATTAACACCTGAAAACTTGAGAAATTCTTTTGATACATCAATAAAACTATCTATTGAATTTATTACCGGAAGCTTGTCTGACCAAGCTTCATAAAAATATTTAAACTTTTTAAAAGCAAAGTCTTTAATAGTTGCCTTGAAAGAAAGAAACTCTGAACTTGGAAAATCTTCATAATAGACACCATTGTGAGGTCTTGAAAATGTTGCTTTTAGTGGCTCTTGCAACTCACTCAATTCATCTTGTGAAAAAATCTGAATATTCTTAAATAAGGGATCAATCATGGCTTCAAAAAGTCTGTTTATCAAGATTGGGATTTCTTCATCTATTTGTGCTAAAAATGGATATTTTGTAAGGATAAATATTGATGGCCAATAGAGACCATTACTTAGGAACACTCGCAAAAACTGGAATTTAAAGTTCAAATGTAATAACTGTTCCAAAGATTTGGGTTCGATCTTTTCAGTTGCGTTTTTACCTTTATTTGTTTTGCTATCCCCTTTTCCATCTTCATCTTCTTCTTCTGCTAAAGGTGCTGCTAATGCAAGTGCATTGGCTCCTGCTTTCAATACTTCCTCTTCTAATTTCTTTTGGTATTCTTTCTCTAACTTACTCATTTTTTCATCATCCGGTGATATGTATTTATAAAGTGATCCAAAACTAATGAAACCTTCTTTTATCAAGCAAGCTACTAGAAGCTTAAATGTCTCAGGTAAGTCTTTTTCAGAAGGATAACGCATGATTTTTAATCCCAATATTTTTGCCGCCACTTCATTTCCACCATAAGACAAGGTTGAGAAAGAAGAATTATCACTTTCAATAGTTGGCCACCATCTTGATCTTCTTAATAATTTCAATGCGAATGAAGGTCTTGAAACAATCACTATCGAATATAGTTCCAAAAGTAAATCAAGACATCTATTTGGGTCCAAATTATAATGTCCAATCAATTTTTCAATCACTTGAAGTGTATATTCGAGTTGGAAATCAGTTGAATCTGAAGTAAATATTGTATATAATTCCACAACAAATTTAGAATAACCTTCAGTTTCTTCATGCAATAAATTGAACTTCTTTTGGGTATAGAATTCATCTCTTATTCTACTGTTTAAACTTTTAGTTAATATTGCTTTAGGTACAATTTCCAGTTCTTTAAGGAAATCCGTATTTATATATAATGCAATTGTTTCTGGTTTCAAAACATTTTCTTTTCTACTAATCAATAATAATAATTGTCTTAAATTAACTGTAGGTGGGAAAGCATTTAATACTTGACAAAAAATTCTAGCAATATCATCACTTTTAATTGATTGAACTAAAAATTCAACTATATCATCTAACTCTACTTTATTCTCTTCCAATGTAAGTAATAATTCTGTAAATAATTGGGCAACGGTATTTTCACTTTCAATATCAGTTTCATCATAAGCTTCCAACAGTTCCATCAAATATTCCATACCACTTCCATGAAATTCAGCAAGAACTCCATCTGAGAAGTAAGTAAAGGATTGCTCACTCATTTAATCCCTTTGATGTTACTCGATGTTTTGATAGTGAAGGGGTGGGAGGGTTAAGAGTTATGAGAAATAGCTGTTGTAAGTTTTTTCAAATGTGAACACAGGAAAACCTAAAACAGAGACGGTCGTGTAATTGCAAAAAGTGGTTGCAAAAAGTCTTAGACTGTCCAAGATTTCTTGACATTCAGAAGCTTAGCAAAGGTATAAACAATCATGAGGTATGTTATGAGTCTTCTAGATTAGATAGACTTCTTAATTTATATTTTTGATTCAAGTTGAGAATGATTTCCACTGTTAATTGAAAATCAACAACCTGTAGACAAATCTTTTACTAGAAATCATACCAATTTTTTTAAAAAATTATTCACCCTCTAACACCAAAAAATTATAAATAAACTAGAAATTTTCCTTTATCACAGACTATTTTCTGACAATACCTATCCAATGAACCAACTTTAATTCCTTGAAACCTTCTAGTTAACTAGAAAAATTTCCCAAAATTCCATCATTTATAAAAGTGAAAAAATCCAAAACTCGAGAAAATCCGAGATAGTTTAGTGGCTAGAATTACCGTTTGTCGCATGGTAGACCGGGGTTCAATTCCCCGTCGCGGAGCATTTTCACAGCGCAAATGGTTTAGTGGTAAAATCCAACGTTGCCATCGTTGGGCCCCCGGTTCGATTCCGGGTTTGCGCATTCTTTTTGATATTTTTGAATACCTGATCATATTAATGTTATAGATTTGTAGATATTTCAATTTTTGGGGCTGAATATTGCGGTATTAACGGGATGTGTCAAATCTGGTTGAATAATTTTTTTTTGGTGTGAAATTTCATGGGATCTCATCTCCACATTAGATAGATCTAATATTAAGGGGAGGTCAAATGGTAAAGGAAAACACAACACAACGACAAGGTCGAAGGCAGAATTCATGGTGGAGGTCATTTAAAAGGAATTGGGAATATAAAATTGCAATATTTATAATTGCTTATTATTTAATTTCCCACGTTGTTTTAGAAACCACCGACCGTGTTAAGGAAAGAGGATTGAACAAACGACTTCGAGTTCTTCCGGAAGTAGTTATAAATTATTATGGAACGAGCAGGGAGTTTGATGATAAAGCATTCAATGTTAATAAATTTGCATATATGCAATATGCTACCAATTATGATTATTTGAATTTGGCAATTCTTAATTTCATTCATCTTAGAAAGGGTAATACTCAGATTCCAAATTTGGTGATATTATATGATGAAATTCTTCAATTTTATTCGTCTGATAATTGGAGTATGTTAGTACAATTAGCAAATCAGTATAAGATCGAACTACGTCCTGTAGGTTTACTTAAAGCAAATTATGGGGACGATACAACTTGGGCAGCATCTTTCACCAAATTCCATATATTCAATCAAGTTGAATATGAAAGAATTTTATATTTTGATTCAGATTCTATGTTTGTTAAGATACCTGAAGTAAGAGATATCAATTTTGAAACTTTAGATAGTGGATATGGAAATGTTGATGAATTATTTAAACTCCCTCGTGATATTTCATTTGCATTAACCCAAGCATATTGGATAAATGATGTAGTAGAAGGAAGGTCCCAATTAAAAACAAGAATCAAAGTTGAAATTCCTGAAGAAAGAAGATATAGTCTTAGAATGAGGAAGATTGTTTATGATTTACGTACTTGTGAGAATCCAAGTGAAGAATTTGAATTACTTCCTGAATTATTATATGAAGATCATAAGTTTAATAATGTTGATAATTTCTTTGCCAATCATTTTATGATTATAACTCCTTCTAAGAAAACATTCAATCGATTGATGAAGTATGTTTCAAACCCATGGTATTGGTCATTTACTAATCGCGCCAATTTAAAGAAGAAAACTGATTATGATATGGAAATCTTAAATAAATTCTTGGATAATGAATTAAGATCAAATAATAATAAGCTTAAGATTGGAATTCTACCCCATCGAGTATATGGAGTCTTAACTGGAGAATTTGGGGAAGAATGGCATGAAAGATTTGTAGTTGAACCTCAATATTTACCATTTATCAAGAAGAGATCAAATAAAGGATGGGACGCCATGAAATTCTTTAGAAAGATTAAAGTTGTCCATTTTTCCGATAGTCCAATTCCAAAGCCCTGGGAAGATCAAGATAATACATGGCCATATAATAATAATAAGATATATTGTAAGTATGGTGATATGGAGAAATACAATCAAGAGTATCCCACTGAGTTTAAGCCTAGATTGATTGAAGATTGTGATAGTGTTGAGATTTGGAATTGGTTTAGAAATCAATTTTACAAGGCAAGAGAGGGTATGTGGTTTGTATAGTTTGTATTTTATATAACTATCTGCGTATTAATAGAACATATCAGTACCGAAACTTCATTTGGTTAATGTCAAAGTAATCTTTCAACATTAGTATGTAGTAATATTGTAATAGTAAGAATGACTGAGCTTTAGTTTATGGTGGGCTGTGGATAAATTAATCCACACATTTTTGGCAGCCAAAAAAAATGAATCGTGGGTTGCTAAGTAAAGAATTGTAAAGTCGTGTCGAGAAGAAAAAAGATAAAACGCGAGATCAAAATTTTTTTTTTCTTAAATTCCTTTTTTTTGATTTCTAATTTTAGAATTTCAACTTACCGCCTGTCTGTCTCCTTTTTTTTTTTCATTGTGTAAAACCACAGCCTGATCTTTAGCTTTTCTTCCACATTTTTTTTTTGCTAACTATTTTCATTCTTTTGTAACTAATCAACATTTAAATCCATCGTATTTCTATCAAGGAATAAAGAGAAGACAAACCAATAGAAAAGGAAAATCCAAATCATTTCCACTTTCATCTATATTTCCAGCCTCATTTGCCTCGCCTGCTTTTTATTTAGTCTTGGCGATTTTACGATCCCTTACTTGAAACTCGAAAAAAAAAAAGTTTATTTGATCATTAACACTTTCAGATCAAAATCCATTTTACAAAAGTATCACAACTTATAATAACAACAACATGTCCTTTGGTGAAAATATACCCAGTCCTACAGTAGACTTTGCTGTTTCTGAAATCACCGAATTCGTTATGAAGAGAGATATGCCTGATTTAAATAGTGATTTGCCAGCCTTGGCTGATGGAAGTACATATACTACTCCAAGTATTGTAGTTCCAATAAGTGGGAATAATCCATTCATAATAAGAGAAAACAATCCAACTGGTACTGTCTTTATTGCCGTGGGTGCTATTGTTGGTGCTATCTTATTAGGGTTCACCTTGTATCATTTAATTGTGTCTGTAACTGCATCTAGAATGGCCAAAAAGACCCTGGCTATGGATAAAAAAATTTATGAAAAATATCATCATAATAATTCTACCGCTTATGGATTCACTGGTGGTGTTACTCCAACTTCTACCACTTTTAATTTTGGTCATGAAAATCATGGTTCTATTTCTAAATTACCATTAATGAATCCAAGTAAAGTATTTAGTGGTAATTTCAATGGATCTCAACAAGGTGATAATTCCACTATTTACGCTTCTGAAACTAATGGTGCAGCTACTGATAAACGTGATTTAACCAAGATGTTTATTTCCCCAACTGCTGAAGTTATGCAACATAAGAGAGTTAGAACTTCTCAATATAATCCTATTTTCTCAAATGCATCATTAGCTGGATCTACTGCCAATTTAAACAATCCTGGTAATAGACATTCTCAATTAGTCCCAAGTTTATATATGAATATGGAAGCTAATAATAGTGAAGATGGACTTAAAGAAGGTAGTGAGCATCCAGCATATTCAATAAATTCATCACAACAAAACACACCAGGAAGAAATAATAGAAGAGCACTTCCTTCTATGTATCTTGAAGATTTGATCGATCAGAAATAGGTAATACCATAAAAAAATAAGGAAAATTGAAGAAAATTTGGAGGATGTTTGCAACACAGAAACGTAGATAGTTATTTAGACAATGAAAGCTGTTCATAATTACATCCCCAATTTAATCAATCAGAAACTGGCTATGTTTTATTTGTTTTGGTGTTTCGATATTGGATGGGTTATAGAGAGAGTATGTGAGTTTGTACTTTATATGAATAGGTGATTGTTAGTTATTTGAGAATAAAAATCTTATCTATCACTCTTACAAAAGTAATTATCACTTTCGCAGCCAATAGGTTCCAAGAGAATGTTCCATGGCGTCTTGTAATTATTACTTTATTTTTTTGCAATCAAAAAGCCGTTTCGGATAAATTGAGATTTAAGCTTTTTGTCAATATTAAACCTTATTTTTCTTAGAAGTTTCCTAATGAGAAGCTTCTATTTTCTACATTTCGTCAATCGTATATTTAAACGAAATACATTTTATATCTGCCAAAAATATGATTCTGCAAGTCAGATTCGTGTATGACAAGATCTACTGTATCATGACCAATTTTCACATAGTAATTTCCATGGAATGATATTACTTTGCGGTGGCTTTCCATCGTCATTTATGTAGACGAAAAATTATTCTGCGTGTGTACTAGTTCACAATATCATTGTTTCACGAAATGCCTGGGCTCCTGCCGACCCGATTGTTCTATCAGGTTGAGAGAGAATACGACAGCGCTGACGATAAAAGATATCAGCAACAATCAGGAGTTTGTAGTTACCAAGTAAAGCTTTCATGTAAACGAAATGAAAACAAACGAAAATTTGTGTGTATCATCAAAGAATTTATAAACCCACACAAATTTCGTTAAAACTTTATTGGAAGCTTCTCTTCTTTAGGTCAAGTGGATAATACAGCTTCATTACAATACTGAAAAGAACATACCCTTATATTACTACTCTGAAACAACATAAGTCATATCAAATAGAAAATTAAACTTTGATTTTTAAAACAACTGAAGAATTTAAACGGTTTTGGTTCTTTATACGAAGTGGTACTGTAGATCAATTAATTAAATAAATAAATAAAAAAAAGACACCTTAAAATTTTTTTTCTTTGAACAACATTTTTTATAAACACATCAAATCTTTTAAATCACATACCAAAAAAGGATCAACCATCCAAATCAACACAACTATCTTAACTTGACTAGCTAACTTGCACATTTAGAGCCTAATCTATTTCAAGAGTTTTACATTTTACATTTTACTATTATTATTATTTATTTCTACCATTTAAAATTTATATAGCATCCAATTTAATTAATTATGGGTATTTGCGGTGGAAGTCCAAAAACAAGTATGTATCAAAAAGATGAAAGAAAATCAGCATTATGTCTCATTCTGATTAACTAACGCGTTTATTTTCTAGTTCAACGAAAAATAGTAATTCTAGGTGATGGTGCGTGTGGTAAGACGTCACTTTTAAACGTGTTCACAAGAGGATATTTCCCTCAAGTTTATGAACCTACAGTATTTGAAAATTATGTTCATGATATTTTTATTGATGGTCAATCAGTACAATTATCATTATGGGATACCGCAGGACAAGAAGAATTTGATAGATTACGATCTCTTTCATATTCAGACACCCATTGTATCATGTTATGTTTTTCAGTAGATTCACCTGATTCACTTGAAAATGTTCAATCTAAATGGGTTGGAGAAATTGCTGATCATTGTGAAGGGGTTAAATTAGTATTAGTGGCTTTGAAATGTGATTTAAGAAATGATGAAGACGCAGAGGAAACTGCTCCTCTACAATCAAACCATAATAATAATACCTTTAATCCATATGCATCATCATCAAATGTATATCAACAACAAAAGAAATTGATTACTTATGAAGAAGGTTTAGCAGTTGCTAAAAAAGTTGGTGCTTTAAGATATTTAGAATGTTCAGCAAAGAAAAATAGAGGAGTTAATGAAGCATTTTCAGAAGCAGCAAGATGTGCCCTTACCGCAAAACCGAAGGGTGCTAATGATAATGAACCAAAGAAAAAGGGTTGTGTTATCATGTAGAATAGAAGAAGAAGAAGAATAATAAGTTTGATTTAGGAATTATGTTTATGTATATTCCCTCAACAAAATACCCATAATTTAGAATAGAAATCCACCCCCTCCTTATACGTATATGGACACCTTTAATATCACATTGTATTACTAATGAATCTAAATTATAATTATATTTACATGACTTTTGTACATCTACTACTTACCCAATATTTCTAATTCGTAAATGGTTTATCCAAAGGTTCCTTCCGTTCATCCCAAATATCTTCCGAGCTTCCCTTAGCTTTATCTTCAAGTACTCTCTTTTTGAAAAACTCTTGGATCAAAACCCTCTTCTCTAATTCTTGTGGATTCATTTCATAAACCGGTTTTTCTTCCATTCGTGTCAATGTACCATGTCTCATTGCAAACCATAATTTTTCACGTTGACGAGCACATAAATCTAAACTTCCATATCTAAAATAATTCTTTCCTTGTCCACCAAAGGAAAAACAAGAAAGCAATTCATCAAATGCAGTCGTTATTGCCACTTGTGATGGATAATCTTTATTTTGATCTTCATGAAGAGTTTTCGTTATCGTTTGTCTTCTTTCTTGAATATCTTTGGGTGAATCTTCAAATAATTTCCATAATTCGTTTAATTCCTTTTCACTATCACTGACCATTATATGTTTTTCTGACTTTCTATATATCTTTATTCTTCAGAACTAGTTGATGAATATACAAAAAAGAAAGAAGAGTCTTTTAAGTCTCCAAAAAAAAAAACTTGGAACATCAATACTAAGTTTTGGAAAATAGATTGAAAAAAATCAAATGCCTTCAGCCAGATTCGAACTGACGATCTCCTCATTACTAGTGAGGTGCCTTACCAACTTGGCCATAAAGGCTTTTTTTCGACTTCGAAATTTCCACTTTAATAGCTCCGGAATTTTAAAACTGATTTTTCGCTCATAACTTCCTTAAATCGTGGATTGAGTAGAATTTGAATGGGGGAATTGGATATTGGAATACAAGTACTACAAAATGAATTCAAAAATACTTCAATGAATTAATTTTACGTTCATTTTATGGTGTTCCAGTGTATTTGAATTTTGTATGTGAAATCTGAATTTTTTCGGTAGAAAAAATTTCGCAACATTTCTGCAACAAGAACTTTGGTTGCAAAGCTATTCGGGGAACACTTCTTTTTGCTATGGAATTCCAATTCAGAAGGAGACTTAAATAGAATAATATATTGATGACTGGAAGAATATATTCCAAGTTTCTTCAATTTCGTTTGTATAGACGAATCAAAAAAATCGGATGGAAAAAAAGTTCCTTGCTTGGGAACTTGACCATCAGAATATCCCAATAGAATGATATCCATAGACCCTATATCCTTTTATTTTCTAAATTGAACTTTGGTTTTGAAAGCCTATTTCTTTGCAACATAGTTTTGCAATTAGAAGGGTTATATAACACATAATTGGAACGTGACAAGGCCATGAGTTTTCTCTTGTCGAAATGGGGTTCCCTACATAAAGGACCTTCTCCAAGGAAAGACCAATTGCCGTTCTCCAGAGAAATAAGCAATCAGATAACTGATGTGATTTCTTCACAGCTAGAACTAGGACGTGGAAGCGGATGGTTGTCGGTCGCCACATAATGTATGGCTGCAAAAAAATTGTCTCTGGTTGGTTACTAAATAAATGTATTTTATCATCCCAGATCTGTTAGAATCCTAGACAGATGATCAGAATTGGACCCTTTTCCAATATAAGTAGAATTGTAAAGATTACAATTCCCAAGTTTAGAAACGGATTAATTGCATGCAAAATAATTCCTCATGCATGGATACAAAGCTCTCCTATCTTTCGTGGGAGACTTGGGATATCAAACGAGGATCCAACGAGGATCCAACGAAAGATAAATTAAGGCTGCAAACAATAATAGATGCCATAGTTCTGAGTATTGTTCAAACTTTTGCAGCTTGTTGGCTGCGCGAATTTGTTTTCTCTCTTACAACTATTTTCTGGAAAACACTCCGGGAAATATTTCAGGGAATCTCAAAACCAATAATACTATATCTCAGTCATAGGCTAGAATGGTTTATTCAAATTGGAATGACACCATAAAGAATGCAAAACTTGAAAGAAGAATTGATTCATTGAATGGTCTACCCAGCATACAAACCAAAATGATTTTTTCGCACGACCTCAATTTCCAGATTTTCATCAAAAATTTTTTTCACACTGATTTTGACAACCATTACCGTTAGAATCAGAAGAAGCAAAGCAACATCTCTCAAACTACAAACGATGATTGGTTTAGGAGAGAGCTTAATTCAGAGATTGAATCTCAATGGAGCCAGATTTGTTAACAGCATACGTTATTCCAGTTTCTTAGGTCATTTGAACCCAGCCGAAGGCTCTGTTCACAACTACAAAAAACTTGGTCGTGGTGCTTCTTCAGGAAAAGGTAAAACCGCCGGTAGAGGTCAAAAGGGTCAAAGAGCCAGAGGTTCGGTGCCTATATGGTTCGAAGGTGGTCAAACTCCTTACTATAAAAGATTTCCTATTTTTGGTATGAAGAGACCTCATGCCAAACAATTCAATGAACTTAATATGACGAAGATTCAAGATTTCTGGGATACAGGAAGAATCCCATTGAAAGAAAATGAACTTTTGACTATAAGAGTTATGAAAGAATGTGGATTAATAACAGGTACCTTGAAAGACGGGGTTAAGCTTTTAGCTGAGGGTGCTGAAAACTATTCCGTACCATTAAATATTGAAGTTTCAAAAGCTTCTCTAACTGCTATTGCTGCTGTTGAAAAATTAGGCAAAGAGATCACAACTAAATATTTCACTAAATTGTCATTAAAGGCTCACATAGACCCTGATTACTTTTTATTGACGAGAGGATATGTCCCATTACCTGCTAGACCAACCCATAGAAGAGATATCGATTACTACTCCAATCAAGAAAAGAGAGGTTACTTGGACAAAGATAGATCAATTTTATTGGATCTTATTGGTGATAGAACTAGAACAGCTAGGAAGGTTAGCGTAAAGGAAAATCCACTTTTAGAACAATTGAAGAATGCATCATCAAAGAAATATGAAATGGAAGAAAATATTGTTAAATTGAGTGACCTTTAGATATTTACTTGTTTATACTATAACCTGTACATAAAATAATTTTAATTATCTATATCTACAAATACCTGTAAGAGACCTTCAACTATAACTTGTATATCATTCAATCGTATCGATTTATTGTTTGCTGACTTCTTATGGAAACTGTAATTATATTTACGAAGTGAGAAAAGAGTTGCCTTGTATGTCATTTGATGTATCTCTTTGATTGCCAATTTTTCATTAGCTGTAGCACAAAGATTTGCCGAAAGCCCTCGTATTCTTAATCCAGATAAAATGACCTTGTTGACCGCACTATTAATTTGATCTTGGGTAGTGAGAACCAGTGAGTTATTCTCTTGAGATGGAGGAGTGGGTACTAAAAATGGATTCTGACGCTGCTTCTTCTTCTCAAGTACTTTATCGAAGATTTGTCTCGACACCTCCGTGGTGGCTGATATTGACGGGGTCTTTTCTTTGGAAAAGCTTAAAATTGAATTAACTGGCAGAGACGCAAGGTCATCCAAATCATCTAATTGATTTAAGCATGTGAAATTCAACATCATGGCCCTGATAGTTTTGGATTCAAAGTCGAAATAGAATACCAAATATGTATCATTAGTGACCTTGAATAATAGTCCCAAATGGGAATCTGGATTAGTTAATGATACTTTTACCAAGTGATTCTTAAAATAATCATTAGTGGAATTATTGCTGGAATATATACATAATCGATGATGACCATAAAAAAGGAATATCGGTAACCGGGTATAGTTTATGTAATTTCCAACTTTATGCACTGATAGATTTGAAGTAAATATTTGAGTCAACTCTTGAGTAAAATTCAGGGTATCTGACCATAATTGCACATCATCAATTATATTTGAGTCATATAGTTGAATAGTAGTTGCGAGATTCATAAGTCATGAGTGGGTCTCTTGTATTTGTCACCTACTAGAGTATCAACGTATTGATTGTTAAATATTGGCTGTTCAGTAGTACGCGAATGCCCAATTGTTGAAATTTAAAGAGGGAATATTTTTTTAGACCGGAAGTCGAGAATCGTCACATGATCGTCTCAAGTTTCGAGAACTTTAATGGCTGCAAAATTTTCAGAAGTTTTGAAAAGTTGTCGAACATACGAAGAAAGATTTAGCCAAATATTTCTTACACCTTCTCAACGACAATTAGCCAAACCCAATCATTTAAGATATGTCAGGTAATGGAAGACTATATTTTTGGAGCAACCTTATTTTATTGTGATAGTTCTTCGCAAAAGCAACCTGGAAGCCTCGAGCGGTTTGCACAATCAGAGAGGCTCCAATCGAGTCTGTTCTATAATCAAAAATGATGGACCCGGTTTTATGGATGCCAGAAATAAAACACATGCTTGGAGGTCTATATTTTCTTGAGACCTTGAAAATTGCACTTACGAAATGGTTGGTTGACACAAACAAGGTGACCCAGAATCACACAAAGCATTCATGTTCTTGGAATAGCCTTCGTTGAAAATCCGTGTGTTCTTACTATATCCATGGTGTACCTTCCATCCTCTCAAAAGTTTGAGGATTGGCAAAACCATTTACCACATTATATTCCAAGAATCGTATTGGTAGTTAATTCTTTCGAATAGGAACTAATTAGATACTAACTATTCATCACCTCAGAGAAGATCACAATATATGATATCTGGAATGCTATGAACCAAGTTCCAGGTACTGAGAGCTGCTTTCGGAACTCCAGAATCAGATTGGATTCCTTCAGCAAAATAATAGATTTTCAGTGACTCCGTTAAATAGAACAAGATCCCACAATTTCAGAAAGAAACTGGTGACAAAAGTTCTACATCTACTACTCTTGGGTGATGCGACGACACAGCCAATCATTGTTTCACGATCTTGCATTGTACGCGGCCATCAAAGACGTTAAATTTACTTCAAATATACACACATTAATGTTTCTTCTTGACGACATTAGCTAGGTATGTTAGAGAGTGATTAGCACAGAACAATAATATCGAACCTTACGATGTGCAGTTAATTTTACGTTACTTGAGACTAATTTAGAGTAATATCTCCACCTTTGAGGAAATTCTCTAACTTCCAACAGATTTCTTTCCAAAAGCTCATAAAATGCCTCCAGCTCAGACTTGGACATTACCTTCTTTAATATCCTTAGATATGATTTGGACACGGGTTACGAGTTCATTGACCAAGCAGTAATAGTAGCTTTGACACTTATCCCTTCTGCAGTATATGAGTGGTTCAACGTCCCTGATATCCTAGCATTATTGTCTTGAGTTTTCATCATAATTGAGTATTGAGCCAGCTATAATTCTAAGAAAAATTGTTAAGAAATTTGAAAGTAGGTGAGCCGCGGCTGCAACGCCGATGTATAGTGTACACCAGTAATGAGTCGCCGAACAGCCACAAGTAGAGAGCCAAAAAAAAAAAAAAAAAAAAAAAAAAAAAAAAAAAAAAAAAAAAAAAAAAAAAANTTGTTGAATTTTGTTGTTGGCGGAGGAGAAAATGAGTGTGAGAGGAACGACAGAAAGTCAGAAAAAAAAAAAAAAAAAAAAAAAAAAGAAATTGACAGAAAATAAAACATGGCCATCTAAAAAATTTCCCGTCAAAAATCTCACACCCCAAAAAAAAAACGTTCATCAAGAATTAATTTACAACGAAGAGGATTAACCAAAGGCAATATAGACAATCTCTCAAAGGATTATTAATATAAATTAGACAACCAAATCCAAATAGATTTTAATAATAAAAAAATAGAGAAGTTTAGATTAAATCACTTTTTTTAATAATATTTAATTTTGCATTTCATCATCTAGAGACAGAGACAGATACTTACAATCATGTTGAGTACAAGTACACGAGTTTATTCAGTTGCTAGGGTTTATGCAGATGTCAATAGTAATAAGCCTACAGATTATTGGGATTATGAGAATCATAAAATAACTTGGGGAGATATTAGAAATTATGAAATTATTAGTAAAATTGGTAGAGGTAAATATTCAGAAGTATTTCAAGGTGTTAATATTTTAAATGATGAACCATGTGTTATTAAAGTATTAAAACCAGTTAAATTAAAGAAAATCTATCGAGAAGTTAAAATATTACAAAATTTAACTGGTGGACCAAATGTTATTGGGCTTTTAGATATTGTACGAGATGAACAATCCAAGATTCCAGCATTAGTATTTGAAAGAGTTAATAATGTTGATTTTAGAGTTTTATATCCAAAGTTTACAATTAAAGATATCCAATACTATTTCACTCAATTATTAATTGCATTAGATTATTCACATTCAATGGGTATAATTCATAGAGATGTAAAACCTCAAAATATTATGATTGATCCATTAAATAAAAAATTACGATTGATTGATTGGGGTTTAGCAGAATTTTATCATGCTGGTATGGACTACAATGTAAGAGTTGCTTCTAGATATCACAAGGGACCAGAATTACTAATTAATTTACAACAATATGATTATTCACTTGATTTGTGGTCTGTAGGTTGTATGTTGGGAGCAATCATTTTTAAAAAGGAACCTCTTTTTAGAGGCGATTCAAATAACGATCAATTGGTTCAAATAGCAAAAGTTTTAGGAACAGAAGATTTAATGAAGTATGTTAACAAATATGGTATTAAATTGAGTCTGGAATATGACGATATTTTGGGTACATATCCAAGAAAACCATGGAAATCGTTCATAAATAATGATAATAGGCATTTAATAAGTGATGAAGTGCTAGATTTGATTGATATTTTATTGACTTATGATCATCAATTAAGACCAACTGCTAAAGAAGCAATGGAACATCCATTTTTCAAGATATAGATAGTTTACTTTTTTAATAAAGCATAAATTGTATAATAATAAATTAATAAATTAATACCAAAGAGAAAGAAAAGTATAATACATTAAATCATAAACACCTCTAACAGCTTTTTCAAAGCTTGAATCCATTTTCAAGCTTCTCAAAGAATCCATAAATATCATTAATCTTTCCACTCTTGTTTCTAGCCGAAGTAAGGTTCATTGGAATCTCATCAAACACATCTTCATCAAAGGACAGGAAATTAGAAGAGCTACATGACACCAACTCAAACTCCGATTCACTAGTTGACGATGTCAGGTCAGTTTTATTGGGAATTAATTTCATGAATAAATTCAACTTATTCTTGGGGAAGCCTCCCGTAACAATGCTATCCACAAGCACCTCGTTTAATTCTTCTTGTCCAAATTTGTCAAACTTCAAAAGCTTACTCCGAAATAGTTGATAAACCTCTTTGTTAGCACTTGATTCTGGTTTGCTGATCTTGGAACCCGGTGTAAACATCTCCGATATATTCTCATTACTAGTATCTATCAATTCTAGTAAGAATTGTAGTTTATCATAAAAACCAAACAAATAGTCAAACATCTTCTGACATTCAAGTTTCAGGGGTTGATCTAACACGCCTGGCATTTGATCGTTTATAGGACCCAATTGGACTCCCTCATCGTTATTAAGCAAATTATAAATGACCAGCACTATTTTTTGCAAAAATACACTTTCTAAATCCAATAATTGATTCAATTTTGTTGATATGGGTTCAATACTGATTTGTTTGTTGGGGGATATGTATTCAATATCTCCAAGGTGCAGTAGATCTCGTTTTATGACACTTAGATACTGTATTATTTCAGGATATGATTGATACAAAATTTCGGGCTTGACACTAAGACCGAACTCTTCCCATGATTTAATAATCCGCAACATATTATCCACTAGCCCACGGAGTTTAGAATAATCGCAATTTAGTTGATCCGATTTAACTCTTCCATTGATGCTGTCTTCAAGTAATCGAAGAAATGACGTGAATTGATTCACAATATGATTGTCATCAGTCAATTCCATGAAATCAGTCAAGTCTTTCTGTAGTTTATTTAAATTAATAGTGATTTTTTGTAAAGTTAATGACGATTTCCTTTCATATTTTGTTTTTAGCCTATACGTAGATACAATGCAATCAATTACATCATCATATCTTTGTGAATCTAATATCTTCATTTTCTCATATGTCAGATCTACTTCAAGAATTTGATATAATTCCAGGAAATATATCATCATACACTTTTCATCTGGTGCTCCATGTTCAAAATACTCTTGGGTTATAAAGTCAGGTATTGGAAGTGCCTCTTGGATATATGTAAAGGTTTCTGATAGATCCAATCCCTCACTAATATGTTCATCATAATGCGAAATAATATCGTAAACTAACTTCTCAGGATTCTTCTCAATTGCCCAATCTCGGGCGAAGTTTGTAACCTCTATTCCACTCTTCTTTGATAAAATTCCATTAATCCACTCTAATAATCGATTTCTAATATCCAGTATACTTGATAATTTCGTTGTGTGTTTTGATTCGCTAAACAAAAAAATTGACCAGATCAAGCATATGATAATTTTACAATCACCATCAAAGATATTCTCAGCGCCAATATAACTTGTATCTATATTCAAGGAAAGCCTAAGAAACTGTAGTAGATCTTGAATTACTTCAATTTTATGTATTTTAAAAGTTGGCTTCTTATAAATCGGGGTAAGATAATACAACTCCAAATTCTCTTCAGTCCCATCAATATTTTGACATGCTAGGCTTGTTTCATAAATAATCCTATTTATTAGTTTTATAAGAACCAAACCATCCTGAAGATCACGGGATAGGTTATTAATAGAACTAGGAATGTTCGTATAGTTGGATGTTGGGGTTTGGGGGTCAATAGAGTCGTCCTCTAACTTTCTATTCACCCATTTTATTAGCGAGCGCTGTAATAGTGTATCCTCATTGGACATATTATGCCTCTGTATCATGTTTGCATAACTTAAAGTTCCTTGCTTTGTAATAGAATATTGAAAACTAAGACTGGGGTATGGAGATAAATCCAATAATCGGAAAAGTAGCCTTATTTAATTAAATCTGTAACGAATGATGGAATGATTGGTGAAATTAGACGAGGGGGTCATTTAGATCCAGCCATCCATCTTTGTTCGTTTGATCGTGTAAATCGGATGCAAAAAAATAATTCTTGGTTGTTTAATAAAATTTTGCAATAAAATTCGCGCATACAAATTTTATTCGCGTATTTAGATTCGAGAATGTAAATAGAAGAACATCGTCTGAAAGCTAGATTTGGGGTCAATATAAAGAAGGGGAAATCTTAGATTTGGCAGATGTGACCACTTAATATTTATGGAAGCAGCCTAAGTTGTATCAAGAAGCGAAGACAAACTTCCTGATATGGCCTCCGTGGGATCATTCTTGGGTTTAATTAACCCTGCCGTAATAGGAAACGTAACTTGCCATAGGGTAATCTTAGCTTCCATACGATGCGTCTAACGTGGTATAAATTGCTACTTCATAAAGCATCTCGTAACTCAAGTCTTGTAGCATCAAAGAATTTGCATGCTTTTGATCGATACTCTATATACAGGCGAGAATTAGGCAAAGATACACGACTATTAAATCAAGGGAGAAATTAACCTCAAGAGTGATGACTTAACTATGCTTAACTCTAACCAACAAGAAACATAAAAATGTCCAACGAAATAATAATTGACGAACCTTTGACTTCAAATGTTCGTCCAGCTAGCGATTCATTAATTACTATCCGTATTATCAAGTCTTTTCCATATAGAAATGTTAAGAATTACATTGTCAAAGATATCGATTTGAAAGGAACAACTCCCAAACAATTATTACAGAATATTAAAGATATCATAAGCACTATTGGTGCATTGAGACCATATCGTAATATTGAATATGATTCAATCAAAATCTATACCCAAGCCCATGGTACAAAATCAATGCATTTAGTTATCAACTTTGAAAACGATGAAGAATGGGTATTAGTCAATAAAGAAGTTAACGGTGATGAAAAGAGCTTATGGGATTTAGGTGTCAGAAATGAGACCGAATTGAGCTTATTTCATTGGGATGATTACGTGGCTTATAAGGAGAATCCAGAAGAAAAGTGGTAATGATTTTGACTTGACCTGTTAGAGATTGGTCTAGATAAAGTGTACAAAGTGTGTATTTAGTAAAATAGTAATAGTTAGTAGAATAGTCTGGCGAAGAAAATATAAACATGTATAATAAATAGTAGATTCCGGTACCCCAACAGTTGAATAAACAATGAAAATAAAATAAAAATACGTCAAAGCAGTTAACCAGCTGACGCAAAGCGTCCCTTATCTAAAAAGCATCAATGCTGTTTTTGCCTCCCAAATGTAGGTATTGGGAAAGCTGGGATTTGGAAGTATGAGTTATGTTTGTTTGCCATAGCTCCATAACATTCAATCCAACCCGAGAAAGAATTAATAACACCCATGATACCACCGGCTTTGATTATATTTTGATTTCCAGTTAAGAATCCAGTTGCAAGGAGAGCAATGGTAACATCTAAAGAAAGAATACACCAAAAGAACAGCCAAGTTGTTTTTAACACAAGAAGCAAGAACATAGTAGTAACAATGACCCATCCGACTGACATAAGACCAATTGCTTGATTCATCATTTCTAGATCATCAGCATAAGCTTCAAGAATTCCAAAACCTGGAGTGAAAATAGCCCCAAAACTCATCCAAAAGGCACCATAACTACAAAAAACTGTGTATCCGAAAGTGTCTCTTGAGACGAAACACCAAGCACCTGACAAAAATTGTAATAACCCCCCAATAAAGAAGAATCCACCAACCATAGCGTTGGTGATAGCAGTTCCGGTAGCAAAATAAAGACCTAAAATCATGATATTGAAGGAAGTACTGAATACACCTAACATTGCGGCATTACCATATTTGTGCTCACTCTCAGTTGATACTTGATTGGCAGTGGCCATTGCAGTCAATAATTCATGTCTATAGAATTTATGATTACCAAGAACCACAAATTCGTTACCATCACCAGCGATTATACAACTCCTTGTGACAACATCACCAGTGGAAACACTTGTTTTATCATCTAAGGAGATACCTTGATCGTTTGAACTTGCTGTATCGTATGGGTTGGTCATTTTAGATCGTGGATAGGTGGGGGGCTGTGAACAAAAAGTTGATTAGAATAGAAAATGAACTATAAGGAGCATTTTAGACCCTCTATATATGCATAGAACATGATTTCAGTAATGAATCAAGAAAAAATTATGGAAGCATAATTTCCGTTACACCTTTTTGCACTGGGATAAAAAGTTACATTTCCAAGCACACTGGTTGGGAGGTTTTCTTTCGGAAATGTCAATTATTAATAGTTAGATTATGGATTTGCAAAATGAGTCTCATGGTGAACTTATTTTACCTAATAGCAATGGCGACACTTTATTAGTAATGGATTTTAGAAGGTGGTATATGGGAGGGTTGTTTTTTGGGCTGCAAAACTCTCTTTGAAAAAAGTCAGCAAAGAAAAAAAATGCCCCACTACAAATCCTTTAAGTTTCACAAAACCAACTTTTCCGCAACATTTATTATTTTATTTAAGCTTTCGGTTGGCACCCAGACAAATTATAGATACGAAGAGGTGCCATTAGAAATATCATTCTTGCTGGGCAAGAGTCTAAAATATAACAATTTTGAAATAGATGAGAGTTCCCCCCATTGAGAGTAAGTTATTGAGGTGGAGATAACGTGGCATTTGCTAGTAAATTCGACGTAGATGTGGAGAAAGTAGTGCAATTACTTGGCCGTAATAAGCGAGTTTTTTAGTTTTCAAGCAATATATTAATCTGTCGATTCTCCGATATAACTTTTGTATTCTTTGTGCAGGGAGATCAAGCTATAGAAATGCATGGATTGCGGGAAATAGGCATACCAGCAACGGGAGAATGTCTGGTCTAACTGCGGGGCACTATTAAAATAAACACGGAGAACAATGAGCCAAGGACTCCGAAAATGACAGAAAACTAATGGTATGCTAGCAGGCTAGCCAAGAATTAATCAACTTCCTTAGAATACAAAATCTCCTCCCTTTATATATTTTCTCATAATCTGTTGTCATTGTCACCTCGGAGTAAATGTATTCTTACATAGAATTCCCTGCCCCCCGCCCCCCCACAAAATAAAATTTCGTATTTGGAAGCTCAGCACCATTAGAAATGCAAATAAGCAATCTAGAACCAGGAAAGGATTGATGCAATTTAAAAGCAATTTTGGATTGCAACCTTAGATTTTACGGAATTGTTCGAAAAGAAAAATCTACTACAAGCCTGGAATTGGCAAGGCAGCACGAGGGGAAGCCAGTCAAGCAAAGTAGCCTGGGGTTTTATGGTTAGTATTTCTGAGTAGTTCTTCCATTGGCACACTAGGTCGATATACGGAGGTATCCTTTATAAAAAGGAGATTGCCGGAAGATGAAAAATAGTTGTACTCTTTCCCTGATGTCCGTTTTCCTCACTTTACCTTCGGCTGCCCAAATACCAATTTTTCCATTTCTCCTATATTTATTCGCTGATAATTCTGAACATTAGTATCCAGAATATTGGAAATTAATACAGTCAGCTTAAGTGAGCAAGATTAGTGATTCTGAGTTTTTCATTCCCCCCCATTCCTTTACTAATTCACAGGAAAAAGCTGCGCAAGAAAATGGGAGGGCAGAGACCAAGAGCTAACTTCAAATGTAATAAAATAATCCTTCAGCAAAAGATTAGCTTATAGTAAAATAAATTTAAAGTGCGGTGGATAAGACAGACCTGTATTAGCTAGTGTTATTTAATTGCTGCAAATGCTACTAATAAATGATTGAGGTTATTGCGAATTGCTGCAACACCTTCCTTTGTGAAAAAGAAATTTTGTTTATAATCACGTGACCATGGGGTTGATTTTCAGGGATTTTTTTTCTAGCCAATAATGTGAAAGGTTTTATAAAAAAACTCAATGGCAGATTACGTAAGGAATTACATAATCATATTCTATGTGCAGTCGCTAATATTAATATTTTAACTATTTTTTTTTATTAAGGAAATAAACACACCAATAGAAAAAAAGACTAAACAAACCCAAGCTGAATCCAAAGACCGCCAAAAAAAAATTCAAAGATTGAAAAATCTCAAATCTAAAAGTAAAGAGCCCTTTTAGAGAGTCAACAAAACACACGTTCAAAACAAACTCTGTATATTTGGTTTCTGATAGTTACTCAACTTTGATCCTTGTTTATTCAATTAATCGTTTTTTAAGAAAAGAAGAAGTATAAATTTACGAAAACGTATTTTATTGAAACAAAATTAACAAGATTTTTACAACAGATATTATCTAAATCAACGAAATATTCATTCAATTCCACATAAAACACAATGTTTACATCATCATTCAGAACAATTAACCCAGCATTGTTACAAAAAATCATTGCTGGTGGTGTTGGTGTCACCGGTTTAACCGCATCTTATTTATTATATAAAGATTCTATGACTGCCAATGCCATGACTGCTGCTGAACACGGTTTACATCCTCCTGCTTACGGCTGGTCCCATAATGGTATGTTTGACAGTTTCGACCATGCTTCTATCAGAAGAGGTTTCCAAGTTTATAGAGAAGTCTGTGCTGCTTGTCATTCCTTAGATAGAATTGCTTGGAGAAACTTAGTTGGTGTCTCCCACTCTACCACAGAAGCCAAGACTATGGCCGAAGAATTCGAATACGATGACGAACCAGATGATGAAGGTAAGCCAAGAAAGAGACCAGGTAAATTAGCTGATTACATTCCAGGTCCATATGACAATGAACAAGCCGCCAGAGCTGCCAATCAAGGTGCTTTCCCACCAGATTTATCTTTGATTGTCAAGGCCAGACATGGTGGTTGTGACTACATCTTCTCCTTATTAACTGGTTACCCAGAAGAACCACCAGCCGGTGTTGTCTTACCAGTCGGTACCAACTATAACCCTTACTTCCCAGGTGGTGCCATTGCTATGGGTAGAGTCTTGTTTGATGACTTGGTCGAATACGAAGATGGTACTCCAGCTACTACTTCTCAAATGGCAAAGGATGTTACTACTTTCTTGAATTGGGCTTCCGAACCAGAACATGATGAAAGAAAGAAATGGGGTTTGAAGGCTCTTATTGTGCTTTCTTCCTTATACTTACTTTCTGTCTGGGTTAAGAGATTCAAATGGTCTCCAATCAAGAACAGAAAGTTCAGATTCGACCCACCAAAGAAATAAATGAACAAGAGAAGGTAAGGTCGCCTATTTGAAGATTAGGTTTCAGATTCACTGATTACATTTTTGGTGTTTTGTAAATATAAACAGGTGTTGAAGTTTCCAAGCTTCTTTATGGTGGTTTCTTGCTTTCAATTTTCGTATCCCACCTTTGCAAAAGGAAAGACTCGTGATTTTTATAGGAATTATTAGACATGAACATAAAGAACAATTTTGTTTTTCCAATTCTATGCACAAAATATATTAATTCATTTTAACTACATATTTCTTCGCGATTGCTTATTTCAATTTGTAGTATGGTCGAAACTCTATAATCTAGATTGGGCCGAATAGGCTTGCAAATATGAGACTTTAAACATATGGTTGTTCAGACCATTGTCAACTGGCAGCGCCCCGAAAGATTTAAATTCCGCAGTGTTGCTTAATGACAGGGAGACGCCGAATTCCAGCAATTCATTGCATCAAAAGAGAAAATGGAGAAGCATAACAGAGCGACTAGTATATATACAAATAGCCCATGTAAGCATTAATCCCAATGCTATAGGGTTTGTGCAGCCACCTCACCAACCATTCGACTAGTCTTTTTTTTTTGGTTGCAAGGAAGTTTTCTGCAAGCTAAAAGGAGTTGCAAAAGTATCAGTTAAAGCGATTTAAAAATCTCCCAGGATACGAATCCTTCCATTGAGGGAAGAACGTATTCACCCATAGAGAGGCAACAGTATTACGATTAGGCAGGTAGATTCCTTTTCAAAAGAGAACCCTGAAGTAGATACTTTAAAATGTGCAAGCCAACGCAACTTCTTTCCATATTAGTTGCCTAATGCAAATTCTTCATGAGCGGTCCATGCAGCCCGTGCATCATGTTAGCAAAGTATTAATAGCTCTAGTCTTCTGAAGATTTAGAAGACCGTTGATATCAAGCTATCAGGAACTGTTTGAAAACTATGTTAAAGAACTAATCTTAAAGCTAAAATAAGACGGAATAGCTAATTGCGTATCTACGATTCATATTACACAGAAATACACTATCTTGTTACACCCTAATTGTAATCACACTCCGATGAAACTCCCGGCGAAATGCCCTGTGACAATAGTTACACAAAATTATATTTAATGACGCTGGTGTGTTACAATTGGCCAAGGAAAAAAAAAAATTTCGGCGAAATTAAGTTTTTATTTACAACAGAAAAAACTCACACACCAAAGGGCTCCAGAAATCATCAAACGATTCATACCACTCCGTTGTTCAAAACCACCACAAAATTGAAACAACAATCAACTTTTTATTATTTATTATTTAATTATATGGTTCTGCCGTGAAAGAAGTTTTTTTTCCCAACTCCCCTCCCCCCTTTCTTCTCTTTTGAAAAAAAGCCTTCACTTGCTTCAACTGACATACTTCTTCAATTTCCAGTTTTTATAGATTATCCTTCCATTACTTTGATAAGGTGCGCTAAGTTCAAATTATTGCATAAGAAGTCATGAGTTCATCACAAGCACAAAATGGATTTAATCCGAAACACAGCACATCAACAGCATCATTAGCATCTACTGAGTCAGCCAAAGCTTTGTTGCCAAGTAGTGAGGGCATAGACGATGGCGTTGGTATAAATCAGAGATCTTATCAGATAAGTTCAGATGACAAGCCCTCCAGACTTGTTATCATCTTGACTTTAGTATCCTCGATTTCTGGATTTATGTTTGGTTATGATACAGGTTATATCTCATCAGCATTAGTTCAAGTGGGAACAGATTTATCCAACAAAATTTTAACGAGTGGAGAAAAGGAACTTATTACATCCGCTACGTCTCTTGGTGCTATTATCGGAGCTATCATTGGTGGTCTCTTAGCCAATTTAATAGGTAGAAAGAAAGTTTTATTAGGTTCCAACGTTGTCTTTGTAGTAGGAACAATTATACAATTAGCTGCACATACTGTATGGACAATGATTGTTGGTAGATTTGTTTTAGGTTGGGCTGTTGGTACCGCTTCATTGATTTCCCCATTAGTTCTTTCAGAATTAGCCCCAGCTAGGTTCAGAGGAAGATTGATTGTTACAAATGTCATGTTTATCACTGGAGGTCAACTTGTTGCTTATTTGATAAATTGGGGTTTAACCAGAGTTCCACACGGATGGAGAATTTCCGTTGGATTGTGTATGGTGCCGCCAGTACTCCAGTTTATATTATTTTGGTTCTTGCCTGATACCCCAAGATACTATGTTATGAATGGAGAAATAGATAAGGCCAGAGAAGTTCTCAGAAAGGTCCATATTAATCCTTCAGATGACTTCATTGAATGCACTATTGACGAAATGATCAATTCCAATTCACAAGTTCCAGGCAGTAGTCCGCTTCACAAAGTATGGGAATCAATCAAGATCATCCATAAAACTCCAGGAAATTTCCGAGCTTTAATTCTTGCATGTGGTTTACAAGGTATTCAACAGTTCACAGGTTTCAATTCATTAATGTACTTTAGTGCGACAATGTTTGAATCCATTGGATTCCACAACCCAACTGCTGTTTCCATTATTATTGCAGCAACCAACTTTGTCTTTACGGGTATTGCATTGATGATTATTGATCATGTTGGAAGAAGAAGAATCTTATTGGTGGGTATTCCTTGCATGTGCTTGTCATTAATTGTTTGCGCAATCGCCTTCCATTTCATGGATATTGATTTTTCTTCTGGTTCAGGAGTTGTAGACACTGGAAGTATCACCGGCTGGGGGATTGTCGTAATTATTGGTATGGTATTGTTTGTTGCCTCATATGCAATTGGTATTGGTAATGCAGCCTGGGTTGGTGTTGAATTATTCTCAGACGTGAATGTTCGTTCAGTTGGTGCAATGTATGCAACTTGTACTAACTGGGCTGGTTCAATGGTTATCGCCTCCACCTTTTTAACTATGTTGGAAAAGATAACTCCAACTGGTACATTTTCCTTCTTTGCTGGATTGTGTTTCGTTTCCTTCCATTTTGTATACTTTTTGTTGCCAGATACTGCTGGTTTGGAATTGGAAGAGACCACTACGTTCTTAGCAAATGGATTTAATGTTAGAGAAGCATCTAGGTTGGCAAAACAAAGAAGAAAAGAATCCAAATTTACAAAGAGAGCAATAAATCCTTAAGTGCTTCTAATGACCCCCTCCTCCCTTAATTTATTAATGATTTTATAAAGATATATGTAGTTAATGTATATTGAATTGTAGTATGTTAGATTCGTTGATTTGATGAGGTGCGTGTACCGTGGATAAGAATTTATATGCCTGAAATTTTTCTTGGTTTTATGCCATGTAACACTCTTATTCATAACCACAACTTCATAGACTCCTAGTGACATTGTCTAGCTTTCAGAATAATATTATTCTTATCACAATCCAATTTACAACTTTATAGAACCATATCATTCAAGTTTGAATATTCAACAAATACTGCACATACAAGTAGAAAAATACGATTAATTGTTGCATCACACTTACTGAATCCGGAATAATGACAGACACTTCATCTAGCATACCGAGTGCTACGAACAATCACCAAAATCGAAAAGTAACACAGAAACCTCCCCACTTGCCCGATTCCAAAGGTCATATAAAAGAAATGAGCCGTCTTAAGGAATATGAAATAATCCAGAAGTTGGGGCAAGGTACTTTTGGGGTCGTTCAAAAGGCGAAGAGTAACAAGACAGGAGAGCTTGTGGCCCTAAAACAGTTGATTAATCATTCTGCAAAAGAAGGGTTTCCCATAACAGCCATGAGAGAAATAACAATCTTAAGACGTCTACATCATAAAAACGTCATTAATATAGTCGATATGATCTACGAAGAGCCAAAAGTGAGCAACCCAACAGAATTGATTACACAAAGAGGAGTTTTCTATACAGTCAGTCCTTATATGTCAAGTGATTTAGTAGGGCTCCTAGAGAATCCAAATGTAAACTTAGAGTTGGCCCAAATTAAATGCTTCATGCAACAATTACTTTATGGAATACAATATATTCACGAACAAAGATTTTTGCACCGAGATATAAAAGCAGCTAATTTATTAATTGATTTTAATGGGATATTGAAAATTGCTGATTTTGGATTAGCTAGAGTATATCATGGAGATATCCCAAAATTGGCACGAGGTCCAGGAGGAGGTGAACGGGCATATACTGGATTAGTCGTTACAAGATGGTACAGACCTCCTGAATTACTCTTGGGAGAGAGAAAATACACAACTGCGGTTGATCTTTGGGGAATAGGATGTGTATTTGCTGAGTTATTCACCCGCAAGCCGATTCTTGTAGGCAAGTCAGATGCCCATCAAGCACAGTTGGTATTCGAATTAGTGGGACCACCTTTGAACTGGCCTGAAGCTGCCAAATTACCCAACAAGACCGATTTCAATATCGGATTAACATGCAAGCGAAGTTTGGAGTCTAGGTTTGAGAATATAATACCGCTAAATGGCATCAAACTCTTAAGTGGCTTGTTGACCTTGGATCCTTTTAAGAGATTCAACGCATTGGATGCATTAGACCATGATTTCTTTATCAATGAACCTTTGCCAATGAAACCTGAAGAGTTACCCAAGTTTGAAGAATGTCATGAAATTGATAAAGAGAGATTCAAAAAATTAAGGAAGAACGGTGCAACGACAAGTGGATTCCACAGAGTAGACTCGCATCCTTCGATTGCTGAGCATTCTACAATACACAGAGGAGACTCACATTCTACAATTGCTCAACATCCTGTAGTTTTTGAAAAATCCAGAGCTGAATCCGAGGATAGATTCGAGAGTCGTTATGTCGGTACTACTCAGCGCAAGGTTGATTCCTACATCCCCAAACAGAAAAGCAGCAGTAATTTATCAACAACTGCCAGAATTCGGGAAAATGCAGACGACGATAGACGCAATAGATACGTTAATTACAGAAGCGTTACCTCCGAAAGTCCACAAAAACCAAGGAGCCCTTCAAAGGCAGACAGTACCCACTTGAAATCTGGTGGTTCATCTGAATCACCTCCAAGTCCCGTAAAGGATCTTCCAACAAAACCAAAATTTTCAATCTCAAATCAAAGCACAATAACCACGATCCCTGAGCCATCTTCAGCATCCAGCACAGCAAGCTCGGAATTACCTCCAAAACCCAGTGTGTATGAAGAATACCTGAAGAGGCAAACCAGTGATAATTTGACAAGTAAGATTCGCGGGGTAGGAACTGTAGCCAGTATTAGAAATAGGGCAGCAGTAGTCCCCACAGTAAAGGTGGATAAAGCTAATCCGCCCTCGAAAAAGCCTATTAATATATTCATGAGTACTCACAAGCGTCAACTTAGTGGGAATTCCCTACCCTTACCTTCGAAGAGAAAGAAATTTGTTGAAGAAATGGATCCAGAGAGTGAATTGAGCGAAATAGAGAATGATTTTACAAATAACGAAGAAGCTTCTTTGGAAGGATTTTTGGATATACCTGCATTCAAAAAGGATCTGGAATATCGAAAAGTGGCTAACGAAAAAGTAAAATATTTAAAATCAGAGAAAATAGAAAAGTAATACCATGGCTCAGAATGGTTCAAATGGAGTTAAACTCCACATAATTAGATAATGTCTTCTTTATATGTAGTTTTAGAAATATAGATGGGATTTAAAAAGGTAAATTTGTTCTTTTTTTTTTCTTTAAACGGTGTCGATTAAATTATACACTAAAATTATAAACTAAAATATATAAACTGATACTGACCCTCTGATACATATAGGGCATAACGTTCTGTAGAAATGGTAAAAACCTTTTATAGGCACTTAGGTGTATGATAAAAGCAACGTAAGTAGTGTGAGAGTCCAAGACCAGCAGGACTGGGTTGTATGTTCGTTTCCTAATTTGTCACTATTTCCGAAAAGTTAAATTCTGAGTAAGCCGAGTTCGGCCACAATTGCAAAAATTGAGTGCCGATTTCGAGTAACTGATGGAAAAGATTACAAATTGAATCATATTTTTCCACTTAAAAAAATTTACACAAACATTAATTGTTCCTCTATATTGTATTGAATAGGGTCTGTTATCGAACTCTTGTTAGATATAGCACAGATATTGGATTAGTACAATTATCAGAATCTGAATTTTTAGTTGTAAATTTATTAGTATAAATCAGTATAATCCATTTGCATTTTAACAACTCAAGCGTAAATCCAGAAACTTAAAGATCAAAATGGCTGATTTGACAGACTACTTTTCATTTCAAGCATTTCTAATTGTATTAAGAGAAACCTTGGAATCTGCAATTATTATATCAGTGTTGCTTGCTTTTCTTCATCAAACCTTTGTAACAAAACCTAAGACCAAAACAAATCCAGATGGGACCTACCAAAGTATTGAAGATCAAGCTTCCTCGTCATTGCAAGATACCAATAAAGCAGAAGAGGACATTTGCAATGAGGAAATGTATCGATATTTAAGATACCAGGTTTGGATTGGTGGTTTATTGGGACTAGTTGTGTGTTTGCTTATTGGAACGGTGATCTTGGGAGTCTTTTATATTCTTGGCAATGATTTATGGTCTATAGCCGAACATTATTGGGAAGGCTCGTTTTCAATACTTGCCAGTATTATCATTTCAATAATGGGTATCAAGATCCTTCGAGTGAACAAGATGCAACAAAAATGGAAAATAAAGCTAGGTAGGATCCTCAATCAGTCCGGATTCCTAGCCAGGGTTCGGTTAGCCTCTGAGCAAACCAATAAAGAACAAAGCTGGGGGACCAAACTAGGAACGTGGGCAGAAAAATACAACATGTTTATACTTCCCTTTGTAACCACTCTTAGAGAAGGAATGGAGGCAATTGTGTTCATTGGAGGGATAGGAATTAATGAGAACACCTCAAAATGGGCAATAATTAACTCGGTTGTATCAGCAATAATTATTGGATGTTGCATAGGTGTGTTTTTATATAGATCAGGAAACTCATTGTCTTTACAATGGTTCTTAGTAAGTTCAACGTGTTTCTTATACTTGGTTGCAGCTGGATTATTTTCAAAGGGGATCTGGAATTTCGAGTTGCAAGGATTTATTAACCAATGTGGTGGTTTTGATGTAAGCGAAACAGGACATGGCCCCGGTTCATATGACGTTATGAAGAGTGTATGGCACGTTAATTGTTGCAACGGTGAATTGCAAGAGGATGGTGCATTATGGATGATTGTTACTGCAGTATTCGGATGGACCAATTCAGCCACTTTTGGAAGTGTTATCGGTTATAATGTATATTGGTTTATCATAATAATTGTCTTTTCGGGTCTTCTTTATGAAGAAAGGCATGAATATTTACCGATTGTACCGCGTTCGTGGCAGCAGAGAAGAATTCAGAAAAGACAATCTCTTTATCAAGCAGTGGCTAGCGAAACTTCAAATAATAGAGCTAGTGTGGATTCGGTGAATTCTGAAACGCCGTTAAGATAGCCAATGGTAGAAAGGGAATGTTGCAAAATTTTCTACGACGCTTGATTTACGGGCAAATGTGCATTATTTTTTAGGGACTTTGTTTGCTGTTTATTTATTCGACTGAATTCTTAACTATTAACTTGTGATCCTTTTGATCTTTTTGATAATTTTTTAACACAATAGCATCTGTTTCACCTTGACCGCCTCTTAATAAAAGGACAGAAGGAATGAAACCAAAAAATAAAACGAACAATGGGGCTTTATTTTTATCTGAAAGATCTCTTCAAGTCTTATGTTGATGATTACTCCGAATATCCTGGTGCAAAATTTGCCATGTCTCTTTTTCTAATTATGTGACCACTAACTGTGTAAGTAGTCATCCTTATCTTTTGAAACCTTTAGATAGACAATTGTGTCAGGTCCGAAATCAAGTGTAGACGGATGATTCAAATGTTGCGCCTTTATATTTTTGTGCTTATTCTTACCTATCTTTGTAACAAATGTTTTTTTAGAAATTTTCCGAGGCTCCTGATTCATTTCTACAAAATAAGTAAAATTTTTTTGCTCATTGTATTAGGTTATTGTGTTATTTCTGAATAACGACTTGAGAAATTTTACGCCAAAGGAATCTAGTCAATTAAAACAGCAACTGAAAGGGTCTCTAAACATCGACTACTCTTCCAGCAGCATTTATATTTCAAACTATAGCCGAATGTAAGTAATCTCTAGAAGATGATTGGCACCTATCAATTTTTTTTCTTGGTGGTGTCAAAATGCAGCAAATCCGAATTCTTGGCAGGTCCCGCGTTTGGAGAAAAAATAAAAAGTTCAATTTTAAGAGAGATTCTATACTGAAGCTAAGAACAAAAGAACCAATAATCGCAAAGCGAAAATTCGCTCTATTCAACACCCCTAGACTCTTGGGGATGACTCCACAAAATAAAAATTTACCTATACAGTCAAGGAGGATAACTTCATCCACTAGGCATTTTGTACGTAGTGAATCGGAATGGCTTTTCGGAAATTTTTTCGTAATTGACTCATTGAAAATATTCAATTAAAAAATAAAATATTTTATCTGCAAATTCAACAGTTTTGTGCTGAAAATTTATTTTTTAGATGAGAAAGATAACTTGTTCGAAATAAAAAAAAGTGAGTAGTTTGCACCAATCGATGAACTTGCTTCGGCAATGCATATTGTTAATTAAATGAAGAATGGCTTACTACCGGGGGAAAAGCTTTTTCATTGATTAATGACTTCTTCACAATTGGGCTTTTCCAACAAGTATATAAATAGGAAACTTTGTCTTCTCTTGTTTCCTTTGATTTGATTACCGTTTAGTAAAGTTTGTTCACAGCAGATCTCAAACACTCAATGAAGCTTTATTCATACTTAATTCTCGTTACATTATATTTGTTAGGAGCAGAGGCTAAGCCTTCTCCTTTTACAAAGTATGGTGATTCAATAAGTTTGTATGCCTGCAACTATCAAATAAACGTAGATGTTCTGTTTTGTCCAACTGCTTTCAACTATACCTGTTTGTGTCAAGATGAAAATGCTCTAGCCACTTACGCCGGATGTCTTGCTTACAAGAACAGAGACAGTCATGCGGCACAAGAAGCCCTTATTGAATTCTGCAAAGGTACTGAACTCGACAAGAATTGGTATGCTCCTGCTATCAAAAGATATGAACAATATGCCAAGTCTGCTTCCGAAATCAAGAACTTCAACAAAACTGTTCCTATCGATGTTCCATTTAAATTAAATGTCACTAGAATGAACCTTTTTAATGATGCTTATATTCAATTTTTAGGTAACTACGATGACTCTTTACTATATGGTACCTCAACCTTGATGTATTGGTTGTTGATAATGGTCATTGGTGCAATAAGTCATTGGTCCAAGTTCTTATTCCCTGGTTTTTACAGAAAGCTCACTGGTCCTATTACCAACTATTGGAGAAAGCATGTATTAATGCCTGCTTTGTTCGGAAGAAGAAAATCTCAGGAATTGTACGCTTGGAAGATTCTTGACTGTTTGCTTCCATCCAGGTTTGAATCTGTCGCTATAGGTGCTTTCTACATCTTCATTATTGTCATACAAGCCATTAACATGGATTATGTTGAAGGCGATCCAGTATTTGCTTCCAAATATGAAGCTACCTTGAGATATGCTTCTGACAGAACAGGTATCGTTGCTACAATTATGATGCCTTTGATTTTCTTGTTTGCTGGTCGTAACAACATTTTACAATGGATCTCTGGTTACAACTATGCTACATTCATGGCCTTCCATAGACATACAGCTAGAATCATGTTTGTGTTGATTGTTATCCATGCTGTAGGTTTCAGTATTTCGTTTGGTGCTTCCTATGCTAAAGATATGGAAGAAAATTACTTAATCTGGGGAACAGTTGCAACTGTTGCTGGTGGTATTATTTTGTTTCAAGCTATGTTATTTTTCAGAAGAAGATGGTATGAGATCTTTTTGTTTATCCATATCTTAATGGCTGTCTTTTGGGTTATCGGAGCCTGGTACCATATCTATGGTTTGGGATACTTGGTATTTGTCTATCCAACTGTAGCTGTTTGGGCTGCCGATAGAGCAGTGAGACTTGGTCGTTTATTAGTATTTGGTTTCCCAACGGCAGATGTCATCTTGTTAGCTGACGAAACCATTAAGGTAGTTGTTCCTAAACCAAGCTATTGGCACTCCATCCCAGGTGGCCATGCTTTTATTCATTTCTTGAAGCCTACTTATTTCTGGCAATCCCACCCATTCACTTTTACCGATTCTGTGGAAGAGAAAGAATACATCATCTTATATGTTAAAGTTAAGGGTGGCATCACTCACAGCTTGTATCAATTACTTTCAAAGACTCCAGGAAAGGCGGTTAAAATGAAAGTTGGTATTGAAGGTCCATACGGGGAAGCAACTCCTGCCAAGACATCTGACTCTGCTGTGTTTATTGCTGGTGGTAATGGTATTCCAGGTATATACTCTGAAGTCGTAGACATTGCTCTCAGAGCTGGTCAAAATTGCAAGAAGGTTTTGAAGTTAGTTTGGGTTGTCAGAGAATACAGATCATTGTTTTGGTTTTACGACGAGCTTACCAGCTTGAAGAATGTTAACATTCAAACCACCATCTACGTGACTAAGCCCGATAGTTTGGCTTGCATAGAAGAATTCAGCAGTAGATTTTCTGGTTCAGAGTCAGGCTCTTTTACTGGAAGTGAAAAGGATTCTTCAAAAGAGAATGGTGAATTTATATCTGATAACGAAAAGGTAGAAATAGTCGAACGGATCAAAAGAGACTTATCTCATATTGAGTTTAAGGATGGTAGACCAAACATTGAACAACTCGTTGCGGAAGGAGTTAATCAATCGCCTGGATCAACTTCTTTCGTTGCTTGTGGTCATCCAGCTATGGTTGATGAAGTTAGATATTCTTGCGTCCAGAACATCAGTAATGAAGGCAAGAAAAGAGTGGATTTCTATGAACAACTTCAAGTGTGGGCTTAGGGGATTGTATAAAGTTTTTAAGTATTTAGTTAATTTATCGCAGTTTATTTAATATTATTATTCATATTGAAATGCAGTTTAGACAATGGCAATATAGTAAAACATCCTTGGGCTTTTCGTTCTATAATGCTGCAAAGAGACATTTAAGCGAAACTTGTATGATCATCGCTCCACCCAAACACCACTGATAGGTAAAAGACGGGTAAAACACCTCTATGGTTTCGCAAGTCACAAGCGGGGTATTTTAGCGACTTCAGGATAGAATCATAGCTCGTAGTTAGTGAATTACTACAACCAATCCCTGTATAGAGAAAAACGAATAGTGAGATTTAACGAGTTGATTTTTTTGATAAAAAATAAAAAAATAATTAATGTCTAAAAAATATCTTTGGAATTTCAGCATAAAAAATATATGGTTAAGTATCTAATACCATAAGCCCTGATTGGCTATATTTTTATTCTACAAGCCTCAATATGCTTTTGACTCTGTTATAATCCAGAACAGCAAATTGAAAAATTGGTTTGCTGTAGGGTCGCTTTTTTCTCCCTAAATCGACATTCATCGGCTTTGCTTTAGAATCTCTTTGATTGGCTCGAACACCTTTCATATATCAATAACTTGGATGGCAGGAACTGCCCCTTGCATAGTTCCATCAGCAGAAGATACCGCATACTGAAGACCGAGGACCCTTCTCCCACGTCCGAAAGATCACTTGGCAAAGTGCTACTTAAACCATGGGTTAAGGAAATAAATATAGAAAAGGAAGGAAATGGAGTTAGTTTCAACCAATTGAAAATTGATTCTATTTGAAACCCTAGAGAGTTAATTCTGGGGAGAATATACAACGAGAGAGTCTATTACGAAAGGCTGATTTGTTAAAATTAGCCGAACTTTCCAATTTTCAGAGATGCTATTGCGTCACAAAAGAGATATTTCAACAGAACAACCTTATTTTAGATGATTAGCTATTATAACCATTTTGCTTCCATAGCCACGAGAATTCAATATCATCTCAGAGCTCCCGACATACCAAGAAGGACTCTCAAACCAATTACCGTTCAGTCTGCCAATATCCGTGAAGATAATACAGACCCTTATCTTCGCCAAGAAATTTAATTTGACATCGTAAATTGCAAAATTTAATTTCAGCACTGCCAAGAAGTTTCTATTCACTAGAGCTTATTCTGTAACTTCCCTATCTCCTAATAGAGAGAAGTAAAAAAAAGACATAGTAAGGCATGAAGGATCAACTCTAATAGGCAGAAGAGGATTGTTTAATGCACCAAGTGAAGTCCTTCAAATAAGACTATAAATATATGTAAATCCGCCTGCATTTTCAAAGGAAGACTGATAGTCGAATTATCTCATTTTGATATTATCCGAGGCACTTTCAAATCCTTGCAACTCCTTGCAACTGTTTATTCATTGACAACTATGACCCATAGTGAGAATCACTTACTTTAGAAATGCTTCTGCTCAGAAAACGGATAATCCTGAAAAGAAGAGGGTTGACTTTTATGAGCGGATGCAAGTCTGGGCTTGAGACTTCACTTTTATATAACTTCTTCTTTAATCAGATGAGGCTTAGATGATATGATCATTGCATCTCTCTGAAATAGCATTTATTATTGTTTTTAATCCTAAAGCATTTATCTAAAATTTTCAATTACATAGTATGCTCCATCTTCAAAACTTACGTTGCAATTCGAATCTTAATTCTTGTACTGTGAATGTGCTATACCCTCACTCATAAAATATAGAGAAGGAAAGAGGAAAAAGTACGATAATTCAAACAGAGTTTTTTCCCGTTATTTTAGGTTTTACGAAAGAAAATTTTTATTTTTTTACATGCATGGCGCATAAAAAATATATTTCCAACTTATCTGATTGGATCAACTTCACAAATGGTCAACTGGTAGACAATAACCCCCTCTTGTTCAATGAACCCCCTTATCTAAGAAGTTATGTATAGACTAAATCTCTATGTTGCACAGGAGATCTACCAATTCTGGTACCCATAGATGGCACTAAAGAGCTTGCTTTGCAATACAAATGAGCCTTCGTTGAAGAGTCAAAAAATGCCAAGCTTGAGTTTGGAAGAAGGGCAGGTGGGATCTGCGCTTAAGCTCAAAAAGAAAGCAGGCACCCTCGTTTCCCTGTGCACACAATGGAATACCATGCATGATTGTCTCATTGCCATCTGTTCTTGGATTTCATTGTTTTTTTAGAATATTTTTGAATGATTTGTTAAGTGGCTTGCTTGTGATTGGCTCTTTCCCCGTTTCTTTGTTCTTGCCATGCGTCACTACCGGAGGTTTAAATTGATTTCAACTTTCTTCCTGACTATTTCAAAACAACCAACAATGGAATGGGAACGCGTCTTATCGCTATTTTTAAAGGAGGTACCTCAGGAACAAAGCGATTCCACTAGTTTAAGAAATGCACTTGGTAAATGCATAAAAAACTTACTCGGTCGCTCAGTTAATTTTTTTAATTCCAGCCGCGCGCATCATAATAGGTTGCAAATAATCAAAATAAAAAGTTAACTAAAAAATATCCCCTCAGATAAACTATAATTTGATCATGAAACAATGGTGTTTAGGATTTTTGACTTTGGAAACAGGGATTAAAGATATTACTCAATTATCACCTAAAAATGCAGTTTGACTTGAAGGGAATGCACTCAGAAAATATGAACTGATGCCAAGTTAGGCCATTTGGCAGCCGGATAAAATGCATGACCCCTAATTAGATTGATGTCTGGAATTTGTCAAATTTAAGGGTGTGATAAACTCGAAAGTTTAAGCCACTCTTAATGGTTGCATTTAAAAATATTCGTAAGAGGCATTGTTCTTTTGAAAGCAAACATTTGCACTAGAAGTGATGCCATCCCCCCTTTATGGATTACCCAACTATAAATATCAAACGTGTTTCCTGAATAGAAGGAAAACTGGTCAATAAGATGATAAGACCATCAGAGATGATTTTCCTTTTATATTTGCTCATCTTTTTACTTCCAGCTTAGGCTCAAAAGAATCTTCCATACGAGCCATATACATACTCTAGGCATGTCTATGCATGTAACCTCCAGATTAGTTCTTCAGTTTCCTTTTATCCAACTAAATTCAACTACACTTGCTTGTGTTCCAATGAAAATGCTTTAACTACATATGCTGGCTGATTTGTTGGTAGTAATATCAACAAAACTAGGGTTATTGACTTCATGTCTACTTTCTGTAAGGAGCAAGGGTTTGCTGAGCTTCCTCATAATTGGTTTGAGAAGTCTTATGAATTATATCTTGACGGCGCCAGGCCAGCTTCCGAGATTCCAAATTTTAATATGAGTGTCCCAATTGATGTACCTTTCAAAATTAATACTACTATTACCAAAACATACATTGACTCCTATAATATATTTGTTGGTAATTATGATGATTCATTGTACTACGGTACAGAAACTTTGGGATACTGGGCGTTGATTGTTATTATTGGAGCTATTTCAAACTGGTCCAAGTTCATATTCCCTGGTTTTATAAAATCACTTACCGGTCCCTTTTCAAATTATTGGAGGAAATATATTTCCATGCCAGCTATCCTATAGTGAAGTTGAAGAAAGACGGATAATGCTAGGATTCTTGAAACTATTAAATCTAATTTGTCCCATGTTGAATTCAAGCAAGGTAGACCAAATCTTGAAGAATTGGTTGTCGAAGAAATTCATGAATGTGCTGGGTCTGTTTCTTTTGTTGTTTGCGGTGCTCCAATGATGGTCGATGATGTAAGATACTACTGTACAGAGAATATCAATAATGGTGAGAAGAAGAGAGTTGACTTCTACGATCAACTGCAAGTTTGGGCGTAGTTTGTTTTCTATTGTAATTACTGTTTTAATTCCTATATAGTAAGTCTATAGTATTTGAGCAAAGTTTTTCTTGCTGTTATAAATCTTAGGGTTGATAAAATAAATATGTAAAATCTTTCTGTCGCTTGGTATTTTATTTTTTGGAAACGTCACCTACTAAATTAGCTTGTCTTTCCATATTTAAATTCGTCTCAACCTATTTTAGGAGTCTCTCCACAACTTGCTATTGCAGCTAAATGCAGTGGTGCAGATGAGGTTGTGAAAGATGTGTTCATATTTTCACCGTCTAGATTGCCCGGGAGAATTGAACACATAAAATAGAATAATGAGACGGCACGAACGGAGGTGAAATACAATGAAAGCATAAAATGTTTTTGCAATTCACTTTTACGAGAAAAATATATTATTTTTTAACATCTTATGCATAAAAAATATAATTGATTAATCTTATCTGATTGGATCAATTTGAGAAAGGGCAAATGTGGTATGGAATACAATAACCCCGGTGCTCCTCGGACTTAAACTGTGAACCGACCAACGCATTCTATTTGACTTTAGATACTACACTCGCAGCATTGGATTGATTAGCTTAAAGCACATCCAAGTAAGACTGTGAATCCTTTCCTGGTGAGCCGGAGAAATAATTAGCTAGCCTTAAGAAGAACAAAAATTTTGGAAGCCACGTCCAGAATCAAAATATATAATTCCTCGCTTTCCTTGGTAAACAATGGACAGTAATTCATGATTGTCATATTGTCAGTTACTTTTGCTTCATTATTTCTTGGAATATTTTTAAGTGATTTATTTAATGGCTTGCTCCTGATTGGCTTTTTCCCCGTTTCTTTGTTCCTAGAATACATTTTCCATTGTGGTTTTAGATGCATTAGATCTGTTAAATGGCTTTTCCTATCAAGAAAATCGTTTATTAATGTATATGTGGTTTCCTCGAGCTATCCAAAGGGGGGACAACTTAGGAGCAATATGTTTTCAACCTGATTTAATGAATGCATATGGCAAAAGTATGAACGTAACCTTTAAATATCTTCAGCCGCACCCAATAAAACTAGGATTGCAAATCTACGTTATAATTAGAAAAATCCCCCCCCCCTCACAAGTTTAATTCTTTCATCCTGAAACAATGCTCCTAACACTTTGTGGCTCTTCTCATGAAACTACGCAAAGCTGATAGCCCGTAACGTTTACTTGCAAGCTAGTCAAAACTGATTTCCTGTGTAAGGAGAATCCTAAGAGATCATGTTCTAACAATTCACTTCAATGTCGGCTAAATCGTACGTCCTCTTATTGATTCTTATGATTTCAAAATGTTCAGATTTGGGGGAGTGGAAAATCCTATGGTTTTAAGCCACCATTCATTTAAATATTTAAAAATATTCGTAGGGCTTATTGTTCGACCCACGGTAACACTTCTACAATATTGAGAACACCCCCTAGCTCTCTTTTCAGCATAAATATCCACCAAATCTCCTTGAAAAATGGAAAATTGTTGAATTGGAATCAAAGCTGCCAAAAATGAATTTCCTTTCTTATTTTGCTCTTTTTATCCTTTCTGTTTCCGCTCAGAGAAATCTCCCTTATGAACCATACACATATTCCAGGTTCTTCTATGCCTGCGATGAACAAATCTATGCTTCCGTTTCCTTCTGTCCAGAAGCTTTCAATTACACTTGCTTATGCGGAAACAAGAATGCCCTAGCAACGTATGCTGGTTGTTTTGTTGAAAGCGGTCATAACAAGACTAGGGTTACCGACTTCTTGGCTTCATTCTGCAAGGACTACGGATTTGTTGAACTTCCTAAAGACTGGTTTCAAGAATCTTACCAATATTATGTTGACAATGCAAATTCAGCTGACGAAATCTCAGACTTTAATATGACTGTTCCAATTAATGTTCCGTTTAAAATTAATGCTACTGAAACCAACGTTTACATTGATTCCTATAATATATTTGTTGGTAATTATGATGATTCATTGTACTATGGTGCTGCAACTTTGGGATATTGGGCTCTAATTGTTATTATCGGAGCTATCTCGAACTGGTCCAAGCTTTTGTTTCCAGGTTTGGTGAAATCTCTTACTGACCCATTTTCGAACTATTGGAGAAAGTATATTTCCATGCCGGCTATGTTCGGAAAGAAGAGAGCAAGAGAACAGAAATTTCTTTGGGTGCTTGATTTCTTAATTCCTTCCAGATATGAGTCCATTGTTATTTTTATATTCTATATTTTGATAATTGCTATTCATTCCATGAACATGACATATATGGAAGGTGATCCAATATTCCCTAAGAAGTATGATGCCTTAATGAGATATGTTTCCGACCGAACTGGTATCGTCGCAACCATTATGATGCCATTGGTATTCTTATTTTCAGGAAGAAACAACTTCTTGCAATGGGTTACAAGATGGAATTATGCTACTTTCATGGCATATCATCGTCATATTGCTAGAATCATGTTTGTGCTTGTTGTAATTCATGCTGTTGGTTTCACTATTACTTTGGAAAGTTATTATGCTGCAGAAATGGCCGAGACATACATGATTTGGGGTACGTTTGCAACCGTAGCTGGCGGTCTTATTTTAGTTCAAGCAATGCTTTATTTGAGAAGAAAATGGTACGAGGTTTTCTTAGTTATTCACATCATTTTGGCGGCATTCTGGTTAGCTGGTACATGGGTTCATGTTGACGAGTTAGGATATGTCTGGTTTGTCTATCCTGCAGTCGCGGTTTGGTGCTTCGATCGCTTGGGGAGAATTATTCGTTTGGTAGCTTTCGGGTTCCCTATAGCTGATGTTAGTTTAGTTTCCGAAGAGACTATCAAGGTAGTAATTCCTAAACCAAGCTATTGGCATTCGATCCCTGGTGACCATGCGTTTGTGCACTTTATGAAACCAGCGTACTTCTGGCAATCTCATCCATTCACTTTCACTGATACTATCCATCACGAAAACAAAATTGTTTTCTACACTAAGGTCAAGAAGGGTCTCACAGCTAGATTATTTCAAACCTTAGTTCTGATCCCAGGGAGAGCAATTAAGATGAAAGTGGGTGTGGAAGGTCCATATGGAGAAGCAACTGCAGCAAAGACTTCCGACACGGCTGTTTTCGTAGCTGGTGGAAATGGTATTCCAGGAATTTATTCAGAGATTGTTGATATTGCTGAAAAAGCAGGACAGAACAGTAAGAAGATTTTGAAATTATTTTGGGTTATCAGGGAATACAAATCATTGTTGTGGTTTTATGAAGAACTCCGTCTTTTGAAAAATTCTGGAATTCAAACTACTATCTACGTTACCAGGCCGGACAACCTTTCACATCTTGAAGAATTCAATGGCAGTTCAAAAGTTGTAGCAGAGAGCGATTTGATGGAAGGTACTGACAAGGAAAGAGAGAAGGATGTTGCTATACAAGAGAATATCAAGCATGAAAGATCCGATAGTGAAGTTGAAGACAAGACGGATAATGCTAGGATTCTTGAAGCTATTAAATCTGATTTATCCCATGTTGAATTCAAGCAAGGTAGACCAAATCTTGAAGAATTGGTTGTCGAAGAAATTCATGAATGTGCTGGGTCTGTTTCTTTTGTTGTCTGCGGTGCTCCAATGATGGTCGATGATGTAAGATACTACTGTACCAAGAATATCGATAATGGTGAGAAGAAGAGAGTTGACTTCTACGATCAACTGCAAGTTTGGGCTTAGTTTGCTTTATAATATTAAATATTGTTTTTGGTATATAGCCAGTCTATAAAAAGAATGCTTCATTATAGCTGCCAAACGATTCTCTATTGGCGGCTACACATTATCTATCTGATCAAACATTTCATCAACCGAAGCCCCCAAGTATACCTTTAGAGTTTTTCTTGTTGCTGGTAAAATCTTACATTTAACCATTGTTACAGTCTCTGATTTTTCTTTGTCTATACGATCATATGCTTGAAATCTATGACAACCTCCAAAGGCAAAATAATAATCCTTACCCAGTTCTCTAACTTTGAAAACATCTATTGGAGGTAGTTCACCTGATGTTATTTCTTCTATTCCACAGGTTGCGGAAGCTTGGGGAATTCCTTTTAAGGTAGAAACCATAGCATCAATTTTCTGATAGTCGAGAACTGGGGGGATTGGTCGTCTAATTTGATTTAGTGGAACATATTCTACTTTTAGATGAGTCGATTGTAAAGACATATTTTTTGTTTTTGATATTAACTTAAGAAAAGAGCTGAGATGAAATATTTGTTTATGTTTTTCACCAAATTACTCAAATAAAAAATCTAGATTTGGGTCCGCGATTACTTTTTGTTGTTTACTATTGAGTCATGCATTTCCAAATACATCCCCCCCCTTTAAAAACAGTCTACAAAATCAAAAGGTGATCATAATATACTTATAAGTTGATCACAAGAAGAGACCATTTATTGAAATTGGTTGCCAAGCAGAAATCGTTAAGAAAGGTAAAACCTTAATTTGTTCTCATACACTCCTTATCTCCGAATTTCGGGATGAAGCTATTTTGGCTTGGAACCCTACTGTGGAACGATTTTTAAACCAAGAGCACATTTACCTTGTCTTGAAAATCAACAGAGACCTTTAGAATACAGAAATAGAGAAATAGCCAGAGTAGGAATTACTGTTGTTACGTGATTAGATTGATTTGTTGAAGCACGTGACCTATATTTTATCAATTCCATCAGCAAATTTCTTTTTTAACTTTATTAAAAAGCCTTTCCGTTTTAAGATCGATGTCCGATTCGGTAAAAATTTTTGTTTGATGAAAAAGATAAAAATATCCACAAAAATTAAAAAACCCATTGATCAACCTTTCTTTCTTCTAAAAATTTAGTCTTCTTTTTTGATCCTTTTTCTATTTTGCAAATCTTCTATACATTATACATTATACACACATAGACTAAGGATGTACTATCTACTAGTATACTTATCCATTGTATTGCTACTATTTATATCGCTATTACTGATAGCCATTTCCAAGCTCGACAATCATGCATTACTTCGAAAGATCAGAAACTACTTGACAATAGGATTGGTCATATCAACCTTACTTTCATTCACTCCCAAATCAGCAAAAGATAGTGCACCCTTTCATAAATATGGGAAAGCCAAAGTCGCATTCTTTGGATGTAATTTTCAAATTATGACAACTGCCAGATTCTGTGATCTTTCCACTGAAGAATTTGAATGGTGCTATTGTCACAATGGAAATGCATTTGCTACTATTCTTCATTGTTATGATTATGGTCATCCAGAGCAAATGAATTCACTTTTGGGAATGTGTCGATATGAATATAATATAACAATATCTGAAGAAGACCTTGAACGAAGCCGTGAGTATTATGCATCCCACGCTAAGTCAATAGATGAGATCCCAGATTATTCCCCAGTTAAAATAGTGGATTTCCCGGTCAAGTTAGATGAATCCAGAATAGAGATATTTACAGGTTCATATGAACTGTTTTTAGGAAACTATGACAGATCAGTCGAATATGGGAATTACTTGGTTTTATATTGGGCAATTATATTTGCGTTGGTTGCAATTGGAAATTGGTCAAAATTTATCTTGCCCGGATTTCACACGAGATTAACTGATCCGGTTACAAATTGGGTTAGAAAGAATATCACTTTACCTGCAACCTGGAACAAAAATAAAACAACAGAAGTACCTTTTGCAACAGTGTTGGATATGCTAGTTCCCACCAGACAAGAATCGTTAATCCTTACTTCGTTTCTCGGCTTGTCCTTATATTTTATGATTAACGACATACATTATTTTAAGAATGATATCCTTTTTCCTACCAAAGCAAGCGCAATGTTGAGGTACTATGCAGTTAGGAGTGGGATGCTTGCATCCCTGATGATGCCACTCTTGGTGTTATTTGCAGGAAGGAATAATATCCTACAAACAATTACAAGGTGGGATTATTCCACATTCATAACTTTGCATCGTTGGCTTTCAAGAATAGTATTCTTTATGGTTGTGGTCCACGGAGTACTCTATTCATTATATTTTGATCCATACTTAGAGAAAATAAAAGAAGCTTTTATCGTTTGGGGTATCATTGCAACTATTGCAGGTGGATTTATTATGATACAAGGATTGTTGGTCCTTAGAAGAAAATGGTACGAAATGTTTTTATTCATCCATATCGTTCTCGCTCTCGTGTTTATCCTTGGAGCTTGGGTTCACGTTAAAGATTTGTTTTGCGTTTGGTTCTATTATTTTACAGCTATGGTGTGGTTATTCGACAGAATTATCAGAATCGGTAGCATTTGGACATTCGGATTCCCTGAAGCAAAGGTATATTTAATCGCAGACGAAGCTCTAAAGGTAGTCGTACCGAAACCAGAGTATTGGGAAGCTATCCCTGGTGGACATGCTTTTATTTATTTTCTCAAACCTGGATGCTTTTGGCAGTCACATCCATTCACATATACTATATCCCCAACAAATGATGAAATTAATTTATTCATAAAAGTAAAAGGTGGGATTACTAAATCATTGTATCATGACTTGTGCACCCGTAAAGACAGATATGCCAAGATTAGGGTTGCAATAGAGGGTTCGTATGGAGAACAAACACCAGCAAGTCGATATGATAATGCAGTTTTCATTGCAGGTGGGAATGGGATTCCAGGTATTTTTGCAGAAGCAAACGATTTGATCACAAGATCACATCGTTCCAAATTGGTTAAGTTAATATGGATCATTAAAGAATATAAGAGCTTGTGCTGGTTTTATGAAGAATTATTATCACTAAAACACAAAAACATTGATGTTACTGTTTATGTCACGCGTCCACACACACCTGCAATCCCCAGCCATTTCGAAATGGCTCATTTCTGTCATTCGACGAATTCAGCCCCGAGATTCAGGCATTCAAGGACACTGGAAGGAAGACGCGAAGAAGAACACGCGTATTTTTCAAGTGTGTCCATATTGGGCAGCGAGGTGCTGGAAGAAGACAAACACATTCACACATACGATGATCCATTAGGGCCACTCATGTCGCTGTCCAAGAAAATATTGGGGTATAATGCCACATCTGAATATAGTCCAGATATCGTGCTTGTTATGCACGGTGACGCACCGAGTCTGAGCTTGGAATTTTTGCAACCAGAACAATTTACGCAATTGATTAATCACATTAGGAAAGACCTCTCGCATATTAACATCCGAGAAGAAAGACCAAATGTTGAATTGCTAGTAAAGTCTAATATAAAAGAATCCCCGGGATCGACATGTTTCGTAACTTGTGGTCACCCGGCAATGGTTGATGAGATTAGGGCACTGGTTGTCAATAATATAGACAATAATGAAAAGAAAAGAGTAGACTATTTTGAACAACTTCAAGTATGGGCATAGAGGGTTAAAAGTTTTCCGTATAGACTATTTAGATTTTTAGATTTTTAATGATATGGTATTGTGTTATTCCGGATAATCCAACTTTACTCAAAGTAGATATATTCTCATTGGGAAATTTTCCAGAAATCGAAGGTTTAAGGTTTAGATCATTTACCACTTTTTCCTAAATGTGTAGCCCTACCATCTTACGTTTTTCCGTTGAAACAACATGATCTGGTATCCCAAGAAAAAAATATAGAACACTATTCTTCTATTTAAAAAGCTTCGCCATTGAATTCTTTCGATGGGTTAGAAGACCCGAAAAAGAATCAGCCATTTTTTGTGAATGTAACATCAAACTAATTTTATTCAATTTTGGTGTTGTTTTTATCAATTCATCTAAATACTTAAAAGAAGCTATCAAAACAATAGCAAAGAATTATTCCTACAAAAATGAAACAATAATGGCATTCTTACTACAATGAACCAATCGTACGGTTTGTTCCATGGGGATCAATTGTTCTATTGTAAATCGTTTTTTTCTTAACAAGGCGTTCTTAGGCATTCGACCCTTGAGTTGTTTTCTTGTTTTTGTGCTTTTTCTTGGACCAAAACTACCTCATTTCCACTTACCCATTTCGTTGCACGTAGGACACTCACACTTGTGCTATACTTGTAATGTCAGTAAAAAATCGTACGTGTTTATGGATAGGTGTTAATTTGTCATCGGATTATTTCGTAAGTGTCAATTAGAGTTCATCGTAGATTTTCGGAAAAATCAAGAATCTTATTATTTGTGACACATTTAAAATATTGGTACGTCTTGTGGTGTGCATGCAATGAATGACCTAAGAAAACACATGTTTCTTTCTTTTTCTTTTTCTCCATACAGTCAATTGTTTCAATTCCAAAACAACATGGGGTATTTACTTTCTTAGAACACACCCCAAACAACATCAGGTGCGAATGTGTTTCGCCCTGTATTTTAAATTATGAATAGAATTGGCGAATTCATAAGTTGTACATTTGTTACATTCTTGGTTTTTTGAAGTAAAGTGAAACAAAAATTTTAATTTCTTTTTTCTTTTGTGTAATTTGCGTGCAGCCTCTCCTGATTATTTTTTGAAAAGTTTTTCCGGATGAAATAATAATTTATTTTTTTCCATTGTTTTATTGTGAATAACCTTCTTTTTTCCTTGAATTTGTATCATAAAATGGAAGTAAATTTTCCGGTGGCATCATGAAATCCAAGGTTTCATTGGCGTCAGTAGCCTCAAACTAGACTCTAACTTGGGGTGATCTTGCCTTATGCTCGCAGAACTCATCCCAAGAAAATAAATATTTTTATTTTTGATTTTGAGTGGTAACACTGGCTTTGGTTTTGTGGTCATCGTATAATTGATATGCAATATGGTGACATCAGATTGCCCTTTCCCCCGAGCCCCATTCAGGTATAAATATCAAGGAAAATTTCCCCAAGGGGATCTGAAATTATTTCCTATTTCTTCACTACACTAATACTCCATTAAAAATAATAATGTCTACTCAAGAACAATTACCTGGGGAAAACACTCCCACAGCTAACTCCCTCATCGAAAAGGAAAGCAAAACCGACGACATCAACCAAATCGTCGCTGATGCCCTTGCTAACAAGACTTTCAAGGACTACTTTTTAATCTCATGTTTATGTTTCTTAGTTGCCTTTGGTGGTTTCGTCTTTGGTTACGATACTGGTACTATTTCAGGTTTCGTCAATATGACTGATTTCATTGAAAGATTCGGTTCAAGAGGTGCCGATGGTGTTGCCACTTTATCATCCATGAGAATTGGTTTAATGATTTCTATTTTCAACATTGGTTGTGCTCTCGGTGGTCTTGTTTTCGCCAAGGTTGGTGATATGAAAGGTAGAAGAATTGGTTTGATGTTCTCTATGGCCATTTATGTTGCTGGTATTGCTATTCAAATTTCTTCCCATGACAAATGGTACCAAATTATGATTGGTCGTTTCGTTACTGGTTTATCTGTTGGTATTGTCTCCGTCATTGCTCCTATGTTTATTGGTGAAACTTCTCCAAAGGCTGTTAGAGGTACTTTAGTTTGTTGTTTCCAATTATGCATCACCCTTGGTATCTTTATTGGTTACTGTTGTACTTATGGTACCAAGACCTTAAGTGACTCTAGACAATGGAGAATTCCATTAGGTTTATGTTTCCTTTGGGCTATATTCCTTACCGTTGGTATGCTTTTCATGCCAGAATCCCCAAGATTCTTGGTTGAAAAGAAGAGAATTGAAGACGCTAAGAAATCCATTGCTACCGTTAACAAGTTATCCACTGAAGACCCAGCTGTTTATGCTGAATTACAATTAATCCAAGCCGGTGTTGACAGAGAACAATTAGCTGGTAATGCCTCTTGGGGTGAATTGATTACTGGTAAGCCAGCCATTTTCAGAAGAGTCGTTATGGGTGTTTGTTTAGCTTCCTTACAACAATTAACTGGTATCAACTATTTCTTCTACTTTGCTACTACCATTTTCAAGGCTGTCGGTTTAGAAGATTCTTTCCAAACTTCCATCATCTTAGGTGCTGTCAATTTCCTTTCCACTTTTGTTAACATTTGGGCTATTGAAAGATTCGGTAGAAGATTATGTTTATTAGTGGGGGCTGCTGGTATGTTTGTTTGTCTTATCATTTACTCCGGTATTGGTTCTAAGGCCTTATACGGTACTGACAGTCTTGGTAATGAAACCACTAACCTTACCACTGGTAGAGCTATGATTTTCGTTACTTGTTTGTACATTTTCTTCTTTGCTTCTACCTGGGCTGGTGGTGTCTTCTGTATTCTTTCCGAAACTTACCCATTACGTGTTAGATCTAAGGCTATGGCTGTTGCTATTGGTGCTAATTGGTTATTAGGTTTCACCATTTCCCTTACCTCCTCATTCATTATTAATGCTATCCACTTCTACTATGGTTTCGTTTTCACTGGTTGTCTTGCTGCTGCCTTTGTCTTCATTTACTTCTGTCTTAATGAAACTAAGGGTTTGAGTTTGGAAGAAGTTGATGAACTTTACGCTCAAAAGATTCTTCCATGGAAGTCTGCTTCTTGGGTCCCACCATCCGCACAACACATGGCCAGCTCTACTGGTTACGCTAAGTCTTCTCAAGAACACTTAGTATAAGGATCGCCTGATACTTTGGCAATGAAAAAAATGATTATGATTATATGATAACAAACAATATTGGGAATTTACTTTTCTTTTCTATGCATATTTCACTTCTCTGTTTTATATTAGGCAGTTATATTCCATAGATAGTTAATAACAATAATAATATATAATTTTACAAACCTTTTATTGATAAGTCTCTATTACTCTATTCTACTCTATTCTATTCAATTGTAATACAAAAGTTATTTCTTGATGATCCAGCGTACATATTCTTTTTAGGGAATTTCATTCTTTTATTTATTCCCTCCAGTTTACCATTCCAATCAAATAACCAATATGCCACTTTTTTTGCTTCATAATAACATGTCTTTTCAAATCCTAATGAACTCATAATCTCAAGTAATAGTTTATTATCAAAATATCGCGAATTGGTTATACATGGAAGTGGCAATACCAAAAATAAACTACTCATACATCCATTAATTGGTTTCTTTAAAAATTTTGTCATTCTGATCAACATTTCACCTCTTTCTTGATGTGAAGGTACAAAATTTATCACCAATGAACATGATATAAGATTAAACCGTTCTTCATTATTCTTGGGTAATGGTCTTTCCATGAAATTCTCTTCAATAATTAATGGATCTTGTGAGTTTAAGTCTATTCGAACTATGTCATGAAATATTCCACTAGTGGAAATTACATTGTATGGACTTAGACATCCAATTTCTAATGCGTTTATGTTCGATAGTTTCTTTGAATATGGCTCTTCTTGAAGCCAATCGATTAATCTCTTAGAGGAGTCACCTCCTCTTTTTGTGGTCTGCCCCTGTGTAGAGGCGGATTGGTATGCTTCTATGCCACCTCTCTGTTTAATCTCAGCATCTATTCTTGCCAATGTCTTAATGAGATCTCGGTCACTAAGTGAATCATCGATTTTATAAACTTCAAGTTCGGAATAATTTTTGGGAAGTACAAATTTTTCAAAATATTCTGTATATATCACCTTTTCATTATCATTGAGTTGATCCTTATAAGTATCAATGTCGATTTCTTTGTTAAGCTTTCTAAGTCTGGCGAGTATGGAGTGACGATTTTTCTGTAGGATATGAAATCTTCGTATAATTTGTCTTGTGTGTTGGGGTTTCAAACTTTTCGGTATAGTTGACAAACTTTTCCCTGTAATAGTTCTTGGTCTCTTTAATAGCCCAGTTGATTTAACCTTTTTCTTTGCCATATTTCTTGAGTTGTTTGACGATGGAAGTTATTGAACTGATTGAGGTTTGATGCCTCATCGCACTAAATAATTTTTTTTGGTTCCAGATTTAACTATCGATGAGCTGGAAATTTTTAATTACCTTTTTCATTTCTTCAATACTTGCAAGCAAATACAACAATATAATGGCAGCTAATAAAGGAAAGGTTAAAAAGACAGCCAAGAAAGGAGGCAAGAACCAGGTCAAGAGAAGGACTCCTACTTTAAAGGAAAAGCACCAAAAAGAATCCAAAGTCGTTAGAGTGGACAATTTGAAATGGAAACCTGTTGAAATACCTGATAATTTGGGTGATTATGAAGGGTTTTTCGGACTAGAAGAAATCGATGGTGTGGATGTGCAGATAGTAAATGGAAAAGCTGAGTTCATAGTAAAAGATTCGTCTAGGATCAAGGAAGATGAAGAGGAAGATAAGACTAAGACCGACCAAATCGAAGAAGACGAAGGAGAAGGAGAAGAAGAAGAAGAAGAAGAAGAAGAAGAAGAGGGAGAATTTACTGGTTTCTATGATGACGATGCTGAGGACGACGAAGCCGTCAAGGGAGATATCTTAGTGGATCAAGAGAAGGATACGGAAGAAGCAGAGGAAGAGGCAGAAGTATCAGAAGAGATCGAAGAAGACGATGTTGCAAAAGAGTCAGAAGATATAGAAAAAGATGAATTGTCTATGGGATCATTTGCTAATCTCGACTTACCCTTACCCGATGACGATGAAATAGATTTACCAAACTGGCAAGATAGTGAACTGGATTTCTCCTTGAGTCCTTATACTTTGCATGGTTTATCAGTATTGAAATTCGATAAGCCAACACCAATCCAAAAAAGAACAATCCCCTTGGCATTACAAGGAAAGGATCTTGTAGGTAAAGCAACCACTGGGTCTGGTAAAACTTTAGCATACGGTATTCCAATTTTAGAAAAATATTTACAATCTCTCAATAAGATTAAACAAAATAATAAAGATAAAAAGATAAATCATCCTGTGGGTATTGTTTTTACTCCAACTAGAGAATTGGCCCATCAAGTTGTAAATCATTTAAATCAACTTGCTCAATACTCTCCATTGTCAACAAGAGGTATTGTCAGTGTTACGGGTGGATTATCTATTCAAAAACAAGAAAGATTGTTGCAACATGGTCCAGGTATTATTGTTGCCACTCCAGGTCGTTTATTAGACTTGATCCAGAAAGATATTGAATTGAATAAAAGATTGGCAAGTACTGATATCTTAGTATTAGATGAAGCTGATAGATTATTACAAGATGGCCATTTTGAAGAATTTGAAAAGATTTTGGAATTATTTGGGAAACATAGACCAAAGAATAAATCAATGGAATGGAAGTGGCAAACATTAGTTTTCAGTGCAACCTTTTCTAGAGATTTGTTTGGGAAATTAGATAAGAACCAAAAACCTAACAAAGCAAAGGGGAATTCATTAATGCAAAATGATGAGATTATAACATTATTAAACAATAAATTGAAATTCAAGGATCTGAAACCAGTATTGATTGATGCGAATCCGAAAGAAATCGTATCTGGTCAAATTACAGAAGCATTAGTCGAATGTGGAGCAAACGAAAGAGACTTATATTTATATTATTTCTTGTTGATGTACAGAGGGTCAACTTTAGTATTTGCCAATTCTATTGATTCTGTGAAAAGATTGGTCCCGCTTTTAAACAGTTTAAATATACCTGCGTTTTCAATTCATTCATCAATGATCCAAAAGCAAAGATTGAGAGCATTAGAAAAGTTTAAAGAAGCTAGTGAAAAGAATTCAACTGCAGTATTAGTAGCTTCAGATGTGGCTGCAAGAGGTCTTGATATCCCTAAAATTGATCATGTTGCTCATTATCATTTACCTAGATCTGCAGATGTCTATATTCATAGATCTGGTAGAACTGCTAGAGCTGGAAGGGAAGGTGTTTCGGTTATGTTCTGTTCTCCTCAAGAGGCCTCTGGTCCATTAAGAAAATTACGTAAATTGGTTGCTAATAATTCTTCAAAGAATACAAAGTTCAGTATGCATACTGATGTTAAATTGCTTCCAATTGAAATGGATTTGGTGTCGCAATTAAGAGAAAGAGTTGTGATTGCCGGTAAGCTTGCTGATGCCTCTTTATCTTCAACTTCCACTAGAAAGGAAAATTCTTGGGTTAAGCAAGCCGCTGAAGAGTTAGGAGTGGAAGATTTATCAGATTTGGAGGATTTTGAGGATGATATCATTAAGAAGCAAAGAAAGAGACAAGAAAGTAAGATGTTGGACAAGAATGCAATGAAAGCACTTAGATTTGAATTAAAAGAATTGTTGGCTAGTCCTATTAGAAAAAATGCTAGAAGATCTTACATTACTAGTGGGTTGCAAAACTTGGCACATCAAATGGTAACTGGTAGTCATCATGTTGATGTTTTGGGTCATGAACGTGTTAACGCTTTGGAGGATCTTAAAGATGGGAAATCGAAGAAATCTAAGAAGAAATCTAACAAAGTAACCAAGCCAAAACATAAAAAGTGAAACAGGCTGTCTGTTTAGTTTATAGAAAGATAAACGGAGTATTTTAGTGTAGAATGAACATACTGTGAACAATTTACGCCACGTTTTAGTCTAGGGTGTGTGTATATATAGATTATACTTATGTACTATTATTTCTAAAAGTAGGATTAGATAAAGTCGTCATCATCGTCATCATAATATTCATCTTCATCAGATTCATCTGCCAATTGTTCAAAGTTAACTTTATATCTCAACATGGCACCAATACCACCAAAACCTTGAACGAATTGAGCACCTTCCGAAGATTTATCAGTGACGAATTCTAATTCAGCCCCGAAGTTCTTATAGTTTTCTGCTAACCATTCCAAGAATGATTCTTCTTTAATGATTTCCATTTCTGTACCTGTCTTTTTGTCTAATTTCCAAGATTTATCTGGTAATTCTGGGTTAGCATTCACCACTACTTCCTCTCCTTCAATATCTTTTAATGTGTATCTAACAATATTTAAGTTTTCGTGAACAATGATAGTTTCACACGCACCTAAATCCAATGCTTTCAAAGTATCTTCAACACCGTAACAAAATTTACCAGTATCTTGGGAAATTTCTTCGAAATATTCATTTAATAATTTCTTTTCTTGAACGAATTTAACATTTGCTAAAGTTTCAGCTGATAATTCAATTGCTTGATTGAAACCATTTTCACCCCCATAAGAAATATCAACGATTTTAATAACCTTTGCTTGTAATCTATTATCGAATAAATCAGATTTAGATAATTCAGTTTTGAAATCGGCAGAACCAGCCAAGATTAAACCTTTAACGGTTACTTTATCGCCAGAAATGAAATTCTGAACTGCTACTTCTGCAACTTTTCTAACGTAGTTATGTCTCTTTTCTTCTCTTAAACGAGAGAAACGAAGAGCCGATTGACCCCCTCTACCATGCTTCTTTGGTAAATCGACTGTAAATTTATGCAAAACTTCTCTTGTATTCCCACTAACTGCACCAAATAAGGCACCATTACCATCCATAATGATGAAACCAAATCTATCATCATTTTCTAATAATTCATTTAATGCCTCAACATGGAATTTATTATCACACAAGTAAAGGGAAGTGTTAATTGGTTTGAAAGGTTCAAAATCAATATTTAATTTCTTTTCTTTACCTTCATCAGTTATAACATCACCACAATAAACCACTAACCCATTCTTAGGAACACTATTATATAATTTCAATTTTTGTTGAGTGGATGTAATTGCTGATAAGACAGATAATCTATTAACACGAGACTTAATGTTAGATGCTGTACCGTATTCATCTGTTAACATCTTTTGAATCAATGAAATTTGACCCTTTGGTGGAATCACCAAAGAAATCATAGAAGTACCATTACCTCTTGCTGCTTCTAAAGATTTGATCAATTTCTTGACCTTCCAGATCTCAATATTCTTTTCAGCTGTTTCGTGTGAAGTAGACATTGTTGATTAGTATATCTTTGTATCTATGACTCTCTTGCTACTGACTATCTACTTAAAAGATGTGGTATCTTTAAAAAGAAATTTGAAGATTGTGATTCAAAAAGATTTAAAGATGGATGAATCCAGAGAAAATTTGTTACAAATGAAACATCCATTCTACAATAGTTAAGACACCAAAAAAACATGTTTTGAAAATTTTTCTGTGGGAGATGAAGCAATCAAAAAAAGAAACAAAATATCGGCTTTATCACGTGACTGATGGATTTGATCATGTGACTAGTGTCTTGCGACAAACATCACGTGATCTGTGACAGTTTTTCTTTGCTACTCCTGGAAAGTTCGGATAAAGTGAGCATTTGTTTTTCTTATAATTGTATATCTTCTAGACAATTACATGAGAGTAGACAACATCACAGCCCCTATTTTGTACTTAAGTTATTTATAAAGTATCTGCAGATTTATCCTTGTTTCGATATATAAATCTTAAGATCGTTATTTAAATTCTTGTCTTAATCCGATTTTTTACACACTTTTGTATTGGTAATATTTGACTGACATTTATCATCATCATGACATTGCAAGACATAGCAGAGAATGATCAAAGTCAACCTTCTAATCTTGGTAGATACGTGTTATGCTTATTATGACACCTTAGTGCAATACTTCTAGGTCAAACTGATTCTGACTCCGATTCAGTTTCAGAAGATCTCCCATTGGATGATGGTAAGAAAGCAAATTCAAAGAAGCCTAGTTCAAATGCATTTAGACAACAACGATTAAAAGCATATAATCCGGTTTTGACTGCCAAAACTGTAATTCCGCTTTTGATTGCTATTGCTATTGTATTCGTCCCACTTGGTGCGGCAATGTGGTACGCTTCCCATCAGATTGAAGATATCGCTATTGACTATAGTCAATGTGAAGTTTTAGCATCCAATGATCATTTTTCAGAAATTCCACCGGAATTTACTGAGTTTCATTTTAATTCACTTTCAAAAGGTGATGTACCTAAATTTTCATGGAAATTGGAGTCAGACAATTCTCAACAATTCGAAGATGAAAGAAAAGTATGCGTTGTTCAATTTGAAGTAATGAAGGATATGAAGGGTCCAATTTATCTTTATTATAGATTACATAAGTTTTATGCAAACCATCGTCGATATGTTAAGTCATTCAGTGAAGATCAATTAAATGGGAAAGCTGCTTCTTTAAACACTATTAAGAATACGGTAGGACAAAACTGTGAACCATTATCAACTGATTCTGAAGGAAGAAAAATTTATCCCTGTGGTTTGATTGCAAATAGTTTATTTAATGACACTTATACAACTGAATTTCAAGGTGTTAATGGAACATCTCAAGATTATCCATTAACTGATCAAGGTATAGCCTGGGCTACTGATAAAAACAGATTTAAAAAGACGAAGTACAATTACACCGAAGTTGTCCCCCCACCAAATTGGTTCAAGATGTTCCCTAATGGTTATAATGAAACAAATATCCCTGATATTTCAACTTGGTATCAATTCCAAAATTCCTACGTAGGTAGACCCAACGGTTGTAAATTATTTAACCGAAATGCATTACTGTTGGATACTTTAAATAAGGGAATTTATCAAATTAATATTGGGTTGCATTTCCCTGTTTTACCATATAATGGTAAGAAGTTTATTTATATCTCACAAAGGTCGGTCATTGGTGGTAAGAACGACTTTTTAGGAATTAGTTGGATGGTCGGTGGAGGAGTTTGTTTTATTTTAGGTCTTGTCTTATTGATTATTAATTTTGTTAAACCTAGAAAAACAGGTGATGTCAATCTTTTAAGTTGGAATCAAGAGAGAATCCACCGTGATGAGAAAAATGCTGAGCTTGCCGATGGTGCTGCCAGTAGTAGTGGATACGAAAGAAATTAATAATTTATAGATTTAATAAAGATTCAGTCTGTTTGTATATCAGTTGTAATTTACATTTACATTTTTTATTACGGGGCGAGGACAGGGTCAAATCTGTATGCCCGGGGGGAACGATCGCAAGGGCAATAGTAGACACGGTCGTATGAGTTAAGATATAGTAAGCAATCAAACCCGTACCTTGGACGTGTATCCTTTCAAAGGTAACGTCGCTGTTACAGAAAAGACCGATTAGAAGGAGAGTCCGCCATCATTGACCTTGAGCAGCTATCAGAAACTGAGCTTTATGGTGAGCAAGTGACAGTCCAATGTTCTATAAGAATTAGTTGGTGAACTCTAGAAACTGACATGTATACGAGGGGTTTATAATTTGGTCATTTTCTTATTCTCCATCAAGGGAGGTTCAAGCAAATCTTTACTCGGTTGTAAAGTTAAATTTCACTCACTTACCTATTTAGTAAAAAAAAACCACAGTTATTTGAATCCTCAATAGGACGCAACAGAAAGAAAAACAAAACATCACTTGAAACTCAACCCCCATTACTGTTGTTTTTCAATGGCAATCATGTTCAAACAATTAACTACCTCAATTGGATCAATTGGTATCTCTTCATTTAGAAGACAACCTCAATTCATTTTCAGAACTCTCGCTACGGTTTCTGACCCACTTGGTGCAGACATCCAAACTAGAATTGAAGCATTAACTCAAAAATTACCAGACGCCCTCAAAAAGCAGTATGCCGAAGAAAAACCTAAGAAGAAACGTTATCTTCCCTCCTCGTTGAAGACGTTAAAGAATACAAAAGAATCGGGAAAGGACGTTGAACCAAAATGGGAAAAAGCAGTCAAATTGGAACACAAGGTATTTGCACCTTTATGCCCTCGTAAAATCTCGAAGGCTAATTTCATTTCAAAATTTTCTCATACATTCAATAAGGGTGAGTTGTCGGAAGAGGAAGCTAAATATTGGAGTACTAACTATGAAAGATTTTTGTCCCTTTACGAAGTTTTTACGCCAAAGCCTAAGAAACCGTTGGGCCCCTTTCTAAGATTTAGTGCCGAGAAAAGGGGGAAAGGGTCATCTTTAGCTGAGATGGGGGAAATTCAGAAGCAACTTTCAAAGGAATGGGGGCAGTTATCTGATGATGAGAAGAAGCTGTATGCTCCCTCGCTGATCGAGCTTGAAAAGTTTGAGGAAGACTTACAAGAGTGGAAAGATCGTAGATTGGTTGAATACGCTACTTTCGAGAAGAATGTCGAGGAGTTCGAATTAGACCCTCCACTCAATTCTTTATAGTTTTTTTAGTTTGTCTGTTTAATATAGCAATATCTCCATTCTTTCTGGATACTAAATTGAGTTACGCTAGATTGAAAATCTCTTTAATGGTCAAATTGACGCTCGCCAATAGCTGGCACCTAGTTAGCAAAAAAAAATTGGTGGGAGTAGTAAAGTCCTTGTAAGGCTACCACGCTGGATGGGAGATCAAAGTACGACCCTTGATGTTTCTAGTAGGTCATCATAAAATTAAATGGGTTCGATGCCAGGGCAGCACTGTGCTCTGTCAGAAGACGAATTGAGCGGCTTGTGCATTCTGATGAAGAGGGCTAGAGCAGCCAGTTCGTAGATGTGTAACTCTGCTAATGTACAGTAGTTGTTATGGCCATGCTATGATAAGCTGTTGAGTCTTTTGGCAATTAGAAGGTGGTCTCTGATAGAGTGACTTTGGCCTGTTGCTTATTCGGCGTGCCCCTTAGGTCACTAGCTGGATGTCTTGGCATTGGAAATAATTCCTTCCGCTTACGCATTGACCCATGACGCTTCGTTATCCTTGTTTAGTAGGTTCTTTGTATCTTGGCAGGATTTAGACATGCTCCTTCCTGAGCATTATAAATATCAGTCTAATTCTCTAAGTCTGTGTAGTTTAGTATAAGAGATTTTATATATATATTACATAACTATGTCTAGATTAGATCAACTTTATAGTTTGCACAAGCTTTCCCTCGTTTAATAAGAAGGTTAACTCATTTAATCGATAACAATAGTCACGATTTCGATAAAGAACCTATGTTCGCCCATTCCTAATTCTCAATTTCCCTAAATCGTGAAATTACAGGTGTTTATCTTATTCGGAGAAAAATACTAATATGCAACAGTCGACAGCTAGGCGTGAACACCATCTAACCAGATTCTAAACCAATCACATACTGTGTCGTAAAGTCCTGGTTCTTAATTACCCAAGAAAGTGAGTGTTTCAGTCAGCCGGGGGAAAAAAACAAAGAAGGCAAACCAAAACAAATCACTGAAACCTCAACCCATTAGTGTTGTTTTCCAATGGCAATCATGCTCAAACAATTAACCACCTCAATTGGATCAATTGGTATCTCTTCATTTAGAAGCCAATCTCAATTCATTTTTAGAACTCTCGCTACGGTTTCTGAACCACTTAGTGCCGACATCCAAACTAGAATTGCGGCATTAACTCAAAAATTACCAGACGCCCTCAAAAAGCAGTATGCCGAAGAAAAACCTAAGAAGAAACGTTATCTTCCCTCCTCGTTGAAGACGTTAAAGAATACAAAAGAATCGGGAAAGGACGTTGAACCAAAATGGGAAAAAGCAGTCAAATTGGAACACAAGGTATTTGCACCTTTATGCCCTCGTAAAATCTCGAAGGCTAATTTCATTTCAAAATTTTCTCATACATTCAATAAGGGTGAGTTGTCGGAAGAGGAAGCTAAATATTGGAGTACTAACTATGAAAGATTTTTGTCCCTTTACGAAGTTTTTACGCCAAAGCCTAAGAAACCGTTAGGCCCCTTTCTAAGATTTAGTACGGAGAAAAGGGGAAAAGGGTCATCTTTCGCTGAGATGGGAGAAATTCTGAAGCAACTTTCAAAGGAATGGGAGCAGTTATCTGATGATGAAAAGAAGCTGTATGCTCCCTCACTGATCGAGCTTGCTAAATTTGAGGAAGACTTACAAGAGTGGAAAGATCGTAGATTGGTTGAATACACTACTTTCGAGAAGAATGTCGAGGAGTTCGAATTAGACCCTCCACTCAATTCTTTATAGACTTGTTTGTTTGATATTGCAGAATCTATGTGGATGTTGTTTCTTATTGTCGCCATGCAGTAGACATTAGCAAGTATTCTTCTTGCGCCAACAACGTCTCCGTCGACGGTATTCTTTAAAAATGCACTTTTCCAATTCATATACAAATATTATGGGAATAATTAACTTCACGAAAAATAAAAAATAATGCACATTTGTAGATATCTCTACAAAATAGCTTTTAAGTGTTTATTACTGGCTCTCGTCGCCTTGTAAAAGTTCTTTGTTATAGCTACCGGAAATGCGGACAATTTTCCGAATGTTGATTGTTTAATTTCTTGACACAAACCACCGAGCTCTTAAATCCCGCTTTCCTATAAATCAACAAGCCCCACAAATACATTTATAAATAAAAAGGCAATGTCCCCCCGTCTGCGCCACCTCAAAAACTGAACGATTAAATTACCTACTAGAAACTACATTGCCTTCTGTTAAAAATAATGTCAATTCCGAATATTGCAACTAGAATCCACTTGAAGACCGCACCAACAACCGATGTTAATCTTAACTTCGGTGAAGAAGATTCTACCTTTGAAATCAAACAAGTTCCAGTATCGGCCGATTTAAAAAGTGGTGAAATATTAGTTAAAACCTTATATCTTTCAAATGACCCTACACAGCGTACTTGGATTCAAAAAGGTCTGAATCCAGCAAGGGCATATATCCCCCCAATTTTAGAAGGTGACATTATGCTAGCTGCTGGTATCGGCGAGATTGTAAAGAGTAATTCGGAAAAATACAAGGTTGGTGACATTATCACCAGTAGAATGCAATGGGCTGATTACATTGTGTTGAATGAAGCCCAGGTAAATGCAGTTATTGATCCCAGTGCTGGATTCCCCTTACCTTATTATTTATCTGTTTTTGGTCTTACCTCTTTGACAGCATTATTTGGCTGGACTGAAGCCGGGAAACTCAAACGTCTTTTAGAGAATCCTGAAGAAGGTAAGAATCTTACTGTTTGTGTTTCCGCTGCATCTGGTGCAACTGGATCCATGGCAATTCAAATTGCTAAACATATCTTGGGCATTGGAAAAGTTATTGGTATTACTGGGTCAGATGAAAAATGTAAGCTTGTTGAAGGAATCGGTGCTGATTTATGTGTTAATTTCAATGATCCAGAGTACAAGACTAAAATCTCAGAATACGTTGGTAATGAATTTATTGATGTTTATTTCGACAATGTTGGTGGAGAAATATTAAGTTTTCTCTTAACTAAGATTAAGAAATTTGGAAGAATTGTTGCATGTGGAGCAATCTCTGGTTATCAAAATAGAGAACTTTCGAAAGTTACAAACTGGAATGAAATCATTACCAGTAGTTTAACGGTAGAAGGTTTTATTGTTTTAAACTATAGAAATAAATTCCCAGAAGGTATCAAAACACTTGTTGGTGCAATTCAATCCGGTAAAATTAAGGCTAAAGGTTCTTATAATGTTGAGGAATTGACTGGAGATGATCCAATTGAACGTTTACAACAGATTCCTCAAATTTGGAAAACTTTGTTTACTGGTAAACCAGCTGGTAAGTTACTTACAAAGGTTGCCTAAGTTAAGTTGGTTGCAAAAAAAAAACAATAGTCTTGTGCTTCGTCTCGTTCGTAATGGTCTGAGAGAACATCTATTAACTTTTGTTTCCAGTTAATCAGATCAGTATTCAAGATATAGAAATAAACAAGCTTTCCTCTATATAACTATTCCTTGTCTTTTGTCTCTCTTTCTCTTTCTCTGTCTCTGTCTGTCAGTCTGCCAGTCTGTCTCTCTCTAATGGAAACAAATCAAATTCTGATTGTATTACCCGCGCGTCTCGCTTAAATTTTCAACAATTGTAAACAAAAGTTTTTTACAACCAAAGTGGATTTCATTTATTTAATTCTTCTCTTCTATTTTACTAGAGAATGAATATATAGTGAAAGACAAAACGGGTATCATAAATGAAACTGGTGCCGTATAACAAATTTTCACAATTACAAGATGTGGGTGACTTACATGTATCAACTCATTTACTGTCTGAAAGTACTATCAATAAAAACAACAAACCTAAAGATTTGAATAAACATTCAACATTAGCCAAATATCAAGAAAGTAGTGTTCATATGGATTTGGAAGGACTTGAAATCAACGAAGACCTATCATTTTCAAAATTCTCACATGGCTCTGGTGAATCAGTGATATTATCAGGAATTAATGCCACCAATCCAAATTCCGTTAATGAATCTCCATTTGTCAAAAGAATCCGAGATTCCATGGACGTTAAATTTGATGACAAGTTTGATAGCAACAAGGTAAATGATAGACTTAACGAATTCCAAAATGAAAGAATAGTATATCCCATTGGGGAAAATAGTAAGAGTGAAGATGAGAATGGGGATTCACCCTTTGTGGTACATGTTGAAAATCATGAACAGAAGCTTCTTCATAGTAATAAACTCAGAAACAAATCAACAATACCAAATGACGTGCCTCCTCGAACTAATAAATTAATATCAACACCAAAACATCAAAGAACCTCATCTGTCAAAGTTAGCTTAACTCCGGCTCAAAAATTTGAAAAACGAAGCAATACAAGACTGGATAATGCATTGGATAATTTCGAATTTATTGAACTTGTGGGTATTGGTGCCTTTGCAAGCGTATATCGAGCTGTTAATCTAAAAACGAACCAAGTTGTTGCAATAAAGCAAATCTTGTTAGAAAAGGATCAAGATGTGGGGATTTTAATGAGAGAAATAGATCTTTTAAAGATCTTGAAACATCGAAATATAGTAAAATATCATGGATTTGTGAAAACTTCAACTTCATTAAATGTATTATTAGAATACTGTGCAGGCGGGTCGTTAAGACAACTCTATAAAAAACTAAAGAAAGGTCTTCCAGAATCACAGATCATCAATTATGTAAGACAAATACTATTGGGATTAACTTACTTACATGATCAAGGGGTAGTTCATAGAGATGTCAAAGCAGCCAATGTCCTCTTGACTGAAACGGGGGACGTCAAATTGGCAGATTTTGGTGTTGCAACGCGAATAAATTCCCAGCATTACACACTTGTGGGTACTCCAAATTGGATGGCACCTGAAACTGTATTGGGAGGTGAAGGATTATGTACAGCCTCTGACATTTGGTCTTTGGGTGCTACAATAATAGAACTATTCACAACTAATCCACCGTATCACGATCTTAATCCTATGGCTACCTTGCATGCAATTGGAACGGATGAACATCCCCCACTTCCTAAAAATATTTCCTCAGTTGCTAAAGATTTCTTATTGGAATGTTTTCAGAAACAACCAAATCTTCGAATAAGTGGCAAATTATTATTGAAACATAAATGGTTATCCAATGGAGTTAACAGTGCAAGTAATTCAAGATTAGCAAACTCTAATATTCCACGACCTGGTAAGCGTCCAAGTATTGAATTGAAATCCATTAGAATGTATTCGGAAGCAAATGAAGAGAATTGGGATAATGATTTTGCTGAAGTTAAGATGCCTAAGTTTCAGATTGCGTTAGCTCCAGATCTCCTACATATAGATGATGTTGAAACGGAACTCCAGCAGGATACAGCGATGGTACAGCCACCGCAGCTGGTAGCTTCAAAGTCGGAACTTTTGAATAAGTTTGCGGAAGATGATGACGAATTAGAAGCAGACACATCATCGGTATTTCCAAACTTGAAGACCAAATTATTAATTCATCGGAATGGAAATACAGAAGAAGAGGAAGAAGCGGAAGAATCTGATCCTTTTTTGAATATTGATATTGAGAATTTTAATACGAATGAATTGGAAATACAAAGTAAAATGGAATATTTAGTGGTTAGACTTTCAAGAAAATTGGATCAAGCTCATCTGGGTAATGAAGAGGCAATTGGTTCATTAGTAAAACTTACAGGAAGGATGTTACATCTTATTAAAAAATATCCAATTCTGCATGATATATTTGTTAGAGATCATGGTGTATTATCATTATTGGAATTATTGGATAGTCATCAAGAAATGCCTCGTCAACAAGAATTATGGTGTCATGTACTTTCAATATTGAATTATATTTTTGAAAGTAACGTAAGTTTATTTGAGAATTTTTGTTTTCTTGGTGGTATTCCTGCAATCGCCCATTTTAGAAATGTAACTTATGACCTTCAAGTTAGATTACAAGTGGCAAGATTTGTTGGTATTTTGAATACATCAGACAAAGCATTATCGATGTTTGTATCTTGCGGTGGTCTCCGCTTGGTGTCAAAATTTGTTGAAGAAGATTTGGATACTACTCCAACGTTCCCCTTGGTTTCAATTGAATGTATTCATAATGTTTTATCAAAGGATTTAACCAGATCGAAATCTGATATTTGTCGTATTTTGTCGAAATATGGGGTCATTTTTTGGTTTGTCGTATTATTGAATAGATTGCTTAAGTGTGGGAAAAAGCCTTTGGGTAAACAAGTCACGATGGAAGAAATTCAAACTGCAATTGACAGAATAGTGGACATAGTTAAATACTTTGAACAATCTGAAGCCAGAGTACGTGTTTCAATTGCAAGTGCCGATTTATTCAAGTTGATGATTAGAATTCAACTAGTTAATGTTAAGTTAGTTGTTAACCATTAAGAATTTAAAAAGTTTAGGTACACATATGTTTCAGACGCATTAAAGCATTTATATAAAGCGGATATTTTGGAATTTCTTGTGAGACAACTTGAGATCTATACTCCAGCTAAGAAGAATTACAAAGAAGTGATAAACATCGTATCACCTATTATATATAATTGCATTTCTTTGAATCAAATAAGAGCGGGAGAAATAGTTGAATTGGGAGCTGTTCCATATTTGAAAAGTTTATCAATTATCAATTTACCATTCAGACAATTCATATTACCATTGGTATGTGAATTTGTATATTGTGACTCTAAAGTAAGGTCAGAATTACGTAAGAATGATATTCTTAGTATTTATTTCAATCTTATCTTAGATCCATATTGGCAATCCAATGCACTTGATTCGATTCGCCAATGGCATCAAAGTGATCCTCGTCATATAAGACTTGATACTCCCAGAGCTGCTGAATGTCTTGTGGCCGGATTCTTAATTCCAAAACCTTCCAATATTGAATCAACATTGGACAGCTATTTACAATTAATGACTACAAATGCAAAGGTCACTAAGTTTATGCTGAATGCTACAATAATTAATAATATTCTTATGAAACTTAGTATATATAATAAGACGCCAGTTATTCAATTGCTGCTTCTAAAGATTTTGAAATGGTTATTACATTACTTGATTGGCATGAATCAATTAGCTGAAACAAATGTTTCTAATCCAATTAAGAATACTTTGACTTCATTGAAAACTAAAAATTCTTCTGTTCTTATTGAAGAACTAGCACTTGAGATTATAGATTTGCTTTAGAGAATTAGAATTAGAATATATATGTAGATATATATAGTATTAATGTATTTAAAATGGAATATGGCTGCGAAATCCTCATAAATAAAACAATTTAACCTCGGTTCTTCCAGGCAGGAAAAAAAATCTTGTTGATCTATCATGTGGTGTGTGGGGACGGAACATCAAATTTTGTTTTTTGTCGAATAGTCATAAGACCATCGATAAGTTCATAGACAAAGACAACAACGAAGAAATATAGAATAACAGTAGCAAGCGTAGTATAGTAAAGATGATTCCAATATCTTATCCATCACCAAGAGTTAGTCAGTTAGATGCAAGTATCTTAGACAGTGAATTATTCACATTATTAAAAGAACAATTATCATCAATATTTCAATTACATAATAACAGTAAATATTCATTTGGTCAACACCCAGAATTATATTCACTTTTACTTAACTTGGTAATATTCAGACAAACCATTTGGAAATCAGGCTCTTCATATGGTTTATCTTTACAGAATTTAAGATTAACTGATATTAAGAATGGTAAGATAATTGGTAATTCAAAAAGAGGATTATTATTAGCAGTATTGATATTACAATATTTATATGGAAGATTACAAACATATCTTTATGGATTTGATGAAAGTATAGAAGAGGGTACATCCAGTAATTCGATATCTACCAAACTAAAAAATTATTTGGTTAGCAATAGATCCTTAATATTGAATAAAATCGATAATACGTTAAAACTTGCCAATTTGATAAATTTCACAGTATTCTTAATCGATGGGAAATATCCATCTGTTGTACATAGACTATTTGGGATAAGTATGGTTCCAATACTGTCTGCCTTATTGAAATTCACTGGGGATAGTGTTAATTATGAATTTCAAAATCGACAATTAGTTTGGAATGTGATGACTGAATTCTTAGTATTCATATTACCTAATAATGTTGAGTCCTTTAATCCTTCTTACTGTTCCTTTAATAATCCATCCTTATAAGATTCTTCACATCTTGATATTCAAGTGGGACACGCACCTACAATTACCCCATATACTAATTTACCTATTCATGAATGTGCAATTTGTCATGATAACAATAACCAAGCTTCACTGACTGGGGCAAGAACTTTCCCATCTGCGGGCCCAGTGACGAATCCGTATATTACTAATTGTGGACATATATATTGTTATGTATGTATTGCTGCTCGTTTCAATATGATAAGTAAAGGTGGAGAAGATTTACCGTGTCTTCGATGTGGACAGAGACTTGAATGGTTCCAAGAATTAGATTCAGATGAACAAGCAATTGACAAGGATGCTATTACCATAGCAAATGAGCAAGAAGAAGACGAGGTAGATGAGGTGGATTTTGATGATAATGAGAGTATTGTGAGTGACGATGATGGCAACCTTACTCCATATGACCCAGGACATCTTCTGACCAGTAGAATAGATAGACAGATGAGTTCAGTGTCAGCTATCTTTGATGCTGATAGTCATGAGTCGACATCTAGTGAAGGAGAATTTAGTGAAGAGGAAGATTTTGAAGAAGAAGCTGCTGCATTTATGTAAAGTGTTGTCTTTTTCTGTCTTTATATTTATTTTACGAAAATGTAATTACTTTCTAATATACAAACGCTAATAAAAGCTATACGATTTTATTAAATGAGTTCTAATAAGAGTTTTGCACCCTTGTCATCTTCGGATAAGTGTTTCTTGTTTTTCTTCAATGCTTTTTGAATCTCTTGGAATTTAGGAGATTCAGCTAATTGTAAAACCTCAGCAACAGAAACAAGAACAAAAGCAGGTTGACCGCTTGTCCAACTTTTCAACTTATTATTGTCTAAAACTTCATCAGCGATTCTTTCGGCAAATTCACTACCAGTACCATTGATCTTTTCTGAATCAGTTGAGATCAATTTCTTAGCTTCATTATCCCACTTGAATTCATTACCTTGAATCAAAGCCTTTAATAATCTTGAGATATATGGTGCTTTGTTGAGTAAATGGTAATCTTCGAGAACATCACCTTGGACAGTACGCTCAAAGATTGCATTTATCAATTCGGGTCTTAAATTGTTATTGACTTCTTCAACATCAGCTGAAGTGAGAATTAACTCGGTGATAAATTGAGCTGCCATATTATTAGATAATAATTTCTCCAAGGTTTTTTCAGGATCTTCTGAATTAGTGGTTGACAAAATTGCTTTATAAATCAATGGGATTGCTTTGGTTGCCAATTCTGTTCTTTTTATTTCTTGAGGCTTCTTAGAAGTCTTCTTATAAGCCAATTCTTCATATTTCAAGATTGTCTTCTTCACAATTGGTGAAAAGTACTTTCCGTCCAATCCCTTTAATAAATATAACATTGGTCTTCTTGAGAATTTATCTTGAATGAGTCCTGGAAGTAATTCATTGGTAAAGATTTCTGCACTGAAAGATTTATGAAGTAAAACAGTATCATCCACAGTCATGAACAATGTAATTAAAACAGTGTTACCATATTCATTCTTTATTAATTCATTAGTATGATTCTTTAAAGATCTTATAATAATTTTACGTTCTTTAGCATTAGCCAAGGCAATTAAATTACATGCAACTTCGGAACCTTCCAGAGTGTGTACTAATTCAGCAAATTGTTCAGCAAGTAGATCTATAAATTCTCTAATTTGTGAATCATTTACTTCAGTATCATCCACCAAAATACTGATATATTCTCTCATAGCTGCATGTAAAATTTGGAACCCTGTAGAACCTTTTTCAACAGATGCTTTGATGGTACCATACAAATTAGCCATTATTAATTGTTTCTTTTCTGACAGTTCTTTGATAACTTCCAAAACGGTCTTTCCTTTTCCTGAATCGGTGAAAACAGCATATTCAGACCCCCAAAATTCTCTAATCATCTGTTGCCTTTGTTCACCAGTAGAATATAAAACGAATAAATCTTCAACAACATAAGCACCTTCTTTGTGTCTCATTAATTTACGTAACTTCCCGTGTAATTCATCAATAATAAGAGTTCTAGATTCTTTAGATCCATAATGCAAAAGTTTAATTAATAAATATTTCCCATATGCAGATGTTGCTAATAAGTAATAGTTCCCTTTTAAAGATTGAACAATTTTATCTCTTCTTTCCTTACTGGAGTATTTCACCAATGTTTGGACAATACGGGAAGCATCATGCTTTAAGACTAAATCATTAATAACATCTTTAGATAATTCCCAAACTTCATTACATAATTTATCACGAACTTCTTTTGGTGGAGTTGGTTTTGTGACTCTTAATTTTTCCCATAAATTCTTAATTTGTTGAACTTGAACACCTGATTTTCTTTGTAATTTACGTTCAGCTAATAATTTTCTTTGTTCAGCATGTTGTTCTGCTGATGACTTCTTGTTTGGATCAACTGGTTTTTCAACTCCATCTTCCTCATCGAATTCTTCTTCATCTTCATCTTGATCTTGTTTTGCATCTTCGTCCAAGTCATCTAAGTCATCTTCTTCCTCTTCCGATGAGCTGCCTTGTTGGCCTTTAGAAGCATCGTCGATATCTAAATCATCTAACTCATCTTCTTCAGAACTAAGGGAAATATCACTTTCACCAGATTCTTCAGATTCTTGTTCAGATTCAGAAGGTGGAGATGGAAGCTTTGCTTTCTTGGATGGCTTTTCAATCTTGTCAGCAGAACGCTTGACTCCTTTAGTCTTGACTGCCATTGCTTCTATTTGTTTTGTTAATAAATGGTTAGAATGATAAGAGAAAAGGATCTTTGTAAAATTATATTTGCAGAAGTAAAAAAAAATTCTGAAATGATCATCGCATAAGTCACGTGAATTAAATTTTCATTTTTCGGTTGAAGGTACACGACTTATTCGTAAAAGATTAGAAATTTCCATAAATCTAATTCGATTCATGAGAACAATTGCCCCATATTTATCTATTAACTTAAATTGAATAGAAAATATGTTTAAAGGATTAGTGAGAAAGACAATACCATTAGTGGCTTTTGGTGTAGGGATAGCAGGGTTCCCTCGAGATTGGAGAGCTGGACACCCCCAAGATACAAAATTGCTTCATATTAATGAGGAAGTATTACGACAAATACAATCTACAAAAGAATATAAACAACTTGAATCAAACAAATCACTTAGACAATATAACTCGAGTAATGCATTCCCAGGACAACATCATAACAATTATGTGGGGACTGGACTTTTATTTGGACCTGATTTATTTGAAATTGATCCAATTGTTAAATAACTACTTCTTTTTCCACTTAACTGATCAAAAATAGTAAATCCTCTATTCTTAATAAGTCAAGATGGACAAATTCATAATGGAGTAGTATCTACAATATTAGATGAAGGTTTATGTGCTGCTGGATTCCCATTACTTCCGGCAAAAAAGGGAGTTACCGCAAAACTACTGATTGATTTTAAGAATCAAGCTCCCCCTCAAAGTACAGTAGTATTGCGGGCAAAAGTTAAAGAAGCTAAGGGAAGAAAAGTTGTTATTGGAGGTTATTTGGAAACATTGCCACTTGATGATAATAAGGCAGAAAAGCCGTTGTTAATTGCCGAATCGACTTGCATACTTGTACAACCAAAATGGTTTAAATATTTCACATGGCTTCAGATTTAGATGGAGTGAGTCTCGTATAGTCAATTGTATATAACATAGTAGTAGTAACAGTAATAATAGCAATATACGTTTATTTCATGCAATCGACGTCATTGCTATTTTTTTGAAACATATAGCAATCTAATCAGTGCCGCAACTTCCGTTTTAGGAAATGCCGATACGTTGCTACCATATAACATGAAATGAAGAAGTATTGATGTCACTAAAGCAAACATTGCTCTAGAAATCACTATGGGATATATTTCCATGAGCTCCTGGGTGATGTTGAATAAACTATAAATAGGGTCAACTCAGCTCTCTTTCAAAATGTTTCAGATGTATTCTTCTTCTCTATTAAACAAATAACAAAATACAAAAAAATGGCTCTCGAAACACACAATCAATACGATATACTTTCCTCCACTAATAAGCCACCTTATGACCAATTCAAAGAAGATGCGGTAGATGCATCTGAAGAAGCCCAAGAAGCTGTTGTAGATAAGAAAGAAAGATTTAAAGAACAAACAAAGCAAACTGCTCAACAAACTAAGGATGATGTTAAAGCAAAGACTGCCGAAGCCAGAGAAATGGTAAATGAGAAATACGAAGATGCTTCAGACACATTAAAGGACAAAAATGAACAAGCTAAGCAAAAGGCTTCAGACGCTTATGATCAAGCTGGAGACTACAAGGAACAAGCTAAACAAAAGGCTTCAGACGCATATGATCAAGCTGGAGACTATAAGGAACAAGCTAAGGCTAAGGCTGGTGAAGCTTATGATCAAGCTCAGAATAAGGCATCTGATCTCCAACAGAAGGCCTCTCATAAGGCTAATGAAGCCTATGACCAAGCTGGAGACGTAAAGGAACAAGCTAAGGCTGATACTACAGAGTCTCTTGGTCAAGCTCAAGAAAAGGCAGCCGATGTTAACCAAAAATTATCTGAAACTGCAGATGCCGCTTATAAGAAGGCTATGGAAACAAAGGACCAAGCCGCTGAAAAGTCTGGTGAATTATACGATCAAGCTGCTGAAAAGTCTGGTGAATTGTTACTAGTTCGACGACTCTTCAGACCACTTAATATACTTGTCCGACGTCTACAACGTGAGAAGGTGCAAGAAACTATTTATGATTCTGCCCAACGTGCTACTGAAACTATTAAGGAGTATGCTCAGCTGGCTCAAGAAGCTGTATTTGGTGAATCAAGGGCCCCAGGAACTGGTCCTAAAGGTACAGGTACTTCTGATAATGCTTGCTAGTTGATTTTTAGTTTCAGAGAGATAGTTCATCAATCAAATATAATAACTAAATTTAACTTATAAATACAAAATGAACTGAACTTTATCGTATCTATCTAACACCATTTAGTGTTTTAATTCATACATTGCTTGCTATGAAATTCTTATGATTGCGAAATTTTTGTTGCATTTTGAAAAACGCGTCTTCATTTTTGTTCACGCGCAATTGAGTTTCTTTTTTTTTTAAATATGATTCATTCATCTGATCTTCTTTCTCTCACCACCAATATACACCCTACCAACCAACCAATATCAATAGTATGACCGTTTCAATAAATAGTGCTGAACAAGCGTATCTTGATTTATGTGAAAGAATCATCAATGAAGGTGAATTCCGTCCAGATAGAACGGGAACAGGAACAAAATCCCTCTTTGCCCCACCTCAATTACGTTTTGATTTATCCAATGATACTTTCCCACTCTTAACCACGAAAAGAGTCTTTTCCAAAGGTATCATTCATGAATTATTATGGTTTATTGCTGGTTCAACCGATGCCAAATTGTTAAGTGACAAGGGAGTGAAGATTTGGGAAGGAAATGGATCTCGTGAATATTTGGATAGATTAGGCTTAACCCATCGTCGTGAAGGTGATTTAGGTCCAGTTTATGGATTTCAATGGAGACATTTCGGGGCTGAATATGAGGATTGTGATGCTGATTATACTGGAAAGGGATATGACCAATTGCTCGATGTGATAAAGAAATTGAAAACAAATCCATATGATAGAAGAATTATTATGTCAGCTTGGAATCCTCCTGATTTCCCCAAAATGGCCCTTCCTCCATGTCATGTCTTTTGTCAATTTTATGTCAGTTTCCCAGGTGTTACTGAAACTCCAGAATCAAATTCCGAGAAGCAAGCTAAAACAACCGCAAGACCAAAATTATCTTGTTTGTTATATCAAAGATCTTGTGATATGGGATTGGGTGTTCCTTTCAATATCGCTTCATATGCTTTATTGACCAAAATGATTGCAGTACAACAACTATACCTGACACCACTTAAATAAGTATGGTACCCACTACGAGTACTTTATTTAGATCATATTGATGCTTTAAAAGAACAATTTTCAAGAATTCCTAAAGAATTTCCAAAATTAGTTATTAGAGAAGAAAGAAAAGATGAAATCAAGTCAATTGATGATTTTAAATTTGAAGATTTTGAAATTATTGGATATCAACCACTTCCAGCAATCAAGATGAAAATGAGTGTTTAAGTTTATATATATATTTAGCCCATTCTGTATTAATTTCTATGTACCTTTATTTTATGTAATGCTAATTGTGCTACTACGATTCTTTCTGTTATAGCTATGTTTTTGGTTACTTTCTTGAATGTCGAAATCAAATACTGAACCATCAAGCACGTTTTCTTGGTCAGCAATATTCGACGATGAATCTGCAATTTTTGGTTTTGATGTAATCTTAGCTGGTTTGCGATCGGTAATTTTATCTCCCTTGCCTTGATGATGGTGGTTATTGGCATTGGTAACATTTGATAATGGCTTTCTCTTTGTCGACCTTTCCAATTCTGGTGACTCTGATTTTCGTTTCTGTGAACAGGTACTGGGTCTGCTTATGGCATAGTTATACATATTCTCACCCACGGCGTCAAGCAATCCAATTGATTGTCGTCTTAATTTAACACCCAATGGTATAGGTTTGTAGTCGATCTCCTTTCTGGCCCTGCCTGATCTTCTAATCCCATGAGAGCTCCTACTTAGAAGGTATTGAAGAAAGAAGACTACGAGGAGAAGTAAACCTCAGAATTTCTCTATTTCTTGCTTTCTATTCAGAGACTCATTTGAAGTTGCTGTTTCTTTACGCTTTTCGTCTGGCGCTTTTTTTGATCTTGACTTTTTGGATTTCTTTGAAGTTGATCCTACAGCTTTCTCCTTCTTGATATTTTGATGCAGATACAGAAGAAATGGACCATTGAAGGGAAAGCAAACGAGAACTGGAAAGGATACATTTGCCTCACTTATGTTAGTTTTCGAAGGCTTGGTGACACCGATGTTTTCATTTTGCTGAGTTGGTGGGACCTTATTCTGTTCCGTTTTCATCTTCTTTGGGTTAACTTTTAAAGTAACTACTACCAGAGCAGTAGTGGTTGGAGTTACCGCAGATTTTGCTGGAGGTGAAGGAGTTAAAGCTGAAGGAGTTGGTGGTGTCCATGGTTTGTTCATATCGATAAGTAAATCATTATGCAGTTCCTTTCCCTCAATTGTCAGTTCTCTCTCTTCCAAAATAGTAGAAACTTTATTTTCTTGTTTCTCATCTCTTTCATCGAATGAATCTCCCAAGAAATCATCCTCTGAGTCATTTATTGACCTAACTGGAGTAAAATAACTTACTGCTTGTGGTTCAGGCGATGCAGATAAATTGAAGGCTGGGAATGAAGATCTTCCAACTTCAATTGGAGTGGAAGTGATTGGTCGACAAAGCATATCTGCAATAGATGACAATTCCTCATTTTCAGGCAATCCTTGATCAGATCTAAGCTTTGTAAATGCATTAATCATTTCTCTTATGCCGAATATATATTTAGATTCAATGGTTCGTAGTTTTTCATCTGGGATTGATTTGTTGTTTGTCATTTGAGTAATTTTACGTTTTAGCAATCTCAAAAGCCTAAGATTAAGATGGACAAACCTAACATCAAGAACTTAGAAACAATTATACATGGCATTTCGTTTAGCTAACTCTCGATTCTGTTCAGCATATATCAGTCCGTAATTGTTGCTGGTGTTGCTATTGCTACCGCTACTGCTGGTATAATGAGATGATTGTGATTCTTGGTGAGCATTTAAACCAATTCCCCCTGTAGAATACCTGGAACCTCCCTGAGGTAGGACACTTGGACTTAAAGTCAGTGATGATGCTATTCTAGCCATCTTTGCTTATTCCAATGTTGATTTTAGTTGTTGATTGATTGATGCAACATTTTTTTTTGTAGATTTCTATTTGTTTCCAATTCTTTTTTACATTTGTTTAGAATCAATAGAGCAAAATTGTGCGCGCGTAAAATTAAAAATTCATTTTATTTTAACAACATCACACATCTTCTTTTCATAGGCTGTATATGGGGGTATGAATGTAATACTTCTATAGGCACATAACATCAGCATGAATAAAAGTAAATATGAAGAACAAAATGCTGAAAAAAGAGCAAATCTCGAGAAATTACGTCAATTTCGTGATTTGATGGATGAAATGGGAACAAAATTAAATTCAATGGCTGATCAAATGGATCAAATGAAATCAGGAACAGAAAGTGTTGCTGATATGTTGGCTACTTGGAAAAGTGTTGCTCAATGTATATCACTTGGTTCTTTGGGATTGTTGAAATATACTGAGAATAGTCTGGATTTGTATCCTGAACCTTTATTAAGACTTCGATTGGAAGGGGATGAGAAAGAAGTGGAACAAGAAGAAGTTGAAGAAGAGAATGATTAGATAAATTAATGAAAACAAATTCCCTGTACAATAGTGTATCATAAATAGTACTTTTAGAATTTTAGATTCAATGTCATAATGTACAAATTAATTTTTTATGAAAGTAAACATCTAACTATATAGACTTATATCTATTACAAAGAAAGTTTAACCTCTTCTTTAACTGCTTCTACCCATAATTTGAAATTCTTATTCCTTTGGTTGTTGTTGAGATACTTCCTAAGCACACTAGATAACGATTCATTCAATTGATTGATTGTAATATTATCCTCATGTTCATCTCCAACAACAGGATTTACCAATAATGTATCAAGTCTCTCTATCAATTTTGATTCCAACTTGATTTCTTTCAAGGTGTTAAATAAAGTTGAATCAACAATTTTCTTCTTATTTATTTCATCACTAACATTCTTATTATCCCATTGCATAAACAACTTCTCACCTTCACCAATCGTCAATAATCGCAACCAAACAACACTAATATAGAAATCGGCAATACTTTCATTCTGGAATGATTGAGCGACTCGTAAAGCATTCGCAAATCCCATTTTTTTAAGCAACGATGGCTTCAAGGTAGTTAATAAATCTATCAATCTTTCCGGTGATAACTGGATTCCTTCAATAAACGATTGGAAATATTGTTCAACGACAGAATTAACTAAGCTATTGTCTAAATCATGATTAACATATGATTTTCTAAATTCTTCGAGCTTTAACAGTTCAAGTTTTATTTGTCCAGCGAGGGCATTATAAACTGCCTTCTGATATCTAACTATTTCCAATTGCCTTTCAATTTCGGAAACCTTTTCATCAGTAATCTCGGAAGATTGACTAGCTGCAATAGTAGCCAATTTTGCAATTGAATATTTAATCTCTCGATTCAATACCTTATCTTTAGGTTTCAAATTTGCAGATCTCACGAGTGCTTCGGAAGCAGTTATGAAATCTTGATCCAATAATGATCTAATCCAAGACACATTCGCGGTCTTATCAGGATTCTTTTCGAAATATTCAAGTAAATAATGTTTATAATTCATAAAATCCAACAATAAAGGTTGTATTCTTCCAGTCTTCAAATAGTATGAATATACGCTTGATGCAAATGAATATCCAAACATTTCAAAATATTTCCCATAAAGTTGATTGATTTCTTCTGTATCTGATAATTCTTCTCTTTGTGATTCAAGAATAACCACAAGAGAACCGAAGGCACGATATTGCTCAGCAAGAACAAGCGCTTCATTAACTAATCCCAACCTTAATAATGCTTTAATCCATTCGGTCTCTTTGCCATTATACCAATGTTTATAATCCTTGAGGATTTTACCTGATGGTTCATGTTTTTCCATATATTTGATAGCACAAGTAATAAAATAATACAAGACTTGAACAATATGATGAGCATTTTCTTTAGTTTGTTGACTGACGGTCAGTGTTTGTTGTTGTTTCTTAACGAATTGTTCACTAAAGATTTCTTCGACACGGATAACTAATCCAGTATCAAAGATCCAAGATTTGATTGCCTTGAATTCTTGAATATTGGCCATGTATTTCATTTCATTTAAGTAAACACCATCATATAATGTCTTAACGATTTTTCTTAGATACTTCCTACATCTTTGGCGAACAACCTATTAGAGCAGTTATTTTCAAGAAAGGATTTCATTGATGGCATCAATTCGTCTTGAGAAAAATTCCCGTAAGATATTTTCGTCACCACCTTTAATCTTAATATTTGAGTTTTTGATAACTGTTTCCAAGATCTGTTTCAATTTAATTCTATTCTCATCGGCATCTATAGTTATCCATAAATTCAAAGCTGTATTTGCCTTTTCCAAATTCTCGACTAATTTAGGAATGATTTTCAATGTAAGCAGTGGGAAATTTCTATTGCAATATTCAATTAATTCTTGAAATAAATTAACTTTACCTCTTGTTAAATCACCAATAGTTGGGAGGACCTTGGGCATATATGCCGAAGTTGAAGTCATTAATTCATTAATTATCAAGTCAATAGCTGATAAAATCAACGATTCATCGAATTTTTGCGATAAATCAAATTCAATCTCTTGAGAATGAGAATAAAAGATCCCTTGTTCAATATGAGACTTAACAATCAATAATGGATCAGAAATATCGGTTTCATTAGTTTCCATAGAATCTTCATCGTATGATTCTTGAGGGAATTTTTCCAATCTCAATATTCCGTAGTTTTTGGTTAATAATACAATTGCTGGATTCGAATTTGATGATTGATTTTCATATCCGCTTCCAATTATTTCTACACTTGATTTCAATCTTATCATATCTTCCCATCTTGGTTTATAATATGACACAAATGTAGTTCTGGATTCAATATAGGAAGTATTCAAATCGGTGATGATTATTGAATTGTCAATAATTACAAAGGCGGTCTTACCTGGTTGTGGTAAATATAATTTTGGACTTGAGGATAATTTAGATCCAGGATCGAATCTCGTCAATTTATGACATCCATAAAGCAAGACTCCTGATGGATCAATTTTAATTGTTAATAAGAATAAATTCTTTCCTTGGGTTCTATATGGGTCATCAACATGACATAAAGCAAGATAAACGTTGTTATATTCAAGCAAGGGCCATATATCCAAAAATAAGTTCAAATTTAATCGTGGACCATTTTTGGGAAGTTATGATGAAAGTTGTATAGCTAATAAATTCTGAGAGAAAGATCTCTTTTTATCAACATATGGTGAAACATTAGCCGAAAGTAAATTATAATTGAATAAATAAAAGTTCCCAATTGAATCTTGAATAATAATTTCTTGAGTGGTTCCATGATTAGATATATTTCCTGATCTAATACATACAATCTCATTTGAATCTTCACTTGGAGATCTAAATATTTTAGATAAAAACAGGAATGAACTTGGAGCTGATAATAATTCCATAGTGGATAATTGAGGTTTACTCTTATAATCCCTCAATTGAATTAAAATACATCTCTTCCAAGAAGTAGCAACGGCAATACCTGCAGGTTCGACATTTTCAGCAAGAGTAATATATTCTCCCTTGGATGTATTTATAGGAATATTCATCTCTAAAGATCTATCATTAATTAAACCTAATGTAGGTGCATGTTGAACACTTTCATAAAACTTAATCAACCCAGAAAGAGAATCAATGATGACCAAACCAGGATCTTGTCCTGTTCCACTTGATGGTTTGGTCAAGATTGCCAATGGTAACTCGAATTGAGGTTTTTCAATTGGGAATTCGATGGATAATGGTGATGAATCAAGTGATTTGTAACTCCAGACATAAATAGAGTCTTCATTTATGACAAGTGAATAATTTGATTCATGATCAGAATATGCATTGGAAAACAGTTGATCGGATGATTTGAGTTGCTTGAAGACTTTGGGAAGGGCAGGAAATCGAGATACACAGTAATGTTTATTTTTAGTCAATTCATAACAGCCTGACTTTCTGGTGATGTCCGTTAGCGTGTTGTCTAGTGCCAGTTGTGGTTTTGTTGTAGAATCAGCACTTACTGTCGGTGATTGACTCTGACGTGCTCTGAATATACTCCCTGACATATTGTGTGTTGTAGAGTGACAGAATGAAATAGTAATGGTGAATTGTTGATGTTTGATGAAATCGATGCTGCCAAAAAAAATCTTTATTTTTTCAAACTGTATGATGAATTGACTATTGGTAGCGCAAAAATACTAATATGGAGATACCAGTATGCTAGAAATATCTACAAGCAATATATAAGTTAGAAAGAAAGAGAGTATTACACTGGTAAAGGCAAGATGGAGAATATTGTCATCTTTTATTGTTAAAACTATTATACTAATATACACTTTTATTTTCTTTGTTTCTTTGGTTGAGGTTCATCATCTTCAATATCACTTTCAATTTCATCAGCAAAGTCATCATATATTTCTTCTTCACCTTCTCCATCTTCATCCTCACTTAATTGATCATATTTAGCTTTCAACCCCTTCATCTTTCTAGTTTGTAATTTACCTAAATCTTGCTTACCAACATGAATTTGAGCCACTTTATCACCCATGAAATCAGTAGAAACATTCTTCTTTTCTTTAGGTTGTAATTGTTTAGGTTTTCTATAAGCTTCCTTTTCAACTTCTGGAGCAGGAGTCAATCTTCTTCCAATCTTAAAATCGAATCTTGGTCCAATTTCATCTAATTCAACTCTTGGTAATTTTTGTCCTGATCTATAAGTTTTTAATTTATATACTCTAAAATGTAATAATGGTAATGACTTTTCATTATTTAAATCTTCAATTTCTCCAGCAGATAATGCAATAACATATTGTAATCCAGCAACATCTTGTAAATCAGTTTCTTCACCTCTATAGAAATCCAAAAATAAAGATTTTAATTGTTGAAATACTGGATGGTTATCAAATGCAGGACCATTAAATACAAACATTGGTTTTAATCCAATACTAAAAGTTAATTTTTTAAAATCTTGTAATAATTTATGATTCTGTTGAATAGATAATTCAATCATATCAAATACTTTATGATTAAAGAATCTTGTGAAAACTAAAGTATTTGGACGTTTCTTATTATGAGTTGAAAATACCATTAATGAACTATCATTCTTTTCAGAAAAGAATTCTAATTGGGCAGCATCTTCAAACGGACGTATTTCATTCTTTTTCGAGAATTTCTTAGCTTCTGGTTTCTTAAGAGCCATTAAATCACACATGGCATCATGTAAAAGTTTATTACTGGTTGCTCCTGGGACGAAAAGAGCAGACTTTGTATTTTCCACTAATTTAGCTTCTTTCTTTGCAAGAGCTCTTTTAGAACGAGCATTTTTTGGTTTACTAAAAAGAAATGTTAGTATTCTGCTATGCTAATATTTGTTATTTGTGGTGTTAAAGGATCAACATACATTGTTCTAATCATTATATCTACTGCAAAATCAACTCCAAAAAGGTTTCTTCTATAGAGAAAGACTTATCAAAGGGATCAAATAAAACTAACTCAGAATTAAAAAAATTTCCAGATGCTCATCTTAACAAATTTATTTTTCCACTCATTTTCGGTGTAATAGAAAAAAAAAATAGCGCTACCAATATACCATTTAAACTATTTTTCATTATTAGCAATCCAAAAAATTATGCCAACCATAATTGATTATTTGTTAAATATGATCATTTCTGTCTAAATAATACATGTAGGTAGCAAAAAAGGTCGTACCCGGATTCGAACCGGGGTTGTTCGGATCAAAACCGAAAGTGATAACCACTACACTATACAACCAACTTCCGAAATTTTGGAAAATGCCGCTTGTACGCATCGTTTCTTTTTAATCACGTGACTGGTTTTGAATATGACTAATTTTCCATGCAATATCTACACAATAATAAGACGTTGTTCACGTTCAATGATTCTATGACTCTTTGAGTATATCCCTATACAGTATGTTTTTAATTTCTACTTCATATCATGGTAGAAATTATTCTTTTCAAAATTTGAAAATTTTTAGCAAAAAGTTTTCAATTCATCTTTTTTGAGGCAGAAACAAAAAAAAATTCAGAAATTTTGTCAACTTCTTCTTCTTGATGGGCTAAGATGTGTGATAGTGACTATCAGACTTATACTAAGATAGAGTTCTTTTTTGCCTTCATGACGTTTTTTGGATGGGATGATTGGCATGGAGAATGGGTTTTCCATAAATTTCTGAGTCTTGAGGTGGATGTCCCTGGTCTTTGAAAGTTGAGGATGGATGAAAATCGTCATTTTACTATTTCGGGATTAGAATTTGCCGCTCAACTTTGGACATATAGTTGGTTTTTGATCAAATTATGAAAGCATTGACTCTTTCAATCCAACGTCGCAAGTAGTCAATCCTACAAGGTATTCCCCCAAAGTCGAAGTTCAAGAAAGAAAACCAATCAACATATCAATCCTCTTTTGCAAATAATGTCGTCAAGGCCAAAAACAGCTTTCCTTTAGAAATCCGTTGGAACAATTAGACTTGTTCAATGGCAATTGCGACAATTTAATCTTCAACGCGACATCCACAGATGATCTAGAGGTAAACTCATTTTGCGTTGTCTACGCATGTTCGAATGAACTCTTAGTAGTGCTTGAGTGGAATCAAACATGAAAACTGTTTTAGTTTGTTTTCTGATTGATTCTATTTTAGTCCAGAATCATCTGGCTGTTTACTTGCGAATTTCCAAAACTGAAGGTAGCACTTGCATTGAGCATTATAGAAAGCGCTTCTCAATTAGACTTATTTTGGGAATTCGTATAAATAGTTCAACAGTAAAGCATTGTCCAATTTAACAAAATCCATCAATTGCAATTTTACCGAAAATAAATCCTCAACGTATGTACCTCAATTGATTCAGAATTCTCGATCCGCTTATTCCCGCCATCAATTTCCCCAAAATCAGTTGGGAGATGGAAGTGGGGATTTTCTATTGTTCATTTAATGCCGATCAGTTTTTTTACACATGAAATGATTGCAGCCAAAAAAAAAGACTGTTAGAACAGCCGCAAGAAACCGAGGAATATTAGAAGTTGATCCACGGGAATATTCTTGGATAGATACGATCAGGATAATTGCACGAAAAGAGTCTTCAATTGATAGAAATGCTAAGGAGAGGTTTGAAAACTGTGTGTAGGGGCTTACCATTCTTGAATTGAGTTGTAGTTGTGTTAAATTGAAAGTCGACATGGAAAAATGAAAAAGAGGGGCGGCGAGGGAACACAGTTGAAAATCCAACTTTTGCATATCCTATAATTGAACGCTGAATGAGTATGTCTTAACGGGGCCCCAAGTGGTAAGTAAGAGAGAGAGAGATACAGTTTTATTACTAATGAATTGAAGTGTGGCTCTAAATTAATAATGCGAATTCAAATTAACCAATATGAACGATGTGATGTTAAACTCCGAAGAAGGAATTTGTCGAAATCTAAAAAAAAAGAAATCGCCTTTTTAAGCCTGTTAAGTAATTTTTTATTAAAATAAGATTCACCTACCATTTTGAAAAAAATTCTCAAAAAAATGAATAAGAAGCGCATGTCTACTCTGAAACACTCAAGAACTTGGATTATAAATTTAAATCTGAAAAAATGTAACGTACATTGTCTACACTTATATGTGATGGACATATATTCCCGAGGAATTCTAAAATTGAATAGTATTATACATATAGTAATTAGACATCGTGTGTATTACCATGAGTTGTAGAGAATTGAGTCATATTGATAAGAATGTATACGACAAGCGAATCATATTGAGATATTTTGTGGTTTTGTACTCTTAGTTCATACTCATCTCCCCATTAAACCGAGAATTACACAAAATACAAAGAAAAAACATTTGAGCTGGTCTCTTTAGAGACAAGGTAGTACGATTTTTTTTGTCGCTGCTATTGTAATTAAACTTAATTACCGTTGTACATTTGACTCTAACTTTTGATTCCACCCCCCTAATTAAAAGTAGACAGGGGGTGATGACTATTCTGTTTAATTTGCCATATTTTTCTATCGACCACAAGATTAAAAACCTCCGAGAAAGAAAAAGTAAATGTGTGTCATGTCAAGAGTTTTATGTCAACCTTTCCTCGGGTTTTAATATTGATCTGATGTTGATTTGGAATCGACTGTTTCTTTCATTGTTTAAGTAAAAAAATATAACAATTGGAGGGGTATTCATATTTTTTTTTTTTTTGACTCAAGCTTCTCTTCTTCTCTTCTTTCTTCGGTCTTTCGGTAAAACTAAAAATTTTCATTTTTTTATTTATTTCTTGCGGTGTTCTCTTATAAATATTTGAGTCAATTCCCTTCTGTTCAATTTCTTCTCAGTTGAAAATTTTATCTTCTTCTTTCTTCTCTTTTCCTTTCCTTTCTCTATCAATTTTCTATTCCTCCAGTAAACTTCTCATCATGTACAGATCTCAATTGATTAAACAAACTTCTTCAACCAAAAGAGTTTTACAATTAAAATATTTCTCCACTATTAATTCTCAATTATTAAATTGGGGAGAAATTCCATTAGCACCACCTGATAAGATTTTAGGTATTAGTGAAGCTTATAACAAAGATTCAAATCCTCAAAAGATTAATTTAGGTGTTGGAGCTTATAGAAATGCTCAAGGTCAACCAATTATTTTCCCAAGTGTTAAAAAAGCTGAAGAAATTTTATTAACTACTGAAACTCAAAAAGAATATACTGCAATTAATGGTTCAAAGAATTTCCAAAATATTGTTAAAGAATTCATCTTTAATAATTCTGGTAAAGATGCCAATGGGAAACAATTGATTGAAGATGGTAGAATTGTTACTTCTCAAACTATTTCTGGTACTGGTTCTTTAAGAGTTATTGCCGATTTCTTAAAGAGATTTTATTCTTCCTCCAAGATTATTGTTCCAAAACCAACTTGGGCTAATCATGTTGCTGTTTTCAAGGATGCTGGATTAGAACCAGAATATTATGCTTATTATGATGTTTCTAAGAATGATTTAGATTACGAAAACTTAAAGAAATCTTTACAATCTCAACCTGAAAAATCAATTATTTTATTACATGCTTGTTGTCATAATCCAACTGGTATGGATTTAACTCCAGAACAGATGGATGAAGTTTTAGAAATCATTCAACAAAAGAAATTCTTCCCATTAGTTGATATGGCTTATCAAGGTTTTGCTAGTGGTAAACCATATGAAGATATTGTTTTCATTAGAAAATTAACTAAATTAGCTAATGAAAACAAAATCCCAACCTTTGCATTATGTCAATCATTTGCTAAGAATATGGGTCTTTATGGTGAAAGAACTGGTTCATTATCTATCATTACTCCATCTGCCGAATCTTCAAAAGCTGTTGAATCTCAATTAAAGAAATTAATTAGACCAATGTATTCTTCTCCACCAATTCATGGTTCCAAGATTGTTGAAACTATTTTCGATAAAGAACATAACTTATTAAATTCTTGGTTACAAGATTTAGACAGTGTTGTTGGAAGACTTAATACTGTTAGACAAGCCTTATATGATCGTTTAGATAAATCTAACTATAACTGGGATCATTTATTAAGACAAAGAGGTATGTTTGTTTATACTGGTTTAAGTGCTGAACAAGTTATTAGATTAAGAAATGAATATAGTGTCTATTGTACTGAAGATGGTAGATTCAGTATTTCTGGTATTAATGATAAGAATGTTGATTACTTAGCTAATGCCATCAATGCTATTATTAAGAAGTAAATAACTTACAATTAGCTTAGATTAGATTTTTATGAGAAGATGAGATGAGAGAAAAATTACATAGGAGTAGTAGTAGTATTGCATATATATGTTTATGGTATACTCTTGTACTAAGTACATGTGTTGTTTCTAAATAATTAGAATGTAGAGAGAGTCATCCCTGTCTATAGGTTGCATGACCCTTAGTTGGGAGAGAACCCCTTGAATGTAATCTGGGGGTTATGTTTAATCGCCTAAGTTTAGTCACTTATTTAGATTATAGATTTATAAAAGAATCTGAGAAGTATAAAATTAAAATTTGCAGCCCTGATTATTATTATTTTTTTTTTCCATTGGCGGAACGGAATTAAATTTAAGTTTTTTAATTGCCAAGTAAAAGTATAATTTGCAACCTTACTTTCGGTCACAGAACAACACATTAATCCAGTAGGGAATTTAAGAAGAATTGGATTAATTAATGAACATTATGTGTGTGTGAAAGCTCTCTATAAACACACACATACATCATAACCCTTAATTTAATTATTAATTAATTAATTATAAAAACATCACAAAATAATAATAAATTACAAATCTTCCGATCCTTTAATTATTTTTCCTGAGTATTCTTTCAACAATTGTATATCAAAACAATATCATACAAAGATGAATACAACCAAAGCAGCACTTGCAAGAAAGATGGTAGTAGAGGCGCATGTCCTCCCCCTCGGAGAAAAATTAGATCGAATCTCCAGTATTTCAACCAACGCCAGCCGACAAGAATTAGATTCCTTATTCTCCCAAACCATAGAATCAATAATCATTACTCCCAACAATATAATCAACGAATTAATCAGGATTAAATCCTTATTAGACCCTAAGACATTCTATGATCGTAAAATAAGAAGGAAATTGTTGGAATTGGGTGAGAGTTTGGATGAATGGATTGCATTGGGACTGGAAATGGATAGTCTTGCCGCTAGAGAAGTGATTATCATGAAGGTTTTTGCTAGGATTGAATTGTATACTTCTGAATTTAGGGGGATTGTGTGTGAGATTGGAAGTGATTCCAAGGATGAAATGATTGGGTTTTTTGAACAGGATTGTGAACTGGGGGTGTTTAGGAAGGTAGCGGTTCCGAAATTGGTTGAACAACATGATGAGGATGAGGATGAAGATGATCAATCTAGTATTGAAGAAACATCCAGTAATGTCGTTATTAATGGCGATTTTGGGGTTTTGGTAGAGGATGGAGAGGATGAAGAAAAAGATGAGATTACAAAACTTGCAGAAGGTGATAATAATGATCTTCCTCGCTCCTACCAATTTGTTAAACCTTTACTTCCTAAAAAACTTTATAAATCCAAAAAATTAAAAATTGAAGATAAATCTCCAACTGCTGATATAATATTTAATACCTTGATGGCAAATGTAGAAGTAACGTGGAAGAAAATCCTTCATGATTTCTTAGAGAATGGGGTTAAACAAAGTTAAGGGGGGTTAGGGGGGTGTTTGTTAATTACTTAGTAGTATTATTGGCTGCAAAAAAAAAGGGTAACTTGCATAATCGGAGTAAGGGGTTTACAAAAGTGTATAGGTTAATGTTCTTATTTTTAGTTAATACAAACTGTTGATCAGTTAGAGTTTTGTAAGGTAAGTTTTCCTCTTTTCTTAAGGGATTCAGGGATATCCAATTAACTCTCAAAACATAGGTCATCCAAATAATTTTTATGTGTGTAAGAACCGAAAGCCATTCAACTGTCCAAAGAGAACTTATTAGGCTCCGTAGCCTTTTTGGAAGTACTCAACGCGTAAACAATAGTTTATTGAGAGATGGATCTCGTGACTCTATCTGGATACGTCAGCCGTGCTATATTTTTTCATAAACGTGACCAATAAATACACATTCCTCGCAACCACTTTCTATAAAAGGGGGTGCCATTCTATATACGAATTATTTTTGTTACAAATTTTTATTGATCGGCACTGCATATAGCACGTTAGGGGTACAGTCATTGTATACTTGCCGGGTAACATTCAAGAGAAAATCTTGACTCTCTGTCGATGAGAGACTTAAAGTGAATCCACAATGTTGGACTCTGGCAACGATAGGGGACATAACATTTTGGTTTATAGTTAATTGATTTATAGTATTATATTTAAAGAGAGGAAATCTAGGATTTTAAATAGAGCGGTCCAAGATGTGGTAATTAATTCACTTTAAAACATGTTCGCATGTATATGTGTAAGAGACGTTGGTCGTGTAATTGTTAAATTAGAAATGAAAAATTCTCAGTGAGAGAACGAGGAATAAAAATAAGAATTATTTTATAATTATATATTTTGATTTATTTTATAGATTAAGGGTCTTGATAGAAATAATACATATCATATATTATAAGATATCTTCGATAGAGAAGTTTCCATAGAGGCTTAAATCAAGAGTATATCTATTATAGGACCAAATCTTAGCACGCGGGCAAACCTTTAGTTTAAGTCAAATTATAGGTGCGAACAGATTAGAAGTCAAAGTGTCGTTTTAACTTACGTTTTACAAAACTTCCAATGTAGGAGTTCAAGTGAAGTTTAACTCACTTTATAGACTTTGTCTTACAATGCAGAATTAACTAACAAGACCCCAGTATATGCAAAACCACCTAGAGGTTATGTCCCAAAAGGTTTTGAGGTTCCAGAAGGTAAATGTTGGAAGTTGAAGAAATCACTTTACGGATTAAAGCAGAGTGGTTTTGAATGGTATACACATTTCACTAAAATTCTATTGGATATGAAAATGAAACAATGTCATGATGAAAAGGCTATGTTCCATTACGAGACGAAGAAAGGTACGAAACTGATCGTTGCTTTATACGTTGATGATGTACTTATCGCTGCTTCAAATGAAAAAATGATCCAAAAATTTGTGCTGTTATTGGAAGACAAATTTGACTTAAAGTATTTTGGAGAAGTTTCAGAATACCTCGGAACTACATTTAAGAAAACAGAACAAGGGTATGAAATACACCAAGAAAAATATGTCAATGATGTGGTTCAAAGATTCAAACTTGATGAAATTACACACGATAAACGCATACCATGGATCCCGAAGGAATATTCACGAGACAAAGTCGTTAAATCCACAGATAAAGAAAATGATTTCCAAAAAGTAGAGCCACCTGAGCCATTAAGTGAAACTGAGAAGAAAGCATTTATGAAGGGAGTTGGGACATTGAACTGGTTGGTACTAAACACGAGAGCTGATTTGTCATGTATTACACAGAAATTGGCAACTAAGATGTCCAACTAACCAAAGAACCCACAGATCCAGTTGAAGATTTTGAAAAAGCAATACAAGCAAACTGGGGAGCAATTAAAGAACATCGACGTCAACTCACGGCAGCAGAAGAGGCAAGAATCGCCGACGAACTTACCGAAGCTTTACATAAGGAACCTCCCGATCCAGTCGAAGATCTCCAACAGGAACTCAACAAAAATCATGGTTTAATCCGCCAAGCTCGAATAAAAGCTGTAGCAGATGAAGAAGCTAGAATTGCTGAAGCACTCCTTACTAATTCTAATGATGAAGGTGACATAATTTCTGAACTCGATAAAGAATTAGCAGAAATTAGGGGAGAAGAGACCCACATCATAAAACACGTGGACACTGATTCAAAACCGGAGAGTAAGGCAACCCATTATAAATGACAGTGCAGCAGCTGCAGAAACTTATTCAATTTTTCTTGCAAACCTTTGTAGGTAATATCTAAAGGTGTATGTGTGTGGAAGTATTCGTTATTGAGAATTGTTATGACCGCTTCATTATCTTCATATACGTGAGTTTTGTCCACACAGTATCCTAAATCTTTTATAATTGATTTCAACTAGCTAAGTCTTTTGACTGCCATATCTAAACAAATTATGGTACGCAATGGGTTATCTAAAATGTCATAGGAACTTCAAACTTACATACAATCGTGGAAAATTACCAGAATCAGAATCGATATTGGAATGCTTCTGTGATGCGTCGTTTGCACCAGACAAGGATAGAAAGTCAATTACAGGATATGCAATTTACTACAACGGAAACTTGATTGATTATTACACGAAGAAACAACCCAAAATAAGTGACAGTGCAGCAGCTGCAGAAATGTTGGCATTAGATATGGCAGTCAAAAGACTTAACAAGTTGAAATCAATTATAAAAGATTTAGGATACTGTGTGGACAAAACTCACGTATATGAAGATAATGAAGCGGTCATAACAATTCTCAATAACGAATACTTCCACACACATACACCTTTAGATATTACCTACAAAGCTTTGCAAGAAAAATTGAATAAGGAATTCACGATTTCGTATATTAGATCAGAAGAAAACTTAGCAGATGCGTTTACCAAATGTCTACATGCACCAAAATTCAACGAGCTGATGTCAAAAATACTAGAGAGGCCAGATCTCAACGGCGAAACATTCAATCCATCCAAATTAGGTAAGATCCCAGTTGATGCAAATGGATTTGAAATTAACACTGAAGGTCAATAATCAAATCTGGGGAGTGTTCGCATGTATATGTGTTTGAGACATTGGTCGTGTATTTGTTAAATTAGAAATGAAAAATTTTCAGTGAGAGAACGAGGAATAAAAATAAGAATTATTTTATAATTATATATTTTGCTTTATTTTATAGATTAAGGGTCTTGATAGAAATAATACATATCATATATTATAAGATATCTTCGATAGAGAAGTTTCCATAGAGGCTTAAATCAAGAGTATATCTATTATAGGACCAAATCTTAGCACGCGGGCAAACCTTTAGTTTAAGTCAAATTATAGGTGCGAACAAAACATAATTACGTGTTTTTTTACCGCCACAGGTAACAAAATAAATTTAATAGTATCCACAGTTGATAAGAACAATATTTAATTTCAGCTGACATTGGCAATTGCCAACCCACAATTACACAATTCCCAACACTCCCTCTTAATTCATAATTTCTTAACACTAACAGCATCATCATAAGTTAACATACCACAGCACCTACACCAGCTGTTTTTCAGATAGACCATTAAGCAAGAGCATATATCCTCAGGCTGAGAGCTTTTGTCATAAGATCAGCTTTCATTGATTCAGTCGGTACACATCAAAATCCTTAGCAGCTTCCTAACAAAATGATAAATCCTAGCTATATGTTTCGTTCTTTTTCGAAACACCAGATTCTTAGCAATACTAATGGCTGACTGATTATCACACCAAAAGATCGTATCCTTTAGATCCACCTTCGACGCGTCAAAGAGTTGCATAGCATTTCCTTGGTAGCATCATCCAAAACTGAATTATTCAGCTTCAGCACTAGAAAGAGCAACAGTCGTTTGTCCACGACTTGAAAAAGGTTGATAAACGTAAGGACCTTTTTATGTTCTTCTGACATATATTTTGTAATTGTTGACATAGTCTTGGGGAACTTTGGAATATAAAAATTTCCAGATGGTGATCCAAAGTACACCTTTAGCATCAGATGATTCATTCTTTGCAATAAGTTCTTTGATTTCCATATCAATAATTGCCATAGTGACATTTAAGTCATCACTTTGGTCAAAGTTGTCTTTCAACATTTGAATAGGATCTTTGTTAATTTGTTTGACCGATTTCTTTGCCATCTTGAATAACATTGGATATTTGATTTTCTCAAATTCGCTACGTTGGTTTGCTAAAACAGAAACTCTAGCTAAATCTGACATTGCTTTACTTCCTGAGTTTAGGCAAGCATGGAGAAGTTACCAAGCTATAATGATATTAAAGCCGTCGCGAATTTATACCATTGGTTGCAAAAGGATGCTTGTCATAAGATTAAATACTTTGTTCCAGACCATGTTATAATTGCAGCATTTGCATAATGAAATATGTAACCACTCATCGATAAACTTGTATTTGGGTCAGTGTACCAACTAGCATCACAGAATCAATACAACCTACCAGAACATTGTGGGTATAGGATACGCTTGTTCATAGATCCAGTAATGTATCTAATAAGATGTTTAGCAGCTGCAAGATGAAATAGCAATGTGTGATTATTGATGCTTAGACAATTTGCAAACAACAAAAACTAATATCATACCTAATAGTGTTAGTTGAAAGCAAGAGCAACTTACCAACTAAGTTTTGGTAAACCAGAGATGAGACCCAATGGTGAATCTGCCGGTGTTTGATCAATGTTCTGACTTGAAATCAGTGGAGATTGAACAGATTTCAATTGCAGAATGTCATGACCAAGTGATTCCAATAAAGTTGACAGAGTAATCTGCAGCACTTAGCCTAATCATTCGCCCCCTTAAGCTGCTGAATATTAAGACCAGGAAACTTGGAAGTGAGACCTAAATCTTTCATGGTATAGTAGGCATGAAGCAATGATTTGATATCCAGAATATCAGAAGCAGCATTAGAACCAACAATGAGAAGATCATCAACATAAAGTTCAGTAATAACAACAGAATCAACAGACCAAAGAATGAACAAACAATATTCAGATTGTAAACGAATAAAACCAAGATCAGATAAAGCAGCGGTAAAATGACGATATCATTCATTTGCAGCTTTTTTGAGTCCATAAAGACTTTTCTTAAGTCTAAGTTACATCAGAACCATTTCCAATAGTACAACCTTCAGTTTGCAGCATGAATGTCTCATTCAAATCAGCGTTAAGGAATGCAGTTGTCACATCCATTTGATGTACCAATAAACCAAGCTGAACCAGAAGAGCCAGGAATATCCGAACACTTTCATAACGAATCACAGGAACAAAGGTGTAGAATCAATCAACGTTTTCAGTTTGGGTGAAACTTCGAGCAACAAGACGAGCTTCTTTATAAATACCATTTGATTTGATAGCAAAACCCCATTTACAAGAAATAATTTATCAAAAAAGCTCATTTGAAACCAATGCTTTATATTCATTATCAGTAGAATTACGCCATAAATCAGATTCAGGACACTTCATAGCTTGCCAGAAAGTGTTGGGATCGTATTGATTAGCAGGCAGACTTGCAAGATAAGCATGATGCAGAGAAACAGTATCGTGATCACCAGTCCAATAAGCAACATCCATTAGCAGTAACATCGGAATAAACAATGACTTGATTGCTTGCATTTGAACGGAGACGTTTCAGGAAAGGAACCTCGTCAGATGATACAGGAACCAAAGCAGTAGAATGACGGTACGGAATAATAGCAGTTGTTGGTGATGGTGAAGGCAGACGAATTCTTTTGGACAGACCAGGATGAGATGGTGATAATCAGCTTCGGGCATGAGTAGGTAATGCATTAGTACTAGTAGGTGGTAATACAGGTGGTGGTAACGCAAGTTGGTGCAGTGATATGAGATGTAGCAGGTGTTCCCACCGGGCCAATTCAACGATGGTAACCACTCTTTAAACCTAAAGTAGTGAAACAGTTGGTACCAGAAAGTCCTGGTATGAGGGACCGGAAAGATGGAAGGATGGGAGCAATGGGGATAGTAATATCATTAACTGGACGATAATCATAGACAATTCTATAAGCCCCTGACTTTTTTGGAACCACTTGAGGTGCAACGTAATCCTTTTCAGTTCTACCCTATTACTCTGGTTGTACATTTTCTCCTTGTTAAAGTTCTTGAATAAACTTCTCGGCAGCAAGTGAATAAGTTGGTAGTGGGCGATTTCTAGGACAGGTGGCGGTGGTATCAATGGTGATAAGGTAGTCATCAGGCCTGGCAAGAGGGAGTGTAAAATCCCCTGGTGTAGCTCTGAATGGTTGGAGCATCTCAGTGAAAGTAGGTGGAAGCAGTGGATCTAATCCGTTGATAATGGTATCATTAGTCGTGAAGCAGACATCGGTTTCAGCAATTGGAATCGTTGGGATGGATAAATGATTATACTCAAATCGAACACCAGGTTGACAAAGGATAGCATATTTGGCCCAAAAATCTTCTCCAAGAAGAATGGGTGAAATGTGAGAGTCTTTAACAATGAAGGTATGTTCAAAAGTAGCTGGTAAACCAGCGATAGCAAACAGAACTGTAACAGCAGTCTACTTTATGTTGGTAGGATGTGAGCCAAATGTCGAAAAACGGTAGTTATCAGGTAATGTAGCTATGGTAAGATCAAGGGATGAAACCAGTCGGAACTAATGAAGGAACGAGAAGAACCTTGATTCCAGTAAGCAACTGTGGAATCGTCATCACTGTAACTTGGAAAATTAGGTTTCGAAAAGTAAATGGTAGGGGGGTCAATAAGGTTATGTTGTATACCGTGAGCAGTTAATTCAGATGTTAAACCAGAGTCCACAAATTCAGCACCCATTATCAGATTGAAGTACTTTGACGCGATTACCATAGGGATCCTGAGTTGAAATCCCTTTAATAAGATTGGAAATGATACCAGCACAATGCGCATTATCTGGACTAGAGTGAACATGTACAAAACGAGTAACCATCATCAACAATAGTCAAAAGCTTCAAATGACCAGAAGCAGAAGTTGTCATGGGTCCACATACATCAACATGAAGTTTCCCACCAACTTTATAAACAACAGCAGGGTCAGATATCAAGCTAACAGCTTGGTCAGATGAGGAGCACCACAGGATGAACCATCCGTAGGAATTCCAAGACGATGAAAGTAAGCATCAGCATGATAACTAACATATCCAAAATTGGCAATATCAATTCGAAACCTCCTGCAGGTGGCCAAAACCTGGACGAGTTACTTTATTTACACCGTCTTCTTTGTATATTTCTTGTAGTCGGAAGAATGTTCAATGTTTCTCCAAAGTTTCCAAATTGAACATTCTTCCGATTACAAGAAATATACAAAGAAGACCGTAAATAAAGTAACTCCTTCCTGCCTATTTCGTCCCCAAAATCTGAGAATTCAGGCTGGTTTTAGATTATTAGAAATTGAAACTCAGCTAGAGGGGAAAGCCAGGTTTGTATCTCGTAATATTAGACTCCCGACATGCTCAAGTCGGGGGGAAGTTTGATATTACGAAATAAGATACAAACCCATCTCGACCTACATGTGAAGTACCCAACCCCTCACCAACCATGCCACATCCAATGGATCTTCCCCTACTATAGATTGCTCGTAGCTAAGAAAGGATTATATTCACCAGCTGACTCAATAAAATGGTTCTTATCCGTAGGGTGTGGGATAAAATCTTCTAATTCCGACAAGTGATCGTCCAATGTTTTGCTTTTTGCAGCAATCTTGTGTCCCAAGAATTCAATCAAGTAGGAGCAGATAATCCATTGAAGTTACATTTAGATGCTCTTACTTGGATTTTTGGGTTATATGATTACTCCGAAGGGTAAGACATTGGACAGTGATCCTGGCGAAGTTAAAAGGGTTATCCATTGCCTACGGATAAGATTTCCAATAATACATCTACATCTTATAAAATGATCTTGTGACCAGGTGAAGTAAAATCTAAGATCCGAGATAATTTATTTCATGAAAGGTTGTGAGATTATTTTTTATAGGTTTTAAGTTTATATCCTTTTTAGTCAGTTACGTTATATTTTAATTTTTTGTTATATTGCTACGAATACAACTTATACTCTAATTCTTATATTTTGTATTAAAGTCTACCCGATTGTATAGAACCGGCCATTCCAGATAAACTATCTATAATCAATGTGGATGTAATATTTAATACCTTTATTGGAGGTTATTCGTTAATTAGTATTATTTTTGGCTGCAAAAAAAAAGGTAAATTTTCATAATCAGAGTATGGGGATTACGAGGTTGAATAGGTTAATGTTTTTTTTACTTTATGCAAACTGTTGATCAGTTAGAGTTTTGTAAGGCAAAGTTTTCCTCTTTGTTAAAGGAATTTAGGGATATCCAATTAACTATAGGTAATCCAGAGAATTTTCATATGCGTATGTATCAAAAGCAGTTTAACTGTCCAAGAAAGCTTATTAGACTGTACATCTCTTCTAGAAGTCCACAACGCGTGCATGCTAGTTTGTTGAGAGGTGGAACTCTTAACTCCTTTTAGAAACATCAGCCCTGCTGTATTTTTGTACCACTTTCTAAAACAGGAGATACCATTATTTTTGGTTTCAAAATTTTACACTTCGGACATCAAACGATATCTAAAACAAGGAATAATTATATAATTCATAATCTGATTGATCGCGTACATCGACAGGGGGGTGGATGGGATGGGAGTGGTAGAGTATTCGTGTACATTCTCTATTTAAACAATGGTCCATTGATTTGACGAAACAAGAGTTAAAGATGTGATTTACACAAAATCAATGAAGTTTTTACTTTGTACTAGAAATGTATTGTTACAAAATGGATTGTGTGGCTGTCAAATTTAAGGAGGGGGTATACGACCTAAAAATGATCGAGTTCTTCTTCGTGGTATACCCCTCCGTCATCATACAAGAATAATAATATGAAGTAGACAAAGAAAAAGACGATAAATTGGGTAAAATTGTTGTACCAATACATTGTATTGCTTGTTTAAGAATAATAATGGGTTGTATATTTAAAGATAAACAGCCGTAGAGATTAAAATTATCGTATTGTTAGTTACCAATACGCGTATTAAAATTAATTTAATTTAATTTAAGAAAAGTTAACCAAACTTTTTTTATTTTGTTAATTAAAACTTTTTTTTTTTATCCATTTATACACTACCCCCTTTACAGTGCTACTGTACATTCTAATTAATTAATAGAGTTCAACTCTTACAGTTGAATACATTTTCCTGTTCTAATCATTTTTTTTTAAATAGGAGAGACAGGTAGAAACAGACAGACTGAAAGAAAGAGTGAGAATAATTTATTAAAATACGAATTTAAATATTATTATTTAAGTTTTATATACTCCTTAATAAACAGTCAAACGATTATTATTATTTATATAAGACTGTTTAATCAATTTCATTTAACGTATCTATTTATAGTAACAACAACAACAACTACAATTTATTACTACTGCTACTACCCTAAATATAGAAACAACAACTACCGTAATGGATAATATAACTGATAGTAAAGATAATCCAATAGATCATCATCAACAACAACAACTATATGATGATACTACTAATAATAATACATTAGAAACAACTAATAAATTATTAAATGATTTAGAACGTAAATTATCAATAATATCAACAACTAATTCTACTACTTCAAGTCAATATACAAATAATAGTGGATCAGTAATTCATAATGAAAAATTTAATGGTTTAGCAAAACAAAATATTAATAGTTCAGTATTAAGATATATCATTAATAATGAAAATAACAATGAACCAGAAGATGATGATGATAAACATTCAAGAATTTATAATAATATATTTGATCCAAATGAATTATTTCAAGAAAGACATAATAAATTTATGACTAAATTTGGTAAAGATTATAATGATGATAATATATTACAACAACAACAACAATCACAACAGCTGAGACAAAGGAAATTATTAAGAAAGAATTCATTAAAAGTAAATCAAGATAGATTAGAAAAGAAAGCAAGTGATATATCATTACAAGATACAACCTTACAAGAACAACCACAACAACAAGAAGAAGAACCAAAGGAATCCAATATAATATCACAATCTTCAATCAATGCAATTGAAGTCGATGATCCAAATCATGATATCTCTTCATCTGAAGAAACAGAAGAATTAGACCCTCACCATCAACATCAACCCCAAGACTCAGAACAACAGAAATATGGAATATTCTATGATGACGGCTTTGCAACCGATCCTGAAACTCAAGACCTCCTGCTTCTTCCACCATCTCCACCACGATCACCCCCTCGTGAATTAGATCCAGATAAATTATATGGAATATATAATTTTCAAGGCCCTGATCCTTCTCATTGTACATTATCAAAAGATGAACCAGTTTATTTAATTAATGATGAAGATAATTATTGGTGGTTGATTCGGAAATTATCAAAAAATGAACGAATAAATCGATTACAGAAACACCATCTGACCAATGGGCCAGAAGATCAATTGGATGAAGAGATTGAAATACATACTGATGAAGAGGATGGAAAAGTGGGGTTTGTCCCCGCTGAATGTTTGGAAACTTATGGAGAAAGATTGGCGAGATTGAATTGTTTTAAGAATGAAGAATTGGAAAGGCGGACTTCGGGGGAGACTTTGAATAATAATAATGAAGAGCAAGATGATGAGAATGGGAATTCGGTTGAGAGTGTGAATTCGGGTACGACTCAGAAGAAATCAAATAATAATAAATCGGTTACATTTGAGGATTTGGCTGAAGTTAAAGATGAAGATGAAGCATCAGTGGAAGATGGGGATGATGAAGATACTGAAGAGGAGAAGGAAATAGAAGATGACGACGAGGAAGAAGAGGAAGAAGAAGATATTCGTCCAAGTTTTGGTAGTTATCTGAAAGATATCGGACCTCTTTCTGTACAATCAGATGAGGCTGACAGACCCCCATCTGAGACCCTAAGTGATGTATTTGCTGAAACTCCCCTAGTCATCCAGAAAAAGAAACGTACTAATCAACAACAGCCAACAATAACGACGTTTTCTGATTTATATGTCCAACCGACTAAAAGAAGTACTAGTATGGATAATATATCAATTGGTACATATTCCCCTGATACTCCGAAATCAAATGATCTAGAAGAAGGAGAAGAAGAAAATGAAGAAAATGTGGCTAGACAAGATATGGTAAAGGCATTAAGGCGATCGGTTATATTGGATAGATTGACCCAGATGACTACTGATATTCAAGAACAGATGAAAGAAGGTGGTGTCGGTGATGGAAATTCCCTGGATGATGATGATCAAGAAGAAGGAGATAGGAGAGATATAGATGAATTACCTTCTCCTACAATAACTAATTCAGTAGCTAATTCTCCTGAACAATATCTTAAACCTATTGAGATTCATGGAATTGATGATATTTTGTCATCATCATCTTCGAATCCTGTTGTCAAATCCGATCATCAACAATATCTTGATGATGAAATGTCAAAACAACAACAGGAACAACACCTAACTACGAATCCACAAGGTCAACCACAAACACAACAATCAAGTGCAGATTCAATCGGTTTCCAAGATTCATCCTCCGTTTCCCATCTTTCACTCCACAAACTCAAGAAAAACAGTATAGATGATGAATGCATAGGCTATTTCGAAAACGAAGAAGAAGAAGAAGAGGATACAATCACGCCATTGACAAGTATGAATTCATTAATTGATTTAAATAATAAAGAACAACGAAGAAAACTGAAACCGGTTCATGAGATGTTTATTCCAATATTAGGGAAATTTGATGAATTGGTTGAAAAATTGGCAGAATTGGATGAGATGTTGAAGTAATGTGTGTAGTGTAGCGTTAGAGAAGAGATAAGAGAAGTTTTTAGAGTGTGGTGGGTAGGGAGTATGTATAGTAGGTTAAAAATACATATGATATTTTGTGATGATGACGTGAGTTTGTTGTCAATGACTTATTGAGGTCTTTATTAGATATCTGATGTGTTAATGTATGAGTGCGTGTAATATTGTAGGATTATTACTTATCTGTATCTCTATAATACCTTACCCCAGTTTAATGGATGTAGCGGTAGTAAGTGTGGTAGTAATGTTAAACGACTGACTGTGAAATTTATGGTCGTGTAATTAAAATCAATTTTGAATCTCATCTTTTAAAAAAAAATTTAAAATTTAATTTTTTTTTTTTTAACTTAACAAATTGCTATAACCATTTAACTACCAGATTATTGTTAGTGTCAAAGTATTTGGCATTTAATACACTTTGTAATCTATTTTGCCTTTGCTTTGTTAGTAAATAATTATCCAACTGATCAACCATACTTTTTAAAAATCTCCATTTCAATAACATCAAGTTTGCAAAATAGTGAAATACCAGAGTGACGTCAAAAAAAGAAGAACAAACAGCAGCAATAGCAAACTTTTTAGCAACAACCCATTAAACATACATCCCAAACACACATTGTAACAAAGAAAAAACACCAATCATGTCCTGGACAGCTGATCCGCAAGCATTAGAACAGTTAAGGCAGATCTTTAGAGGCACTCTATCTACCAACAATCAAGAACGTAGATTAGCTAATGATGCTCTTCAACAAGCAAAATTACAACCAGAAATTGAAAATTATTTATTTGATTTATTGGTATTAGATAATACTGCAAAATCAGATATTAGGGCAGCTGCTGGGATCAATTTAAAGAATAGTATTTTAAAACGAGATGGTGGTAATAATACCAATGCTGTTGTTAATCGACAATATTTATTAGATAATATTTTAAAAGGATTAACTTCAAATGATAATATGGTTAGAAATATTACTGGAAATGTCATAACTTCATTATTCTCAATCTATGGAATTGAAGGTTGGCCTACGATTTTACCCAATTTATTAGAATTAGCCAGTATTCAAACTAATCATGGATCAACTCATCATCAAGAAGCTGCCATGGGTGCATTGAGTAAAATATGTGAAGATTCTTATTTGGAATTAGATAAAGAATATCGAGGAGAAAGACCATTGAATTTCTTAATTGAACAATTTTTGAAATTGTTAGAAAATCCAAATATGAATGAACGAATTAAAGCTCAAGCTATTCATTGTATTAATCAATTTATCCCATTAAAAACACAATCTTTCTTAGTGGTGATTGATGTATATTTAATGAGATTATTTGAATTGGCAACTACTTTAAATGATCAAGTTAAAAAGAATATATGTACTTCATTCTTATTAATTCTTGAATCAAGACCAGATAAATTAAAACCTCATCTTGATGGAGTGATTAATTATTGTTTACATTTAATGCAACAAGATTCAAATAATGAAGAAGTCTCACTTGCAGCTTGTGAATTTTTGTTGGCATTATGTACTTCAACTACAACTGATCAAGATAAAGAAATTTTTATTAATAAATTAAAATTAATTTTACCTATCTTATTAGAAAAAATGGTTTATTCAGATGAAGAAATTTTCTTGATGGAAATTGCTGATAGTAAAGACGATGCCGATATTGCTGATAAAGATGAAGATATAAAACCACAAAATGCCAAGGGGAAAGACGCGCGTACATCCAATGGAACAACCACCAATAATAATAATACCACCACCACAACCACTCTCAATGGAGGAATTTCCAGCGCCAGAGGTCTGGATGATTCCGATGATTCCGATGACGACGACGAAGATGAAGATGATGACGATTTAGATATCGATCAATGGAGTTTAAGAAAATGCTCAGCCGCCACATTGGATGTTCTTAGTGAAAATTTCCCTGGAGAAGTGTTGTTAGTTACATTACCCATCTTACAAGAAAAAATCGTTTCCCCCAATTGGCCAGTTCGTGAAGCAGCAATATTGGCATTTGGGGCCATAAGTAGTAGTTGTATTGAACTTTCTCGGGATAAATTGCCTACATTGGTTCCATTCTTGGTTGATCGATTACATGATGCCGAACCAAGGGTGAGACAGATTACTTGTTGGACTTTGTCAAGATATGCTTCATGGGTGAGTGAGGAGGCTCATGAGGGTGGTGAATATGCCAATTATTTCCAGCCTACTTTCCAATCGATTGTGAGTTGTGCATTGGATAAGAAGAAGGTTGTTCAAGAAGCGGCATGTTCGGCATTGAGTTCATTTATTGAAGAGAGTGATTCTAGTTTGATTGAATTTTATTTAGAACCTTTATTACAACATTTTGCTAAATGTTTTCAAACTTATCAACGTAAAAATTTGATTATATTATATGATTGTGTTCAAACATTTGTGGAAAAAATGGGATATGATAATTTATCAGCAAAACCAGAATATATTAATACTTTATTACCTCCATTATTAAATAAATGGGAAATCTTGAATGATAATGATACTGGATTATGGCCACTTTTAGAATGTATGGCATCAATTGCTGCTACTTTAAGAGAATTATTTGCTCCATTTGCTATACCTGTCTATGAACGTGCTATGAAGATATTATCCGATTGTATTCAATTAGATCAACAATGTCATACTGATCCAAGTATTGAAGCACCAGAAAAGGATTTCATGGTCACTTCATTGGATTTAATTGATGGATTAATCCAAGGATTTGAACATCATTCAGTTGATTTAATCCAACAACAACAACCAACTTCGAACTTAATGGAATTATTAATAATTTGTTTGGAAGATTATAATGCCGACGTTAGACAATCAGCATATGCCTTATTAGGAGATTTATCCATATTCGTATTAGATCCAATTGTTAAACCATATTTACATTCTATCTTTTTAGGTATTGGGAATGAAATTAATAATCGAACATATAGTACTTATCCAGTTTATAATAATGCAATTTGGGCCCTTGGAGAAATCATAATGAGAATCCCATTCCAAGAAGTTGAAAGTTATATGAGTAATTTAATTGATTTATTAATCCCAGTGTTAAATAGTAGTGATATCCAATCTACTGTATTAGAAAATGCTGCTATTTGTTTAGGTAGAATGGGATTGAATGGAGGTGCAAAGATATTGGCACCTCGCTTATCGGAATTCATCGTGAATTGGTGTTCTCAATTCATATATTTGGTAGATAATAGTGAGAAAGAAACTGGGTTTACCGGGATGTTGAATATTATTAGTATGAATCCTGATCAAGGATTTGGCGGGTTGAGTAATACACAACAGGGGAAGAAGAATTTCGCGAGGTTGTTGTCTTGTATTGGGAATTATAATGAACCCGGGCAGGAATTACAACATTTGTTTATGGATTTGATTCAGAATTATAAAGTGCTTTTGGGTGATGATGGATGGAGAAATCAAGTGTTGAGTCATGTTGATCCTGAGATTAGAAATAAGTTACAACTCATCTATGGTGCTTAATATATCTACAAAAAAGGAAAGGGAAAGAGATGGGTTGTGGGTGGTGGTAGGTGGAAAAGTTTGTCTTTTTTAACATTATAAGTATATAGATTATTTTGAGGAAAGTAGCAGTATATAGACTTGTATTAATTAATACAATAATTTTTAATTACTTCTAAATATTTATTTCATCATTATCATCGTCACTATCGTTATCATCATCGTTATAGAGAACTTCATTTACTAAAGTAATTGGTAGGTCCCAAACACCACTTGGTGCATTATGTATATATTCCACCGCACTATCAATCAATTCTTGCCGACTAACATCTATCCCCTTAGCATTATCAACATCACCGGGGAAATGTGAATGTTCATCCACAATACAACAAACATCATCCAATTTCAATGTCAATACTTCAGTATTATACAATGCCAAAAAATAATAGATAAATACCATAAGCATAAGTGAATAACTCGGTATAGCCACTGCCCAATATCGATCAGGATAATAATAGATTGATAATTGATGATGAAGGATTGATTCAGGTAGGGTTGTCCAACAAATCCAACATCCTAGACAGATTGATGATATTACCCAGATTGCGAATCCTTGATATTCTTTGCTAGGGGTGATATTGGAGACTGTGACGTCTGATTCTCGGGCTAGAGAGTCTTCTTGAGGGTTGGGTCGAGGGGAGCTGGATCGGGATAGGATGCTTAGACTTAGTGATGACATCTTTGAGTGGATCTATGAGTAGGTGATAATTGTTTGTTATATTCTGGGGTTAACTATTGGTTGAGGAACAGTGTAGGGTATGTAGTGTAAGGATAATATTAAATTGAAAGTATAAAACCTCCTTTTACAATGAAAGTTTACAGGTTTTAAGTATGTGCTATAGATTAATTAGTTTAATAAGAAATATTCTCAAGAAGCCAAAAAAAGAATCTAATTACAATACAGCCTTTTGTGATAGGATTTGTTACTTTGGGGTAAATATCTTATAAGAAAAGTGAAATTCAAGCGGAAAATGTAAAAGCTGTTGATGAGAATCATACAGAAGAAGAAAGTAAGAAGAAAGAAGGATGTATTTGGACTCTGATCGTGAACTTCAAGGGATTAAACAGTAAGGCAATACTGAATTTGATATCATTTGTTTCAACACTGTTTCAATTAGCTGATGTTCCAAACAAGTGCAAGTATCTTACAGAGACCAAGTCGATAGAATAATAATGTGAAAGTGTGAGAGACAACAGGTGATTCTCCTTATCTACAGACTTGGTGTGTACAAGCGATATGAACTCAATTGCTTTTGTATGTATTATCTTCTATACAACAAACTAGAAACAGGGGGAGGGTTATACCAATTGTTTTCTAGAACCTTTAAAGAACAATTGAACAATTGTAATTTGTAAGAATGCCATACCAACCATCAATAAAACTTCAAATACTGAAAAATAATAAATTCTTGATTCAGTTGATCTAACAGTTGCTTGATTTCTATTATTTCTAGTTTTATAATATTGTAAAGTCTTATATAAACCATCCAATTGTTCTTCAATCTGATCAACTGTTTGTTGCATACTTTCAACATGTTCTAATGGTTTAACATTTGGTTGCTCTGGCATATCAGCCTTAAACTTCTTAGGATCATCATCATTTTCAAAACTAATTTCAAAATCAACCACTTTTTCAGCAAATGTTGACATTTGATTTGAGAAACAAAATTCATATTCTCCTACTGAATGAGCCGTGAAGACATAATCCCCTTGTCTTTGTTTTTGATCCAGCAGAACAACATTACCTTGAGGATCTTTAATTTCATAATCAACATCGAATTGTCCTCCACTTTGAACAGCAAAATAATAACGAATACCAGTATTTGGTTTGTCAGTGAATACATAAAAACATGATCTTTCTTGTGCTCCTAATATAAAAGTAAAGGCTGAACCAGCAATCAACTGGGATAACCCTAATACACATAACACTACCTGAATGAGCATGTTGTCTTTTCTTTTAGTATGTACAGATTTATCTTAGACTTTAACTGTCCCCTTCCTTTTCAAGAATGGAAATTCACACCAAATTCCAAAGACAGAAAAAAATTGGTTAATCGAACACGACGTGTTTTATTTTTTTTTTTTCAATTTGTTAGTCGTGTACCAATGACTAAAACATAGCCATACCCACTATGGCACTATGGATGGATGAAGAAATATAGATGAATGAGCTGTCACCCTTTTAGAACACATCCATAGAAGAATATAGAGTCAAGATTTGTACATTTTTAAATGTTTAATTAATAAATGTATATACAAGTTATAAATTATATATGCAGCAACCAACGATTAAAGAAGATAAACCATTTTACCAGCACGATCAAATCCAATCTTTCTATCCTTCTTTCTATCTCTTCTTGAAGCACCATAACGGTATCCAACATCCCCAGCTTTCTTTGCTGTAAATCTAAAAAGATTCTTATCTCCTTCTCTTTCAACCCCATACATAACTTTTTGAACTCTACTTTTATCATCATCCAGATGAGATGCAACTTCTGACAAAGATTTCAAGATATCTTTAGCAGGTTCCAATTCTAATACTCTGGCAGCATCTACTGGTCCAAATGGTTCATATTCAGAGATTGTTACGAAACGTTGTTGTAATGTTTTTGGAGGCAATGGAATTTCTGTTAAATTATCTTCATTTTGTCCAATTTTGAATAATGGGAATAATCCCTTCATTGTTTGGGCATAGGTTTTAAGATCGTTAGCTATTGATTCCTATAGTTATTATGTTAGTATTTCATCCATGTCTTTAGAAAAGGGCACATGAGTCATTATAACTTGAGTTGGGGGTGTTTCATTTCAGATATATTGCAAATTTCTAACCATTTGTTTTTGTCTTAAAGACTAATCGATTTTTTGTTTATCTCATCATATAAAAGATCTCAATAGTTATAATCACATGTGTCTAGTCATTGAGTTATACATACATCATCAGGAATAAAATTTTCTCTAATTTCATTTAATTTCAAAATAGCTTCAATTCTCAAAATATTAATTTGATATTTGATAGCAACTTGTTGTGCAGTCAATCCATTCTCCGTAACTTCTTCCAATATCTTATCTTTCAATTCATCAGGTAACATATATGCTGTAGTTGTATTTGTATTATTTGGAAATGGATGTAATGATTGATTACGACCTCTATTAATATATGGAGCCGGTCTATTTCTAAAACTAGAGGATACATCTCTAGTAATTTGCATCCCTTCAGTACCGATATATTTTGGATTATTGTCAGTTGGTGGATAATAATATGGATTTTGAGGATATTCACCACGAATATCTTTGGGTCCTAAGAATTTTTGAAATGTTTCTTGAAAGTTGGGATTGTTTTCTGGATTTCTACCCAATCTGGCAGAAGAGGTTGAGAATAATCGTATAGATGATTTTATACATCCTATACTCTTAATTGGTATATTATTCATGGTGCCAACGCTTTCTACTTTCTATTGGGGGATTCAAATTCAATGGGAAAAGTTTTTCTTTCTAAAGAAAATTTTTTCAGTTTTTTTTCACCAGAAAATGTCTCGTTTGTTTTATTAGGAAGTAATGTCGTTATTTTCAATGTCGTATTCCATTAATTTTATACATTTGTAATTGAACTCTGTGTAATACAGTAAAGGACAATTCGTACTTACAATTGTCTTATACTCTATATTATATATTAGTTAAATACCTTTTGAAACATTTTTGGATAATTTATATTAATTACATTCATTTTGCGTCTTATTTTTCGTGAATAGTTTTACATATTTTCAAATCAACAACAAAATGATTGCAAAAATTTCAACCATTTTTCTTCCCTTCCAAATAATTAATCCAATTTAATCCAACTTACTGCTCAGCTGACATATTAGTTGCTATTTTCACTTTGAATTCATATATTTATGGACAAGTGATATTTAGAGGAAAATAAACTGCATTATTAATTGAACCAATTTCTTTATGGCGCTACCAAATTATAATATTTGACAATGTACTCAGTCCTATTAGAATAGAGCCAGACCCCTTGACTCACTCAGTTATCTTTCAGGTCATCATTTCGTATGTGAAGCCACTTCAATTTATTCTCATTTTGAGTTATGAAATGTTTAACGAAGGAGGAGATTGTCTTTACACACTTGGATTGTTTTAGTCAAGAAAAACCGAGAAGAGAGATGAAGTTCTAATGGGCTGGACACTTGGAAGTATAATTAATCGATTTAAATAATTAGGAATTACTTGAACTACTTAGACTAGAAGCTATTGGGAGTCATACATAAATTAGTTCATATTATACTGTATTTCAACAAGTCAATGTTTCCTAAAAGAAGGATGAGGCAGACAATCAGTGTCGGAAGTGGGTAGCCACAGAATTTAGTTTATATTAGAAAGTGTGGTCAGACAAGGTTGATCAAATTGACCCTTCAAAGGTTGAAACAATGATTTTAATGAAACTAGCTTTGCAGAAAATTGAGGATAAATACCCTGGTATACAGTAGAAATTGTATTTGAAGACACTGATAATTTTGAAACATATACTACTGTGATAGCCGGTTGCAACACGACAGATCGAGCAACTTATGCATATTGTTTGAAACAATTATTAATAGATGCAACTGCATCAGACTTGATATCAAATAAGATGAAGAAGTATCAACCTATGCATCCAGTCAAATATTGGGAACTGACGAAATATGGAATTAAATAATTATCAGGACATTGCATTACTGAAACAGGTTGATGACACAAGGCCAAACTGATTGCGTTATGGACTGTCAGACATGCAAATTCCAGCATATCATCGTTGCTACGCAATTCATGGAGTACTTGATTCCTTCTTTCCTATTGGAAAGCAGTCTTAGAATTCTGACCAATTGCAACTGCCTGTGCTAATCTTATCTCTAGATGCTTCGGCAAAGCACTGACAATTATTCAAGTAATTCCATTTTTCATCAATTCTCAATACTTGAGTATCTGGATGTGGAGGCAGATAAGCCTCCACCTTATTAATGACTAACTCAGAAGCCCATTGTTTCTAATAACATTACTGGTTAGTATGTATGTATTGCCGGATCAGTCATATTAAAATCCAGCTATCTTCGTTGCATATGGTTCAAAATTACTTGTATCTTCAAACACAGTTTGTATTCTAGGATACTTTTGTTGCTATTCTTTGTGATGCTAATTTCATTGAGTTGAGCTTTTGATGGGTCAAAGCCCTTAAGTATAAACTGAATTCATATGCCACTCATTTTTGGCATTTATAATTTACTGTATATCGGAAATTGAAAATATATTAACCCTTCATACATCTAAATTGGGGGGGGGGGGGTTCATATTCTGAAAAAATAATTAATTAAATCTTTTTCTTTATCTTCTGGAACTTTACATGATACTTCCTGAATCGTTCCATTAAAACTGTCCCTATATTTGAACAAGATTCTTACTTTGTATGTCGTCAATCATTTTTGTCAACAAAAGGATTACCAAATTTAGCAACACAAAAGTTAATTGCAAAATGTCGTCCTCCCTTTCCTTTTGGATAAAAAAATCAAAACGAGACATTTTATACACGTGGAAAATGTCGTACAGTTGTTGATTGTTTTTTTTTGTTTACAAAATTTTTTTGCTTTACAACCAAGAAGATCAACTCTTCACAAAACTAAAGAAAGAGAGAGAGAAGATCACTGTACCTGCCAATCAATCACAGTGTCAGATTGTTCAAAAAGGGAACACAGAGAGAAAGATACAGGGAAAATGTTTGTACTGTCATCACAAATGGATCACACACCACTGTCCACTTCGGCAGCCATCACCACCAACAACAACAACAACGCGTCTCGTAAAAGAAAGTTAGGTGGATCTAGTGATGATCCGTTTAAAGACAAGAAACCACATCAATTCTTAAGCACATTGGCAGAAATAGATAAGAACTCAACCACTTCATTAAAACAATCACAACGAATTCGTGATGCTAAAGCTAAATTGTTTATTAGAAGTAATAATTTGATTAAGATGAATACTTCACTTGCAAATAAGACAACCATACTTGAAGAACCAAGCCAGAATAGTAGTAGTAGCAATACTAATAGTACTGGTCCTGACAATAATACCAGTGGAAGACTAATAGGTAATATAGCTAGAAATGTACCTGTACCAATACCTACCCAACAACCACAAGTGGTTGATGAACAAGATTATGAGAATGATGAAGTTACTTTAGAAGTTCTAGAAGAAATGCATAAACTAGAAGAATGTTTCCCAGTATTATCTACCGATTATAGATTAATGGATAAGATCGGTGAAGGTACTTTTTCAACCGTATATAAAGCAGAAGCATTAAATGGAATAATACGATTAGGTAGTGAAATTTGGAAATCACCACCATTGAAAAAACGGAAATCTCTTAGTCATAATAATACCAAATCTAAGAATCCAATAGTTGCATTAAAACAAATCTATGTTACTTCATCACCTAATAGAATTCATAATGAATTAAGTTTATTATATATGTTAACCGGGAATTCTCATGTTGCTCCATTACTTGACGTATTACGTTATCAAGATCAAATCTTAGCTATATTACCATATTATCATCATGCCGATTTTCGGGATTTTTATCGTGATTTACCTATAAAAGGGATCAAGAAATATTTATGGGAAATGTTTCAAGCATTAGATTATATTCATGATAAAGGAGTTATTCATCGTGATTTAAAACCAACTAATTTCTTATATGACCCATTTAAAGGAAAAGGTGTCCTTGTTGATTTTGGACTTGCTGAAAAAGTCGATTCCTCCATTTCATCACCTTCAAATCCATGTCCTTGTTTATCGAAAGACAAAATGGTAATCAACAGATCTTATACCAAACGACTTAATGTCAAAGGAGCCTACCCCAAGGCAGATACTCGTCCGCCAAGAAGAGCCAATAGAGCAGGTACGAGGGGATTTAGGGCCCCGGAAGTATTATTCAAATGTACCAATCAAACCACCAAGATAGATATTTGGGCAGCTGGGATAATTGGATTATCTTTAATAACAAGAAAATTCCCCCTTTTTAATTCTCCTGATGATACTGATGCAATATTAGAATTGGCATTAATTTTTGGATTAGAGAGATTACAAAAATGTGCAGAATTACATGGATGTGGATTGGAAATTAGTTTGAATGATGTGAATAGTTCCAATGGGAATTTATTGAAGATTATTTATGATTTTCTTAAGTATGAGGCTGATAATGAATGTTTTCCTAGTGATAGTGTTGTATTTGATACGTTGGGATTGTTTAATGAGACTGGGATGAAACTTGTGAAACCGGGTGAATATATGGGTACCACTAGTGGAGAGGGTGGTGATGACGATGACGATGATGAATATGCTAGGTTTAAAGAAATGGTTGAGAATTATAAGGATCATCGAAATTTTATGGAATTATTATATGCTTGTTTTAGAATGGATCCTTTGAAGAGATTGGATGCGAAACAGATTCTTAAATTACCGTTCTTTCATGAATTATCTCAAGGATATGATGAAGATGTGATTTTGCTTTAGATATTTTTGTTTTGCTTGGTTTTTAGCTTTTTGAGTATCCTTTCCCTTTATATATATTCTCTAAATATAAAAATAGTAATATATAATATATAATATTAATTAATTAACCATATAAATAAATAAAAGTATCCCTGCGAAAATAATTACATTCTTCATTATTCATAACTACCATAATACCCGTCATCATCATCATCTACTCCTACTTCCTCATCATCCGCATCAAACAGAATTCGTCTTGATCGTTTCCTCAAATTCTTAGTCAGTTTCTTTATACCCGCAACCTCTCCCTCATCATCATCTTTTCCACTCGGGTTCATGATCGCCTTATTCCACTTGCGATTCAATTTATTAATAAGTTCATTCTGTTGTGACAAAGTCTGCATCACCGGCTGATGTTGTTGACCTACTACTCCTACTCCTGTCGCCACCACTGGTTTCTTGGCCACGATCAATTTCGAATCGGTGAGTTGGTTCAAATGTGGGATAGAAATAACCCCTGGTGATGATATAGATGTCGGTAATAATGGAGGAGACATGGTTGGGTGGGTGTTCGGAGTGGTTGCGGTCGCAGTAGTGGATAGTTCCATTTGGAGGTCTTTTGAGATTGCTAGTTTTCGTTTTATGAACATTGATTGTTGGATTAGACTGTTTGATTTTGTCTTTTTCTTGGATGTGGCGGTGCAGGTGGAGGTGGTGGAGGAGGATGTCGCAGGTTGGGCTGGGTTTGTGGTTGGAGCCACGGCTGGATCTGATAGTGATATTGGTTTTAGGTCTTGAAGTTTTGGTGCAACTACAACTGCATTAGACCTCGGGCTGTCATTTATATGTTGGCTGAGGTGGTTGTGATGAGATGATGGATGTAATGCAGTTGATGGAGATGTGGGTAATAACGTAGTAGGAGAAGATTGATTTGAATTCATTGAAGCAGAAGCTGTTGTTGAAGTTGTCGATGACAATAACAACTCATCAAATCTTAATTTAAAATCTCTCTTTAATTGTAATAATTGATTTTCTTCTTTACTATTCTTTCTCTTTAATCTAAACACTGGATGTAAGATATTTCTTGTCGGAGTATGACTATCCAATTCCGAATCTTCGTCAGATAAAAGTACACTTGAAGTCCGATGATGTTGTCTGACGCGATTATTATTACCGCCAGTACCAGTTCCATTGTCAGATGTTATACCTGTCATTGTACTTGTGCTACTCGGAAGTATAGCCGGAGTAGTTACAGTATATGAATTTGCAGAAATTGATCCACTTGCAGTATTTATAGGATGATTAGTCAATGCCGAGGTTGTGACTGTTGTTGTATGTTGAGTACTATTTAAAGATGCTAAACTTGCAGAACTATTATTACGAGTGGGTCGTATATAATTACAATCATCAAATGATATAATTGAATTCCGGGGGCTTTCTAAACTTACAATCGAAAGACTACGAACAGTGGTTGGTGTTGGTGCAAGATGAGTTATATGTGATGGATTTATTATTGATGTGTTGATTGGTGTTGGAAACATCGATGCTTGTAGAGTTGTCGGAGTAGTAGTAGTATTAGCATTAGCATTGGTGGTAGTGCTATTAGTAGATGTGGAGTGTTGAAGTATTGGAGGCGTCAGTTGTGATAGTGGGAATGGGAATGGTGGGGGTGGGGGTGGGAATAATATCGATGAGGTCATTGAATGATTTGAAGACACTGAATTGACAGAGGATGATCTCTGTCTATGAGTAGAAGAAGATGACATTATCTTACCCTTTTCTTTTGTATGTAAGTTAAGGGGGTGGGTGGGTGGTTGGTTGGGTTTTCTTAAAAAAATTAAAAGGGGGCTGTTTTGAATGTTGACTAGTTGGCCGAAAGAGAGGGGAGGAGGAGTTTAAAAAAAAAAGAGTTTTGGAAAATTATTTTAATGATGTGACTAGAAGAAAGAAAAAAATGTGTTTTGATAAATTTATTTGCGACTAAAAAAAGAAAAATTGATTTTATTTTTGTTTCTTTTTTTTTTGCGTCTTTGATTTCATATACTCTTTTAGAGAAAGAAAAATTAATGCAAAGAAAAATAAAGTTTTAGAGGGGGTTTAAGGGGGTTTTGGTTCGTGTGACAAGGTTCATGTCACATTTTGTCCCCTATCAGATATATTTGTATTCAGGTGATTTTTTGGCTACTCATTAGAATTGAATTTGATAAAAGCTTTCTTGACTATTGAATCCCTTTCATTAGATTAATAAGATTTTAAAGATATGATAAAAATCATTTTGTTTATTTTATTTTTTGCAGAAACTGATTTTTTTTAGTTTTATGTTTCAATGCGTTTTCATTATTATTAAGCGAAAAAAATAAAAATTATTTTTTTTTTTTGCAATATTTTCAAATCAATATGTAAAAGCCCTAATAACCCCCCTTAAAATTGATGATGTAATAGAAACCATCTATATAACTTCCATGAAAATAAAAGTTTCTCACGACAATGTAATTTCCTAATTAAAGAAGGATTTACGGAGAAAAAGTTTTAGAAGCTACAAGATTAGCAAAATCCCATGTAAATGATGATGTGGGTTTACGAATTCCAACATAATTGCTGGTTAATATTGTCACGATATCGGAGGTAAATTGCTAGGAAGGGGATTATTATACAATTGTTGAAGATCCCCGGTTTCATGGATTAGCTATGTTATTTAGGAATTATCTTAAATAAATATTAAGTAACTTAGAATTCGATCAATCAAAATGAATTGAGTCACACATCCTTGGAACACCACTCATATTAATCATGATTGCGTAAATACCATTGAATATCTCATCCTTTACCAACACTTAAATTAAGTGTTGAAGTGTGCATGTTGTAAATTTATAAGAAAGTGTATGTTACACGATGCTATCAAATTTGTGGTTAATAGCTCTCTTTTTATTAAACAATTTGTATAAAATCAATTGATCCTTAGAAATCAATTAGGGGGAATTTCATTGTTTATGTAAAGATTAAAGGTTTTACTATTTTGATTGTTGTAAGTATTGTATTGGGGAGAGTGTGTATGGTGACTAAAAATTATGACCAACCAGAAATCACTAAAGTCGACAATGTAAATTGGTTGCTACCAAATATGGAGAATAGAATGTTGAACAATTACCATGACTAGGTAGAACAAAAGTGGTGATAATTAAAATGAGTCAAATAAATTATTTTCATATTTTAATGGTGAATATGTCTTAGGTACGGTTTATAAAACCACTGTTGTCGTAAATATAGTTACCCTGCGTATTATCCTACTGTTTTACAGCGGCAATCAGTAAAGCTCCTAGGTTTCACATAAAGAAACTCACCGATATCAAGAATTCCACTATCCTACCATCATCGACATCACAAAGTTGTCGTTTTTGTCTTATGGAATTACAGCGCGTTGGGGCTAATCGAAAAATCTCACATTTCAAAAGCAGCTTTATAAACCGGCTTCAAGGAACACCAATGGTTAAACATCATGGGTTGTTTCAGGTTAAGCGTGGCCGATTAAAAAACCTGGATATGACAGATTAAAAAGTCTGTATGATTTTATTGAAAATCTACAGAAAGAAATCATCCCTATTTTCTGCTTGGCCATGTTTAATCTGACAATCTACCATATGTTAGAAAGAAATACTGTACTTCTTGAAGTGTTCTATGTTTATATTGAAGAGCTTACTTTCTTAGGTACGTGCAATGAAAATTGTCCCTAAGGAAGCATTAGTACAATGTATATTTCAAGACCATGCTGAAACATTTATACGATTATTGATGTGGATTCAATTGGAGTTTCTGTGGAGAAAGCTCCACTCTAGCATATTTGACTTCAATATCTGATCTAATTCTTGACAAAGAAGGTTAAGAAGTGACAATATGCAATTGTGGTGAATTTTCGAAAATCGTAAATTGGTGTATTTAAACATTTACACAAAGTAATTATCCTGACAGTACGATATTTATTGGCCTTAGGATAAACGATTCATATTTCGCTAACTACTATTTCACATCTTAGAGGAATAGGTTTCTTTGTAGCAGAGTACATATGGTTTCTTGTATTCATGTCAGTAGATTACTATGTTTGAAGCTTCATTTTATTTTGCAACCAAAAAAATCCGATTCTCGAGGCATAGGTTTGGCCCTTTACTTTACACAGAACTTTTTCAACCTTTGTGGTTGCAAATACTTTCAGATGTCAAATTTGAAAACCAAGCAAACCTCTGTCGTGTTGAATAGAGTCTCTCGCATTAGTGTTCTGTGGCAACCTTGCGAAATACAATCATTTGATGCACGCAGTAGAAGAACGTTTGAAACAATTTAATTTTATTACAAGATCTTTACTATAATACACACCTCCTACCTACAAAAGTCTATAAAAACCTTTATTGACCAATTGGACAGTTTCTTAAATATTCAGCCTTATTCTTCAATACTCTAACTGATTTAAAGAAGATTTCTTCAGGTGACATAGCACCAGTAGATTCAACATTGAAAATAAAATGATCTCTCATTCTACCCAATTTAACCTTCCCATCAAATTCTTTATGTCTTAAAACTTCACGAGAAACAGTATCCTTTCTAGCATCAACCACATGTGCTTGTCCTTTCTTATCAATGCCAATAACTCCAGGTGGGAAACATTTCTTAAACTTAGTAGCCAATTCACCAGTTATTGGTTCTTTAATGTCTATAACTGGTAATAATCTATATGAAGCAGTTGCCACAGGGGAGAATTTAGCATGATCACCACCAACACCCAATATACAATGAGCTCTTAATGAGATTTCTTGTCCTGGTCTTAATTTAGCCAACAAAATATCTGGATCGGCAGGGACGACTGGATTATTCTTAAATCTTTCCAATTGAGTACCATGAGGTTCGAATTTTAAATCACGAGCATAAACATGGGAATTTCTATATAAATCCTTAGGATCAGTTGAATTTTTTGGTGCATGAGGGTTTTTGGTACATGTGACATTCAATGATAATACAACTGTATTATCTTCAGTATATCTTTCATTTTCATCTTGAGTTTTATCAACCCAGGATAATAAATCAGGATCAACTTTTAATGGAATTAATCCAATTCTATGAGCTAATACTTCATCTTGAATAACAGAAGTGTTCATGAATACATATACAGCTTCAGCTGCGACTGAAGGTACTTCAGAAATCATTATACGACGGAATGCATTGGCTATGGATGTATCAATATGAACTAAATCGAAATTAGCAGTACGTTCACTAATATAAGAAATATCGATATCGAAATTTTGTTTAAATTTTTCAATATTCCAAGAATAATCTCCTGATTGTTGATGACCTGGGAAATCGGTAGATGTTGTGTTTGTTACCCTATTGTATTCTATTCCAACAATGTTATTATCTGACATTTTGTTTGCCTTTTCTTTAGTTTTTAATCTCCCCTTTAGCTCATCTCTCTGTTCCATGGGATTTAAAGTATTGAAATTTTTTTTGGTAAGCAGCGCGAAGGACATCTCAGATTTTTTCAATTTGACCGGTATTGATTCTCACGTGACAAGCCAAAATCCGGTCATTTACTTTGTAAATTTCGTCTATACATATATACTTACATAAACCTATACAATCAAGCTTCAAAGGCTCCTGGAAATGAAGATATTGGTCGGGATGATGTATTGCTAGTACGACTTCCTGGTAATGAGAATGGTTCATACATTATTTCAAACTGTCGTATTTTCTTAATATTCTCAGCGATATCAAGTGAAAGCAAAAACACATTTCCATCATATCCGTCTCCACCAACATTAACTCTATCTCCCAGCTCTAATTCTGAAGTATCTGTAGTCACGGTAGATGATTCCAATAATTCTGAATCCTCAGATAATGCAATTAAATGATGCAATATGACTTGGATGAAAAATATCACAAAATCCAATCCAATCATTTCAAAACGACTATAAGCAGCTCTTTCTCCAATAAGCTGCACAGTAAATAATCCATGCAATAGTCCATCTTTAAACTTCGACTCAGTCGGTATTCCAAATATCAAATGATACAAAATACAAAAGCTATTCTGGACAACTAATCCATTCCAAGATATTTTGATAATTGATCTTCGATATGCTTCAGAAGTTCTACTTAATTCAGGTATTGGGCGGGAATTTACAATCATGAAATGATTCATTAGTCGGCATAATGCGAGTAGGATTGACATGTCACGTAAGTAGGCTATTGCTATTAAGATATAATCGATGGATTGAAATGAGGATCGTAAATCTTTCAAGAAGAATTTCTTTCGTTTATAAAGGATTGATTTATTGTTGGCAATTGTTTGTTCTGGGTTTGGACATGTTTGAGTCAGAAACTCTCGAATGGAAGCTTCGAGATCCATTTTAGTTGAGTTTGTCCTGGTTGAATGATGTTTGTATAATTGATGAAGGAAATGAAATAAGTTTTAACAATCAAACTTCTTTTTTGTGCGGCTCGGCGGTTTGTTACCTGAAGAATACTGAAATCTACTTACCATGATGTCATTCCCATTAACACTCATACTTTTCTCAGCAAATTCCTTCAAAAGAACTGTCTAGAATTGATCTCTACAAGTTGGACTTCACCGTAAGACTTTCTAATTAATTTTTGTACATGAGAATTAATACATAATTAAAACTTAAAGAAAAAGTTATTACAGATCTATAAAATATGAATTGACTATTGAACGTATGTAATTATTATTATGAGTTCCTTGATTACTTTCTAGTATTAATCGATTCAATCAAATCACCACCCAAAAGCTTAATTTGATTAAAAATTGCTTCTTTGTTAATAATCACTTCTTCTTGACTACTACCACCTTCACCTTCTATTGGTTTAACATTATATCCCAAATTAACTCTAAACTTCTTCTTAGTCAAATTTGCTGGAACAAAAATCCCACAAACCACATTCTTATTATCTTGACATAATCCAGTAAACTTTTTAGTTGAGAATATGATCACATTACCAAATTTCTTATTTAATTCATCTACGAATGCTTGAACTAAATCATACTTTGTCGTCACATCATCAGGGAATGAAGTTAAAGGTTGAATCAAATTCTTAAAAGTATTGGGTGGAAGTATACCTGAAGAAGCAGTAAGATTTGCTGATTTGACATTTATAACAAAATCATAATCTTTTAATGCTGGAGTAAAGATTAAATCAAGATTTGCTTCTGAAATACCTTGAGTTCTAACTAATTGAATAGCAGCCCTCGATAATGCGGTTAATCTAGTTGCAATAGGTAATGTTAAATCATTCGTCCATAAAATACCACTTGGATCATCTTTTGAACCAATGAATAATTGAGTTTTGATACCTGATGGATCATTCTTTCTTATTTTTTCGAAATTTTGTTCAATAATTCTATGAGCTTGTATTGATAATTTATCACTTAATTTAACATCTTCCTCGGCGGTACTTTTGACTAAATCAAGAATCAACGATTCTTCTTTCCAATTCCATCCGGCTAAAAAGTTCAAAATTTGTAAAAACCCAGTTTCAACCGAATGTGGGATTGAATAAGGTGAAGGATCAACAAATGGTTTAAGTGCAATCAATTCAACTAATTCATCGGAGAAATGATGTAATAATAATTGTGAATCCAACCAACGTTTGAATAATCTTACAGTTGGAGAATAGAAATGGAAATGCTGTGCTAATTGACTAACAGTTCTTGTATGTTTGACAACTCCCAAGAATTTCTGATTGAATTTCAAATAAACATCTTGAACTAATGCTTTTTGTTTTTCGGCGTTAGAAACGGCACGTAAATACAAGAGTTCATCACGTTCAGTCAAAACCCGGAGTCTGAACCCGTATCCTTCCGGAGTCAAGATATTCAATAATGAGATATTTTCATTGAAGGGGATTGATTCATCTTTGGTCACGAATGATGAATAAGTGGTTTCGGAATTCAAAATTTCATTGATTTTTAATAGGAATGCAGTTTTGGTTTTTTCAAGAGCACTAATTTCATCAGGCCATCTGGTTGAAGTTTCAAATTGTAAAACACAATCATTCCAGAAATCAGGATTTGAAACCGCAAATGGAACCGGTTGTAATAATGATGTATATCTCAATGATGCAGATGCTGGTAATAATGTCTTGACACCTAATGGTAATTCCAAATTGGTCATGATTTTATTCAATGATTCAAATGCAGCTCTTAATGCAGTATAACTAATCAATGAAGTAGTGACTTGATTATTGGCAGTAGGTAAAAGTGGAATAGGTAATTTCTTGTTAAAACTAGTGATTTCGGTGACTAAATGTTGAGAAATATCTGGTTGTAAATGTTTATCAAGGGCATATTTTGCAATTGTTAAAGTTAATGGTTCTCCTTGGTCTTGTATATTCCATACAACACAATGCTGAATCGAACCATCTTTGAATCTTCTCACTGATGCTTTTGGTTCCCAGAATTTCCAGAATTTCAGACCTGCTTCTTTATCTTCATTATTTGGTCCTTTTGTCACCAATTTATCACATTCTTCTGAATTTAATTCTAACCCAATTACAAATGTATTACTAATATGAGTCGGTTTTCTTTTATTGAGTGGATATGAATTGGCTTGTTTCTCATTTCGAATATGTATCAAGGTTGCTCTTTCACCTAGAGCCCTCTTCAAAATATCATATATTTTATTTTTCAAATAAGTTTCAAATGTAATAAAACAAATCTTTTCCAACGGACCAAAAGTTTCATATAATTCATCAGGAACAGTTAAATTCAAAACCATATCATACTTCATTTGATCAAAGTTAGATTTTTGTAATAAAATTGGATCAAATCTATCTTTAACTACATCATTTAATAAATTCAAAGTCTCAGTAGCTTGTTTTCTTAATTCTTGATATGATGAAGAAGTCATCTTCCATAATATATTCAATTTAATATTCTTATCGAAAATAGTTGGAACTTGGAATCCATCCGGTTTATATTTCGAGGCAATATTTTCTCCAATCAAAGATGAGAATGAAAGATATCCACTATTCAAATCCATAGTAGCCAAATATTTTATTAAACCTTTGAATAATTGGTATGATGAAAATCCATGCAATAAAATCTTGTTCCCGTTCAAACCACCACCATTTAATAATGCACTCATCAAAATGGCAAATTCGAAATGACCAAATCCACCACGGTTGATAGATGAATCGAATCCGCGTTGTTGGAGCCAAAGTTTACCTAAAATACAGGCATCTTTAAATGCTTCGGTTGATTTTTTCATGGTATACAAGAATTTGAGATAATAATCATATGATGTTTGAGAAAGGATACTTGAGTTATACATTGGTGTAGGGGGTAATTCTTCTTTATCTGATTGAACTCGAATACAATTCTTATCTGGAAGTAGTTTCTTTGAATCAAATACTCCAAATGGGAATGAAGCTATTAAATTAATTGTGAATTTTGTTTTATGAAAAGTTAAATCATCTGGATTTTCGGTTTGAATACTTTCTAATTTCAATACTGGATTTAATACATCATCGTTTAAGAAATTATATGAGATTTTAATTGGTAAATTATTCTTTTTTGATAATGGAATTAATTGTTCAGCAAGATATGCTAAATAAAATGATCTTTTATATAATGCTCGATAATTCAAGTAATCCTTTGGTTGAAATAATTGTTTTGGCATGGTTAATGCAACTTCAATTGCTTGTCCTTTAGATTCATGAATTCCAGTCTTTAATCCAAACGATCCAACAAGAGAAACATCTTCAGGAGAAAGATATGAAAAGGTGTAATTAAGTTTGGTAGGTTTAGGATCAGGAAATGGAATAGCGACTTTCTTTGAATTGAAATGATGTTCTGCTTGTTGTAATGTTAAATTTTCAATTGGTGGTACTTTTGAAATCAAATCATGTAAACGATGCAAAACTTTTTCAATCTTTGTAACATGACTTTCCTTTATTTTCACTTCTTTCATTAATTCGTCTATTTGTAATTTAAAAATATTCGATTTAAAGAGTTCAGCTGTTTCTCTAGCAACTTGAACATCTTGTGCAGAAAGTTGTTTCTTTTGCTTTTTGGTTGGTGGTTGAGATGACTTGGTTTGTTCTTCTTCCTCTTCTTCATCCTCATCTTCGTCGTCGTCGTCTTCTCCTTCAGAATGTTTATCCTCAGCTGTTTCTTTATGTCCATTTGCAAGGTTATGCTTTACCTCTTCTTGCTGTTTTACTTCTTCTTCAGCCTCTCTATCTGAAAAGGAAGTAAATTCTTCTTCTTCTTCTTCTTCATTCTTCTTATTCTCTATGGCAGAAACTTTGGTTTCATCCAACTTTCTTTTAGCCATAGTATATATATGTTATATGTATGTATTTTTCCTTCAATGAATGCTAAGTAAAGCTTCTTTGAGGTTTCTGTAAGTTTTGCAACAAATTTTAATTAAAGGGCAAAAGATTTCTTTCTTAATGAGAAGAGTCTCAGTCAAAGTGTAAAAAAAAAAACCTGTAAAGTGTAAAGCTACAACAGAAAGTGCGATGCGATATTTTTTTTTTTGGTAGTTGACACACGACCTTCGAAGTTCTTCTATTTTTTTTATTGAAGTTTTGATTTTATACACGACCTTTTTTTTGTTTACCGATTTTATCGAATTTTTCAAAAAATAGCGCCGCACCTGAATTATATCACGTGCGTTAATTTCCTAATTTGGATGTGCTAATGAATTATTTTATATTTACAAATATACGACGGTTTAATATCTCGTTTAGAAAATTTCAATATAAATATTGTACATCAACTGGTGTCTTTTCAGAACAAAAAGGATATATATATATTTCACTAAACTTATCAAATGTATTATTCGGAAGAAATTGGTCTTGAGAAGACAGACCCATCAAAATGGAGACTTAGAAGTGATCCATTAGGAAGAGAAACTTGGCATTATCTCACAACACCAGAAGAATGTTCTCAAGAACCACAATCCACATTTGTCCAATGGTTATTGGAATCTCCTGATTTCCCATCACCTCCACCATCAGATATTTCCACTTCCAAACAATCAATGGAAAAGGGGGCTGATTTCTTGAAGTTGTTACAATTAGATAATGGAATTTTCCCTTGTCAATATAAAGGACCTATGTTTATGACTATTGGTTATATTGTTGCTAATTATTTCAGTAATCAACCTATTCCAGATCCTTATAGAAAAGAAATGATTAGATATATTGTAAATACTGCCCATCCTGTGGATGGTGGATGGGGATTACATTCAATTGATAAATCTACTTGTTTTGGAACAACCATGAATTATGTATGTCTAAGATTATTAGGAATGACATCTGATCATCCAGTTATGATTAAAGCAAGAAGAACATTACATCGCCTAGGTGGTGCCATTAGGAATCCACATTGGGGGAAAGCATGGTTATCTATATTGAATTTATATGAATGGGAAGGGGTTAATCCTGCACCTCCCGAATTGTGGACTTTGCCATATAGTTTACCTATCCATCCTGGTAGATGGTGGGTACATACTAGAGCAATTTATTTACCATTGGGATATGTTCTGGCTAATCGAGTTAAATGTCAATTAGATCCACTTTTACAAGAAATTAGAAATGAAATTTACTTACCTCGACAATTACCTTATGAATCGATTAATTTTAGTAAACATAGAAATGATGTTTGTGGTGTTGATTTATATTATCCTCATTCCAAAATTCTTGATTTTGCTAATGGAATATTTAGTAAATGGGAATATTTCCGTCCAAATTGGTTATTAAAGAAAGTAAATACAACAATTTATGATTTAATACTTAAAGAATATGAAAATACCGAATTTTTATGTATTGCACCTGTCAGTTTTGCATTTAATATGGTAGTTACTTATCATTATGAAGGTGGCGACTCACTTACATTCAAGAAACTTTGTGATAGAATGAATGATGTTTTATTTCATGGACCTCAAGGTATGACTGTTATGGGAACGAATGGGGTTCAAGTATGGGATACTGCTTTCATGGTCCAATACTTTTTCGTTTCTGGTTTGGTTGATAATCCAAAATATCATGACATGATTAGGAAAGGATATATGTTCCTTATCAGATCTCAATTCACGGAAGATTGTGTGGATGGAAGTTATAGAGATAAAAGAAAAGGAGCATGGCCCTTTAGTACCAAAGAACAAGGATATACTGTCAGTGATTGTACTGCTGAAGCAATGAAGGCGATCATTATGGTTAGAAATCATGGAAGTTTTGTTGATTTAAGAGATGAAATTAAAGATGAAAATTTATATGATGCTGTTAATGTATTGGTTCAAATTCAAAATGTTGGCAAATGGGAACAAGGTTCATTCTCAGCTTATGAAAAAATTCGATCTACTTTATTACTTGAGAAGTTAAACCCAGCTGAAGTATTTAATAATATAATGGTAGAATATCCATATGTTGAATGTACTGATTCGTCAGTATTAGGATTAACATATTTCTCCAAATATTATCCTAATTTCAAACCAAAATTAATCCAACTGACAATCCAGAATGCTATTAATTACATCAAATCCGCCCAAGCCAAAGATGGATCCTGGTATGGATCTTGGGGTATTTGCTACACTTATGCCGCAATGTTTGCCCTCGAAGCCTTATCCACCGTCAATCTTACCTATGAATCTTCCGAGACAGTCAGGCGAGGATGTGATTTCCTCATATCCAAACAATTACCTGATGGAGGTTGGTCTGAATCTATGAAAGCTTGTGAAACTCATACATATGTCAATGCGGAAAAATCTTTAGTTGTTCAAACTGCGTGGGCTTTAATTGGACTCATACTTGCAGATTCTCCTCATAAGGAACCAATCAGACGGGGAATTGAACTTTTAATGAAGAGACAATTGCCAACTGGTGAATGGAAGTTTGAAGATGTTGAAGGGGTTTTCAATCATAGTTGTGCAATTGAATATCCCTCATATAGATTCTTATTCCCCATTAAAGCACTTGGATTGTATACGAAAAAGTATGGAGATGAAAGGATTTTGTAGAGTTTCTATTTATAGCCAAAAATTGATTGCAAAATAAAATGTCTGCCGGAATATCTTGCCCTTTCCCCTAACTATCACACAATGGACTAACTTTTTTTTGGTCACTAATATTTTATTTCGTACTTTAATTTTTTTAAGGAATGCTGCAAAAAAAAAGAATGCGAAAAATCAAATTTTCATGCAGACATTTTTTCTACAAGACAATCAAAGCCGCGCTGAAAACGAGCAAACAATAAACAATAATAAATTTTGTGTCGTTTAGACCTACTTCTAATTCCAAGCGAGGTGTCCCAAGCCCCCTAGTTGTAAAATGCTGATATCTGACATCTCTGACATCTCTGAAATAAACTAATTACAACTAGAGTTAAAGATACAAAGGTGAGAGGCAAGCAAAAATCTGTTTTTCGTGTTAATCTGTCCGTATATTAATAAATAGTAATGGTAAAAATTAGTAAGTAGTAGTTTCTAGTAAAACAAGCAATAAAAAAAGAAGTAGTAAGTAAACAATAAATTAAATTGTAAGTCCCGGTCCCCAAAGTAATAATAATAAGTATAAGATATTGGAATATAAAAAAAATGGTTGTTTGTTGGTAGAGAGAGCAATCAACTGGGCATCAGTGATATGTTCTCTTGTGGAATATTAAATGATTAGTATTAAGTTTAATTGTATCATAAATAGGATTAGTTTGAAAGTGATCCTCTCTCTCTCTAGTTAGGTAAAGGAATAACCTTAGCACCAAAGTAAGAGTTAGTTGGAGTAGCAGTACCTGCATAAGCATTGTAGAAACCTAAGAATGCAGTAATGATACCAACAACACCACCAGCCCTGGTAGTAGCAACACTTCCAATAAAGTCACCAATAGCTAATAAGACGAAAGTAAGGGTCAAACAACTGAACAAAGCACAGAAGAAAACGGTAGATTTCAAAGTCAATAATGTCAAGATAAAGGTAAAGATAGCCCAACCAGTTAAGAAGAAAGCAACGGCAGTTGCCCATTGGCCACTACCTTCATAAGCAGCTTCAACACCGAAAGCTGGAACCAAAAGAGCATTGTAAGCTAACCAGAAAGCACCATATGAAGTTAAAGCAGTAGCACCAAAAGTGTTACCGATAGCCATTTCCCAAACACCAGCAAGGAATTGAACTAAACCACCATAGAAAGCAGCTAAACCAAGAACAGCACGTGGAATAGTAATACCGCCGACACGAGCATTATAAGAACTCAATACGAAAGTAGTTAAAGCAAAAGCACATAAACCTAATGGAGCTGGGTTAGCAAATTGATGGACTGGCCTTGGAGATAAACCAGGGTTTAAAGTACCACCAAAAGCAGACATTAATTCATGTCTGTAATACTTGTGGTTACCAATGACAACAAATTCGTTACCGTCACCGGTAGTTTGGATTCTGTTGACTGGTTCATCAGTGTCTAAGGAATGTTCCTTAGAATGGTCGGAATGAATGGAATTGGACATCTTTTTTCAATCTCTTTAGTTTGTAGTTGTGGTTTGTTTTTTTAATTTATATAGAAAAATAAAATTACTTATTAAAAAGATTTATTTATATCTTCTCTTATAATCTTTAAAAATGGGAGACGATTTATAATAAATATTCAAATAATTAATTGAAAAAAGTTAAAGGGAAATCCAACTGATATTTATATATTTTTACTTAAAGGGAAAATTTTAAGGTTATTAATTTAATGGGGGGTTTTTTATTTGGTTTTTCTCTATAAAGATTTTCATGTAGAACTTTATGCAACCCATTATTATTAGATTATTATTTTTTCAAAAAATTAAACTTTATTATTTTATTTTTTTTTTATTTAAAGTTAGCCCCGATTATTTTTTAAGAGATAAGACCAAGCAAAAAAAAATACATACATAAAAAAAAAACAATCGTATTGTGGTGCAATCAAATTTTCTAACGTATAACTTGATCCTTGAATAATAATATTTTCAGACATTTTGTTTAATAGAATTGCCAAGGAAAATCATCTAGCTTTTTTTTGGTGAAAATGGTTTTTATTCTGCTAGAGCACCATTACCTTCAAGAAATCTGAAAAAAATGTCTGATTATGATGCTTGTGCCCCACAAACAAACATGCATACTTGTCTGAAAATTTTTTACGTGTCTCAAATACTCGGGTTCGGAGTTTTTTTGCTGGCGAATTTACAGTACAATAAGGATGAATTACATTTTTACAAGAAATTTACAGTACGTATGATTCAAAACAAAAAAAAATGTCTGATTTAAGAAGCCGTGCAAAAAGCCAAACCTTAATCTTTTTGTGGGGATCAAGAGAACTGTGGTGACTTGTTTTACAGTTCAACAGGGCGGGACCAAACTTCAGTTGAGTGATCTGGTTTGTAATTGGGCAGCAGGGGGGCGGTCTCTATCCCTAGTTAATCTGAGTTGTTGCGAAATAGTAGTTGATATTTTTACCGGTAGCTTCGTTTTTCGGTGTGGGTGAAAAAGTTTGCGGATAATACGAACTTCTCCAAGTACAAATTTCACAAGTGAGTGGAAGACTAGATCCACAAAACTCGCTACGTGTCGGATTCATCTATTCTAAAACCTGAACCATGTACATGTACATCGACTAAATGTAGTTTTCTATAAATTTTTATTGAAGAAAAAAAATGTATGTATGTAAATCAGACAGACTTTTTTTTTCTCTCTTTCCCAATTAACTCCTGTTTATTTTTTATTTGAACAGAATAGGCGATTCTTTGATTTGGCTTTTTCTTTTTAGTGGTGTTATTTTTGTGTATTTTTCTCAGACACTTTTCTCTTAGTACAACCTGATTCTTATTATGCGGGTGAATTTAATTCTTAATCATGTTGGAATTTTTTTTTAACCTCATAGGGTTCAAATGACTCAATGAATGAATTCAGAGATGTTGGTTTTGCTTAGCCTTTGGTTGTTTTTTTCAATTCCAAAACAATTAAGGAATGAAGCTGTACCCGATGTTATTCTAGCAAACCCGTTCGCACTTCAAACACTCCGAAGTTGGCTCATTCTTGGATGTTTTTTGCTAATGTTGCCCCTCATTTTTACCCCTCCCCCATAATGGGCGAATAAGTCGCTTTATAAATAATAAAAAACCACGTAGACGGTTACCAGAAAAAAAAAATGTCTGAAATATTGAAACCGGAAAAAATATTTGATCTGAATTGTGGGGCACCGGGGTTTGTTGGGAAGACTCAGACAAGAAACTTTGCAACAATCACAATCACAATCAACTTGTCTAAAGTTTTCAAACGGGGCTATATGAATACAATAGGATGCCACTATTAAAGCCCCCTATTTAGAACGCCACCATGTCTTTGTCCTACTCAATTGTATTCTAAACTAAAACAATGAAAAATGCCACACTGCAAAACTGTGCAAAGTAAAATGGACCAACCTCATTTTTCAAAGAGATCGTCACCAAGAAGTGTATGGTAATTCTTTCATGTGGATGTATGCACAGGCTACTTTTTCTCGAAGTGTCTTTTTAAAAATACAATATTGATTGGCATCAGAACAAGGATAAGTCTTGACGAGCGCTGCCAATGTGTTGAAAAAGATCTAGAGTCCCACCTACCAAATCTAGAACGAAGTTAGAGTCGTATAAAGGATGTCTGAAATATACATGGAAATGCATTAACTTGAGGTTTTTGAGACTGTTAAAGGAAAAGTCGTTCCAAGATCTGCCCCTCGTACAACCTTGAAAACAAATGACAAAATCAGTGTCTGAAAACCAAAAAGAGATTAAGATTATGTGTCCGAACGGCTGTGCAACCAAATTACTTTAAGTGTCCCTCATGTTTAACGTTCCCTCGTCAATCAGGACAAGAAAGTGACACGGTTGTTCTATGCATTGGTGAGCCATCCAATAAGCTTCATGTATACCTAATAAAACTGTTAACCCCTTCCCCCCACTGATCGACATGCCAATGCGAATGTGCAAAATGGCACAACCAAAAATGCATTCTCGTAACATTTCCTCAATGGATTTCTCAACATCAGAAGATTGTTTTGCTAAGAAATTTCGAGAATGTTTCCAGTAGAACCACCTAAGAAATTTGTTTATTCCCCGGATATTGTAATGACAAACCCAGTTGTGACACAATTATAAATAAGTCCATCTCAAGGAACTTTCTTAGTATTGCTGTCTTAGCAGAATACGAAAGTTTCAAAAAACCTTTCAAAGAAAATTGGCTACCTATCATAATCACTAGCCATTTGTGATTTCTGCCATTTTTATTCATCTGAAATTCAGTAGTATCTGCATTTGTATGAAAACGTCGTTGGGATATAGCAATAATTAGACATATTCACGATTTAACCATTTTATTGGCAAAACGGATTCAGCCCTTGCATTGGCAGACATTTTCTCTGTTTCTCTCTTTTTCTAGATCTCATGTTGTATGACTTCGTCTAGAAACGGTTCTGTCTTTTGGTTATAAATCCAAGAAACAGATATTAAAGTAAAGCAAGAATATTGCTCTACAAAGTCCTAACCCTAGACTGAGTGTAAGTATATTAATCCTTATCTTGAAATGTACAACTTTTTGTCAGTGTACTTCTGGACTTCTATATTCTATTCCTGATCGGACCATTTCATTTCAGTTTGAAATAAATTGCAGCTTTTTCCACAGGCTAATAGGTGTGTGGCAATTTTCTTTCTAGGACGATAAAGATATTAATAAGCTGCGTATTGACAAATGCAATTCATTCAATTGGATCAATGTTTCATTTAAAAAATGATCAATTAAAAATATGAAAGATTGAATCTCTCTAGTAATGTTTGAAAAGAATTAAGATAATTCCATTTCAACAGGAGATATCTTTTTTTTTACATATACAAAGATTTTATTTCGCCTACTCATCTCTCTTTCTGTCCCGTGACGTAGATCAATCATAAAGAATGAATATAATATTAGAAGCTCATGAATATATTTACTTCAATTAATTCATATTTTATGAAAAATTTGGTGAAATGGTTGCAAAAATATTTAAGCAAAAATGCAGCCGATCGTGACTTTCACATGATTTCCGCTTGAGTTTCACATGATTATCGCGTGAAAATCACGTGCAAAATAATCTTCGCAAAAAACCACCGAAAAAAATTTCGTGCAAAAGGTTCTGTGGTCTAGTTGGTTATGGCATCTGCTTAACACGCAGAACGTCCCCAGTTCGATCCTGGGCAGAATCATTTGTTTTTTTGCAGCCATTATTTTTATTGTAGTTTTTAACAAGATGGAATAATGAATAACGATATAAATATAAATATTACTAATGACAATAAAACATGCTATACACTTTGAACTTGACTAAATTCACGTCTTAAGTTCTTGAAAGTCTTTTTGCTTTTACCAATTTTGTGCCTTTGGAATAATTTCTTATAAATTTGTGCAATATGTTTAAACCAACTAACTTCACCAATCAGCATGACTATAAAATTAATCACTGCAAATATAATAATGTAGTAATAAAACCATCCATTCAAATTTGTCAATTGCATAAAGTCACCAAGTTTAGAATCACCATCAATCAAGAATAAAGTTGCAGAGATTAATAATGCCAAAACTAGATTGATCATGAATGGATAATTCTTAAGCATACTTTCTCTATATGGCGGCCCTTGACTTAATACCACAGCAATGAGTATATATTGGAAATTGGAAAACAAAAATAATACCGTATTATCAGAAGATTGTACTGCATCATCACTTCCTGGAACTGGTTCGATATACCAGGGTTCTTTCTTTACCCAAAGCCATAATATAACCTGGAAAGTCAAAATTACTAGAATTTGACAAACCAAGGGAATAAGAATTTTGGGAGAAACCAAATTGGCAGTTGGTCTCTTCACAATTAATTTATCATATGGTTTTGACCAAGACATGAAAATTGCCAATGGTAAAATCAAAAACAAATCAATATACAAAAATTGAAAATCACCCAAATTAGTTCCTGTTTTGTAAAGTATAGTAACGGTAATAAACTGAATGGCAGAATATAATGACATATATTTAAAACATGAAAAGCTTGTAACCAAACTAGATCTCCCCTCTTTAATAACATCCAACACACATGCAATTTCAAACACTCGAGAAGTAAAAGGTGCTGCGACCGAGGCTTCTGCTTCCGAGAGGGAAATACCCACATCAGCAGCTTTCAAAGCACCGCAATCATTGGCCCCATCACCACAGAATCCAACAGTATAATCAATTTTCTGCAATTGTTCAACCAATTCATGTTTTTCATCGGGGGACATTCTGGCGAAAACATCACAATTCATGAGGACGTTTTGAATTAAGGTTTCATTACGAATTTCCGTTAAAAGGATCCGGAAAATATCTCCAGTTATTGCTAGTTTATAACTCATTTCCTGTCGAATATCAACTGGTCTGATTGTAATTGGATCCAATCTATTATCGGCATCGTTTACTTCTTGCCAAGCGATATATTGTTCATTATCTTTAACATCTAAGATTGGTATATAGATGTGCAGAATATTAGGCGGAATTAATTCACATTCTCGAGCAACACTAATTGCAGTCAAAATATTATCACCAGTACACATAATAGTACGAATTTCGGCTTCATTAAGTTTTTGTAAAGTGTCCTTGGTAGTAGATTTCAATTTATTCTCAAAGATAATAAAACCAGTAAAGATTAATTTCGATTCTGCAGAGTCTCGGGTTAAATAAATATCATCAACTTCCTTATATGCACACGCAATAACTCTATAACCCGAATGAGTGTAATGATGTAATAATTCTTCATAATTAGTAGGGATTGTTTCTGGGTGGCAGATATCCATCATAACTTCCGGAGCTCCCTTTGTGAATACAATCTTTTCATCTCTGTTGCTGGTTACAATAACCGACATTCTTCTAAGTGCTGCCATAAATTCAAATTCTTTTATGATAGTATATCTATCGTTACCATTATATACAATAGTTTTACCAACATGGTCTTCTTCATATTTCCAACTTGTAAATTCAAACATTTTTACATCTAATGGGTCACCCAATAATTCATTTTCAATATTTCTCAAAGAATGACAAGAAGTCATACATCCCAATAAATATTTCGCATTATTGGTTTCATGCTCGGTAGCTTCAGGATATACTTTTAAAGAATTAATATTTTCCACAATATCTTCAAAGATAATTTCTTTTCTACCTTTTGCATTATTAGCTAGATGTAATCCCAAGATATCCAATCCATCTTCAGTCAAAGTCCCAGTCTTGTCAAAACACATAACATCTAATTTCCCTCCAATATTTACCCTAGTGGGAGAAATACAGAAAATATCCAACTTTTTCAATCTGGCAAGGGCAAAAGTGGTTCCAATTGTTAATGTAGCAGGTAATGCGGGTGGAACAACAATCGTAATTATATCCAATGCACGCAAGATCATAATCCTGGTACTTAATCCTAATTTCATGAAATTGTAAGTTGAATAAGTAAATCCAATTGCGGCAATAATAGTCATAAATCCAATATATTTAAATGAATCTTGATAAAACTTGAATCCTGTTGGTTTAGGGAAAAGCATGGAACGAACTAAGGAACCTTTCGTAGTATTAAACCCAGTCTTGACTGTCATTGCCGTCACTGGTTGTTCATTGGATGATTTTGTTTTTAAAAGTTTGGTACCATTGAATAAATATGATTTTGACAATATTGGATCTATAAAAATTTCAGATAAAAATTTGACAGTTTCCTTTGTTGCACAAGTTTTTCCAACTGGGACACTTTCTCCCGTCAACATTGATTCATTGATTACACAATCCCCATTAATTAATATAGCATCACATGGAATCACATTCAATGAAGGATCAACTTCAAATACATCCCCAGGAACTAAATCACTTGAATCAATTTGTTTCCAGAACTCATTTCTCCAAACTCTAACTTCACAAGACAATTTTGAAATTTCTTGTAATCTCCTCATGGTTGATTTTGTTTCTATTAAGGAGTTTATAATAGATACCATTGATATAATAAAAATACATGAAGCATAATAATAATAATTATCAGCCAACCATAAGAAAATGGAAAATACTTGAAAGACATAAAATGGATGCAATATTTCATCAACTAATAATTGCCCAACACTTTTTTCTTCAATATCGATGTTATTCTCACCAAATATCTCCATTCTTTGTTCATAGACAGTTTGAGAAACACCTTCATGGGTATTCTGGACCTTTAACCAATAGGTATCATACCAATTGGAATTGGTTTTGAAAAGATCCTCCAATGGATTATAGAAAAATTTAATATACCTATATGTGAATGAATGAATATAAGGAATAATAGGGTCTTTTTCACTTGAAAAAGTATCATCTTGTGAAGATGTCTCTACTGTCATAAAACTAGATAATCTTTCATTCAACGCTTGTTTTTCAATATTGACAATTTGAAGCTCACCAAATTCGTTTTCAATAACACACCAATCAGCAATCCCCAAGGGACATCTAGTTCCCATTAAGTTGATTCTATAACGTGGCATCCATCTCAATACCAAATAACCAATTCCTAATGTAAAGATACAAATGAGATAGTAGATAACTTCTTTCCACCAACAATTAGAATATCCGGCAATACCAATAACTAAATCTTCTTCCGCAAGATAATACCTTTGATAATCTAATTCTGCGGGATATTGTTTCAAAAAGGCTTCTTCAACTTGAGTTGCTTCAATTTGAGTATCCAAAAGATTTGATTTATTACTTTCATCATCTGAATCACGTCTACGTCTATCATAATTCAAAGAACCATATTCCACAATATCAGGAGATTGAACTCTTCTACTACTACCACTTGGTTCTTGTCCAAACATTTCTTCATCTTGTAAAACTTCTCCATTTTCTTCATATTCTTCTTCCACAAATTTATCAATTGAATAATCCCAATCAGTATTATAATCCACAGGATCTTCAGGGTTTTCCAAAGTAGATCCACCATGTGCCATTTCTATTTCATCAGGAGAGAAGAATTTAAAATTACCCTGGGCATCAATTGAAGTACGCGATGCCATAGATCTAACTCTATTCAAGGCAACAATATCTTCCAGCTCATCTCCACTCAATAAAGGGGATGTTTCTCTTGAGAAATGAGAATCCCTTCTTCCACCAAAGTTATGAGGATAATGTAATGTTGAGATTGAAGAAGGAATGATTTCTGAAACTGCACCGGAATACATTTCATGATTATTTTCTTCTTGTAAATAACTTGATGATGAATCCATTGATGTGATTGAATTGTGTCTTGATAGTGATGATCTTCTTCTATCGAAAGAAGAAGATCTTCTACTTCTTGACATAGACGTCCTTCTACCCATATCGTTTACCTTTATCTATACCTATTAGTTTCGTCAGAGTATACAATTGGTCACCATAACAAACAGGTGTTAAATCAAGAAAGAAAGAAAGAAAGGCAGCAGAGAGATTGAATAAAAGTGAGAAACAAAAATTGCTGGAGAAAAAAGAGAAGAATGTCTCTTAGGGATTGGAGTGCGACATTTTATATAATTTACGAAGATATACTGTACCTTTGGCATTACTGAAATCTCAATTGTACAATGTTAATTTGATATGCCATCAAAAAGTTACTTAAGGCTATCCTTCTGATTTACTTAGATTCCATGGATATGCTACAATAGATGCAAACAAAGATTTTAGGTGACTTCGTTTCATGATATTGTAGTTAGCACGACATTTTAAAATATCCTGCATATAAACCATCATACTCAAAAACATAAAACTGACAAGGCAAATACTTTATTGATTGTGTTGTCTTTATCATTTCATCATTTCCCAAGACACATAACTATGGCAATCAAGCTTAAACTAAAAGTACCCTCCTCAAGTGGGTCCACGCCCTCACAACCACAGGATGCACCACCACTTCCTAAATTGAAAATCAAAGCACCATCAAAATCACCATCAACTGGTCCAACAATAAGTATCAAAAGAAGAAAAAGTGAAGGCACAGATCCAAAAGAAAAGATCAAAAAACTAAAGATAACGTTTCCAGGCACTAAGCCTAGTCCTACCACCACTACCACTACTGCTCCTCCTTCTTCTAGTGGGGATGGTTTGAATATTGTTGCACAACCAGCACCTAGAGTGGTACCCCGAGTAAGAATAAAACCAACCAGAGTTCCTGGTGAAGGCTACGATTCAGAAGCTCCCGATTTGGAAGATGATCCATTGATAGAACAAGGTATAGTAGTGCGGTTTTTGAATGATGCCAATTTAGATTTTGTTCATAATGCGGTTGATTCTGGTGATTTGACCGGATTGGTGATAAAATGGATAACAAAAGATAAAGCAGTCATAAATATAAATGGAACCCTCTATTCGGCGAGATTGATTGATTTACCTACGATAACGGAATTATATAAGACAATTGATCGGAAGAATATTTTTAAAACGTTTGATATTTGTCAAATTTTATTAGTTTTACATCAAGTGAATCCATCTCAATTGAATACGGAAAAGGATTTTGAAGTACCGAAAGAATATCTATTCCAACATCCTTTTTATAAATATGCTAAGGGGGGAGAAATCAGACCTCGGAAAATGGTTTATAGGAATGGGGTATTGGCCCCATTTGAGGATGTATATCGTAGATTCCGCCCTACAAGAGCAGACCATAGAGTAATTGAAGATATTGAAAGTAAAGTAGATGAATTGATTAAATTAGACAATGAAGCAGAAGAAAGTCATTTTGAATTAATAGATAGTAAGCAATTACAACAACAAAGATATGGAGCATCAAGTGCGACACCTTCGGCAGTGTCTACTCCACTTCCACTTAAGACGGAATATCCAGAGCATGAAATATATGAGAATACTGGGGGAGTGGAGGATAATGAACTTACGGAAGATATCGAACTTCATCTTGAAGAAGAATTGAATAAGGTCCTTGATGGGGATATTGAATCTGAAGAAGAGCAAGGCACAACTCAAATCGGCCAAGCTACTCCTGGTGAAATGGAAGAGAATGAGGAAGAAGGCGAAGAAGAGGAGGAGGAAGAAGAAGAAGAGGAGGAAGAGGAAGAAGAAGAAGAGGAAGAGGAGGAAGAAGAAGAAGAAGAGGATGACGGCGGAAAATCCGGAAAGCAACATGTCAAATTGTTAGAAGAAGAAATTGCAGAACTTGAAAAGGTTGTTGAACATCATAGAAAGAACTTGGCAACTGCTTCAAGTAAGATGTTACGAATGAAATTTCAAAATACGTATACATCTTTGAAATCTTCATTAGAACTGAAAAAGAGAGATTTAGCCAAATATTTAGACGAACAAGAATCTTTACAAAAGAAACTGGTACCATCACATGTAACAAAAGGACAAATTGACGAAGAAGAAGATGAGGAAGAAGGAGAAGGGGAAGAAGATGAAGTACAACAAGACGAAGAGGAAGATGTAGAAGAACAGGAAGAAGAAGAAGAAGAAGATAATCTTGATGATATTGACGATTTATTCTAAGACCAAAACAACCCCTGTGGATATGACATGTTTAATCCATCAATCAAGTGTATGTATAATTATGTATGAAATATATTACGATGTAAACTGTAATTTTTGTTTTAAGTAGTACTCATCGCATACCCCAACTAACCTGTAAATTCAGTGTTACAACCCGAAAAAACAAAAAAAAATTTAATACAGGTTGGAATTCAGTTCTCAATTTCTTCTTCTTCTTCTTATTTTATATGGGGGAAGAGATTAAGATTCAACAAACTTTCCAAAGTGTGAAATCTTTCAGACTCATCTTGTGTCTACACTTACCACATATCCTATCATCTACTGCATTGACTGCTAACTGCTTTACAAGTTAATACAAATTTCTACTGCATACCAAAACTCACCCTCTCACCCACCCCCATGTCTACCAATTCAATTAAATTATTAGCAAGTGATGTTCATAGAGGATTAGCTGAACTTGTTGCTAAACGATTAGGATTACGTCTTACTCCAAGTGAACTCAAAAGAGATTCCACAGGTGAAGTTCAATTCTCTATTGGTGAATCAGTTAGAGATGAAGATATATATATTGTCTGTCAAATAGGTTCAGGAGTAGTTAATGATCGAGTAATTGAATTATTAATTATGATTAATGCTTGTAGAACTGCAAGTGCAAGAAGAATCACGGTTATTTTACCTAATTTCCCTTATGCTAGACAAGATAGAAAAGATAAATCAAGAGCACCAATTACTGCTAAATTAATGGCTGATATGTTAACTACTGCTGGATGTCATCATGTAATAACGATGGATTTACATGCTTCACAAATTCAAGGGTTTTTTGATGTTCCTGTTGATAATTTATACGCTGAACCAAGTGTTGTTAGATATATTAAAGAAAAGATTGATTATAGTAAAGCAATTATTATTTCCCCTGATGCTGGTGGTGCCAAGAGAGCAGCAGGATTAGCTGATAGATTAGATTTGAATTTTGCATTGATTCATAAAGAAAGAGCTAGAGCTAATGAAGTTTCTCGAATGGTTTTAGTTGGGGATGTTACTGATAAGATTTGTATTATTGTTGATGATATGGCAGATACTTGTGGTACTTTAGCTAAAGCTGCTGAAGTATTATTAGATAATCAAGCTAAAGAAGTTATTGCAATTGTTACTCATGGTATTTTATCAGGCAATGCAATTAAGAATATCAATAATTCTAAATTAAAAGCAGTTGTTTGTACTAATACTGTACCATTTGAACATCAATTGAAATTATGTCCTAAATTAGATACAATTGATATTTCAGCAGTAATAGCTGAAGCAATTAGAAGATTACATAATGGTGAAAGTATATCTTATTTATTTAAGAATGCTCCTTTATAAACGGCTACCTTAATTCCTTATTTATATAGCAGTTCTTATTATTATTATTATTAATTATTGTAAAATGCATTTCATACATACTTATATACACATACATATAGTTTAATTTATAAACATTCCAAATACAAATACACTTGTAAAATATGCCTCGGGCTTATTGATATTAAATTTCAGTAAGATTTCTTTTTTCTTTTTTGCATCTTCTTTTTGATCCCCTTGGGATCTGCAACACCACGTTTTTCTTCTTTACTAAGAAAGAGCTTTAATAGACAAGAAATGACTAAGAAACAGTATGTGTGTATTGTACTCGTGAGAGAGTAACCCTTTTTACTAACAACCTTGTAGTCATACTAAAATTAGAGCATGTCTCTTTGGTAAGTACATAATCCCTCATTAGCAATTATAATGAAACCTTACTAACTCATGATATCCAAGATATGGATGGTACCATCCTTAATACAGAAGATTTATATACAGAAGCAGCTACGCAACTCTTGGCATTATATGGAAAAGGTCCTTTAACTTGGGATATTAAAATTAAACTTCAAGGAAGACCAGGACCAGAAGCTACTAAAATTATGATTCAAGAATATGATTTGACAATTACTCCTGAGGAATTTATAGAGCAAAGTATGAAAATTCAAGCCAACTTATGGCATCATTCTAAGTTTCTTCCAGGAGCATTAGAATTACTTGAATATCTTTATTCAAATAATATTCCCATGGCATTAGGTACAAGTTCAAATACTACAAATTTTGATAGAAAGACTCATCATTTAAAACATGGGTTTAAATATTTTGATAAACATATCGTAACTGGAGATGATAAGAGAATCCCTCCTGGTAAAGGTAAACCGAATCCTGATATTTGGTTTGCTTGTTTAAATAGTATTAATATTGATAGATTGGCCCTGGGATTAGATGAAATTCAAATTGAAGAATGTTTAATATTTGAAGATGGTATTCCTGGCGTGGTCTCAGGTATTGCTGCTAATGCTCATGTGATTTGGATACCTGATATTAAAGCATTAGAAGTACTTAAAGGTAAAGAACATGAAATCATTGGTAATAATGGTGAAATTATCACCAGTTTAATCAATTTCCAAAAGGAAAAATATTTTTTATAGAACCACTTGAACTTTAACCACTCTTCCTCTTCTTTCTTCTTTCTTCTTTACCACTGTACTATATAGACTACTACTAACTAGAGAGTAGAGATAATGATAGGTACAGATTCCTATCATATTGTTATAGATTATAATTGTATAGAAGAAGAACATAACTTTGATTATAGATATTCCTCAATTGAAATCACTGAAATTGATATTGTAGATATTGAACATAAGAAAACTATGGCAGAAGCAATTGAACCAATTAAAGCAAAGCTGTTAGGAAAAGGAATTATAAGATTATATCGAGAATTTGAAGATGAAGAAGAAGAACAAGACAGTGGCCAATCAGATATAGAGTCACTCCGGATACCAAGTAAACGTCATTCCAATCCTGGTGATGATACGATGGTGGCAATATTAGCAGTACCAACTTATTTTACAGCAACTGATTTATTAGGATTTATTGGAGAGAATTATATGAATCATATTTCACATGTTAGAATTCTTAAGAGTGATAAACCAAATCGATTTTTAGTTTTAATAAAATTTAGGGATATCATTAAAGCTGCAGAATTTCAATATCATTATAATGGGAAACCATTCAATTCAATGGAACCTGAAGCATGTCATGTGGTGTATGTGAAATCTATTCAAATGAATCACCCCCCCTTAAAACAAGAACAACAACAGCAACAACAGAATGATACTGCAGACTCCTTGATTCCATTTTTACTTCAAGATCCATTTACGTCACCACCAGATTCTTCAAATAATAGTCCAGTTCAAACAAGTATTGATAAATTTGTTTCATTAGATTCAGGTGGACTGGTTAGGGTTTCATTAGTTGAATTACCTACTTGTCCTGTTTGTTTAGAAAGAATGGATTCTACCATAACGGGATTACTTACGATTCCATGTCAACATACTTTTCATTGTCAATGTTTATCTAAATGGAAAGATGATACATGTCCGATCTGCAGATACTCACATAGTTTATCCAATGAAAAGGTACGAAGATCAATGACTAGATTACAACACTTAAATCTACCAAGAAGAACTTCACAAGATAATTCTAATCAATTACTAAATCATTCATCTAGTACTGCAACTACTCCTCCAAACACATTATTGCAGGAATCAACAAGTGAAACTGAAGTATGCAATGATTGTCCGGAAATATCAAATTTATGGATTTGTCTCGTGTGTGGAAATGTCGGTTGCAGCAGGTATGCTCCACAACAACATTCGTTAAAGCACTTTGTAAATACAGGTCATTGCTTTGCTATGGAAATAAGTACGTCAAGAGTTTGGGATTATGCAGGTGATAACTATGTACACCGGCTCGTAACGAATGAATCCGATGGGAAATTAGTTGAACTACCCGACAAAAATAGTGTTGTGGGAGCAACAGGAAAATCTAACAATAATAATAATAACAGTTCAACAATAGACAAGATAGACGAGGTTGGATTTGAATATTCACAACTTTTGATTAGTCAGCTTGCAAGTCAACGCGAGTATTACGAATCCCTCCTTGCAGCAAAAGATTCACCAACTAAACTCAGACGCGGATCTAGCATGTTACCTGCCGCAAATCTGGAGACTGTCACGGAGTTACACATGAAAATTGAAGATTTGAGTTTAAAATTAACTGATTTAACAACTAATTTAATCCCGTCCTTAAAAGAAAAGATTCAAATAAAAGATGAAAAGTTAAATTCAGTCATGAGAGAATTAAATATTGCTAATAGTTTAAATGATGCTTTATCTAAAAAAATAGAATATATTCAAAAAGATTCGGAAAAATGGAATAAAAAAATAGAAGAATTAAATGATCAAAATAAGAGATTACAAGAAGAAGTCTCGGATTTGATGTTCTTTTTAGACAGCCAAGAGAAATTTAAAAATGAATCACAAGATGTAAGGGACGGAACTATTGTTATTCAACAATCTTCAAAAACATCGTCATCATCTTCCAAAAAGAGTAAAAAGAAAAAGAAATAAAGGTAGATTTCTGTACAATCTGGTTCCTTATTCCCATATTCTTATGTATGAGAATAGTCCCGATATATCATAAGTTTTTAACTTTGGTTCTAGGTCTTTTTCGAAATAATTAAAAAGTTAAAAAAAAACGGATGGTTAATATGTTTTGTAATGCAAGTTGGTGCAAGTGCGATCCTAGTCAAGTTTCCTATTTTCATTCGGTTGCTAGCATAACGAATATTTGTAACAAGAATCCAGGCGTTCTAGAGATTTGGTTCTAAAAAAATTTAAATTTTTTTTTTGGCATTCTATGATATGCTTCCGAACCGAAGATTTGCAGTAGGCTATTTAAAAACCCTAGACGATCGCCTGTAACCATGTCAAAGTTACATTCTCAAATGATTTATAAATCTTTCATTATAAACTTTTTATTTGTCATTTCGTCGATTGAAAGTTAAACCAAAAATAATATCTAAATAATTATGAATGGATTCAGTAAAGATTCAGCCACAGCAACAAGATTGCCCTCCTTTCAACAATTGATTCGAACATTCCATGAACCAGAAGTTGCACCCCCACCATATGGTGGGGGCAGCAGCAGCGGTAGCGGTAGCGGTGGTGGTCTTGGAGGAGGTCCAATCCAACAACAACAACAACAGCGACTGGCCCATGGTTCTATAGATGCTAACGCTTTTGGTGGCGGACCAAATTTTAATAACTATATATTATTTTCTAGCCATGGTAATACGACGACGGAATTCCCTCGTCAATATCGTCAAGAAAGCTTTTCATCCAAGCCGCCGTATGGTACAAACCCAGATATGACGCACAACGCTAATAGTTTTGCTGTAAGATCGATTGCACCGTCACCGACGACTATGGCTAGAGGTCGATCATTGAGCTTTTCATATTTGGGGTCTACTGCTCATGAGCTAGTTGCGGAACTGGATAAACCTACTAATGAATATCAATTTGTTGCTGAGTTGGTTAAGTTTTTATTAAGGTTTGAAAATAAATGTGGTGATATTCAATCGGGTGAACAGAATAATCTGGAGAATATGTTGCAGATTACCGAAAAGGCTGTTGTTGATCTACCGATTGAAGAATTGGATGATGCTATTGCTAATGCTACTAAGTTGGTTGAGATTCTTGAAAAGATTAGGGGCCTTTCTGAAAAGAAGAGATCTATCAATGTAAGAAGAAGTAGTTCTTTTATGTTTGAGAATGGAAAGAGAAAGATTGATAAGAGAAAACAACCAACGAATAAGAGAAAGAAGTCAATGACATCATTGACTAGTTCTGGAGGTGAAATTGTTCCCTTGGATATTCATGTTCCAAATTCATCAATTGGACATCAACAACAATTTGGTGTTGGTGGACTTAACGCAGAACTTAGTATAAAGCCAGATATAACTTGTCAACATTGTTGTTCTCAAGAAACACCTGAATGGAGAAGAGGACCTGAGGGGAGTAGGACACTATGTAATGCTTGTGGTTTGTTTTATTCTAAGTTGATTAAAAAGTATGGTTTACAAGAAGCTGATAAAGTTATGTATGAACGTAAACAAACAGGTACTATAAATGATAGAAGAATCTTTTGATTTTATTATAACTTTACTCAGCCCCCGTATATATATATCTATATACTTTCTTTGTTTTAATACTCTTTTATAAGTTGTTTTATATGTTTTGATAGATTTGAAAATTGAATTTGATACATACTTTGTGATCATGTGACCTGTGGTGAGGCTCATCTCAATTAATTTTTTTGTCTTTGTCTTTTCCGATGAGATTGTCCCCAAAAAAAAAAAATCTGATTTCTTTAATTTTCCATACATAAACTCTTCTCTTGATAGAACTCTAAGAGAATAATTCACTAAATAGAAATGGCTGATTCCTCTACTTCTAAGTCTATAATAAGTAGCAGTGAGTTTGCTTTTCCTAGAGGAGGTTCATCTGCATTAACTCCTTTGGAAGTTAAAGAAATTTCCAATGAAGTAACTAGAGATGTTCTTTTTGAAGCAAAGAAAAGAGCAGCTTCTGAAACTTCTGAACAACCAAGTAAGAAACATAAGAAACAATCGAAGAAGAAGTCAACTAAAGCAAGAGAAACAGAAGAAGATGAAGAAGCAATAGTTCAAATTGAAAATGTTAGTTTTAAAAATTTAATACCAGGTACTTTTATTTTAGGACAAATTAAAAATATTGGGAAACTTGATCTTACTTTAGAACTTGGAGATAATTTGGTTGGTTATGTTCCTATAACTTCTATAAATCCTTATATCACTCAGATTATTGAAAAGTACGAAGAATCATCTGACGAAGAAGAAGAAGAGTCAGAAGATGATGAAGATATGGATGACGTAACAGTTGCAACAACTAAACCCAAAAAGGCTAAACAAGAATTCCCAGATTTACAATCTTTATTCCAAATTGGGTCATGGTTAAAGACTAAAGTAGTCAACTCTAAAGATTCGAAAAAAAGGAGAATCGAATTAAATATAGAACCAGATGAAGTAAATGAATCAATGGAACCAGAAGATTTATTACCAGGTAATTTGTTGCAAGTTTCAGTTACATCCGTTGAAGATCATGGTATTATTTTAGATATTGGTAAAGCAGTAATATCAGGTTTCATGTCCAATAAAGAAATTAAGAATGCTAAATTAGAATTAGAAAATATTCATGAAGGTAGTGTTCTTTTAGCTTCCATTATTTCTAAACCATCTGGTAGAACAATTACTTTAAGACCTGCCAATTCTAACTCCAATCCTAAAAAGGCAACCGTTACTTCAATTTCTTCAGTTGATGCTATACAACCTGGGATTATAGTCGATGCTTTAGTTTCTGATATAAACAAAAACGGATTGGTTGCAAAAGTATTTGGTTTAGTCGATGCTACCATCAACATGGCTCACTTACAAGAATTCAACTTCCAATCATTGAAACATAAATATACCATTGGTAACAACGTCAAAGCAAGAGTGTTGGCTGTATTATTAAAATCTGGTACTAAGAAACTCATGTTATCTGTCTTACCAAATGTTATGCAATTAGGAGATGATACTGCTGCAAAGGAAGCACTTGAAGCATTCCCAATTGGACATAAATTCGAAGAAGTTTCTATCGTTGGTGCTGATTCTAATTATTTATTTGTCAAGTTTGGTTCTTCTCAACTTTTTGGTCAAGTTCATAATTCTAAAATCGATGAAGATAAATCATTGGATGATTATCCTATTGGATCAAAACATAAAGCAAGAGTTCTTGGTTTTAATGCAATTGATAATTTACTTGTCATGAGTTTGGATTCTAAGGTTGTGAATGCCGAATATTTGAGATCTAAAGATATCCCAGTTGGTACTTTATTAACTGGATGTGAAATTTTGAAAGTCCATCCAGAATCTGGTGGTATTGACATCAAAATCTTGGATGAATTTAATGCATTTGTTCCAGGTAATCAAATGTCTGATATTAAACTTGTTTATCCAGAAAGAAAATTCAGAATTGGATCTAAAGTTAAAGGTAGAGTTATCGGACATCAAGGTAATAAAGTTTTGGTTACATTAAGAAAGGCATTAGTCAACCTTGAAGAGGATGAAGTATTATCCAAATTCGAAGATGCCACGATTGGTTTCAAGACTCATGCAACTGTGGAAAAGTTTGTTCATGGTGGTGCTATTGTATCCTTTTTTGGAAATTTAAAAGCTTACTTACCAAAGAATGAAATCTCTGAAACTTTTGTTGAAAATGCAAGTGATCATCTTAGACTCGGTCAAATTGTTAATACTAGGATTATGGACATTAATGAAGAACAGAAGCGTTTGGTTGTTACTTTGAAACAATCTACTGATTTATCAAGTTCTCAAAAATCAGCTATTTCTGACTTAAAACCAGGTTCATCTATTGTCAATGCTATTATTGTTGAAAAAACCAAGGATTCCGTATTGGTTGAATTAGAAGGTACTAATCTTAGAGGTGTTATATATTCCGGACAATTATCTGATGCTAATTATGAACAAAATAGAGCATTAGCAAAGAAATTAGAAATTGGAACAAAATTAGAAGTTCTTATATTAGAAAAAGATTTCAAAGCCAGAACCGTTATTGCTACGGCTAAGAAGTCATTAATTGATGCAGCCAAACAAGGTGCTATCCCACTTAGTTTCCAAGATATCAGAGTTGACGATAAGATGTTGAGAGGGTATATTAAATCTGTCACTAATTTTGGTTTATTTGTTTCATTTGCTGGTAAATTGACTGGATTAGTATTAGCTAAATATGCCACTGAAAATCCTAACGAAGATTTATCCAAGAAATTCTATAAACATCAATCAGTCGCTTGTCGTGTTATTAGAATCGATGAAGAAAATAAGAGATTCTTATTATCCTTAACCGGATCAGATAATGCCGAAGCTGAAGAATTAGTTAATCCTGTTGATAAGACCAAAAAGATGATTTCTGATTATGTTCCAGGTATTATCACCAAGGCAACTATTAAAGCTATCAAGGGTACTCAATTGAATGTTCAACTTGCTGATAATTTACAAGGTAGAATCGATGTTACACAGTGTTTCAATTCTTGGGAAGAAATCAAAGATCATCATCAACCACTTTCTCAATTCACTAAAGGTGATACACTTTCAGTTAAAGTAATTGGATTCCATGATGCTAAGAATCATAAATTCTTACCTATTACTCATCGTAAATCAAACAAGAACACCATTTTAGAATTATCAATCCTTGAAAAAGAATTAAAATCAGATCAACCATTCAACGACCTCAAGATGTCCGAAATCAAAACCGGTGATAAATTCATGGCATTCGTCAACAACATCTCCAAAGGATTCGTCTGGGTTTCAATCACTCCAAGTATCAAAGGTCATGTTTCATTCATGGAATTAACCGATGATGTTTCAATTTTTAATGATATCGAAAATAAATTACCTGTCGGTACTGCACTTCAAGTCAAAGTCAAAGAAAATGATAATGAACATCATACATTAATCTTAACCGCCACTTCCAAATCGATTAATTCAATCCAAGATATTAAAATTGGGGAAAAATACCCGGGGAGAGTGGTTAAAGTCAAAGAATCATTCGTATTGGTAGAATTAGGTAAGAATGTCGTTGCTTCTTCATTCATCACTGATGCATTGAATGATTATTCTGAGAAATTAGATCATGTATTCCAAGTCAATAGTTATGTCGTTGCTACTGTATTAGATATCGATCTTGAAGAAAACAAGATTGCCGTTTCTTTAAGAAATGAAAATGCGGTTGATAAATTGATTAATTCCGTTGAAGATTTATCTCGTGGAGATATTGTTAAAGGATTCATCAAAAACATCGCCAATAATGGTGTTTATGTCGCTTTGGGAAGATCAATCCACGCGTTGGTCAGAATTTCCGATCTTTCTGATTCTTATTTAAAAGACTGGAAGAAATATTTCAAACCACATCAATTAGTCACCGGGAAGATCAGTGCATGTAAAGAAGAAGGAAGGGTTTTGATGACCTTAAAGGAAAGTGAAGTTAATGGGGATTTGAATGTCTTGAAAAGATTTGATGATTTGGAAGTTGGACAAATCTTTGAAGGTTCAGTTAAACGTGCTACTGAATTTGGTGTGTTTGTTCAATTGGATGGAACTCTTAATATTAGCGGATTATGTCATCGTTCTGAAATTGCCGAGAATAAAGTCGAGAATGCTTCTAGTTTGTTTGGTGAAGGTGATAGGGTTAAAGTGAGAATTTTGAAGATTGATCCTGCTAAACAACAATTATCATTAGGTATGAAGGCTTCATACTTTGGAGTTGAAGCTGAAGACGAAGAAGACGAAGATGTTGAAATGAAAGAATCTGATGATGAAGCTGAAGTGGATGAAGAAGATGCTGAAGAAAGTGAAGATGAAGAAGATATCGATATGGATTCTGCTGAAGAAGGTGAAAGCGAAGAAGAAAGTGAAGATGAAGACGAAGAAGATGAAGATGAAGACGAACAAGACAAACCCGAATCTGCATTCACTGGATTATCCACTAATGGTTTCGACTGGACTGCCTCCATCTTAGATCAAGCTGAAGATAACGAATCTTCAAGTGATGAAGAAGATTTCACTCAAGAAAAGAAGAGAAAGAAGAAATCCAAACATGCCGTTGAAGACAAGACTGGTGATTTAAACACTAGAGCTCCACAATCGGTTGCCGATTTTGAACGTTTATTAATCGGTAATCCAAATTCATCAATCATGTGGATGAATTATATGTCATTCCAATTGCAATTGAGTGAAGTTGAAAAAGCCCGTGAAATTGGTGAAAGAGCCTTGAAAACCATTAATTATCGTGAAGAACAAGAAAAGATGAATATTTGGATTGCATTACTTAATTTGGAAAACACTTTTGGTAGTGATGAATCTTTGGAAGCTACTTTCAAAAGATCTTGTCAATATATGGATTCATTCATTATGCATCAAAAATTGGTTAGTATTTATACCATGTCTGAAAAATTCGATCAAGCCGAAGAATTATATAAGAGTATGGGTAAGAAGTTTGGTAAACATGTTTCCACTTGGGTTCAGTATGGTTCATTCTTATTAGATCGTGAAATGCATGAAGAAACTCATAAAGTCTTAGTTAAAGCTTTACAAATCTTACCTAAAAGAGAACATATTGAAGTTGTTAGAAAATTTGCTCAATTGGAATTTACCAAGGGGGATGCAGAACAAGGTAGATCATTATTTGAAGGTTTGGTTTCTGATGCACCAAAGAGAATTGATTTATGGAATGTTTATATTGATCAAGAAATTAAACAAGATGAAAAGAAGAAGGTTGAAGATTTGTTTGAAAGAGTTTTGAGTAAGAAATTATCCCGTAAACAAGCTAAATTCTTCTTTAAGAAGTGGCTCTTGTTTGAAGAAGAAAAGGGAGATGAACAAATGTCAGCTCGTGTTAAGTCTAAGGCAGCTGAATATGTTCAAAATTCTAGTAAGGAAGATTAAAAGTGAGGAGTGCTTGTGTATATTAGTTTTGTTTTAACATGTTTTTAGAGTTTTTTTAGTTATTTTTATATATGGATATTATTAAAAAAGACAATATAGATTTAAAAGAGAATGAAAGACTTGTAGGAATGTCTGTCAGTATATCTTCGTTGGATGTATATTTGAATCTGTTCACTCTTTGGAACGATTGCGTGAACAGGCTTTGTCGGGGAGGTTATATGATATTCAATTTCACATGCTGGGTCTAGAATAGATTATACTTCCAGTCGGAGATTCTTTTCCCACAGGGCTGATAGCATATACAAAACTTAGATGCTTCAATCATTTTTAGAGTTTAGATAAAAAATAGGCTTTCATATGATATTGTAATTTATTTATTGTTGGAGATAGACAATGAAGATTGATCTCTATCTTCTCCACAACTCAAAAATCTAATAGTTATGATATTAACGTTTTTAAGTGAAACATTACCAGAATCCATTTGTTTAATCATTTGGAAATGATTAGATTACATGTAAATTAAGTGAATCCAAAAAGATGAATACCATCGTAAATCATAACTAATTAGATTATATTGTAAACTTAATTTCAATTATCGTAAATCATAACTAAATGGTAAATCCGGAAATGTATAATCGGTAAAATTGTATAGAACCCCGAAAACCTATAGAACATTTACTAATTGTTTATTAATTATCAGATGGGTAGCTTATGCAATTGTGTCGATCCAATTGAAATGTTCTCTATATTTAAATAGCCTGTGAATATCCAAACATGCGTCATTGTGTGTGTGAGAGAGAGACGACTGAGAAAGAAAAGATTTGCAGCCATGTGAGTTCAATCATTGACAAAGCCATGTGACAAATTATGCATTCATAATCATATCAAACTACCTTTGACTTCTAAAAGATTAGAGTTTTGCTAAGTAAAGCTACCAAGAAATAAAACCAACAAGGCCAGTCATTGACTCTGTTATAAATCATTAAAGAAAAAGAGAAGTCAACAAGAAACTAAACGGAGTTATTTTTTTGGTAAAGAACAAAATATGGTATGAGCGTTGGGGTGGTCATAAATCCGAAAAGAAGAAAATATGGGGAGAAATTGGTTTATAAGAAGTTCAACAGTTCATCCATTCCCCACAAATTACATTTACCAATTAAGGAAGATACACACTACATATAATATGTATGCACGACAATAGAAAGAGGGTGGACGAAGTATGAATTCAATGTGATTGAAAAAATGACTAACAAACTTGTTGAGATCTCGCACCCAAAAATAAGATTCTTTATTTTTTTTTTTTCACATGTTAAATCTGCTGCTAAAAAGAAAAAGATCAACTGATTCTTTCTGTCTGTCTCTCTCTTTCGCCTTTTATATGTAACATAAGAAGCAGAATCATGATGACGACTTAATCATCCAGCGGATAGAAATTTCCATTAATATTTAGTAATTACATTACTAGTTATCTTTCTAAATTAATCCTTCCATATCAAACATCCAGACAGACAGACAGTAATTTACTCCAACTTTTACATTTAGTAAGGCAATTTCAAAAGTGTTAATTGTTACAGTAAATTTTTTTGGGTAAATTTTTAGTGCAAAGATTAAATTGTTGTTCCTATTGTTGTATATTGTTAATGATTTTTTATTTGTGTCACATGCATCCCATTTAAATTTTACTCAAAAAAAAAATTTCTTTTTTTTCTTAACTATCTTGTTAGATACAGTCCAAATACTTAAGTTTCCTTTTCATAGTCAGACAGACAGTTTAATTTATCATAAGACAAAAATAAATTAATCATAAACAGCCTTTTTAAAGATTAATTTGCAAATGGAAGAAAGTTCTCTTATTGTTATTTATTTATTTATTTAATTATCTTTCCCCCTTTTTTAAAACTTATTCTGTAATAGCCTCACATACCAGGACACTACTACCAAAGGAACAAAAATACTTATTAACAATATCAGACAGACAGACATATAAAAGTATTCAATCAGTCAGACATACGAAAATAGACAGACACATATTAATAAACCCCTACCAAGACAGTCAATTATAATTAAACAAAGCACCCATAGTAATTGAAGAAATGTTACCACAAACTTCACCAGGATCATTTCCTCCTCCATACACACCAATGTCTGAAACATCGAGATTGACAACCACCACAGCAACCACAGCATCTCAAGATTCTACATCACGAAGCATCACCACACCTGACACTCAACATGAAGATTTGGCTGCAGCAGAAGCATTAACTCAATTAGTAAGAAACCCAACACCACCCTCTGATGGTGATATGATAGGTTATGCTAGTTCAGCTGATGGATCACCACTTAATACTTCATTACCACTTCCTCCAATACAGCTACCACCACCACAACAACATCCTTTAGTATCAACAGTTTCAATGGTTGCTCAACATCCATTAGTTAAGAATGCCGTAAGATATTATGAAACTTCAAAGAGGAATTATCCTACTTTTAATTATGCTGCTGGAATTGTTGAAAAAGCAGCATTACCGGTTGTTAATAAAATTGAAGTTAATTTAAATACTCGACATCAATCAAAACAAGCTTCTTCTGGTTCGGTTAGATCAAGTTCAATATCTTCTTCAAATGAATTAACTCCAATAGTATCGGATGATGGTGATCATAAACAAAGAAAAAGAAGATTAGGACGTGGTGATGAAGAAACTAATGGGAAATCTGACACTAAGAAGAGGATACAATTTTGTTTACATGTTTTAAGATTAGCAAATGATAATATAAATAATAAGATTCAATTTTTACAAGAAAAAGTAACAGAAACTGAAATTGCTGTTAAGGAAGAACGAGAAAAGTTACAACAATCACTGCAACAACAACAACAAACTGAAAATCAATTTGAAGCTCAAAAAACCAAGAATGAAATTGTAACCACTGTGAAAAAAATCATTCATTTAATATCAAATTTCCGTCCTTCGTCATTATCAACAGATTCATTAACTCCAATCCCCAGTAATGGATCCACAGCTTCCACAGCCACAACTAATCAAGAATACGAATTGAAGACAGCAATTCGTGATATTATATTACATTTACCAAATGCATTACAACAAACAGGGGCCACTAGTCCAGGTGGAACTCAACATGTTGCAAATGATCGTGTTCTTATATTTGCCAAGGAATCACTTGAGATGATCTCTAAGTTGACCCAGGTATTTCATGAACAATTATCCAAAGCTGAAAATTGGGTAAGTGGAGAAGAACAACTACAACAACAGCAACAGCAACAAGAAGCTGCGTATGACACTGATGATGATATGAGGAGTACTTCTACTAGATGTTCAAGTGCTGAACCGGAAGGTATTACCAAGGCAACTAAGAGAATGAAACTTGATTGTCCTTCTGAAAAGCAATAGTTCAGTCTAATACTTTTTTATCTTTTAACACCTCTAACTTATATATATGTGTATGTATTATTAACTCGTTATATTCATTAACCTTTAATTGAGTACAAGTATTTAATAATAAGAAATAAAGAATCGTAAACCTAACCCTTTCCATTCCCAAAGATTCTATTAAATATTTAAGCTTTTTTTAAACTGATAACTTAAATCTCTTCGTATTCTATGCCTAAAAATACAATTCTGTAAAACTAGTAGCCCGAAATTTATGAGTACATTCAACAGCCGGACATTTCGAAGGAGCATACAAAGTCGGATTCAGTATACTATACCCCGCCAACTTCTTAGTTCTCTTTGGTCTATTTCCAATATTCTTGACACATCTTCCACAAAAACAATGTCCACATTTCGCCACAAAGATCCGTTTCGATAATTCCTTATCCACCTCCGACAACTGATTTATACAAAACCAAGGAGCAGGAACTTGATATTGTTCACCATATTTCTTGAGATTTTTATCATATCTAAAATCAGGCTTAAAATCACCGGGGATCCCTTCTCCTAATTCAATACTACACAATTCACAAACTAAACTCTCATCAGATTTGATGGTATTAGTATGTCCTGGGGATTCCTTCTTGATCAGTTCCTGTTTTTCCATTAGGACTTTTTTATTATAGTTATTTTCTCGTCTTAATCTCTCATCTAATTCTCGTTCATTTTCATATTCGATTCGTTGTAATATAGATTGATCAATTACGGAATCCATATTCATTGGTTCTTGTTCCCCTCCTTGTCTCGGTATATAATCCTCATCACTATTTTCATTATAATACATATTTTCAATCCTGGCAATATTTCGCATAAAATCAAGAAATCCAGTATGGGGTCCAAAATTAAACTCGTCTTGTCGTTGTGCATTTATCCAAGGACTAAGTCCTCTAGGTATAGGTAGACCATTCCTCTGCGGTGTAGCATTATTACCTCCTCTTCTTCGTCTTGCCTGGGGAGTATTGGAACGTCGTGAGGTGTTAGTATTTGTCAGCAACGGTGGCAATACACGTGTAGCAGGACTATTTCTAGATTGAATAGGAGGTAATACTGGCCGTTGGGTTTGAAAATCCCCAAATGGTGTATGTAGGACGACAAACCTATGGCCATTATTATTGGGAGCTTGTCTTATATCCGTAATTTCAATCTCGTCATCATTGTCGTTGTCGTTATCGTCTAGGGTTTCGTCTTCGTTGTCTATGAATAGACTGGGAAGTCGTAATGGTGTTGGATTTGCGGTGTTGACTCCAGTGATTTGGATTTCTTGACTGGGAGCGGCGTTGTCTTCTTCTTCACTTAGTTGAATAATCTCTGGTTCTTCTTCTTCATCTGAGAGGATCTCTATAATGTCATTATTAGTTGTATTTGTAGTGGATTGAGGTGCAGATGGACGTGTTGCGTGTTGTGGTTGTGGTTGTGGTTGTGGTTGTGGATGTAGGGGTTGGTCATTTGTTCTTTGTTTCTTCCGCCTAGGTTCTCCTAGTGGCAATGGTAATGGTTGTTGATCCANTCTTTGTTTCTTCCGCCTAGGTTCTCCTAGTGGCAATGGTAATGGTTGTTGATCCATCTATGATAAGAGTTACGTATCGAAGTATTGGTCTTATAAGAAATTAGTTTTGTTTATTATTAAATTAGTTTAGGTGTTTTCAGTTTTAGTAATTTACTTTAATTGTGAGAAGATTAAAACTAAAGAGAGAGAGAGAGAGAGAGCCAAGAACGAAGAAAACAAAAAAGAGGGCAAACAAAAAAAAAAAGAAATCAGTGACTTCAATAATAGCAGCAATTTTGTTACCAAAAAAATTGCAAAATGTTTCATAATTTACACACAAAACACACACTATGTAACAGTAAACTTGTCGTCATAATTAACGGAACCTCAGTATCTAAGAATTAGAATAAATGCTATTATCTGGAAATGATATAGCTGAGCTTCTGGGTCTACTGATTATATAGACCTTCTGATTGCTTATGCCAATTTTAAATAGAATATGTAAATACGGAATCCACACCTCCATGCTATCAGGTATTCATATCACAATTCATTAAACTTTCTATTAGTTTGTGGAATACTTTAAGTTTTATGTAAATATTTTTGAACCCCCCCTCCCCCCCTGATTGTAAACATTGTCGACAATTGGTGTATAGGAACACTGTTCGCCTTACCACAAAATTAGCTCAACAAACACTGGCTGCAAAAGATTCATTACAACACTACCAGTGAATCTGTTTGTAAACAAAAAGAATGAACATACCTATTTAAGACCCTTTGTAAATATGAAATAAGAATAAGCTCAGTTGCAGTGGTCTACATCCACTTGGTTGGCTGCAAATAATTCATTTTTCTTCTTCCCCCCTCTGTTTTTCTGTTTAGAATTGCAACTTTAATCCACTTTCATTTACATGACAACTTTGCTCTTCAATTTAATGTATTTTCTTGTAAAATTTGACTTTCCGATAAAGGAGAATAAGTTTACGATTTTTAATTTTCATCCGGTTTCTGAAGTTCGTAGGTGGGATAAAGGAAGACTATATTATTGCCCAATGGCAATATAGTCTATTAAATACGGGAGGGTTGTCCCATGAACCAATAAAGAAGGATTTAGATGAAGGCATTAAATCTTTAGGGCACTTGGAAAGAGACTCAGGAATCAGTCTAAGAGTTGTCAAGTGGAACTGGCATCCTGCTGGAAAGTTTAAGTTTATCTCGATACAATATTGTCCCAAATAAACGCTATTAAGACTAGAAATGATCCTGCTGGAACGGAGCCACTACAATTTTCGAGTAGCATTTATGACCCAAAGAGCCCTCCACCCGATGGTAAAATTTCAGCGTGCAACGACAAATGGCAATTTAACAGGGGAAATTTTAAATACTGATAAATTGCTTAATACAAAAGTGTCACAAGATCAGAATTAAGGGGTTTTCTTCTTTGTTAGATTTTATTTTTGAAGAATCCAACCTTATGTACAATTAACTTCCCACGGCAAGAACAAGGAAATCTGGGTAGCACTTTTCAACCGTTTTTAGAACAGCCAAACGCGTTCTGAATACTGTTCAGATCAGACTTAGCATATAAGCTATTCCTTTAACTTTGCGATACTATGTACTATTGCCTTGACTCATGTCTGTTCCTTTGACAGGGGGGAGGGGGAGTCGGCTCACAAGGCTTTCTCATCTTCAAAAGGTCATGACATTCTTCTACCCCATACTTTATAATGATACAAAATCCCAAAACTTCTGTTGCATTCCTAAATAGGTAAAAAACAAGTTTAGTTTATTCTTTCCTTTGTCATCTAAGGGGACAATTATTTCTCCATTTGGTGGATGAATCCGATAGCAAATCTGATTTCCTTAAATCTCGTTTATGGCTTAAAAAAAATTGTTATTTCCTTTTTAGGAAATCGAGATTTTGAAAATTTATTCTTATTGTTAAAAATTTGAATAAATCTCCACAACTTAATTATCCAAACCAGGCAATTTTAAAAAGTAAATTAATTAGATACATCCACCTCAATGTAACTTATTGTTTCCTTAGTAATAAAGAACAATCGATATCGAACTATATATATATCTCTAGATGACAGTCAAAGGAAGTTTTCTCAAGTCTCTTGATCTTTTTTTTTCTGGTTAGATTCTTGCAACCATAATTAAACTTTTTGCAACTAAAGCTTTTTCCCCCCCAAACAGAATAATTACTTTTGAATTCAACAGAATATAAGCAAATAAATCTTCCAGATTTATATTTATCCGTATCTTCGGTTTTCTAGAATTATCAAAATCTAACATAATCATGCCACAAATAAATCTTGCATTAAAACCCCAAGAGGTGACAAAAATTCAAGTAGCTTGGAAGATTATCAATCCAAAAATGGGGTTTTATACTTCCTTGTATTCCAATTTAATATTAGCAGATAGCAAAATCTTGAAAGTATTTAAGAACTCAGGCATGCCAATTGGGGAACATCCTCGATTGTTTGGTGAATTGTTTGGATTTATTGTTGATAATATTGATCATGAGTTATTGGTTAAAGAATTTGTTGAACATTTTATCAAGGAGAATATTAAATTTGCAAAAATATCTTGTGAATATTTAGAACCTTTAGGTGGTTCCTTTGTAAGAACTTTGAGGAAATATTTGGAAGGTGAATGTACTAAAGAGTTGGAAATGTTGTGGATTAGAATATATGTGTATGTTGCTAATTCTCTTTTGAGTTTGAGTGATGATGATACCGAAGACAACAATGAGAAGGATGATGCTTACAGCAAGTCACAAATTAACGTACCTGAACGTCGTGCTTCCAATGAAAATAATCAACCACCTTGTCCCACTACCCCAAAGCAGCCACATCATGCTAGGGAAGAAAATGACTCCGCTTCAATTGATGAAATCGAACCCTTACAAATCAAACGGAAATCTCCTTCACCAACACAACAATCTGAACCCTCAACAACTCCTCCATCACCAGGTTCTCCAGCTAAGTTGCTGTTTCATCTAGATAAGAATCCTAAATATAAGGGATTCAGAAGATCGGTTGAAATTGCAACTAAACCAATCTCAATTGATATCCCAACCTCACCCAATTTTGTCAATGTACATACAAGAGAAGAAGAACCCCCAAAATCAACTTCAACTAGCCCCAGAAGAACATTTGATCCAAGAAGAAGAAGATCAGCTACTGTTCTGGAATCAGAACAACAAATTTCCGAAACCGACGCCTTTGTTTCCCCACCATCATTTGCAACTCCAGTTTCAAGTAGTGAGTCGCTTAACAAAGATGCTGGTCCACCATTTGTTGAAAGAAGTTCATTGTTGCAAAAGCTTCATAATAAATTACAAGCACAACAAGAACAAGAAGATGACGGGGATGAATCTGAAGAAGATGAAATTGAAGCTAAGAATGGCGTATTTGCCCCAGATAGATCTACCTATGTCACAGTACCACAATCCCCATCTCCAATTGGTTTCCCCCATGATTTGAAACAATTAGCACCAATTTCAGAAAATGCCGATGAATGCGAACATGGTCCAAGAAATTCAACATGTAGTGGAAGTGGATGCACCAGTGATTCAAGTTCTTTATCATTAAATAATGATCATAAATCATTCATGTCTGAATCTCCAGAAGCATCACCTCTTTTGGCATTACAACATATTTCCGAAAAGGCGTTGAGTTTGGTTCAAGCTAGTCAACAAATATCTGCTGAATTGATGGAACCTTCTCCTGGATATAAGAAAAATAAGGGATATACTTATTCTCCACCACGCAAGAGAATTTTTGATGCACCGGTTGCTAATATGCCAAAATCTTCTTCAAGGCCAATGTCATCATCGTCGCTTGATTATGGGAAGAGGTGTGAACTGGATGAACATCTTCCTTCTCCTAATCTTAATAGTTATGGAAATTCTTTTGAAGATGTAAATAGGGTTAATCAGCATAGTGGGAAGAAGTCTGGTGATTCATTTAGTATTTTTGGATCTGAAGACGATTTAGCCATGCAATATATGAATTCCTTCTCAAGCGATTCCAGTTCTGTTAAGGAAGAAAATAAGAAGAAGCAATCAGGGAAAGTTAAAAGTAAGCTTAGTGGTATATTTAGTCATCATCAGAAATCCAAAGATAAACCAACCAGAAAGGACAGTATGTCATCCAAGAAATCAAAATCCACAACTACTACAACAACCACACCAAGACTTTCACACAAGAAATCCATGGCTTCATCAATAATATCCAGACGTCACAATGATCCTTCCAATTCCCCCGTCGGTTCCGATCAAGCATCCACCATCAATTCATTCCAAACAGCATATGCTTCCTCTCTGTTATCAATCACCGATTCCCCCAAGTCAACCACCAATAGAGCATCAACCCCCTTCACACAATATCAAAGCTATAGATTTCCATCATATTCCCAAACCGACCTCACATCAATCTCGTCCGCTTCCACTGCACATACCACAAAAGTAAACAACAACAATCTCAATCCATATATGTCAAGATCGGTTTATTCTCAACTGAGAGCACCTAGTAGTTTTATCGAAGGTGGTGATTGTAAGACGATTGTGAGTAATGAGACCAAGGGGTCAAATAGGTCGGGATTATCGTTTTGGAAGAGGAAATCGAATAAAGAGGTTGAATTTGTGCCTCCGCCTACTAGACATAGTAGAAAGGGGAATAAATATGTGATTAAGCGGACTCCGTTTAATATTTTTGCTTAGATATTGATGGTGGTGTTTCTTTGGAAACTATTAGGATGGATTAGTGGTCCATTTTGGTGGTTTAGACATAAGTAAGGACAATGGATTTTTCGGTATTTTTGTAGGTTTTATATATATACATAAGGTTATTAGTTAGTAATTTGTAAAGTTTTTATTAATAAAAATAAAGATATTATAATTATAATTGAATTTGTCTTTCTCTATACATAAAATACCCATTACTCTTTCCATCAGTCACACACAAAGATCATGATGATTGAAATAGAGCACACAGATAAGTGATTTAAACATTTCTTAATAACATAAATAAACTACTAAATACAATCAATCTCTCCGTATCATCACCATCACTTACAACTCTCAGTATCACAATTCGTCAATTCATCAACAAGACAAGTCGTCTTTGAAGTATTTCCATAATGTACCCCATTATTTCCATTCCCATGACTATTTCTTTTTGATACAGGACCATACATATTTGGAAATTCCGGTTGGATGGTTACGGAATGTATACCGAATTTATGTAAAATATCCCTAACTTGTGCCACCACGATTGTGAACCCCTTCTTATCAAATGACGGAGAAGTCAAGGCTGTATGATAATTCATGTCGATGGAGTCTACTGATCCTTGAGGCAGGTGTTCGGAATCGTCATAGACTGTGGTTGCTTGTTGTTGGTGGGCTTGGTTATGTTCAGATGGGGAATGAGGGGCGAGGGGACTATGGCCGGGTATGCGACGAGTACTAGTTGTAGATTCAATGAGTTCTAGATGTAGGGATGCAATCAAGATATCTTCATTTAAGTTCCATACATGGAAATCATGAACATTTTTAACTAAAGGAAGTTTAATTATTTGTTCCACGATTAATTTTGAATTAATATATGGTGGGGTTGCTTGTAATAAAATCTTTGAAGATTTTAAACATAATGGTAAAGCATTATGGAAAATAATAATAGTTATGACTAATGAAGTGATTGGATCTGCTAAATGTCTCCAAGAATATGTTGTTTTCCAAATAATTAATGCGGTAATTATGACCCCTACATTACCCAAAGCATCACCCATGACATGTAAGAATACCCCTTCCATATTCATTGATTTCCTTTTAACTTGTTTTGGAGCTTCTCCTTCACCATCATGACCAATACCACCATGACTATGAGAGTGCTGACTAGCTTCATCTGCTGCTTTAGTTTCAAATCTTCCAACTACCGTATCTGGTAAATAATCAAACACTTGGGATGCACTAGCTTCCATATCACGATCTTGTAATAATCGAGACGTTTCAGTATGCATACCCACAAGGGGTTCCTGATCAGTATTATGAAGATGAGAATGGGAATGACCAGAACCTTCACCTTCACCTGCACCACCAGCATGAGAATGAGAATGTCCATGTTCATGAAATAACACCAATCCAATTCCATTACTAAGCAATCCGGCAGTACCAACAATAAGAATCAACTTTGGATTGGTGATAACTTGAGGTTCAAAAAATCTTTGAATTGAATCCATAACAATTGTAAAACATAATGCCAACAAAAAGACTGCATTAATTAATGCCCCTAAGATTTCTGCTCGTTGCCATCCATATGTATATTTATCATTTGCTGAAGTGTTTTTAACTTTGACTGCCCATAATGCGATAATTAATGAGATGATATCATTAAGCATATGAAAAGAATCTGCAATTAATGCAAGAGAATGGACTGAATAACCAATGATGGCTTCAAGTAAGAAGAATACTGTATCTAGCACTAAAAGTGCTATGATTCTGATTTCCTTATTCTTCATACTGCTTGTCTATGTGGTAGTACTAGTAAGTAGTAGTAATTAATTATCTGTTGTGTTTGTTTAATTGATTGATTGATTGATGATAAATTTGTTTTACAACAAAATTTTCCTTTCTTTCGTTTTTGCTCCTCCGGGTTAATGAAATTGAAATTTTGTACCGTGGCGTTTTATTTAAGTAATGATACTTTTTCGTTTGTTTTAAATTGAGTTCTATTCTTAACTCTTATATAAAAAGGGGAAGTATTAGAGAGAGAGCAATTACAAAGAAGAAAGAAGAAATATTATGTTTGTGGAAAACTTAGTTATAAGTTGTACTTTGTCTGTTTATATATAAATGACAAGAAAATGATAATGGTTACAAATGATCGGCATTTGAAATATTTTTATTACACAAGAATAATACAAAGAGACATTGGAGATCAATAGCACTTCCCCCAACCTTAAAATTACATACTGTTTGTAATTCTACGGAAAGCTCATCTATAATTAGAACATCTTCTTATGAAGATCCAAATATTATCTTCCGTATATATTTTCCATCCCATCCCATACCATATCAATTAAATCTTTTGTAATGATGACGCAATTAAAAAATATTGTTACTGTATTCCCGTTGTGATTCGCTCGTTCTAGATAAATAGGTCGGACTAAATAGTACAAGCCACCACAAAAGAAATCTAGTTCCACCGAAATGCCGCTCCTATCCCGATTAAATTTTCAACCTATCTGAGGGTGGATTGTAGAGAGAGATACGGCGACTTAACAAGTGTATAATCATCCAGTGCTTCTAGAAGTCTTTTTGATTTACGGGATGTTACGACTTCGAAGTAAAGATATTAACCTAAAAATAACGAGGGAAAAATCCATTTTCAATCGGCATATGAAATGTTCTATGCGAGATTTGTTGATCTATCTGGGGATCCCATAATGTGCTCTAAGATACTAGAGTAAAAAAGTTACAATATAATGAAATTTTTACAAACATTTATAAATCATTTATTAATATATATATATATATACTATTACTATATATTCAATTTCTTCAAACTAATATTCAAATTCAATAATCTTTCTCAATAATAAATTTAATAAATGGTTGCAAAATATTTATTCCGTTTAAAAAAAATCTGGTCGTTGTACAATGGTGGTAAAAAAACATCAAAAAGGAATATTCAAATCAATGATTATAACAGACAATACAGTCTTATTAATAAGAACCGTAGCACTAATCATTTCAATCTTTAACAATCCTCTTCTTTAAAAAACATACACACACTTACAAACATTCAAAAACCCATAATAAAAAAACGGTTGACTTCTTCAAAAATAATAAAAATGGATAATAATTGACAATTCACAAAACAGTGAACTAATGAAATGAAATAAAAAAAAAAGGAGTCAATAAAACAATTAAACAAAAATGGTAATGATAATGGAAATCTCCCATGGCAGTGACATTGATATAAAAAAACAGGAGGTGAGTGGATATACAAAAAAACCCATAATAACAAAACTTGACAATAATAACAAAACATAAAATTGGAAAAACAACCAATAGGGCTAATATAGGCACCTAATAATAATAATAATACCCATAATAAAACATAATATGACAAACCATAATATATATATAAATCCCCCACCCAAAAATAAAACTTATAATAATTGATAAAACAAAGCAAAAGGAAACAAACCCAATAAGTAATATACAAAACCCTGTGTGTTATCAACGAAAGAAAAAACCCTTGAAAAATTTGAAACTAAAAAAAGCATGTCATTTTCACATTAAAAGACTCATAAAATAAACAGTTGTTGATAAGTTATATCAATCAATCTCTTTCTCTTTCTTTAATTATATTTCCTCTTGATAAAACGTCTCTAGTTCTAATTGTTGGTGGCGGTGGCGATAATGATAATGGTATTCCCCTAGTTCTTAGAAGAACTCAACAACTCATTGAAAGTAATCTTCTGCCCACTTTGCTGTTGTGGAACCTGTTGTTGTGGAACCTGTTGTTGTTGTTGAGAAGGATGCAATTGTAGTGGCTTCCCCGGCTGAGCTTGGAAATATGAATATAATGGATTCTGTAATGGTTGGTTTTGTGGATATGGATATTGAATATATCCTTGAGGTGACATCTGATATGCAAACCCTGGTTGAACGAAATGTTGGGGAGGATATGGGTAATGTGGGGTTTGATAATATTGTTGTTGTTGAGGTGGGGGCGGGATACTGCCTGGAGGATAGGCAGTGACTGGATATTTCAATGCTGGAGGTTGTGGTTGTTGGGGGCGTTGTTGATCGGATACGGCTGGAATAGCCGGTGGATTAATTGGTGAATCGGAGGATGCGACTGATGACGCTGATGATAATGATGAAGTTCCTTCTTCATCTGAAGTAACTGATTGTTGGTGCTTGGATGAGGATGAGGAAGATGAAGATGATTTAAATGAAGGTTTTGGTAATTGTAATGCAGCTGGTGAAGAATGGAATGATGAACCAGCATAAGTATCTTCAACTTTTTTAATCTCCTTAATTTCTTTTCTATCTTTTGATTTATTAGAACTTGTTTTGGGTTTTTCATTAAAGAAATTTGGTCTCTCTCCACTTGGTAATGATTGATCAAGTGGTAGTGTTACTGCTGTTGATGATGATTTCTTGGAAGATTTGCCAAAATTTGGTTTGCCTCCATTAGGTAAACTAGGTTCATTTAATGCCACATCTTGATCTAATTGTTGCTGTTGTAGAGATTTCTTTTTCTTTGATGATTCTTTGGTTGGTTTATTATTATCATTATAAAAGTTCGGTTTTTCACCATTTGGTAAAGAAGGTGAAACTGTTAATTTTCTATTTTCTTTTTGCTTTGATGAACCTTTTCCGGAACCGGATTTGCTCTTGTTGTTGTTACTACTAACACCATTACCAAAATCTACCTTTTCACCATTTGGAAGTCTTCTTTCATTATCATTTATAAGCTTGTTATTATTGTTATCTCGACTTTTATCTNCTTGTTTGAGATGTCGCTGATGAAGGTGGTTGTTGTTGTTGTGAAATAGAATCAGATTTAGTTTGATGTATTGGAGTAGGAGGTAATTCGTGTGCCATCATATTCAATTGTAATAGTAATAATAGGAATAAATATGATTAAGATAGTATCAGTATGATTGTTGTATGTAAGTATGGTTGATATGTTAACTTTCTATATTTATGTTAAGTTGTTATAGAAATTTTGATATGAAAAAAGGGATGGTTAGGTTTGTTACTATGTTCTTTCTTAGTAATAATAAGGTACCAGGATTAGTAATGAGTATAAACTGTAAATATATAGATCTTAATCTACTAGATGTGTATATTAATTAACGGTATTTAGTTATGAAAACCTAATTAAGAAAAGAAGTTAATAGAGTGAATTTACAAATGTGTCATTATTTCTATTTATTATTTCTTTATGAACTTTTTTTCTTTTTTCGTTGACTACTTACAAGAACTGTTGCACTCACTCCCTTACAACTCCAATTGTTTTAGTATGTAATACAAAACATACATTATTATTATTATAGCAAAACAATGAAGTAAATTTATATACAGGTTACTACTATATTCACTTTTATCTTATGAATTTATTTATAAATAAGAAAGAGAGTATTAAAGTAACAAATAAGATAAGTAATAGAATTAACTTCTGTTACAGGTTAATCAAAGTCAACCAATAAGAATTAATAATTAATTAAACTGTAAAATAAAATGGTTATTATAAAGTTTAATAATAAGGGGGGCGATAAATAAAATTTACAACCAACCATCTCCTGATTATAAATACACACTTCATTTAGCCCTTTCAATTTATTAATTTATAATTAATCACATAATTATAATACAAGTTTTCATCAAGGCATAATATAATGATAGCTTATCGTAGTTGTCAATTTGGTTTCTAATTATCCATCTTAAGAAGGATCCTATTCAAATGATCCCTTACTATGAAACGACGCTTACCAACTTCAATTCCGGGGGGTCGCCGATATCTGCAAAAATACTGTTATTGTATCGTGGGTGGAAATAATATTATCCTCTTTAGGTTGCCAAAATGCCATATAGTCTTTTCTTGATTTGTAACTAATGTACAATAACATCATTCCGAGTTAGACGAAAAATTAGGCTGGTTTAATGGTTTCCTTGTGAGTAGCATTTGATGTCTTTCATCCAATTGGATAGATGTTCTAGGTTGTTTTCCCTGTTTAAAACGAAAGGGAGCCCATGATCTAAGTCATTGATCAACATGCGTTGACGATTAGGAAGTGGACAGTCACGGGTAGTGTGGTCCAAACTAAAACAATTGAAGCATAGTGATTACCTTGCAGAGCAAGCATCGTTGACGAACGGTTGCTATCAGCTCTGAAATTGAAGTTATCAGAAGGTAAAGCAATGGCTAGAGGTACTTTGTATTTGGATGTGTAACTTGATCACGTTTTGGACCTCCGATGGCTGTAAGGTAATTTATGCCCAAATGTTGTTAAATGACCCTGTTAGATTCATCTGTTTGGCTGTTTCCCGATTAGTTAATGTTTTCATTGAAAATATATCATATTTACATAATATGTCGTGACCGTCATAGGTTCCAACAAATCCAAACTGTAACCATATAACCTGATACAGGGGCTCGTGGTCCTTCTTTAAAAGCCAACTCATAAAATTGGCGAAATTGCTTTTCAACAACAAATTTAGCAGTAATGACATCACCAGAATTGTCCCAAAATGAAAGTGAAATCAAATAATAAATAAATTGAAAAAAGTAGAACTGAAATATGAGTCTGAAAATTAAGTAAACTTTTATTATAAAGACTGCTATTTTTTGTGACCATATTATATGACCTTGTATTGATGCCTTTAGTGAAGTTGTTCGTCAATCTGAGTATCAGCCTCAGAATGACTATGCGAATCCTGCGAATAGCGCTCACAAACTTCACCTCTCATTTGTTCAGCTCGGAACGAGCCGATGCATATTGAACATGGGCAGACATATACCAGATCTGACGCCTTTTGGTGACATAAGTATTCTTACTTTGTCGTGAGAATGGAGGGTACCTTAGTCACACGAATAGGTTCGAGAGAAACGTGATAAACTATGGTTTAAGTTAAAAAAACGTTAGACGTCAAAACTAATTCTTTAAATCAATTGTTGGGTCTTTGACATGATGCATTGTTTTGCAAAAAATATGTCTATCTGCATGTTGGTATTCAGGTCGATATCAAACCTTTGAATTGTATTAATTTGGGGGGATGGTTTCTTTATCATTCTTATATATTACAAAATATCATCCATATACGAAAAAACTCCTCCGTCCTTAGGTGATATGTTGACTAAAAATTGAGCGAAAAAGCGAAAGGCGGCACATTCACCGCACCAAATGGTAATGTCGCAAAGTTAAAATTCCACATATGTGTGATGATTCCGAATTTTCGAAAGATGTATCTGGTGTTACTCCTATCTGATGGTGGGCCAATTTTGAGGTCCAAAACTGAAAAACTTTGGTTCTATTTGAAAGAATTTACGGAGTTTGACAACACATCTAATGTAAACAGATTCAGATTTTGGAATTCCAGAAACTTCCAGTGGATTTGTTTGGTTTAACCAAAGAGAAAACAATTAAGAATTTCTGAACTTTCGCCATCGATTGGTTTAAGATAATTCCTCGTAACCATGCTTGTATAGCTAATTTTGGTAATATATGCACTGGAAATTAAAATCGCTAAATAGTGTGTCCGGTGTTAAATCCCATGCTAATCTCGTCAACTTTGGATCATTGATTAGCTATTGTTCAGTTGGATCTTAGTATCTAGACTTATCAACAATTTTTAATGGGTAAGTAATTAACAGATATCTGAGACTAAAATAATTGCTGAAGAACTAAGCTGAGTTAAATTCTTCTAATACTTGTAGAGGGTTAAGAGTAGAGGTGGGAAATTTATATTCTACAATAAAGTGATTCAATCCAGCATCGCTTTCCTACGAGAGGTGAAAACTGTCTGTCTTGTTTATGGGTATTTGACTAATCAGGGGTAGGAATTGTTTAAGAAATGTTTCAATGGGAAAGGGTAATACTAATTAAATTGATAATTTGATTAAAAGTTGCTTAATAAGTAGTTGATTTGGTTGGTATCGTTCTTTGTTGAAGTTTGGTGATAAACATTCAGCAGTTAAAAGTTTTGTGACCTTTTTCGTAAGCGATTCATTCTTGTGATATGATGATAACTTTGCTCGAAAGTGTTCATTTTTTGCAAAATTTCATGGTTATTTAATGTATCTGCAGCACTCAAGATTTCCGCGTTATCAGAGTCAGCTTCCAATTAAGCAAATGTTGCTGCAAAAAATCCTGAAATGTAGGTGCAAAGCTTTTTGACAAAGTGCAGAAAAATCGAATTTCAAATTGAGTGAAAGCGTTTATGAAGCTATATCAATCTCAAAAACTGGTCAGATGGTACGATCTTATCGACTTCAAGCCCGAATTGTTGACGTTTTCTGTTACACAGGATAACGTTTATTGACTTGGGGTACATCTTGAAGCCGATATAGAGTATACATAAACTGTGGGTTAAGAAATAGCTAGAGCCTGATGTTCTGCAGGTTCCGGGAAAGTATTCAAAATGTTAAGACAATGAATTTTATATCCATCAAAAGTACCTACTTGTTTCAATTCCAATAGTGCTTTACGTTGTTCTTCAATGAAGAAGCCATCAAAAGAATTCCTCAATAAAATCATTAATGCTAAACTTTGGAGGATCCAGCACAGGAATTCCATCAACTTGTTCAGCGAAACCAATTAGCAGAATGACGAACAAGATGAGGTTTAACAACTGCATAAGTTTCAGAGGTAGTTAATTGTCTATAATTATCTGAAGTTTTCAGTGAATTAACATCAGCTGTCTTAGCATTAAGTCTGTAAGAAATATCACTAAGAACAATCCCGGCCTGATGTCTTTTAGTAATTCCATCAAAAACTTGGATACTGGAAACAGAAGGGTCATTATTCTTACGGTTAATTCTAATTTGTGCCATGACTGCAGCACTTGGGCCAGTATGATAGTAATTTGAATCTTCATTGTTGTGATTATGGTTGTTGCTGCCATTGTACTGGTTATTATTGCGATTGTAGTGATTGTTGTTACGATTGTAATGGTTGTTATTGTAATTGGATGAATTTCTGTTGGAACCACTCCTATTAATTTTGTTGGAGTATCTAATGTTTCTTCTGTGATAAGGCATAATGTTGCTCTAAAGTGCTAATGATATGATAATAATTCCTCGATGAATATAACCGATAAGGAAATACCAACTGTTATGATATTTCCTAAATTCCTTTTAAATATCCATTAATCCATACATAAATCGAAGTAAATAGATATCTAAAAGAAATCAACCACATAGTAGAACAATTTTCAGTAACTCTTCGTAAGTTCCTCTTACTAAACACCTTTCCTTTATTAAATCTTATAGACAAGATAAGTACTATAACAAAGACGTTATATGTTTACATCTCTACAAGAAAATCACTATAAAAAACTTTTCCTTTATTAATAAATCCTATACAAGATAAACAACCCAAGAGCTACAACAATGAAGATAAACTAATTACAATAATACCAAAAATACACCAAGTCATAACAAAATTCAGTGACCCCCCAAATGAAACTGCTGATCCATACATACTCAACGCAATAACCGTCAAAAACCCACTGGTCAAAGCCAAAGTGATTCCAAAGATATAATTCAACATCTGGATATCAATCGGTTTATTCCCGCCATATTTATCCTGATTATACATCAAGAAGAAATATCCCATCAATGCTCCAATCGGCTGTGACATGCCACCAAGAAATCCGGAAATACTGACAGCTTTCAACTTCGCCCAATGCGGATTATGACGCTGAGATGAGAATGAATAATATAATGGTAAACACATCGAAAACCCTTCGGTGAAATTATGAAATATCAAACTTAAAAAAATCGATAATCCTAATTCAGGATCAGTTTCGGAAGTTATAAATGTCACAAACCCCTCGGGAAATTTATGTAAGGTGATAGCTAAGACAGTTTCGATTCCGATGAGTAATAATCGAGATAATGGGGAGTTTACATGATGATGATGGTCAACTTCATGAGTTTCATGGGTCATGCGACGAGATAATGAAACGGTGGTTGTCATGTTTGCGGTACTTAAAGCGGCAGTGGTACCATTATGATTATTGTTGCTATTTGAACTATGAGAAGAGGTGTCACCTTTGATTATGCCTTGATAGCTGTCAAATTCAGGTATTTCACAATAATGTAAATGATGATGATGATGATGGGTAAGGGGGTTACAATCGGGTTCGTGGTGGTTTTGATGACTGCAATGGAATGTACATAATTCGGCTGAGGAATATCCTTTACATTCTCCATCGGAACAACAATCACTTGAGGTTGCCATTATGTAACGTAATAATGATGTTTTTGTTTTTAGGGATGGTTTTCTTATTAATGGAGTTGATTCATCTAATCTTGCTCTTTCTTCTATTTCAGTTGTTGTTAATGGTTCTGGAGTGGTACTTGTGACACTCTTTTTCTTCTTGTTGGTAGTAGTAGGAGATTCCTGTAGGGTGTTGTCATTCAGACATTTACATTTTGGACTTGAAGATTCTGTAGTTTCAATTTGATCATCAGTAATATGATTATGATGTTGATTAAAATAATCCAATTGTGGAATGTCATATTCTTCTTCTTCTTCGTGAGTATGGGGATGATTATCTTTTACATTTACATCACCACCATGATTACAATGTACAACTGATTCACTTGTAAAATAATGTAATATAACATTAAACAAAACACATATGATGATACCAGCAATATAACTTAAAATTAAATGAAATTGTACTTTTTTTAATTTAGAATTATCATTAGATTCAGATTCAGATTTATCAATTGAATGTTCAATATAATTCATTGCTTCAGGTAATAATCTATATAATGATGTAATGATTAAACAACCAGACAGAAACCCTAAAGAACCATTCATAAATCGATAATTCTCCTTTAAATGGAATGGATATTTTGATGTGAATGATTTAGGCAATATGAAATAATAAATATCATCAAAGAATATTATTAATGTACCTAATATACATAATATAGATGATAAAGTTGTTAATAACCAACCTTGACTCCAATTTGATGATGATTCAAGCAACATAACAAGATTTCCATATAAATAATATTATTAATTGAAGGTATTTAAGTAATTGTATAAATCTCTATAAGACTCCCTCCCCTTTAGACTCTTTTATAATTTAAGTATGGATAATAAATCAAATAATATAAGATATCTTCAAATAAAGTAATTAATTAATTAGAAATTAATTTTAGATTAATAGAAAAAGTAGTGATCAATATTTAAATATGATTTATAAATAATAATAATAATTTCATAACTGTTTGCAAATTAATAAGAGAGAAAGAAAAAAATCTATGAATCATTTATGAATCATTTTGTTTAAATTTGAGCTGCCACACACACTATATAAACAACCTAATACAATCTAGTAAGTGACTATTATAACACACACAATTAGTACAGCATTTATTCGTCAAATTCGTTACTATATATTCTGCACATTTCTCAAGTTTTGGGGATTTTCCCATCTCTTTATATGTTTCACCTTTACTCTCTAATGGGGCTTTTTCCCATCACGTTCCATTAGCTGACACTGCTAAAACACTTTTGCCTTACATTCATTTTGTTTTACATTAGTCAGATCTCACTTGACTTGACAAAGGTAAAAACACCGCTTCCTTCATTGGAAGAATCCAGAGATAGCACACAAAC